CTTAGCTAAATCCTTTAATAACCTAGCAGGTCTTGAACTTGCAGATCTTATTATCTATTATTAACTTAATCTTATATATTTACCTACCTTATATAAGCTTGTAGTCTATAAGTAAATTAATAAGTATCTAGATCTTCTATTTAATTAGATTATTAAATTCCTTCTTTATTATTACCTACTAATCCTTTATATATAGGCCCTTGGTTATTTTCTTAAATAATAATAACTTAATAACTAAGTTATAAGCTTGCCTGTAATAATAGTCTAATCTAGAGAATTACTTACTTATAATATATAATCTTTATATACTTATTATTATCTATTTTATTATATATTTCTTTTCTTTAAGTATATATTTTAAATAGTTTATATAATAATAGGCTAGCAGATCATCTGTGAGATATTTAATTAATAGTTTTATTATATTTATTAAGACTAGTATAAGAGAAAGGGCTACTAGAAAAGAGTTTAGGATTATTAGATAATTATTTAATATATTAATAATATTATCTTTAGAATTACTTGTAATCTTATTAAGATTATATATTAGTATTTTAATCTCTAGAAGAATAATCTATTTCTTATAATTATTATTAGGATTACTATATAATTTAGGATTAGTACTCTTATTAATATAAATATTTTATATATAGTATAACTTCTTGATTTTCAAGATAAATATATTATACTACTTATTATAGCTAGTATAGTCTAGAAAGATATATTTCTAAGCTCTTGAGTTAATCTTAGTAATATATTTATAATTTCTTATTTCTTACAGGATTACAAGCTAGCAAGTTAACCTGATAATATATAGATACTTAGTTAATAGTAGCTTTTTAAACCTTATCTCCTATAATATAATATTTAATACTTTATAGAGTAAGATATTAATAATAAATATTATTAACTTTATAACAGGCGCCCAGAGATTTCTAGGAATAGACTTATTTATTATAATTATATAAATCTTTATAAGAATTATATAATTATATCTCTCTGGTACCCTATTCTATGTGTGAGTATATAAAATAATTAAAAGCTATTTAATATATCTCTGCTTGGTTTAATTCTTAATCTACTTATTAATAAATTCTAGCCTGTTATTAATATAAAAATCAAGTACTTTATGCCTGTGATATTTCTTTATTTTAATATAATATTTAATATAATACTTTATCTTATTTAGCAGCTTGTAGAGTCTAATAATAATAAAATACTTATATTAATTAATATAAATAATCTAGTATTTAAATTCTTGACTATAAGATAGTAATAATTCTTTTTCTTTACTACTAATATTAATAAATATATACTATCTATACTTTATTACTAGTATTATTTTTAGCTTTCTTATAATAATTATAATATTTACTTTCTAATAGGGTTTATAGATATAATATAAGATTATAAGTCTCTTGATATTTATATCCTCTACTATTTTAGCTACTTTAATAATATTTAATATAAATAAATAATTAAAGTAATAGTATTAGGTGATAAGATTTACTTACTTCTTATTTAACTTTATTATAGTATTATTTATATCTGAGTCTATAAAGGGATCTTGATATACTTACTTAGCTATTATAAGCTTATTCTTAACTTCCTTTTTCAAGATATTAGTTATTATATCTTATATTTCCTGTAATAAGGTCTTATATTATAAAAATATCTTCTTAATATTTTTTATGATTTTATATTTATAAAATAGCTTAGCAGGTTCTAAAGTATCTAAAACTTGTAGGATATACATGTTTTATATAATATTATTATATTTAATAATTATATTAGTCTTAACATGCAAGATTATTACTTTTATAAATAAGAGATTAATTCTCAAGCTCTTATAATTTAGTTTTATTATCTTAAGAAGATTTACTACTATTTCTAATATATATAGAATATTTATAAGTATAAATTTAAATACTAAGTTTAAATATTTAAGAAGTAATTTAATATCTTTTTTATAGGTTAAGTAGACAAGCTGATTAGTTATTATTATAATACTATATTAACATGATTACTTTATACTAGTAATAAAATATTCTTATAATATTATAAGATAAGTAGTTACTCTTAAATCTATAATCTAGTCTCATGACTTGAGATATTAGTATTTTTAGATTTTTATAATATTAACCTTTATTATATTAATATTCTTATTATTAGTAATCTTGCTATTAATAGCTTTTATTATATATATAAATTAACTAGTTAATTATATATATTTTATAATTATTAGTAATTCTTCTAGATTCTTATTATATACTTTATTAGTTATTTTCTTATATTTATTCTTTATATAAGAGGGATACTTGTCAGGATATAATTTCTAGTAATTCTTATTATTATAACTAGGCTTTTTATAATATTAGTACTTTTAGCTATTCTTTTATTTAGTATTAGATTTATTATCTTTAGCTAACTTCTTTTTCTTTATTAACTACTTACCCTTCTTAGCCTTGACTAGATTAATATTAGATATATTAAATTTTATATATATCTCTTTTTATAAAAGGATTTAAATAATATTATTAAATATTATTATTACTTTATTATATTAATTATTAAGATAAAAGATTAGGAATATTTCCTAAACTTCTCTAAGATTATAAAATAGAAATTATATTCTTATATTCTTTAAAAGCTTCTTACTTTTAATAAGACTAGTATTAAACTTATTTAATATCTCTAAGAGTTTTAAGATATAATCCTGTACTCTCTTATAATTATTATATTATATTTATATAATAATTTATAGGCTCTTAAAAGACTATATATTTATAGTAATATAATACTTCTATCTTAGAGTATCCTATATTTTCTTTAATAAATCTAGATTAATAACTTTATAATAGATTAATACTAATAAAGTTATATATATCATGCTATAAGTCTTTTTATTTAGATTATTTTACTTTCTCTATTATTTCTTATTCTTTTTAATAATCTTTATAGCAGTAGATACTTTAGCTAGTATATTAATAATAAGTAATAATCTAGTATTAGTTTTAGTAATAATCTTCTATACTTCTTGGGAGTAAAAATATATTTAAATTACTTTTTTTTATAACTAGTATTTATTTACTCTAATAAGTATTAGGAGTTTATTAATATTAATTACTAGTATTATATTATATAATACTTTTTTAGATTAAGTTAGGAATTTAGCAGCTTGGGCTGCCCTTCTTAGTATAAATTATATAATAAGAACTGGTTATTTTGCTAGAATCCTGGCTGTGCTAGGCTTATAACCTGTTAAAGGAAGTCTTGATGGCGGGAGGATTACATAACTAAAGAAATAATGAAAACTATCATATAATAATGAGTTGGTTGAATTAGTTGTTCTATCTAAGCTGCCAAAGCCTCTGCAGAGAGAAAACAGCAGTCGTGGGTCACGTGCAAACGGAGGCGAGCCAATCACATCAACAGTATGCACTTCGTAGGAATAAGACTCTTGCACCAGTGGCTCCAGCAAGATCTATTTGGTCAAGATTCTGCATCATTGAATTTGATAATATTGGTTTTGAAATGCCATAACATACCGCCAAGATATAGTTCCACTTAGCAGCTCGAGTCTATTGATTCAGTCATACACAAAATATCTTATAACGTGCGCGTGTAATTAGCTCTGATTACTCTTGTCTATTTTGGAGTAAAATCTTGGTGCCTGTTCCATGAGATGGGCTCGGGAATATATGCTATTGTATATAGTGCCAAATCAATCCCTACTTTACATGTGTGAAATCATAGTACTAAGCTTCCGTCTTATACACTGTCCTTGTGATTTCTCCGTGATCCTCTGGATTCTCATAAGATCCAAGATTTCATACTTCTGTTTCTGCATAGAAAGCAGGGATAACGAAAGTCGAACAACGATTTCAATATCAAGACCGACTGGCAGTGAGACGAGCACGTGTGGACCTGTGGAACCGACTGCGTTTAAAAGCATGTCGCCGGTGGTGGAGTAGAGGTCTGGGATGTCTTGTGATATTTTGGTCTTGTATCATATCCTACAAGCCGTAGACCCTCGCTTCGCTCGGCGGCTTGATGACGTGGCTCGAACTACCTAATAATCAGTTCATAGAATTAAAAAATGATATTTACTGTAAAGTCTTATAAAGTAAGCTAAGTAGCTATATATAGTCTCTAAAGGTCCCCACGTAGGCCCCCCGAAAGCACCCGCGTAGGCCCCTCGCGTAGAATCTCTAATAGCAGCCATGTACATCCCCTAAAAGCCCCTGTGTAGAATTATTAGAATAAGTGTATAAAATTCCGCCAGAGAATTAGTTATATTATCAATCTTTATTCAAGTAATAATATGGAATAAATAGTTAATAATAATAAGAGTATTGCCAGACAGAAAAATATTTCAGGAGATTCTTAGAGACAAAAAATTGATAGATTATCAAGCACCTGAGCAAGGCTAATCTGAATATAAAGGATTGTAGAAAATCTTAGTAGTTTTTACATATTATGTCATGATTTTTTTTAAAAAATAGATTACCACAAGGGTTTGTAAAAGCCGGGGTAATGGTTACTAAGGAGTTGTTCAAAAATGCGTAGAGTGAAGCAATGTCAAATGCTGTAACCTAATTGCGACTTCTAGGTATAAGGTAGTATAAAGTGGCGTAGACTAGCTAGCTAGTTGATAGCTGCCTGTATCTCCGGGTCCGAGCCCGACCCCGACCCTGAATGTATTTAAGAAGACCGAGGACACTTCTACCTGAAGCTCACAACAATCTCACACTTTCACCCCTGCTCTTGTACCTCCGGCATCATGGCATGCATACAGATCTCAGTTACTTCTGATCCAGTGTGCCCCTAGGTAAGTAAGGATTCATCTACCTCGTCGACCACTTACTAACTATGGTTGTCTCAGTGCTACATCGGTTACCGCCGTCTGACAAAAGCCATCTCGCTCTACCAAAAGACCTACCCTGGTGGTAGGCATGATCAGATCAAGATTACGTGGAAACCGTACTTTCTGGACCGAAATGCCCCGATGGAAAGTGTTCCGTATCTGGGTATGGGTGGACATTTGCATTCCTTACACCGGCTTGTTCAATGGGTCAAGTGCAATGGATTGCTCTAACCTGAAAGATAGAATGCGTGGCTAGGCGATCTAGACAAGGTTGCTAGTGCGCAGGCGCGACTGAAGCGGCTAGGGCTATGCGATGGCATCCAGTTTCGATTTGGTGGAAGGATTGGCAATACCCTGCGCGCGCACCAGTTGATTCGATGGAGTGAGATTCATGATCAAAAAGAAGATCATAGTGGCAGTGCCACCGGCGACACTCATATAACAACGGGTGTTGTCGAGGGTATCTTCCGCGCTCATTTTGAAGAGGAACGTGACATCAGTGATATCAATACCTTACTACAGATCATAGGACAGATAAAGCCGGGGCTTGACATCGATTCAATCAAGATATGGTTGGGACAGATCAAGGAGTACCATGGATACGGCAAATGGCGGAGAGGTCTAGGGAGGAAGGCGTCCATGGAGTACCATATTTTGAGATAGGGGATGGGAAGATCATTCTGAACGGATCACAGGATGTTGACGAGTTTTTCAAGGGCATTATTGCATACAGGGAGCAATAGAGCGACGTGTATTATTCATTACTAGCGGCTGGGCAAGAAGACAAGTCAATAACTTCAGTAAAGTGATATATTTTATTGTATATGAGGCAGCGAACCCATGCATAATCAATTACTGTAATCCGTCTCAAGCCTGACTGGCTTTGTGCTGCTATTACTTTGTCCTGCTATTATAATCTAGCTGATTCAGGTTGGTAATACAACATAGTCACAGGAATGGCATATCACCCACTTCAAAGTATACTACCCACAGTGCATACTGCATAAGTTTGAATGTTGCCTTGATCTGCAACCCGAGCTTCCAAGGTGGGGCCTAGAGTGGAGCGGATGGGGCTGATCGCCTCCTCGGCCCCTGACAGCAGGAATTACTCAATTCTTGATACATGAGCCGCTAAAGGCTTATGTATTATGTGAGGGGTGAAATATTTGCATGATACCTACATAGCGGCGAGCGGGGAAGTTGTGTTTCTGTATGATCAGCTGATAGGTTTATTACAATGACATATCTCACATTACCCTCTGTATAGGTACATTCTCAGGGACAAGCCTGACACTAGCAGCCTCGATCTAAATTAGCAGTTCGGATACATGGGGTCATTATGAGTAGATAGCTTTCTTGGCTGGAAGTTCCGGCCATAAAAACAAGTAATAGATGAAACTATATCAGCTTACTTAAGGCGTCTCATAGCTTCCCCCCAGAGTCTGGGGCCCAGACAAACACAATACTATTTCACCATCACACTATCTGTGTCTTAAACAGAAACTTTCTGTTGCCTACAACCAAACTATTGGGCTCTTACATGCAACTATGTGGTTTTATTGATGAAGTGACTGCTTACATTGGGTGGCCACAACCTTGAGAGTCTCCGGGACCAGTTCCCTGTCAAACATACTATATACCACGGCTGTAGCCTGTCCAAATCCGGATTTATTAGCTGCAACTGATATCTGAATTCCGTGTCACGTCTTCATAGCAAGTTGTATCTACCCATATTTTGATTGGATATGTCTATTCACATAAGGTATGGTATCATCAGAACCTGATGGAATTATAATAGTCTCTTCAAGCCCGCGCATTCTTTTCCAGGGCATGGTTTTACTACAACTATCTGCTTTACATCTATCTATCAAGTGTGGGAAACCAGCAGCTTTTTCGATGATGTTTTTGTCTCAAATATTGTCTTGTCCCAACGTTTATCAATTTCTTGGACTCGTTTGCTTGCTTGCACTCTTATACGGCGTCTCCATAGCTACATATCGCCTGTATTTGAGTCCAATTTCTGGGTTCCCAGGTCCTCTTCTAGCCCGTTTGACGTTTTTCTACCAGTTTTACTATGATTGGATCTATAGTGGCCAGTACTACCTGGAGGTCGAAAAGATGCATGCAAAATATGGTAGATTCGCAGTCCCTAGTGTTTGCCGCTCTCTGGAACTGACATTCGCAAATAGGACCTATAGTACGGATGACTCCTACTGAGCTCCATATCAGGGATTCTCGGTTCCATAGTCAGCTATACGTGTTGGGAGCTGTCAGAAAGAGTGATTCCTATCGCAGGTTTACCCAGGGTACTGGGTTTGAAGGCAATGCTCTATCCTAAGACCCCAGTATCAGTTGAAGTAATTAACAGATCGGGAATAGACATAACATTTCCTCTTACCGCCCACGACAAACATCGGGCTGTGCGAACCCGATTGAATCCATTCTTTTCGAGAGCAGCAATCTCAAGGCTGGAGCCGAGAATCATCACCCGGGTCGAGAGACTAATACAAAGATTGGAAGAGTTCAGAAACACATCGATACCGGTCAATTTCCACAATGCTTTGAGTTCCTTGTCTGCTGGTAAGCTCTACATGCCAGGGCAATGTAGTTTTAGAGGTTAACGAAATAGATATCATTTCTCTGCTCTTCCACGAGGAGCCTACGGAATATCTGGAAGACCCAGAGTTCAACTCATCATGGTTTGGCTTCATTCTTTCTTTTCATTTCGCGGGCTATGGCTCATCGATATTAGGTATGGTATTTTGCGGATGGGTACCACTACAATTCCACTACTCGCGCAGCTACCATGGCTTGCTAGGTATATTCTACCTCCCGGGCGGTCTATGATAACACTTGGCACTAATCAAAAAGGCTTATCACGGCACCTATACTAAGATGGGTCCTAGAAAAGATGACACATTGGAGAATTTGGGATGATGTGAGAGACCATCCAATACAGATTGACCTTATCTCATGATAGAAATTTATAGAAAGTAAGAAGGCAAATGTTCAAGAGCAAAACTCGGCCATCAGATATGGCCAAATCTCGCTCCAGTGCCACATTCATTGACCATCTATATAATGATGTTTCCCAAGTTATGAGCAGGGATTCATTTACCCGCACTGCTCAGGTATGATATTAGTCTGATACAACAAAAGCTTTCAGCTAATACACAGACAGTTGATTCAACAGGGGGCGGTACATAATTTTTCAAACGCTCTAGCAATGGCCTTGTTTTTCCTTCTACGTGAACAAGATAGCCAAGAGAAGCTGAGGAGGGAACTAGATCCCATATTCAAAAGGCATCAAGGCAACACCCCTAAATATGCGGAGCTAGAGAAACTGCCATACCTGTCCGCGTGTATCAAAGAAGGTTTGAGGTATTTGGAAAGCTCATACCCCTTACATCTTCTTCAAGCGAGCTAGATGTTTGAGTTTGAAACTAATTGATTCCAACAAGGCTGGGCACCGGGAATCTAGGAGGCATAGCCCGTGTTTTCCCTGATGATGATGTACAATTCAATGAGTGGCTTATTCCTAAGGGTGTAAGTTTGAACCTTAATACCATCGGGCTAACAAGTACTATCTGCCTATCTGGTTGCTGCCACTGTGCCTTAGGCACTGATTACTTCCATATAATTCCATATTTTTACCACAATGATTTGCTGCAGCTGTGAAGAGAAGCTTACTGATTCTTTAACAGACTGCCGTATCTATGTCTTCTTACTGGGTGCACGTGGACCCAGACGTATTTCCAAATCCAGATGAATTCAACCCATCACGTTGGATTGACTCAGTCGACAACCCAGCACAAATGAAGCAGATGCTCCAGTACTTCGTACCTTTCGGCAAGGGATCTCGATCATGTATCGGCATACAGTAAGGACCTGACCGTGGGATCAAGTATGCTGGGGTCGTATCTGACACTTGGTTCTGCTTTAGGCTTGCATATGTCCAATTATATCAGACAATGGCTCACTTGTTTCGACCGGGGTCTCCACAACTATTTCTACACGAGACTGGAGAACATGACGTTAAGCCAGTGCGGGGCTTGCTTTTTACCCTGCCTAGGGAAGGTGCCCGGGGTCTAAGATTAAAGATTGCGGACCCCTAGAGAAATACGTGGTTGAAAGATTGTTATCGGCCTAGGGATACGAAGTATGCGACAAACTTATCGACCCAGGTAAATTAGCGTACAAGGTTGCCTTGGTCATATTGATTGTAACATGCATTATTTCGGATTGGGGGATAAAATCTCTGCAGAGGGAGGAGCCATTATTATATGTATCTGGCTTGATTAAGACACGAACAATGCAATTGTGATTTAACTAGCAGTTTTAGGAAAAGTCTTATGATGCCCGGATAATCCAACCTGGACAGTTTATTGGGGGAATAGGGGTGTGAAGTTAGCTGACCCCTAGGAATGTTATCTACCCACTGTGCCCTTTTGATATCATCTGATCAGGGTATGACCACATATATTTAGCCGCTGCGTCATACATATGAGCCACACGCAAACAGTTAGTGCCATGAACCCGACCTCTTTTGGTTTCATCAATAAAGACGGTACTAAAATTGGGGATTAGGAAATCCTTGGGATGGAAGATTTTACAAAGCAGGCCAGGTTATTTTTAGACATCGTATAGAATTTCTTACTGTTTGAGCTAATCAAAGTGTATGTTGTCTTTACTCAAGATATGTATGTGCCTTCTTTATCTTTCTAGTCTAGCTCACTAGCTATGGGCTGACTCCTACAGGAGCTAGGGATTTTTTCTTTTGAAAGAAGTTCATTGTTAATATACACTTTGTCTCAAGACTTTTCCTCTTGAACATATTTCAGAGGATATGGGAGTTGTTAACAAAGCTGAATATGATATACATACCTATATCAAAGCCTTGGAGGCGGGCAGATGGGAGAAGAAGTCGGCAGAGTGTCCTGATTACTATATCTAACGTGCTCTGGGTATTTTCTAGTAATACAGTCCTATACTGATTGGCTGGATGTGTAGATATGTACTCTCGATTCAATTTGCTGACATGATTCTCAAGTTATCATGTGGACAGACAAGTTGGATGCAGTTGTTCACAGTCATGATTTAGTTAAATACTAATGTTCTCTATCTAAATCCTTATTCTTCCTTGCACTACATGAGAGATTTACCATTGAGGCTATCCGTATACATATAAAGAACAAAATTTAAATGTCTTTAGAACATAATACACATATACTATTCACCACTACACCAAAATACCAAACAGTCCTTGGTAAGGGGCTCAATCCGACTGATATCCCCAACAAGTGCCTAAACGCCATAGACAGGCAACTGGCATGTTTCGAATCTGAAACCTAGTGATATAGTTCAAGTGTTATGAGCGGGCAGGAACAGGCTGATGGGTGGTTAGTATAATAGTAGTGGTCTCTTATTAAGGAACCTTACGATTGGACCAGACTACATAGGATAGGTTCACTATGACACATATGCTCGATTTACGGCAGACTACAATATATAGTACTAGCTACACAATCTATCTCTGTTTTTAGATACAGAGAACAACAGATGATAATACCAATACTAGTTATCTTGTAAATGTCATAAAGGCAAGACATCAGCAAATGCCATCAAGGTTTTGTATATATCTAAAAATGGCCTGTGACTGACAAGTGATCGCCGATTACAGCAGGCAGTGACCGTCTGTAAGAAAAAAGTGTGTGATTAGATGATCAGGCCAGCTGATAGGTCCTGGGATGGACAAGGCAGCAAGGGCCAATGGTCAAACATAGTCATGATTAGATAGCATTCACAGAGACCAGCTGACTCGCTACCTAGGCGTATCACTCTGTCCCCTGTCCCTTACGAGACTATGGACGACTTCTAATCAAGTCGACCTAGCCAGTGGTTGCAAAATCTCGTCACGTACCCATGGCCAATATATATCTAATGCATATTGCTTCACCCGTCGCGCTAAGTCCTGTAACTCTTATATACCAAATGTGGACCTAGTGTCTGCAAACATTATACTTATTGGGCCGACAATGTGCTGCAATACCTCATTAACACATGGACACAGCTCTGTGAAGACGCCACACTTCCCATCTCATCTTCTAAGCGATACGCAATATACGTATACCAGTCATGACCGATTACTGTAAGCCCGACCGTAGGAAGCAAGTTCATAGGAACCGGTTGGCTACCCTTGGCTAACACCTGCAAGCGTCGCATCTTTTCCAAAGTTGCGTTCAGCCGGATAGAAAGCTGGGCAAGTACTTCTTTCTTTCCCTCATCGTCGGGCTTCACTTCGATCCCAGAAAAAAGTATTGTTCGCTTATTGAAAGCATCAGTGGTATGGCCAATTTGGTAGCCATTGCCGCCAAAACTGATATGTTGATAAAGGTGGGAGACCTCCGCATCGCGGCAAGAAAATGAATACGCGTAATCCGCCTTCTTACTGATGCACATGAGGCTGCTCTTCATGGTAGAGAGCAGTTCCGCATCTATCAGCTGTGATTGCCTAGTAGTGTCAAAGGTGAGTGTCCGTTCCTTGGGTAGTATACGGATCTCGATACTTACACACTGGTTAGCTGTAGCCTTCGAGATCCTTTCAGTGAACAGTTCAAAACCGGTTGAACTACATCCAGGCACCAGGCAATCTCGTCCTTGCCATACATGTCACAGTTCCTAGCCTCCAGGCGTATCTCCTCAATTTCAGCCCAAACTGAATCAATAGAGGCCTCTGATATATCACTGGAGTCGAAAAGAGCCGTTTCTGGTATTTCTTCCGCGCCAGCTGGATCAGATGCCTGTATTCGAGACTACACCTTGATCCTCGAGAGATCATAGGGAGAAATCAAGTGTACCAGCACCTCAAGCCCTCTTGGGATGACATTTTGTCCAAACCCATCGGTGAGCGTTCTCCGCAGTGACAACACAGTGTCGGGTATCGATCCTGTTGCCTGAGGCTCGCAAAATATTGGGGGATCCGCAAGTCGAAGTTGGTTGGAGATATCGCGAGTCGGGCTGCCCTGGCGAGATGAAGTTGACGCATTGGACCTTAGCTTTGTGCGGTCGGAAAGTGAGATTTCTGATGAAAGAGATATCACCCCTTGTCCTGTGCCATCATCATCAGTACGCCGCCGTTTGGAGGGGCTGGGTTGGCGTGACAGCGACATAGACAACCTTCGTTTGTTTCTATCTGCAGGAGGTGCCAGACTAGTTAGGTCAGTGGAAAGTTCTCCTTCGAGACATGATGAAGATATATCTCACAGCTCCTCGAGCCAGCTTTCGATATTCATCTGAAACACCCTGGACCCTGGTATTAGCGATATGACGAAGACGTGAGTTGGCAGTGTTCAAGGTGCTGATTTGGCAGGACGACTGGAGACGGTGGGGTCGGGGCCTTTGCTTAACCGGGTCGCCGATCATGGTCCATTTATAGAATGATTCAGGCATCTAGGCATTTCATCCCGCCGGACCACCACCTAGGAGTCTCTTGATCTGGAAACTGCCAGTCTCTTGTTGCAGCTACGGTACGAGGTTAATTCTTGGTTCTTGCTAATCGACGGTAGTACCTAGTTAGATGGTTGCGACCTCGAGTTCTTTTTGTTTTTTCTACATCTTTCTCTTTTACGAGGGCGGGAGGACGGCAGTATTACAAATATATAGATTACCCATCAAGACTTGTGCAAAAAGTTGATTGCCAACATATTCCATACTTGTGGTACCCTGGCGGCCGGGGCAAAAATGTGCATCAATATCACTGTCCTAGATATGCTCCGCCATTAAACCAAGGACCGCTTGTGAAAATCCGAAAAGGGTATCATGAGGCATTATTTCGTCTCGTTTGATACATGGATATAAATTCATGAAACAATTCTGTGCGGTCATAGTACGCCACTCGCCCCGACACTCCTACTGTGTCTCATGTCATATCTATACATATTAGTATGGAAACTGCCCTTCCCGCTGCTCCGGGATTCCAGAGGCCTTCTGCAGGCGGTCCTGCTCGTCGAGATAGGGCAGAAGGATCTGATCCCAGTGAGATTTCCCCTTATACGTGGATACCGTCTCATCCCAGGCGCGAATGGCCTCGGCCAGTCTTCCGGGGACATGCGCTTCTTTGGCAATTGCTGTCACCGGTTCGAAGTAGGTGCGGATGGTGAACAGGATTGCTCCAGATCGTGGCAGACGACGGACAGTTTGTCGTTCGGAGCGGAAGTGGATTTCGTCCACTGTCAAGCCCTTGCTATTTGCCGTGGCCCAGGCTGCCAGAAAGTATGCCGTTAACAGATGCTTACGCCGGGGAAGTGTGGAGAGGGTACGAACATGCAACTTCATTGCCCCCTTGATCGCCCATGCGGTGGGACCAGTGCAGGCCGTCGTCAAGTTGGATAAAGAACTGTCGCATGGGTTAGATAGCCCTCCGTGTGGGTCTCGACTGTTCTCATGACTCACATTATTACGCTCCACGGGCTTGTCTGGCGTCAACGCCTTGAAGAATCGGTTCATGGACTTTTGCAGCTTTGCGGCGTAATGCGGCACCCCCGCTTCGAAGTGGAGGGTATCAAGAGACATGCGGAACTTCTCCTTGAGACGCCAAAACCCAGGAAGACAGACTGCTGCCGCGTCGAGATGATATTGCTCATCTAAGAGCATGGTTGGCTTGGGTCACCGATTCGTGGCGCATGTATGTACATACCATCATTTTCCACCATGATCACAAGATCATCCTGAACCAGCAGAGCTGCCGTTGCCATGGCTTCGGTTGGGGAGCCTGTGAAGAGTCAGATTGCTTCAGCTTACCCTACTTCAGCGAAAATATAGAACGTACTGGCTGGATACTGGAACTGCTCGTCCGTGAGCGTGTTATGAAGGGAGTTATCCTTTAGCTGGAAGACGCCAGGGTATCGGTGCGTGAGATAGCGGACTAGCTCCTCGTACACCTCGAAGCAGGCATCTCTGGTGACCGCGTTGTCAACGTATTTCACGTGGGCATCGATGTCCTTCTTCAGCTCAGACGCCTTCATATCGTGGTAGCGTAAGAAGTAGGAGTCCATCTCAATCCAATTGTTCCAATCGAGCTTTCGGATTCCCATCGTGACGAAGTTCTTGCCATGACGGAACGGCCGATACAGCTTCGGGTGTTTGGACCGGGGGTCAAAATCGTTCAACGCCGTGGGCAGGGGAGTCACAAAGGGCTTGGTCTCCGCAGGCTTCTGGGATGCCCCTATGTGGTCTTTGGATGCATGATTCTCATACCTGTGCCATTTTAGCAGCAACCACGCGAGCACCGAGGTAACCAACCCTAGCAGTGGAATTGCTTGGGCTGGCGTGACGGAGACGGAGGGGAAAGAGTTGATGTAGGGCAGGGCAGTCGACATTATGATGCGTTCATGCGAGCAAGAGACAAAGTCACCAACAGTGCCATGCGACCGCAAACCACGGATTTAAGTAGAATGCTATTGCACCTACTTCGATCATCCGGATAGCACACATATTGTAAGACAAGTTAGATCGGACATTAGCTCCAGTCTGTCCCCCGTCCCCACACTCCCTGGACATGCCCGTTTGGGAAGGTTTTTGGGTCACCGACCAAGCGCTAACCCGACCCAGAAGGTCGAATGCCCTGCATAGAGGTGGATCTAGTCCCGGCATCGCTGGCCTGCACTGATAACAGGCCCCACTCGTCCGCCAAATGATGCTATCCCAAATGGTCATAGTTGAATACTTGAATGGGCACGCTAACTCCTTATTTGACTAGTTCCTCTTCCTCTGACACCCGTGTCTCACGCGACCTTCCAAATGCGGGTTGGTAGAGCTCGGGTTCTGCTTATCACTTGTTTCTCCGCATGGAGAGATACGGGATGATGTTCTGGTCGGTGGTTGCAAAGTGTGGAAACCTGGTGTCAAGCTTGATGCCTCCATGTGGGCCACCCTTCGACCAAGGGCGACCTTATCAGTTATTCCTGGTACCTAGGAGAATTGTTGACAGTTACTATTAATTTCTTGACCCTGTCAGAGGCCCCTCCACCTAAATCACTATGCCTCCAAAGCGAGAGCGGACGGTACCGGGTTCCTGTTGGCCATGCAAACAGCGCCGGGTCAAATGCGACCTGGTGCAGCCGCGATGCCGACGGTGTACTCTAGCCGGCTCCAAGTGCTGCTATGACAAGATCCTGGTGCGTTGGAATGCACGCCCGACCAGGGGGACTCCCGTCACGTACCAGTTGCCTACGGTCGGCCTCTTGGGCAGTCTCCCGCCCGATACATCTCTCGCCAAGGGGGATCTCCGGGCGCTGGAGTACTTCCAAGCGGCACTGTGGCCCTTGTTCACTACGGCCTCTCGACCGTGCCCGCCACCCATGTCGCTAGCGATGGAGTCGCAGCCGGTGTTGTTGGTGATGTGTGAGCTGGCCGATGCCCATCGCGCATTGCACGATAAGCTATTAAAGGACCGGTCCCCGGCGGAGGATAAACGACTCACCTGCCTGACCTCCGTCCGCAAACAGCTGCTGCAGAGCGCCTCCAATACTGAGTCTCTCTCACGTCTCCTGGTCGCCGTGCTTCTATTGTATTTCCTAGACGGCTTCATCGACTGTGCCCGGCAGTCTGCATCCACCACGAGTCACCAATCAGGCGTACAAGCCATCGTGGAACACCTGGGCGGATTTTCCTCGCTCATCGGCAAAGGCCAGAAGGACACCAACATGTTGATGTCCGAATTTGCGTCCACAGATTTGACCAGATCGCTGCTGGACGACCGCGCGCCCTGCGTCCCCGCCGACATCTGGAATCGGATTGAAACGGGCACCGTCTGGTGGGAGAAGCAGCGATACGGGGAGACCACGCTGGCTGCCGTCTTCGGAGTGATATCCGAAATGGCCTTTTACCGACACTCAGTCCAAATGGACCGCATGGAGCCGTCCATGGAAAAGATTCGGGAGTTCGAATCCCGTCTCCAACCGACTTCCATCATCCTCGCTCTCGATCACCTCCGCATGCCTGATCCGTACGTCGTCCCGGAGTCGGACGCTGACCAGACGATGCAACCCATGGCCTTCACGAGAGCTTTCCAGCATGCTGCTCTCATTTATCTCTACCGCGCCATCTGTGGCTTGCCCGCGCGTCACTGTCTCGTCCAGCAGCACGTGCAGCACTGCTTGACCTGCATCATGGGCATCAGCACCAGCTGCAAGGCCCACAACTGTGTCATCTTTCCCCTGTATGTCAGTGGAGCGCATGCCTTTGGTGTAGAGCAGCAGAGCTTCGTACTGAACAAGCTGGATACCATCTACGGGACTCTTCGCTTCAATTCCCTGCTTTCAATTCGCGCCGCCCTGGAGGACCTCTGGGCTTCACCTGCCCACGATGGTCAATGGTCCGCCATGTTCACCAGCCTTGGCCAGGATGTGCTTGTGCTCTGATTGTAATTGCAAATGTGTATGTACTTGCTATGATCCGATGAATGATGAGATTGTTTTCTACTTCTAAAAGGTGGGTCTGCCTAAAGATACCTTGTTCCCTGGGTGTCCTCGAACCGTCAATAGGCTTAAGATGTCTACTTCTGGCCAACCTCGCCATGCTCCTATTGGCGCTGTCAACATATTTAAGCAAAGATATGTGTTTAAGTTATTTTTCCATGGTGTACGCTTATGGAACTCATGTTAATTCCTCCCGGGTTACTGCTAGAAGCATCCTTGAGGACACAACAAATGCATGTCCTAGGAAGGAGCAAGAATGCTGAATCCCTAGTGGCATATCTTTTTACCGGTATGTCACATCAAGTACAAGAACTGTAAATCCTAAAAGTCAGCCAGCGAGTTTGATGCTTATCACTGTTGTCTCCACACCTTCGGTTGTTTTTCACTTGCATCAACTGCCTACATTGCATAACTTTCATCAGTTCAATCAATCATTTCATCACAGTACAACGTTCCCACTCTGCTTATATGGAATCCACTTGTCGTTATTTTACACTTTGAACCAGTTGCTGTCCTCACTGAATTGACATGGTTATCTTTCGCTACGAGAACAAAAGGAAATAATCATCATAATGGAATAACTCTAGTATAACCCTAATCCAGCGTCCCCGGAATGCCGAATAGGCATAGATCGTTAGAATCGTGTAATCTCCGGGGGTCCCTTGAACTCTACAACAGCCGTTAGCATGCTCATGCGTCACATCTTCTAGGTCATCGGATGAACTTACTCGTCTTCCCATACACGGCATACCAAATCAAACACAGCGACAGACACCCAACAAAAACCACTGAGGCATAATTCATCGACACCTGCGTCACGGGCAACACAGTCGGCATACTAAACAGCACAAGTTGGAATAGAATCCAAAACACCGCGATCGTGTTTAGAACCATGCCCAGCAGCCAGCCGATATTCCACCGGGCCTTCATGACCTCCTCCCGCCCGTTGAGCAGGCTGATCGCGATCGGGATGCAGTACGCCACTGCCAGTCCAATCACGCCGACCGAGGCAAAGGCCGTGAACGCACTGCTACTGCCGAGGTTGATTAGACCCAGCAGCATTTCGATCGCCGTGACGAGGCACAGTGCAGGGATCGGGCTGTCATTGATCGTCTTAGACCAGATCTTCGAGAAGGGTATGGCGTTGTCTCGGGAGAAAGCCCACGTGCACCGGGATGCAGTGGTAGTAATGCTGATCGAGCAAAAGATCGAGACAAACAGCACCATGATCATGAGGACGAGGGCACCCGCTTGGGAGTCGGTCACTTTGAGAAAGATATACGGCAGTGCCTGTCCGTAGGGCGCGTTGGTTATATCCAACAATGGGGGAAGGGTAAAGCAGATGGGCAACACAAAGATGAGAGCTGCCACGCCGCCAACAACCGTCACCAAGCTGATACCCTGAGCCATTTGGATTTCCGGATCGGTGCATTCCTCCGCCATGGACGTGACCATACCGATGGCGGAGAAGGTATACGCGGGGGGCAGCAAGCCGACGAAAAAAGCGAAGTTGCCCCACCCTGAGAGACTGGGATCGAATGAACCCAAGGCATCGGCGGCTGTGTGGCGCCCCGACTTAGCGGTGATGGACAGCGTGAGGAGCACGACGACACAAGTGACCAAGCTGGCGGCGGCAGCGACGGTGTCGATAAGCGGCAGCATCTTGTCACCAACCGCGCAGATGGTGAACGTCAACAGGCACAGGGCGTAGAAGATCAGCAGAAGCTGCCAGTCCGCGGCTTGCCAATCGGGCCAGAAGATGGCGATAGTCGCGGCAATCATGGATGCGAGCCCGAAGTTGACAGACAAGGTGATGGTCCAATTACCAATCAGCCAAATCCAGCCGGTTATAAAAGAGAGGAGAGTTCGAGCGCGACTAGACTGCGCCAGCTGGTAGGAATAGTAGTAGACGCCGGAGGAGGTCGGGTATCGCGAAGCCAACTCGGCCAAAGACAGCGCAATACAGGCATCCAGGACAAGGACGACGATCAGGCCCACGAACAGGGACAGCTGCCCGCCGCCGTAAATTGTGCTCATCAATGAGCTGCCGATGCCGTATGGGATGGAAGCAATCGACAGCGACATAAAGAGGATGGTCGACAGGCTGCGGGTCCGGCGTAATTGTGGTGTGTACCCCAGGCTGTGGAGTGTCTCATCTTGCACCGTGCCAACATTCTGCGTTTCGACCTTGTTCAAGGAGCCCGTGGTATGCTTTTCTTCTGTGGCTGTCATCCTTGGAGTGTTGGGTGGGCTCAAGCTGTCAAATTGTGCTTTGCCCATTAATAGACAGGTTCAAAACAAAAAAAAAAAAAAAGGCAGGAGCACGAGTAGCACGATCCTCTTGCATCACGACGGCCCAGGACGTGTCATAAAGCCCCGACAAGCCTTTGTATACACCGCTCTTATCTTTGGTCCCTTATCATGTTCCTTTGAATCCTGGCTATCTCGGGGGTGGACTGTCACATAAATCTCGGTCTAACCCTAACTTGGAAAGTATTTCGGCCACAGGATGATCTATGACAAGGGGGTCTGACGAATCCCCGTCTCGTCCACCGAGCTAATCCAATATTCGGTAAGCTCGTATCTCGAGTCTGGGGTAATGCGCATATTTGCCGCACGAATGGCACGCTAATTCATGATCTAGGTCATTTCAGGAAAGTAGCTGGACCATGGCCATCCACGGCTGCAGAAAAAGGCATCACGCGCAGCATCGAGACGCATGGACTCATTTCTCCCTTGGGCCATTACCGGGATCAACAGGCGTCTGTGATCAAGGCAAGCGGGGTATATTAATCGGGACGATGCTTGTCTCTCCAGGGAACGCAAAGCCATCTTGCTTGATCTTTTCCTTTCATCCTCAAATTTTTCCTCTTTCCCACAGGATAGCATAACCTTGACCAACACCGAATCCGGATTCTACACGAGACCCTATTCCACTATGTCGAGCCCTCAGTTCTTCAACTACCCCGGCACCGAGGCTAACTCCGAGAGCTTCCACTACTCCCAAGCCGTGCGAGTGGGCAATACCGTCAAGACCTCTGGACAAGGAGGCTGGGATGCGAACGGTTCCATCACCCCAGACGTCGAAAAGCAAGTCGCCATCGCTTTTGAAAATGTCGAGAAGGCGCTACAATCCGTTGACAGTCGGCTGTCGTGGCAGAACGTGTACGCCGTGCGCAGCTATCATATCAACGTCGAGCAGACCTTCGACGTGGTCACGGCCAACTTCAAGCGAGTCATTCCGAACCACCGCCCCATCTGGACCTGTGTGGAGATAGGCAAGCTCGGTATTGAGGGGATGTTGATTGAGATCGAAGTGGAGGCGGCACTGCCGAATTAGTGGATAACGATCCAGTCAATCCTGGATGTGGCAAGTCTACCTGATTGTTGTTTACTACCAATGTATTTATTTCGCGAGATAAGAACAAATCTATAAGCCGAACCCATGATGAAAGACCACGGCTATACTGTTAAACCCTTACATCTGCTTAATGACTGCACCTGACGCCTATTATCAATACTTTTGTATAATGGATACCAAAGGGGGAGATATGTTTGATCGACCACGGTTGAGATGATCCTTGAACCCCACATGGTAAACCAAATGCCGACACGGCTATGATAAGCACTTCGTTTGCCCTCCGATATCCGGACATACCAACACCCAGATTCCAATGTTTCCCCACCGTTTCAGATTTCTATCAACATTTCCGTCACAATAGGAGGGAAGTGGAATTCACCGGGTTGGACCTCTCGCCTATCCTTACCCCGCACCAGTTGACCATTGGCGTGCGCGGTGAGCAGGGATCCGCACGACCCACCAATGCGGGGCTTCGGCATCCAGAGAGGACTCGCTGCTGGAGAGAGGCGTGATGGTTGTGGCACCGAAGATACGGTCCATTGCGAAGGGGTGAGTCGTCTCATGATATTCTTTGCGGTCTAGTGGTAATGGCCATATTCTTAGTTCGCGAAGAATCTTGGCCACATCTGTCCCAATTAGGCAAGTCGATAGGCCATGTCTCAAATATCACTCGAAATATACAATGTTCGACATCGACTCCAGAATGCCTCATCGAAGGGTGACTTAAGTCAAGGGGTCGCTGGGGGAGTGTCGTTTACATATAAACCCATACCGTAGACCATCCGACTGAGATGAGCGATAATCTTGCAGCATCAACTTCTCATTCCCTACCCTCTCTCTAGAATGGCATCACCAGTCCAACTGACCGCTCCTAATGGAGTGAGCTACACCCAGCCTACAGGTGTGCCACTCGTGATCAGCGAACGATCGTTCCCACTTATTGACTGTCCTCCACTCCAGGTCTCTTCATCAACAATGAGTTCGTCCCTGCGTGCTCCGGGGAAACGATCGCGACGGTGAACCCATACGACGAATCAGTCATCGCGTCGGTATCCTCTGCAGGATCGGAGGATGTGGACCGTGCGGTTTCAGCGGCTCGCGAGGCTTTCCAGAACCCCGAATGGCGGTCCCTAGGCGCCTCAGAGCGGGGTCTGCTCCTCCTCCGGCTGGCTGACCTGTGTGAGAAACACGCGGAAACCCTGGCAACGATCGATGCATGGGACAACGGCAAACCCTACGACTCGGCCCTGAACGAAGATGTCGCCGAGGTCATCTCCGTCTTCCGATACTATGGCGGGTGGGCCGACAAGATCCAGGGCAGGACAATTGACACCTCGGAAGCGAAGCTCGCCTATACCAGACATGAGCCGATCGGCGTGTGTGGACAGATCATTCCTTGGAACTATCCCGCGATGGTGAGTAGCTCGTTCCGGGAAGAAGCCGCAGGAAAATTGTCTAATTCATTGGTAGATGGCAGCGTGGAAGCTGGGCCCGGCCCTGGCGTGCGGAAACACCGTCGTCCTAAAGGCTGCCGAGCAGACTCCCCTGTCCGTCCTTTATCTAGCAACACTGATCAAGGAGGCGGGTTTCCCCAAGGGTGTAGTGAACATCCTGAACGGCGCTGGTGGGGTGGCTGGCGCTACCCTGGCGAGCCACGTGGGCGTGGACAAAATTGCCTTCACTGGCAGCACACTCACCGGTAAAGCCATCATGAAGGCGGCTGCGGTGAACCTCAAGGCGATCACACTTGAGACTGGCGGCAAGAGCCCCCTTCTCGTCTTTGACGATGCGAACCTAGACCAGGCTGTCAAGTGGTCGCACGTCGGTATCATGAGTAAGTGTCCTGCTTGCATGTCCATCGAGAAATGACACTGATCCTGGCATCAGGCAATATGGGTCAGATTTGCACCTCGACCTCTCGCATCTACGTCCAGGATAGTATCTATGAGACCTTTGTGGAGCAGTTCAAGAAATACACCGTCGAGAACAGTGTCGTCGGCAGCCAGTTCGACCCCAAGGTCAACCACGGCCCACAAGTGTCGCAAGTCCAACGGGACCGGATCCTGCGTTACATCGAGGCGGCCAAGTCCGAGGGCGCGAAGCTGGTCCTAGGGGGTGAGACATCGCAGAGCGACGCCAAAGGCTTCTTTGTACAGCCGACGATCTTCAAGGACACCAACCGTGACATGAAGGTAGTGCGCGAGGAGGTATTCGGACCATTCGTAGTCATTGAGTCATTCAGCTCCCAGGAGGACGCGATCAAGAAGGCGAACGATACCGAATATGGCCTTGGCGCTGCAGTATTCACAGAGAATATCACCAAGGCGCATAAGGTCGCCGCGGCCATCGAGGCAGGCATGGTCTGGGTGAGTGTATCCCTTGGAAGATGTGTTGGAGCATCTACTAACCTTCATACCCCTCCAGATCAACAGCTCGCAGGACTCGCACTATGCGATTCCGTTTGGTGGTTACAAACAGAGTGGTGTCGGACGCGAATTGGGCGAGTATGCCCTTTCGGCATACACGCAGGTCAAGGCCGTACATGGTAAGTTTTTTTTCGCGAATTTTTTGTTTTGTTCGCTTGCTGACGTGCATTTAGTCAACCTTGGAACGTGGTTGTAGGTGTGTTTCTGTTGGTTTTACTTGCTGGATGTCGCCGGCTAGCAACGTGTGTAATATCCTTAGATGAATAATGGACCTTGGTGCAATTTACAGTCTGACAAAAGGGCATTGTGGTAACTATGTTGTCCTGTAATCGGTTGAGCTTGAGAGAATCTCTGAGCTGTAGGCCGTAAACGCAACATCTAAGGTTAGATGTTTTCATTTGACACCATACTAAACCCTGATGGCAGAACGCTTGAAACCTTCGATTATAGAATTTGGCCGATAGTACTTCTCTACTATTTGATATGTAATTTGGACCATACCAACCCGCACAAATATATATTGCGGGTGCAATGGAACATAATACAGGAGCGAACTATACTTTTTCTGATTGTTGTAAAAATCATACCATCTTTTACTGTGTAGAAGGGAGTGAATATCACAAAGCCATGGTACGCTCCCTTAGCTGATCACAACAAAGTGTCCATACTTATATTCACGATCTCTACATCTTCCCCTACCCCCTCTCTGACGTCATTATAGTCTTTCCTCATTCTAACTTTATTCACTAACACTACCAGTTGCATACAATGAAGGGTTTCTATGTCCCCTAATACCCCTCTCCCACGACCATCCTGTGTGTCTTGTGTTCTATGGGATAAAAGTCACATCTGTCACCTCCTGTCCGGACAATTAATCACCTGTGAACAGTGTCTATTTTTGCAATAGAGACCTCTAAAACTACCTGGCTCAAGTACGGACGAGATACATATCAGGAAAGCTGAAAGATGTCAGCAAATACCTCATCGTGCATTCTCGGCCACCGCCCGAGAGTTTAACCCGGGCAAACTCGGCATGGAGCAGAGCAAGCCGATGGATAAACCTCGTGTAAATGGCGCAGGCATCCCGTGTCGGCTTGCTTGGCAGCGGACCGATTACCGAACGGGGACTGATCTTCCCCGCCTAACGTGGGATGCCCTTGCGGTGCCATTTGCTGGCTACACCTTGAGAGGCAGTCATCACGCATTGACCGTCGGCTGAATTTCCTGTTTCAAGTCCGGATGCCCGGTGGACCGAGAGGACTGTGTCTACTGGGTCCATGGGTGGTCAAATCCATGCCTTGAGGCGTCTGCGGTCTTGGACAAGAGAGGGGAAAGCCCCCCCGGGGTGCGAAAAATCTGGAGATGCTAACCTGTGGGGAGAACAGACGGTGGAGAAGGAGAACCGGGGCGCGTATCTCCAATTGGCCATGACCAGCGGTGATAGTCCGGCCACCATCTAAACGCAGTTAGTAGACCCTGGCGTTGCGTTTGTTTCCACATTCTTCCGTTCAAAATGCGGTAGTTCTTGTCTCTTCTGTCTTTCGTTTTTTTTATACGCGTGTGGGAATGGCCGATCTAAAAAGGCCTCACCCCCCCGGATCCCCAATCCCGATCGCCGTGCTTTTCCTTTCTGCTTGTTGTTCTGCGGTGCTACCTGGCTCTCCATCGACCAAGATCCTCTCTATTTTCACGGTAACCTAGCCACATCCGACTTCAATTACAAACCATGGCGGGCCTGGGGCTTAGTATCGACTGGAAATCCAACCGATGGGCGGTGGTCTACTGCCTGGTGGCCGCAATCGGCGCCCTTTGCTATGGATATGACACCATTTACTATACGGGGATCCAGGGAATGGAATATTTTGCCCGCGATTACGGTGTTAAAGAGTCGGATGGCTCGTACTCGTTGTCCACCACCTTCCTCTCCGTGTCGGCGAGTATCATCTACGTGGGGGAGTTTGTCGGCGCTATCGCTGCCGCTCCGATCAACGACTATCTGGGTCGGCGGGTGGTTTTCCTGACGGCATCGGTCTGCATCATTGTCGGCGCCATTGTGCAAGTGTGTTCGTTTGGCTCGGATCCTGTGTTCTACGTCAGTCGAGTCCTGATCGGCCTGGGGATCGGGCAATTCACCGCCACCTGTCTGATGTACATTGGCGAAGTCGCACCGTCCGCGATCCGCGGTCCGGCGCTCATGTGTTTCCAATTCATGCAGTCCATCTCCCAACTGGTCGGAGCCTGCGTCAACCAGGGGACGGAGGGTATTCAGAGCCCCAACTCCTACCGGATTCCGATGTCGTTGTTGGTGGTTCTTCCTGGAATCATGCTCTTGTGTCTGCCGTTTACCCCGGAGAGCCCGGTGTGGTATATGTACAAGGGGAAGAGGGAGCAAGCGACCAAGGCCCTGCGGCAGATCAACCGCAGTGCGCCCGATTACGACCCTCAAGCGGACATGCAGGCCATCGACGACCAAGTGGAAATGGAGCGCGAACTCGCCAAGGACGCCACCTGGATGTCCCTCATCACGGACCCCATCGAGCGTCGTAAACTCTTCTACGCCTGCGGTGCCATGTTCGTGCAGCAGATCAACGGAATTCAATTCTGGTACACCTATGGGGTAGTTTTCGCCCAGTCCATCGGGGTTGCCGAACCTTTCACCATCAACACCATCATCTACGTGCTCCAGATTATCGCAGTTGGCGTCGCCGTCGTTCTGGGCAACAAGGTCAGCCGCCGGAAGAACTTGCTGGTGTGCAGCACGGGTATTCTGGCCTCGCTGGTGGCCGTCGGCGGATTGGGGACTACTCGGGATGCCGAAGGAAAGTTCACCGAGGGCGTCGGCATTGCCATCGTCGTCCTCGCCTACGTCAACATTGTCTGCTATAACTTCTCCATCGGCACCTTATCCTATTCGATCGCGTCGGAGATGTCGGTCGGACGCAACCGCAACAAGATCACCTCCTGTGCTATCGGCGTCTTCTTCATTACCGTGTGGCTCATGGTGTTCACCAGCCCGTACATGTATTACACCGGGAAACTCGGCCCGATGATCGGCTTTGTCTATGCTGCCACCACACTTTTCCTCCTGGCATACTCGTGGTTTTGCGTGGGCGAGACGGCCCACCGCAGCAATGCGGATATTGAACGACTTTTCCAAGACCGTGTGCCGGTCAGAGAGTGGAAAGATTATGTTATTACGCATGACGAGGACACGACATGGGCGAAAAAGAAGGAAAGCAAGGATGAACAGATAGAGATGGCATGATTTGATGTATATGAAGTTGTCTACATTAGAAATGGATCCAATATATATCTTGTGACGATAATGGGATTTCGTGTGATGATTGGGTCTTTGTTGTTACCCAAGGGGGAAATATGTCTGCTCCACGTGCGACATTGCTTTCTGACTGCTCATTCCTCCCACTCTATCTCCAACCTCCTCTTATTCCGTTCTTCCAAATATGACCCACGCTCCTCTGTCCTCATCGGAGGACGCTAGATATTAATGACACCCTGCCAGCTGTGTTCCTAAATTTCCTAAATTTTGATCGGGCAACACGCTGGACTTCTGTTCCGGGACCCTTGAAAACAATGACCCTTGCGGCATACAAAGCAGCGGTTGTCGCTACCCTTGGCTGGACAGCACTGGCATCTTGCCAATGCCTCTGCCTCCCCGAGGATCGTTGTTGGCCGTCGAGTTCGCAGTGGGACGCACTCAACGCATCTACTGGCGGCCGACTAATTTCCACCGTCCCCCTGGGAAGGCCGTGTCACGATCCTCACTATGACGAAGCCGCCTGTGTTGACTTGCGTAACAAATGGAATGTTCCCTCGACTCAGTAAGTCGCTAGACGTCCCGAAAGTCGATGCAATCAAGTCCTACTAATGATTGATGAGTTACGTCTCCTCATCATCCGTAATGCAGACATATTTCGCCAACCAGAGTTGTGATCCCTTCACACCGGAGCCCCAACCGTGCGAGTTAGGAAACTACGCGAGTTATGCGGTCAACGTGTCATCGAACGAAGACGTGATTGCCGCCGTTCGGTTCGCCGGGGAGAACAAGATTCGTTTGGTTATTCGCAACACCGGACACGAGTGAGATTCCCTATATGGTGCGTATTTGACCGCGCTAAGACATCGATCACAACTACCAGCTACATGGGCCGCTCCACAGGAGCCGGAGCTCTATCGATTTGGACCCATCACCTGAGTGAGATCGAGTATGTGGAATGGTCGGATATCCACTACCAGGGACCCGCGTTCAAAGTGGGCAGTGGGGTGATAGGGGCCCAGGTCTTGGAAGCCGCCGCTGCGCGGGGACTAGTCGTGGTGACCGGAGAGTGTCCGACCGTTGGGCTGGCTGGAGGATACACGCAGGGAGGCGGACACTCCGCCCTAAGCACTGCGTTTGGCTTGGCCGCGGATCAGACTCTCTCTTTTGACGTGATCACGGCGGCCGGGAAACTCGTCACCGCGTCCCGCAGCGAGAACGAGGACCTGTACTGGGCCCTCAGCGGCGGCGGTGCCGGGAACTACGGCGTCGTCGTGTCGGCCGCCATCAAAGCCTATCCTGATACCACGGTCTCTGGTGCCTCTCTTAGAATCTTGACTGCAAACACCACCCGTGAGCTTTTCACGGAGGCTATAACACATTTTCACTCGCTCCTACCGGCGATGACCGACGCCGGGGTAACAGTTATTTATCAGATGTCGCCGCAACACTTCCTCATAAACCCCCTGACAGCCTACGGCGGGACAACGAGCGATGTCCAGGCCATTCTGGCGCCGTTCCTCTCTATCTTGTCCACTCGGGGTATCCCGTATGAGGTCTCCTTCACGGAGCACGACAGCTACTACGATCACTACAACAAGTATATGGGTCCTCTCCCGGGTGGAAATCTCGGAGTTGGCATTTATAACTTCGGCGGCCGCTTCATCTCCCACAGCATTCTTGAATCGCATTCGCGGACGGCCAGCTTGGTAGGGACGCTGCGGAACCTGACAGACCACGGAGCCTTTGTGGTGGGAGTTGGCCTAGACGTCTCCAACAAGACAGGCGACAAACTGCCTAATGCCGTCTTTTCTCAGTGGCGCGACGCTGCCGTCACTCTACAGATAGCGAATACGTGGAACACAACGGCGCCGTGGGCCGATAATATCCGTGCCCAGCTCCAGGTGACTGGCCAGTTCATGCCCCAGCTCGAGGCTGTCACGCCCGGCGCCGGCGCATACCAGAACGAAGCCGACTTCCGTCAGCCTCGCTGGCAGGAGACCTTCTTTGGGTCCAACTACGGGATCCTCAAGGAAACAAAGTCCAAATGGGACCCCGACTCCTTCTTTTATGTCTTGAAAGGGGTCGGAAGCGAAGCATGGTCGGTTTCGGTATCGGGCCGGATGTGCCGGACTGGGTCTTGAACTTTGGGATTGGAATCGTATGGTGAATCGACACGCAAAAGATTTATATTCGGGTATCTTGGGATCCATTTTCGGCATTACTTTGCAGACGCTTCGGTCTGCATGTCGGTCGTACTGGTCACTGGCTCAATTCCCTGAACAACAGCGCTATTATTGGGAATATTGGAAAATCAAGTAATTTTCATGCATCGTCATATCATGACGATATGTCCATTCCTCCTATCAAATGCACTGGACCCTGGGCTTTCCTAAATCAATGCCTGGAAAGTATACCATGTCATAAATTATGTGTCAAAAACTGATCAATGCGGGGCGTAGGTGTTTTGATGTGCCTGCACTGTAGGACATCAATCGGATAAAAAACATATTGACCGCAGATTAAATACCTGGGTGTAATAAGATCATACATCGCTTCCTAAGTTGCTGTGGATTGTACCCTACGTGCTGATCCCCAGTACCTTCTTCAGCTCTGGAACCTCAGTGTGGTCGCGGGTTGTCGTCATTCGGTGAAACCATGTCACCTGCTTCTCCGCGGCATCTCCTTCAGTCGAGCCTGCCTCGACAGGTTCAAATAGGAACTCGCCTCCAATCTGTTTGCTATCCCCGCCCTTATGAGCCAAGCCAGATGGGACATGCTTCAGTGCCTGGACGATGGATTCGATGACTATTCGCGGCATGCTCTTTTTGATATAGTCCGGCTGAGGACCCAGGTCCCAGGTGGAAACCAGGCCCAGATCATGGTATAGCTGCCGGGTGGGATCCGCATAGATGGGGAATCGGCAGCCAGTCTCGCGCTCATAGAGCTCGATCAACCCTGGGTCTCCACAGCCAATGACAGCGATCGATGTCTGGTGTGGCAGAAGGGTCTCTGGAGTGATGGATTCTGATAGGGTGCGAAGGAACTCTTGACAACTCTATTGCAGTGGTGACTTAGAAACTGCGCCATGGTAATACGGGAGAAGACGTGCGACCCACACCACAGAAGAAATGGCGGACAAAAATGACTAAGACCCGTTTTGCCACCCGGGGGCCCGAATACAGGCTCCCGAATTCGTGCGCCTGGCCATCTTTGTCGAGGACTGTACGATCATGAATCGTCCGGATGGTTTCCCTTGAAGGGAGTTCGGAGTTGTCGATGGGCGACGGGTCAGCGCCCTGTTCGGTCGGGGATTCAGCGCTCATGACTCGCTAGCTACCACGGATGTGGATCGATGGTTGTTTCCAAAGAAGGGCGTATCATTGGCAGTGGAGCACCAGGCTGGAAGCGAGATGAGGAGAGAAGGCGGGGGAACAAACAAGTGAACAACAATGGTCGAGTGAGACCGCCTTGGCTGCCCGGGGTGCCCAGGCATCAATTACCCTAACAGGGCTAGACCCCGGAGGCCGGAACGCTCTCCGTCCGCGGTTCAGCCGTCAATCTCGCCCGCATCCCGATTCGGCATCGATCCCGACGATCCGTCCAGATTACGTGCAGGAAGTCATGGCCAATGACATACAATGTATGATTTCCATGGTACCTACCTCAGGCTAGCTAAGCTATATCCCAATCTGGACACGGACAACCAATCTCAAACTGAGCAGCAATTTCTCAAGTGAATCAAAACCGGACATTAAAGCCTCTGATTGCCTACCCACGTTCAGGCCCTGCGCGGCTCGACCATTCTACGCGGTCCACTTACGATGGGGCCCAAACTAGGAACCCTGGTCTCCTAGGCTATCGAACAGCACCTTCTTATCTGGACACGGTCCGTCAACTCCATCGGCGGCGGTGATACGGGATCTGGGATACTTACTACAAGGAAACGGCGTCCATTCGCTTCCATCCTCGGGGAGGTATACCTTGAATGCGTTGTTCACGAGCTTGCTCTTCATCTCTCCCGAGGGGCCCGGGCTGCGTCGGAGGTTAGTGAGCCGACCGAAAACTCGCAGCATGGCGGCCCCGGCTACCGTGACAATTGCACGACCGAGGCAGGCGTGCGGTCCCCAACCGTGATGGATATACAGCTCGTCCGCGCGATCCAGTCGGATGGACTCTGGGTCTGGGAATTTGATAGGATCACGTCCGGCGGTGACGAAATCTGCAAATATGGTATCACCTTTGTGCACGGCGATCGACTTCCCACTGTCGTCGATGGTAGTGTCCACGGCGGCGTTCCGAAGAACCCCAAATGCTGGCGTAGACAGGCGGAATCTGCGAGGATTAGCCCAGCCGACCGTTAGAGGGTTCAGTTCACAGGATTGACGTTCAACATACCCTTCTAAAGCGTATTTCTTGAGCTTCTCAAAAGACACCCTGTCATTGCTGTGGGCGAGACGCTGGATGTCCGGCCAGTGTTTATAGTATGCATCGGACAAATATAGGTCAATCAACTGACCCCACTGGAGATCCAATAATCAGCCGGAATCTAAGCACAGGGAAGCCACGGTCATACTCCTTGAGCTTGTGTGGCACATGCAGCAGCAGCAGCAGTTGGGATGATGGTCCACACGACTTCATCGACCGACTTGCCGTCGTCTAGAAGCCTTCGCACTAACTGCGCGCCATAGTTCACCAGGTTCTCCGGCTCAGATTCGGTACCGAGAACTTGACGAGCAATAGAGGCAAGATGTGATTGCTGATGCTCCACTTGCTTTCGCATGACCTGTCCGAGACGTTCAGATTTGCGCGACCCAACGGTCCGGTGTTTTAAAGACTGTGCTGGGTCGACGTCTAGGAAGACGTAGCCGAAGAGCTCCGCCAGTGCATCGTACATTTCTGCATCCGTATAAGCATCATTATCCGCAGATTTAGTCACGGGAATATTGAAGAAATCGGCTGTAAAGTTCGCATGGGCGAGGTTTCCGATGCTAATGAAATTCTTTTATTACTAGGTTGTTTTTCGAGCGAAGGGGAATAACATACTCTCGGACTGCGTCGACGTAATAGGATGGCCCGGCCTTCTTGCTATACTCCCGAAGAAGCTCCAAGGTTGTTCGTTCATAGTATTGCTGAACCTCCTCCAAACTGTCCTTTGGCTGATATATGCATTTATTGACAAATACCCGCTGGTCGGCATTGGCAGTCGAGTCACCACTCAACATGTAGTCATGTCGTGTGAGTTGGAAAGTATGCGGTCCCCCTGAATTATTATCAGCGATGGTGCTGTCACATCCCTCACAAACGAGTGTCATACATGGAACACGGAATCGCTTCTGGTCACCCAACAACTGAGTTATACCCTGCCATGACGTAACGGCTACAAATGGTCCCTGATATACTGGTCTGTTGAAGTCTAACTTTTCCGCTGTACCCGCTTTTTCGAAAGCCTGTCGGTTGTGCGTCGGTATGGTGAAGGGGTAGAGCGTGTAAAAGCTATTTGGGGGATAGTACCCCGGGAATGCCCTCATCAAAAGCTTGTACATCACATCGCCACTGGCAACATCGAAGTCTGAGCTGGCCGATTGGAAACTACACGGAGTGAGCCATATGATCTTCGTTGTGTAGAGGGGCCGTCGCTTACCCAAAATTGGTTAAATTAACTGGGCTGTAGTCAACGGTATAGAACCGATCTCCCCTTACGAGTGCCGCTGCATCCGACAAGATGGCAACCGATATTGTGAACCCGGGGCATAATCCGGATCCAGGATAAAATGGCTGTTTGGCTTCCTCTGCCTCAATGCCTACATACAGTTCGATGTTGTCGGGGTGGCCATAGAGAGCCTCGACTGAAAGACCTTTAGCTTCCATCTCTAATTGCTCTTGGGAGGCTTACGGGCTTCGGCAACCTCGGGATCCGAGTTAACTTCCACTGAGAATCATAGTCAGTCCATAATCAACAATCAGCTGCTATTATGACATACGAAAGGTCGCATATGGCTTTAGCTTGAAGACCCGGAATTCGTTGAGGGTTGCCAGCCCCCCCCACGACCCTGTTGGATGCCGAGCATCTCAATTGCTCTGAGAACATGGGGGATGTTGCGAGCACCAAATGCACCTTGTGGACAAGTTAGGATGACAGTCTATCACACTGGGAAGATCTGAACCAACCGACCGCACGTTCTGCGCCGTCTTGCAACAGTTTGACCAGATCTGAATCGTGGAAATTGCCATCCGGCGCACGCTTCAAGCCTCCGAAAGTCCACTTTGAAGGTTCCGGATCCAGAGTTTGTTTCCATTTTCTTAACCCTGCCAGGAACTGGCCCACGGATAAAGTACCTAGTGTTAATTCCGTTAGCCTGACGCCATCCGACAGTCGGCTATGATCGGGCTGTACTCGGGTCCACATCTCGCCCCAGACTATCCTTCATGAATGCCTTCGTCCAGGTTTCATCTTGGTCGGTGATTGCCGCATGCCACCGGTAGATCATGTTGAACTCCGCACAGACTTGATTCCCTAGTCCTCGTGGGACCCCTTGGGCATCGAACACCTCGATTCGCCCACGAGGATCTAGCTTCCAATCAGAGTTGACAGGGTTAGTATTCAGATTTAGGATGGTTCTCAGATAATCTCCCAAAATGATATTAACATAGAGGCCACACGTCACGCTACCGGCCAGTCAGCGGTGAGTTCCCTCGATGTTTCCAGGATATGTGTCCAGTGATGCCCTTACAGTCTTCCTGTTTGAAACAGATCATTCTCACGTTTTGCCTCTGCTGTAGCGTACTGTGAGCTTTTGGGGGTGAGTCCCGCTGGCAAGCTGAATCGCCCCGCCTCGTTGATCAAGGCCATCTCTCCGACGACGTAGTTGTGGAAACGGTTGAAGGCAATGAGCCAAGCACTGACCCCAGGTGGTTGACCCAACAGTCGCTGTTCGGAATATGTGTCATTCTTCAGGCGTCCGTCCTTGAATGTCCGGACCCTCAAGCGTCTCAAAATCAGGGCCAACGCGGCCAAACTGACTGACAATGTCTTGACGGGCTTCGTCTAGAAGGCCGATTAACCCTTGATGGGTGCTCATATCCCTGTTCTGCATCGTTTCTTTTGTTTCTCAACTGGTAAGTGGGAGTGGAAGTGCTTGTTACACGCCCTTCATGGCAGCAGGAAACTAAGCTACACTCGCTAGCACATATATACTTAACTGCTATAGATGCCTCAATCACACTTATTGCAGGCTTTGGAGACTACTCGGGAGTAGGTTTAACACTTACGACGTGGCTTTTGGAGGCTGATGCATGAAAAGGCCCTTGTCAATGAGTCTATTTTAACTACGATCTAACCAGCCAAGATAAGCTCCTGCCACAAAAGCCACAATGGTAGCCGTTTACACTAGGACGTCATCGACCTTAGGTCCATTGATTGGATATCCATTGGTTAGCGAGAAAAGTGGCAGATTTGGACACAGAATACATGGATTGGCGGACATATTAGGTCCGTTTAATGCCGCCCACTACTCTAACGATACGATGTCGCATTCACATCGAGATACATTCCTAGCAACGAGTAGAATACATCGCAGAGTCGCAGAGTTGTCGTTCAAATCGACAGCTTGTTCATTAAAGTTCGGTGCCAACTCAATATGGCAAGCCACCGACTCAACGGTTGAACATCAAGGTTCCAAATGCCTGTGACGCCACATTGGTTCATACCATCAGTTTCATTCTTCTACTTTTCGTGCGTTTTTTCTTGCGTTTTTTTCGGACCATATAATAGGGAATCCGTACCCAATACCAACCAATATTGCCTCCTCAAACAGAAACCTTCATGTAATGATCTATCGGGCACCATGGCATCCTACACCGCCAACGAGAAGGTACACAAAAACCCCTTCTTACTGATCCCATCGGACATGGATATGAACCCAGTCCGCCTGATTCTGCAAGACCTCGTGTCGGTCCTCAGGCTGGACAAATTGTTGATATACATTGTGACCCCTCACAGTCCATGTCCATCAGGACCATTGGATGAGCTATATCCCAATTATCCCAACCTCCGAGATATCACTCTTCACGCCATTCTCGTGGCTTTCCAGAGTCTGCTCCTGCTTGCTTCTGTTGTACTCCTCTTCACCTTCTGGTTTCTCCCCGGTATCTTCCCGGGAGGGATGGTCCTCATAGCCTGGGTTGTTACCGTGGCAATATTACGACCGCTAAACGGACAGCCGTCAGCCGACTGTCAGGTCGGGGTGCCTGAGAACGGCATCTCCCCAGTCAACGATGAATCGGAATTGTGGTTTTTTATCAATGGGATCTGCACTGGGTAGAGCTGCTCACTTCGTGATTCCGGTGACCAAGCTGATGTTCTATGCAGACGGTCGTGGTTGCAATCGAATCTAACCTTGCTAGCCAATACCTTTCATCGGGAGATAGTCGGCATTCATAATCCAACGTTTGTGGACCTGTTCGCTGTTTCCTGTGATTCCTACACTGCTATTGGTGATTCTTACAGACTATATCCACCAGAAAGGGGTTGATTCTAGACCTCTTAGAATGCCTCGTCCAACGCGACCTCGACTACAAGACCCGAGACATCCGACAAGGGAGGGCCCAGCTTCGGTCAGCGCTGCGAGCCTCGGAAACACGCAAAGTCGTCCTGATAGCCCATTCCCAGGGCGGTATCGAGGTGGCTTCGATCCTGGATTGGCTGTATGGGGAGCTCGCCAACGAGACGCTGCGAAAGCTGGAGATCTATACTTTCGGCAATACGGCCAGGCACTTTCGCAACCCGTACCTACGAGACAATAGCGACGAGCCCGTAATTCAGCACCTCGAGCATTACGCCAACAAGAATGACTTTGTGGCGAACATTGGCGTGCTGCAGTGCACATCCCCGACGGCCAGGTACTCCGCGAACGACCTGTTTTCGGGAAAGGTGTTCCAACAGGACCGAAGTGGCCATCTACTGAACATCCACTACCTCGATACCATGTTTGGCGGGAACCATGAGTTCATGGATACCAAGGTTGAAACACGCGGGCCGTCAAGGTTGGTTGTTTTGAATCAGATTTGGCAATCTCTCCATCGCTGCTGACCGACATGTTTTAGGGAAGGATCGGATGCTGGCGTTTCATCGACGTCGGTAATGGACCTCTCACGGTTGGCGAAATACCGTCATGGGAAAAGTCCTGAAGACGGAGTGGATGTCTACTGTGGTGTCAATGGTGGATGACTTGAAGGCCTAAATTATATGTGGCGCTATGAAGGGATGACACTCAAAGGTCCGTCGACTGGTTAAAATTCGCCACTATCGGCCTGTATTAACAGAAATGACATACTCTACCACAATCTTGATGCTGAGCTTGGAATCAGGCTAGGGTGCTGCCCTACTGGGGCCGGATTGTTTGGACCATGTCATGACGTCAGTATCGATGTAGTCTTTTTAAACTTCCAGTGGAATGCCCACCAATGAACATAAGAGATTTACTTTTTCCCAATGGCCTCTTGATATAATTACCCAGTTTGTTAGAACACAATGACCTTAGTTCTGATGTGGTTCACACATAGTGGATGGCACATACTGTTTGTCTATGTGCTCTTAGGACCACCATGTCCCAATTGATCAAAACTCTGATATTTCACTTAACTAACTCAACTACACTTGAACTATATTAGATCTAGTTCGTAATCATTCACAATATAATAAAATTTGTATACTAGTATAAAAGAACTTTCTTAAACTATTTGACAGATATATATAAGTCTGTCTTCGTGCTTGGATTTATCAATCTCCTTCAATATGTTTCTCAACCTACCATCCTCTAATAGACAGATATCAGGATCATCCATTGAGCGCCATTTGACAATGTTGTACGTAACAATTACACGATTAATATCAATAGTGCGCAATGAATTACTCCACTCAATTATTCGTGTCATGTGCACTCCGTAATGCAGGTTCCCTTCAACACTTCCATAGAGGACTCCAACCTGTGACATATCCGATCGTGCTACCACTAAAGTAATCGTGAGAATAATGGTTGTCCCAATAACTTTAGACAGAAATAGCAGCGAACATGGACAACGGGGAAACATAGCCGCTGGATATGTTAAACGCCATAGGATATATTGGTTACCAAGTGGCGACCTGTTATCTTGCGGGCAAAATCGGCTCCATAATATTCTAAAGACGGGGGTTGGGCGCTGCTATCTCTGTCTATATTTCCCCGTTGTCCATGTTGCCACCATTACCAAAACCTGGATTTCGATGCCAGTCAAAGGCTATTTTCTGGATCCTTCAAGCTACCCATCTTGGCTTGATTCCATAATTGGCCGTGTTAATTGTACTTCCCTTCTTATGACTACTGTGTTACGTAGTAAAGAATCTTGGTTGGAACATATGTCATGAGACATATGTCATTTTTATTCAATCATTGTAAAACTATAACTCCATCTGGCCTTCTTATCAGGTTCCAGAACCAAAATACCAACACCTAAATACATAATCTAACACATTTGAGGGAGATCAACTCAACCGGGCCGTAAGCCAAGACCTGTCTTGAGCTCTGTGGCTTAAACTAGCATTTCCGATCCCCCGGATGGAAAATCAAAAGACCATCATCCCTGTGGCTTAGCCCAGAGTGACGACAAAGGTGGCGCCCGAGGAGCAAGCCTTGGTGTTGTGGTCGTCATCAGGCTTCTGGTAGGTCTCTTTGCAGTTGGCATCGCCCGGCTCGCAGGTCGACGGCTCGCAGCTGGAGTCATCGGGTTGGACGGAGAAGCCGGACTTGACGAAGGCGGATTCGGGGTCCATGTCGATAGAGGAGAGATCGTAGAAGACCTGGTCGCCATCACCGGTGTACTCGAACTGGAGGACGCTGTCCTTGCCGTCGGTGGTGGACATCTTGATGGAGATACCGCCGCCGTTGCTGTTGGTTTGGAACTTCTGCTCGTGGGTGCCACCGCCGCCGGAGAGGTGCTGCTGATCACCTGCGCTGTCGTCGGTGGTCCACAGGTTGACGTCCTGTTCCATGTTGTTGACGATTTGGACGCCGCCACCGCCGCCGCCACCGCCGCCGGAGCTAGGGCTGGCAGATGGGCTGCTGGTGGAGCTGGGGGTGGCATCACGCTGCTGGACGTGGGGGAGGGCCGCAGCGGTCATGGCGAAGGCGCCGAGGAAGAGACCATTGTTGAAAAACATTTTGAATGAAGGTGATTGAAACGAAGTTTGACTCTGAGAAAGGATCTCGAAAGGAATGAATGAAGGTCTGTCTGATCAACAGAGAGACAAAAAGCACAAATGAAGTGAATGACAGTTGGAGGATCAACCTCGAAAAGAGAAGAGAAAGGATTGGTAGTAAAGTGAGTGACTTTGTATTCAGAAGACTGTGCTTGAGAATGAAACGATGGATAGGCAGGATACAGAGGCCTATTTATTGCCCATGGTGGCAATAGATGAGAGGTTTGAGTTGCGTTCGAGACCATGATTACAAAGGCAGGAACAGGCAAGTGTGGAGACCTCGCCCCTCCCCAGATCGAATCTTGAAGCTATCCATCATATACAGAACAAAGGAACAAGGCATGGGCTCTTTTCCATCATCGGTAGACCCGGGGGAGAGAGGAATAGCTCGTTGCCACTCCGAGAAAGGTTCGTGAGTATCGGCCAATTAGGGTTGGTGGGTGGAGTAGCCCTATCCATGGTCCTCGCAATTCCCAGCGGCGTCAGCCTCCTTACGCGTATTCTGGAAAGTTGGCCACATTGGGTCAACGAGGTACAAGCTTTGGCCCAAGCACGAACTTTGTTTGGATCTAACGATAGCTTATGGTACAACACGTTTGCCCCTGGTTTATAATCCGGTGGAGCACAGCGGACCGTAGTCTTGCCCTGGCAGGTAATCCTGGTACCACGAGGTACTCCCGACGCACGTTGGGCAGTAGAAGAAATCGGTGGGGTCATACTTCCTCTTGATAATGCTGAGGGGAATGTAGTGGGTTCCGTAGAAATCCGTCGCCCACAAGGGGTCTCTCCGATCGGCCTGCATGACGCGTTAGCATTTGCTCCCCTCATGGCGGCGGTACCTCTCAGCACGCAGAGAGAACCCACCTCGTTCAAGTAGCTCCCCAAGGATGGGGCCAGACGTCTCATCGCCCAGTTTTTCTTGTAGGAGATGTCGGCGATGACGGTGTTCTTGGTGGCTTCATCCGCGTCTGCGGGCCATCCCCTGGCAACCACCTCGACCATGTAGGCGGATCGCCACGCTGGGTTCAGCCCCGAAAGTGAATCTGGCTTGGCGACCTGGCCACCACCGTTGAGCTCGACGTTCAAAATCGTGTATTCCCTGGGGTCCCCGGCAATGGTGCCAATCATGTCCCGCAGAGCCTTTCGATCGTTGGCGAGCGCCTTCTTATCAAACATGTGGGAGGTCAAGGCCGAATTCCCCCCACCGGTCGCCTCGCTATTACCAGACATGGCCTTGTAGTATGCGGGATAGCTAGGAAACTCAAACCAGTCGACTTTGACGAAGAGGGAGGTGCCGTTGTATGTTTGTAACTTGTCAAGAACCGGCGCGAATGCTTCTTCGGCGTACTCCCTTGACTTCCCCATCAGGGCAATGGCGTGCACGTATCCGACGGTCTCGTTACCAGCCAGGGGCTGGGGAGCATTGATCGACCACTTACCGTATCCCGAGAACCCTGCGTCGTTAATGGCAGGATATTGCTCGTGGACATCGGTGATGGCTTCCAACAGGAGATCAACGTTGTCCGTGAGGGGGAAGATGGCCAGCGACTGAGCCACGACGGACTTGGAGGGATAGGCCTTGATCGTCATGGACAGCACGATGCCGTAAGTCCCGCCGCCACCTCCACGGAGAGCAAAATACAGATCGGAGTTCTGGCAGGCACTGGCCGTGACCGTGGTGCCGTTGGCCAGGAGGACCTGCGCATCGAGGATTTGATCGGCAGCGAGACCGTAGTCCCGACTCGCTGGGGAATGACCTCCTCCTTGTATATATCCGCCAATGACACCCACGGTCTGTCCACATCCGAATACACTAGGTCAGTGATGTTTGGAAAGACTTATGAGGGGGGTCCTACCGGGTCGCCCCCACCGACAACCGTCAAGTTCCGGGAGAATGCTTCACTGTATACATCTTCCCAGACATAGCCACCGGCGACGTTAATGGCGTGGCCATCCCAATCCGACGCGGTACACCCCTCCGGTGGCTCGTACTTATCATGGACCTTGACGCCATTCCGCATATACTTGATCCAGACCTGCAGGGCGCCATAGCCCTCGGATCTATAGGACAGTCAATCGACACCGAGTTCTCCTCCCGAGCTGGCCAACCGTCGGGGTACTCACTTTCCAATGAGGTCATGACCAGTATTTCGCAGGACAAAGCGGATATTCTTTTCCTGGGCGAATTGCAGGCCCGCGACAAGCTCCTCGCTCTTGGTGGCATTGATGGTATAGACAGGGGCGGGGCCGAGGATGCAATTGCCGGGCTCTTCCCCAGCACCGACATCGACCAAGGGGCAGGGATCGTTGGTTGGATAAACATATCCGACGGGCTGCTCCGATTGAAACCGAGAATCGTACCAGCGGCGGTGCACCTCGGCGCATTCCTTCTCGTCGTAGTAGGTGCCCGGGTAACAGGAGATGGCCGGGGGGGTGTTGCGGATCAATTTCCCTGAAACCGAGGAATTCAAGCTATTCCACGTTTCTACGGACGGCCAACAGGAGCTCTCTGGAGTCTACCTAGAGGTCAGATCAGACCCAGAGGGTTATGGAGAGTTTGTTTTGGTTCCCACCACCTACACATTTGCAACCCCCAATCCCAGTCGCGGAGCCCAGTCCACTCAGAGCGGACACGATCAAAATTTCCAGCCTCATCCTTAAACTCGAGGAAAACACGGGGAAAAGAACGAAAAGAAAGATAAAACAGAAACCGATTGGATAAACGAGTGGATCAGTGAGTGAATCAAAGGGTGACAGACGCACGAAAGAAAGAGAGAAAGAGACTCGCGGCCGGTCTGACGGCTAAATGTATGCACTACGTGCTGTTCGCTCGCTACTTATACGGATCCGTCTTCAGGGGAGATGAGGCACTACGGCGACCGGTGGTCTGATCTACGACTGCGACTAGCGATGGTGCGGTCCTGTCTTGGATCGTTTAGTTCGACCGATGGATATATATAACTCCTAAATAGCCAGTATCTCCGATGGCACAGCTCTTTCCCGGGGGGTCCCTCGATATATCCCGAAAGCAAGGGACCAGGAGGTCGCGGTCTCCCATCGCATATATCCCATGCCGGCATTAATCCTCGTTGCGAATTATTATCCTGAGACACCCTGTTCGCTTACGCGGGAAGGAGCATCTATTCAAGGTAACCTCATCATTGATCCCTGTCCAGACGGTCGTTTTGGTGGTTGCGTCTCATTTGCCGATCCTGGTTAGGGCATCCGCTAAGTGACAAGCGACCTTCGCCACAATGCGGACTGGTTCCTCCCACGGGTCAATTTCTCCACCTACCCCGTTCCAGCCAGGATGCAGCCTATGACCGACAGGAGTTTGACGCGAGTGGGCCACCCCGAGGGTCTCGGACCCAAGTTCCATCACGGACATTGTGTCCTGTGCTTGCCCCCGGCGGAACCCCGCTCTATCTAGAAGCGTTCATGGCTTCTGGTCCGCGATCTGCCAGCAGTTTCATCCCGAACTCTATGGGTGTGTATCATACACAATCCACGGTAGATGCTCGCTCGCTGTAACCGTCCACGAAGATCACCTAGGTCCGGTGGACATGGCCGATAACCTCCGCGGCTTTTCACCCTACTTGTGGCCCGCCCCTGCATGTCTAGGTTCATACTGTCGGCGGGCGCCCACCAATACCATCCCCGGTCATTTCTCTCTTTACGGCGATCATGGGAGTAAATCCGAAACCAGCACGGAAATTTCGGACGCCATGGCGTCCTTGTTGTCTTAGGACTTGTTCCTGGGGTGGAAGGATGCTAGGATCCCCTCATCCCGGCCGCCCACCCTCACACATGCACATTAGACTTCGCCCGACGCCCGGAGATGCGAGTGAAGATGGATGATACCCTAGAAGAATGCCGGGGGCGCTTATCTGGAGGAGACGGTAGTCTGAAGTATGTAAGATGGGGAGCATCCAACTTTACCGTCCCACACCGGCTGCTGGCTTTATCTCCCCATGCACTCACGATGGCTGCTACTGGAACCACACAGCCCATCGCCAGTAATCTGTCGCCGGACGGCCTGATTGCTGTCACTTGGATTGGTGTCGGCCTGGGTGTCTTGTTCGTGTCCATCCGCCTCGCCATCCGCCTCAGTCGACTGAAACGGCTGTACCCCGACGACTACTTTGTCCTCGTCGCGCTGGCCTTTTTGATCATCAATGCCGTGCTGCAGACCCTCCAGACACCGCATCTGTACTACACAGCCCTAACTCCGACGGGCCCGAACATCGCGGACCACGTGGTGTTGTACAAGAAGTATGAATTCGCCATCATCGGCATCTTCTGGACTGTGCTCTGGAGCATCAAGGGCTCCTTCCTGGCCCTGTTTTGGATGATTACGCAGGGTCTGCCCCGGTACATCTGGGCCTGGTGGGTCGTGGCTGGGTTCGTTGTGAGCTCCTATGTCGTGTGTTGGCTGCTGTCGGCCCTGAATTGCCATCCTCCCTCGGAATATTTCAAGCTTGGTACGATCTCGCGTCAGAAATCCTAGCCGTTTGGAGGAAGAGTCTAACCCAAGATCCTTAGGCGGATGTGGCCGGGCAATTGACAAGCACACCTCCTTCATCAGCATCTGTTTCAGCACCGCGGTCGATATAGCGACGGACGTGATGAGTAGGTCCACCTATCCGTCGCCCCCCCCGTCGAACGGACCGCTAATGCAATATGGGAAACAGTCATGGGCATTGGGGTCACGATCGTGTGTGGGACCCGCATCAACCGGCGCGAGCGGCTCAGCCTGGGCGTCATCTTCAGCCTGGGGATCATCATCGTCGCCGCGGCCGTCGTGCGCGCCATCCAGATCAGCGGCAAGGCCTACACCGACATGGCCGGGGTCGCCATCTGGAGTGTCGCCGAGTCCAGCATCTGTAGGCCTTCTCTACCCCCACTACCGGCGCGAAAGAGATGCTCTTATCTAACCCTCTACCAGCGGTCATCATCGGATGTCTTCCCCCGTTCAAAATCTTCCTCTCCCGCCATCCCTCCTTCGCCCCGTACACGTCCGGGTCAGCCGGCCCCTACCTCCAAAGTGGAGCATCCTCTACTCCCGCCAAACCCCGCGTGTGGAGCGACACGCCCGTGGCCCCGCCTCAACGCGGCTTGTATCAGAATCTCGACTTCGAGCTTCACTCGAGGAATACGGACATTGTCGGGGGGGCAGGCGCCCGGGTGGTCCGGAACACCACGCTCCCAAGAGAGAGTGTGGACTCGGGACGACCGGGCGAGATTCGCATGGTGAAGGAGTTCGTAAGTGTCCTCTCCCCTGTTCCTTCCGGTGCCGGACCCGGTTGTCTTGTTGACAGTGCTGATAGACATAGAGCGTGATCACGACACGATAATGACCGGTTCGGGTAGGATAGAGGGGTATATACACAAAAGGGAATTTAATTTAGGCGTCCACATATGCGGGCGTATGAGTACAGGCATGGCTTTCATGGTGTCAGTAGCGACCGTCTATAATTTACACTTCGCAAATACATTGGTAATCGTCCCGGCTTCATAGAAAACCATTCATACCACCGCCATCAACATCGCGCCCAGGACCACCGCCGCCATCGCCGACTGCGTCGCTGCGCTCCGTCCGGCCCCGATTCGCCCTTGTCGGACCCCGATTCGTCCTCGCCAGACGACTGATTCTCATAGGGATCCGAGTACTGGTCGACGTCGTCCTTGTCGATCCGCACAATGCTGTATTCACCCGACACGACCCCGTCGTCATGCCACACGGGGGCGCAGAATTCCACCGCCGTGCCGTTCCGCACCGCCCCGTACAGTTGTCCAGCGTGCCGGAGTAGCAAAAGCTGGCGGCTGTGAAGTTCAGATAGCCCGACTGGCCGTTATGGAGGGAGCGCGTTTGGTCGATGGCGCCGATGACGGATTGATTGAACGACGGGGCGGGCATGTCGGAGTCTTTGCTCACGGCTTCCTGCACCAGGTCGGCGTAGGTGTGGCCCTGCAGGGTGGTGATGTTCTTTGTGGCCTCGAACTGGGCGTCGCCGGCGGCTGTCAAGGCGCAGGTGCCGTTCCCTTTGGTCTCGCATGTTTGGGCACCGCTGACGCGCTGCGGGGGTAGTCTGCCGAGGGTGGGACGCTGGTGGTCCCAGTTGAAGACGGTGCAGTTTCCGGAGTCACCAGCGGAAGACTGCTGGGCCAGGGCTGGGCTGCATAAAGCCAGTAGATAGGTCATAAACACGGTGGAATGCATGGTTAGATAATTTGGATTGATTCTGCAAGTCCGATCATGCTGAAGAAACGACCTCGTATTTATGTCCGACCCTGACCAGACGGCTGGCACTCGGCATCTATCCGATACCCCAATATCGTCATCATGCCATGTCCCGTGGCCAGCGCGGTGGCTTAGGCTGCTAAATGGATGCAACGATCAGGCCGCAGCGGTGTCATACTTGGCGTAATCGGCCATTCCCAGTAAACACCGTGGTGGGAGATGCCCCAGCCCTATAAGCCCCAGACGGGGTTGGTTTCTCGACAAGGGAACATTAGCACTTGATTGGGTGGGAGAGCCTTTCCAACAGGGCGTAGTTTCGAAGATGGGGTCCAAATATATAGATTTTACTGGATAGTAATAATATATATAGGCCAAGGCCCGCCATCTTGGCAGTGGCTTAGAGAGGCCGGCAGACGGGGCGCTCAACGCAGACTTCGCACTTCTTGGCGCATCCTTCTGCCATTTTGCAAGTGTACGGAATAGGTGTCTGGTTGGGACAGTGCAATATTTGGAGTCATGTTGGTCAACAGATTTACATGCGACCTTGAAGGGAGAACTTGTAGTGTAGTATCTCAGATGAATTCGGCTTCTGGCCCCTACACATCACCCGATGTACTAGCTAACATGCAGTGATATGGTTGATATATATAATTGGATTGTTCCCAGAAGGTTGTATTCATTGCAGTCACTGATCATAACCTCTGACTGGATCAACATAGCGGCATGGTTTGTCGTATCAGTGAATAAAATATATATTAAGAGAGAAAATCTGGTTAGTCTACTAGTTACCCCCACTGTCAGTCTTAACAAGTTTCCACTCCTCCTCAATTACATACTACCCTTCTACTAACTGGTTATGAGCTCAATGATCCTAACCTTTCAAATGAATTGCAGCATTACACATTCCGAGTAATTATGGAAGGGGATGTATGCAGTTAAGGCATAATATACATACATTTACCCTCACTTACTCCCAAATTGGATTAGAATACTGCATGGTTGAATAGGCTAGAGCGCTCGATACATTGCTGATGTTTAGTAGACACCAGGGCGTTTATCTGCTGTGAAAAGACATGATAACATCCCTTTTATTGAAGTAACCCCCACCCTTGACGAACATTGACAAGGTCGCAGCATCAACTGCTTGGTTAGTCAATTCCCACAGAACTTGAGCCTCTTGATGACCTCGGTTTTGCTCCATAAAATCTCATAGGGATAGATCTTGCCCAGTACAGCACAAGCACTGGACAGGGCTGTTGATGAATGCAAGGCTTCTCCAAGGAAATCTGGCTACTACTGCAACATGTTCTGAATGTAATAATTGCATTTTCCGCGTTGAGATAGGGTAAGAAAGTACTTGCTATATATCAGAGCAGTGGTCGAAGATCTGTCCTGGCAACTGCTAGATCAAAGTTACGCCGATGATAAGAAGGAATGCCGATCATCTCGGGGTTATTATTGGTTTTCGACTCGGCAGGAGAATTCGCTGTCTTCCTTGATTGCGTAATGGTCATATTTCAGAAGAAAGGGAAGTTTTGGTAACCAAAATGGATATCTCGATCACATTTAGCTTCACATGGCGAGTGTGCTGAGCAGTGCATTCTTGTGCACAAAGAATAGATGATGCTCAATCATAGACAATAAAGATATGAAAAGAGGAAATACCAGCAGCCATACGATTGAAAATTGAGGCGGTAGTTATGGGTCCTATATAGTAGATGACTGAGGGCTGAAAGCAATACGATCTATTCACTGGGAAATCTGCTGGTGATCATGCCCCTGCCAGTCCTTCTAATTGAAGATCTTTGACATCGCTTTCTTCACGGTTCAGATATCAGGGAGAGCTTAGAGTTGGATGTCTTGCCCTGTTGCTCGTAATTAGGTAACCTACTCTTCATATTTGTCGGATACGCATAGACACAAGGAGCGAAGTTAGTCAGAACACAATCCCCAAGCGCTTGGCTTAGTACCATCAGCAGGTTGGATATGAAACCTCTTCGCGCATTCCTTGCATCGTCCCGAGCAGTTCGAGGCTCGAGTTGGGACGGGTGAGGAGGAGCGATCTCAGGCCCACGGCGCGATGCACTTCAATGCATCAGCAACCCGCTCTCCCATTCTTTTCTGCTGGATCTCTATCCGTACCTACAACACATCTACTGAACCACTCCTGATGCCCCGCTACAGCACCCCATAATGGCCATCGCGTGGATCGCCCACTGCCGCAAAAGTCGGACAAGAACGCGAACGGTGCCTGTCACAGATGGCAACCTGTTGACGACTATGGGAGACTGTCCCCGGCAAGGGAATCTGCTGTGGTATCGCTCGATCGGCTACAAATACGGCCTGCAGTGGTTCGTCCCTTGCCTGATCACCGCCTTCGTCATCGCCATCCCTGCCCTCATCCCCCAAATCGCTGTCGGGCAGGCCCATCGCAGCGGGTCTATCATTACATTCAACTGCCGCTGTACGTTGAAGGGGCGGGGCTAGGTCTCATCCTGGTCAATTTTGTCGCGGTCTAATACTCCAACATCGACCTGACCCACATGCTCGGGACCAATTTCCGTGGAATGCTGCAGTTCTTCATGTTGGTGGTAGTGCAGCTGCAGTTCTACTTGGCGTTCGTTATGTTGGACGCGGTCGCGACGCTGACATCGACTTGAGGATGCGGATGTCGTGTCTGGTCATGGTGACCAGTCTGACGGTAGTCTCTTTCAAGTGCCGCCTCCCGCACTAGGTTTGGGTGAGACGTCCGGATGGGATAGATGGCTACTTTAACAACGCGGTCTTGACCTGCGTGGCCATATTGGAACCTGTGAGCAACACCACCGTGTACCGCTGATCAGAAGTAATGAGCTAGACGGGGCTGACTGTGTTCGTGTAGTACAACGTGGGGTACCTGGGGTCAGGTTGTGGGGTCACCGGCGCAGGTTTGGGACTGTACATTGTCTGCACGATTAGATCGATGTTGATCGCGAAGAGCCCGCATCCCCTCCACCCATGGTCTGGAATAATAGCTTCCTACTGCATCGTCTGTGGTTCTTATCATATTCGGGCTTTCCAGATTCGTATCCAGTCAATGACATTGTCGGAAGAACCTGATCGACCGGGCGATCGAATCCGGCGCAACCTGAACCAGATCGTCGGGGAGGGGAAGAACGGGACGATCTTTCTATTGTGGATTGGTGCGGTACATCAGCGCGCCCATCGTTTTGCTTATGTTCATTTTGGCGTACCGCGAGCTCTACAGATTGCTCTTCAATCCGCTAATGACGCGTCGCCCATGCTACTGGGATTGGGGTGCCGCGGTAACACCCCGTGTTTGTGCCGGCGGAACGACGGGGGTGGTCAATGAGCCGGGGACCAGTAGGCCGGGAATAAACTCAGGATGGAAGGCGCCGGGTCCGAGTTTGCGGCCCTCAAAAGGATGTCTCCTGTTGTGACACCGTTCTGCGTGGATTGTCCCGGTCCTGGTTGGGGATGGCCTGGTTTATGTTTACATTGGTTTCCATTGCGCCCGTCGGAGCTTCGGACGGGTTGAAACGTGACCGGCCGATCCAGGGTGACGGGCTGTAGGAGTGGTTGATCTATCGATGCACCCTGCCGACGGAGTTTCCAGGACCTGCCTGGCTTTGATCCTTCCTTTGTTGCAGACCGAACTGGTCAGGTTGAGTCCATCCAGTTAGGGCTGTCGGGGAAGCCCTAACCATCTGGAAGATTCATGATCGCCAGACCGACAAACAGGAGGCAAGCTAGCTACAACAAGAAAGAGACACGGGATCCACCGGGGCATTCTTGAGTCCCAACAACCCGACAGATCAGAGTCAGGGGTTATCTTTGAGCGATAAAGGTCGGGAAGTCTAAGTGATCATCACATGCGAGCCCAGCATTGGCGCTATTCGCAGATGGGATTCAGGAAGACCGTCCAGAAGAATCCTCCCTCCGATCCTTCAAATCCACGGGTCCCTATTTGCACGTGTCACGAGAACTTCACGCGGATTCGAAATTTTCACGACGATTTCCACAGAATCCGAGACAAGCTAGGGATCTCACCTCGACGCCCTTGGCAAACGCCGCGACCCACCGGGCCCGAAATAGGAGACCCGAGCCGCGACTTCGCATTTGACTGGTCAGCCTGTCCCCTTTTCGATTCGTTCTGGTTGGGTCCCTTGACTCTTTTTCCTAGTCAGTGGCGACCGGAGGTTTCTGTAATGGGAAAATTGATCTTCTTGCCCGAGGATAGAGGAGAGCAGGGTGGGAGCACATGAGATGCCAGATAAGATAGCCCTGTTAGAGTAAACATAGCTTAACGGGAGTCTAATGGCGAATGCCAATGAGAGATTCGAGAATATTACTGTCATCCGGTCCATACCGTCGATGACCACAATTTCCGCAGAAAAAGCCAGCCAGAAGATAGGGGAATGAGCTACTGTGACCCGTCATGACCGGTGGATCCCACCCAACGCTTTTGGGGGGTTTGATTGGGATCACCGGCCAGAGGTGGATCCATTTGGATAACATCCCAGGCTTAGCACGTCGATATCAGGTCCACGCTATTAGGCGAGGGCAAAAAAGTATTAAGAGATATTAGAGAAAAAAAAAAAAAAAAAACAGAGACTGTTCAATTCGGGCCTAGCAGGGTCCAACGGTCAAGAAATAAAAAGAATGAAACGAGACCCTTCCCCGTCCGTCGTCAAGTTACGACTACATCCTTCGCCATGGCCACCCAAACCTCCACCATGGAGTCCAAGCCCGTGATGGTTTCGCTCAAGACGGAGCAGCCCACGCTGGGGGCCCTCCGCGACGCCATTCCCGACCACTGCTTTGAACGCTCGGCCACCCGGTCGCTGCTGTACGTCGCGCGCGATGTCCTCTACGCGGGGGTTCTCATCTACGCCGCCTCCTACATCGATTCGATCCCCACGGGGTCGCTGCGCATCGTCGCCTGGACGCTCTACACCTTCCTCCAGGGCTGCGTCGGCACGGGGCTCTGGATCCTGGCGCACGAGTGTGGCCACGGTGCCTTCTCGCCGTCAACGCGACTGAACAACTTCGTCGGCTGGGCGCTGCACTCGGCGCTGATGGTGCCCTACTACTCGTGGAAGATCACGCACGCCCGCCACCACCGCTACACTGGGCATCTGACCCGCGACACGGCCTTCGTGCCCTACACTGAGAGCGAATTCATGGAGAACCGGAAGCTCAGCGTGCTCGACCAGGTGCACGAGCTGATCGAGGAGACCCCGCTGGCCACCAGCGTGGCGCATCTGCTCGGCCACCAGCTGTTCGGCTGGCAGATGTACATGTTCCAGTACGTGTCGGCCGGCAAGGAGAGTATCCCGGGGGTGGACGATGTGGCCAAGGCGCGCAACCTGTCGCACTACGCACCGAACGGCACGCTCTGGGTGCCGGGCCAGGGCTTGCTCATCTTCCTGACGGATATGGGGCTGCTGATGACGGCGAGCGTGTGGGGATATGTGGGGTGGCAATTCGGGTGGCAGAAGGTGGTTCTTCTCTATGTGATTCCGTACTTCTGGGTGCACCACTGGCTGGGTATGTCTTTTTCGTTCTTTCCTTACTATGATGCAAATACTGACAAAAACAGTGGCAATCACCTACCTTCACCACACGCACCCGTCCGTGCCCCACTTCTCCCCCGAGAAGTGGTCGTTCACTAGCGGCGCACTCTGCACGATTGACCGTAGCTTCGGCTTCATCGGACGCCACTTCATGCACGAGATCATCGACTACCACGTGGTGCACCACCTGTTCCCGCGTATTCCTTTCTACCACGCGCAGGAAGCGACGGAGGCGATTCAGCCGCTGCTGCAGGAGCACTACCACGAGACCAAGGACGAGAGCTTCCTCAAGTCCCTTGTCGACACCTTCCACCGCTGCTGGTATGTGTCGGAGGATTGTGCGCCTGGGGAGCGCCAGGAGGGCGTGTACTGGTGGCAGACGGGCAAGGCCAAGAAGCAATGACCGGTGGTTTGGTTGGGTGTTCAAGGAACACATTTGACGCTGATAGAAGATGATAGACGGATTATATACTAATATAGAGGTGTGCTAGCCAGTATCACCATGAATATAGACAAGTATACAATGACTACTATTTATTAATTCAAACTATACAAACTTGGTATCGGCATGGATATAGAGATCGGGTATCGCTTCATTATATTACGTGTCTGTAATAGACGGATATCGCTATAATTACCAGAGACAAACAAAGTCACGCCAACTCGAACCGCTCCGACGGCTTCGACTTCCCCGGATCCGACTCGGGCGCCTCGTAGATCGTCGAATTGTGCATCTCGTGCGGGCGACCCTCACCGGCCAATTCCCTCGGATTCTTCGACTCGGACGAGAGCGGCGGTCTCTCGCCGGCCGCCGCGTCCTGTGCGGCGAGCGCCTGGGCCTGTTCCCGTTGCCGACGACGCCGTCGGAGCAGCCACCACGCTGCGGCCACCGCTCCGATTAGGAGAAGACCGCCGACCCCGGCCCCGACGCCCACGCCGACTTTGGCGCCGGTGGACAGGCGCGCGGCGGACGACTCTCCTGCGTCGCCGAGATCTACCCCCCAATGGTCAGCCCAGGAGCTCTCCCAAGTGTCGGAGGAGGCGGCGAGGGTAGAGTCATCCGGTTCGATGACGGTCACTTCCGGGGTGGAGGCGACGGCGGGGCCCGGGGCCTGGGCCAGGTACCACTCGCCGGTGCCGGTGTCGTCGTGCCAGTTGGAAGCGATGAAGGCGGCCTGGAGAAAGGAGCGACCGAGGATGACGGGGTCGCTGTCGGAGGGGAAGCAGGGGAAGTAGGAAGTGTTCTTTTCGACGAGCGGCTCCTGCAACGTCAGAGAAAGGAGTGCAAAGGGGACTTTCACTTCGAGCTTGTTGGAGTTGGAGTTGTTGCCGTAGAACTGGAAGCCGAGGTAGGCCGCCGAGCCCACGATACGGTCGTACTGCGGGTTATCGGTGTCCCAGAAATAGAGGCCCAGGCCGGGGTCGAAGGTGACAGGCAAACGCGCGGCGATGTTGTCGCATGTGGATTTGGGGAGGTAGAGGTAGGGCTTGACGGGTTCGAGGTCGGCCTCGAGAGACTGGCTGGTTTTGGGGTCGGAGTGGTCGTCGCGCTGCAGGAGCCCGTCGTAGCTGGATTCCTCGAACGGAGACTCCCCGCCAGCGACGCCGATGGTGATGTCGGTCATTTTGATGCGCAGGGCGCCGGTGCCCCCGGAGTCCTGGCCGACGGGCTGCCGGCTGACATTGCCCAGCACGCGGTTGCGGTCGTAGCCGCCCAGGATCAGGGACGGGGGGACGTCGAGGGCCACGGAGCCGATATGCATGCCGTAGGAGTAGGAAGGCAGCTGGGCCTCGCCGGCGGACAGATGGTAGAGGTAGGCGCCGATCATGTTGAAGCGCCACCCTTCGACGATGTGGTAGCGGCGGGGGGCGCCGATGGCGAGGGTGCCCACAAGGACGGGATAATTCTTGCCGTTGGGGTAGGTCGTGTAGCCCTCGCTGACGGCGTCGAAGCTGATGTTGCGCGTGGGTTCGGTGGCGCCGATGACAACACTGTCGCCCATGACGCGGTGCAGTTTCGTGCCCAGGTTGGTGGCGAAGTTGGTGCTGGTCACCCAGGTGTTGTAGAGCCCGGGGGCATTGCTGGTCGAGCGATTGGAGTCGAACATGCCGGCACGCTCGGCATAGCAGACGTCCGAGACGGTCTTATTGTCGCATGCATTGTCGAGCAGGATGGTGCTGGCCCACCGGTCGCCGGGGTAGAGGTCGATGGGTTGGCGTTTGCTGCCCAGCTCGACGGTGACGGCGTACCACGGACCGTCAGGACCGTAGGTGCGATCGGACCATTTGAAGGTGCTGAAGGGACTAGCGGCCTCGATGATGGGGCTCGCGGAGAGCAGCCATGCGAGACAAAAAGCCAGGCGAGAGGAGACCACCATGATGGTCTTGTGGGGTTGGGCTGTGGGATAAGGAGGTCCGGGGCATTGACAGGTAATAAGGCCCTCCACGAGCCTCCTGCGTCCGAGTCCAGGGAAAACAAAAAGAATAGAAAATAAAATTTCCTGCTCCGCCTGAGAACCGGCCTCAGGGCCAAGACTGCCAGGATTCAGGGACTGGCGAATTGCTGGCGGTTTACGAGGCGACTAGATGAGAGCAGGCATGATCGGCAAGGCTGACTCCCTGTCTGCTAAGCTTCGAGCAATCCACGCTGACGGTCGGATCGCCCCTCTGAGCTGAACAGTCGTGACTGGGTTGGGACTGTGTATAGGGGAGTATTATTGAAGCAGTTGGAATCTAGCATCGAGATGTGTTTGGTGTGGATGGAAGGACGCGATTGAAGCAGTTAGGGTTATACGGATCCCGTGCTCCCCTCGATGTTGGACGCCTGATGATGCCATCCCCGGCTAAGACCGATAGTCGAGACTAACTCTCAGCCACTCGATAGTCAGAAGAACGGTTCATGATCCTGGTGTTTTTAGCCCATTCAAGGTCTAAATATATGGTCCTATAATAGATGAATTAAGCATGTTCCAACTACTACACCAAAATGCCGAACTGCGAACTAGGGCCTGATATGACTGATATCCCAACGGCATGCTTGGTTGACGAAATTTGAGTGTTCTTGGTGTTAAACCCACCAAGAACAGGCGATGTACAAACAGGTACCTTGCCTTATCTTTGAGTAAAGGGTGTATCTCCTGTTGAACCCTGTTGGGCAGTGCTCAACAATGTCATCAACATTGATAGAACAGATAATTCCCGCTACACTAAAAAGGTGTCACGAGACTAATCAGTGGTCTTGGTGGGTAATTTATCCTGTTCTTGGTTTGCGACAGATATTATCCACCCTGGCTATCTATGTGTGTGTGTGAGAGAGAGAGAGAGATGAATCATACTGATTTTATCAGTTTTCAAGATCCTTCCGAGTGACCGACAGTCAAAGAGCCTTGATAGGGCTAGTCAACCGGCATTAGTAGTGTGGTTACAGGGTTGTGATGATCTTGGGTACACAGTAAAGAGATAATAGAGTGATAAATCTAGCAACTCACCTATATATCTTTCTAGCACAGGACTAAAAACTATGTTCTTCTAGTCTCGTATATACAAAATGGCAAGGGGAGGAGAGAGAGGTGCAGTCTGCTGGATATGTCTGAGTGTTAGGATCACATGTATAATCTAGACTATTCTAACGTTGTTTTTGTTATATAAAAGAATATTAATAGGACCAGTCTAATCAAAGTAAGGCCTCGATGATGGCAAACAAGAAAAGGCGATGATAGCGGTGTCGCTTGGCAGAATACCCCTGATTTCCCACACTTTCTTATCTTCTTTCAAGTCTGTTATAGAGATCTTAATCATGACTGAGAAGATTATAGTGTTCATGTCTTCTTTTAAGTCCACTATCAAGATCTCAGTCGTGGCTAAAAAGAGCATGTAGATCTTACTAAGATCTAGAGAAAGGTAAGAAAGGCTTTCCCAGCTCTCTCTAAATTGGCGAGAGAGATCTCAGCCATGGCTTAAAAGACTATTGAGCTTCCTCATATTCTTCCAAGTCTGCTGCGGAGATCACAGTCATGGCTGAAAACAGTGCTTAGATATAGCGGAGCAGTGATGTCACTTTTACTTAGTACATGTGGTCACTGGTGTATGATCTTGATTAATATTAGATAGTGTTACGATTTACTTGCTGAATCAATTTATCGCATAACATTGGCCCTGATGTATCATAATGATATATCCGGTGTACTAATCCACGAACTAATCAACAGGGACTGCATTTTGAGTGAAAGCAAAGGCAAAAGATTCATTGGGTAAAGATATCCACTGCAGAACATTCAGGAAGCCCAGTGCTATTGGGCAGCTATGCTGGTTGCATATTCATTTTCGTAATCACTTCTTCGGCAAATTGCCTTAGCTTAGCGACATCTAACTCAAAGACAGTGTCGGGGTTTGCCCCTGGTGTCATGGCAGCACCGAACAGCTCCCTTTTCGTGAACTGAATCATTTCGGTCGGGGGTGATGGCGAGGGCGCTGGGAAGATATCCTAATAGATATTAGCCTTCGGTCGTGGGTTTGCAATCAACAGATAATCACCAGGGTGCTTGAAATAAGTCTCCCAACTGTGTCCCGGCGCCATACTTCAGCACAGCCCTTGATTCGCCCATTTGATATCGTTGTCCACCGTAACAGGATCACAAGCACAACAGACGGATCTCCGAGCATCCACAAATCTTTATCATTGCGAAGGTGTGGAAAGGATTCTGACCACCCTGACTCGACTACTATCTGCGGTGATGGATCCGTGTCCACTCGAAGGTAATGGTCTGGCTGCTTTGATGAACCGCTGTACATACCCGAGAATTGGTCAAAGGCTAAGACAATGTAAGTTATTAGCGCAACAACATGACCGAAGGACTATGTACACACTGGTCCCAACGCCGCTCCACAACAGATCTGATTCCTGTTCAGTTAAGAGGTCCCTGTATCGCCATTCGACAATGCTGGTGTTTATCCACCGCTGGTGGACGTCGTGTAGACTGATGGGCATGAATTTAAGGCGTAGGACTCTGGTCACCGAGTTATAATTGATCCTACCATCATATTAGTTTCAATATTAGCTAAATAGTTGGCAAAGCGGACGTCAGACCTGGCGCCGCGTCGTTCGGTCTCGGCGTGACCATCCAAGGATCGACAAACGAGACTTCCGTCGTCAGGTTTCACGTTCTCGAATACCAACTCAGTGTATGTCGAGATGTAGGGCAGCTGGTGAGCGATCTCTTCGAAGAGCCTTTGCGCAGAGGGGGGGAGACTCTCAGAGCGAGGTCTTCCCTGGGGGATGGATGTGGAACGGAGACTCATGGTGGAGTTTGGAAAAAAGATCCGTTTTCAGGAGTGAAAGTGGTGAAAGTAGGGAAGGCGTGTTCCTCCAGGCTCAAAAGACGACGTGAGGGAACATGGGGAGTTAAAAGAGTCTTACGATGTGAGGAAAGATCGATGATGAAGGTATGGAAGGTGCAGTTGATTGATATACTACGTAGGAGTGAGGTCAGTATGACCAATGAAAGTGCCTGAACTGATGCCCCGAATACATGCGTGTCTGCCTCAGGCAGGACAGGGACACCTGACCAATGTCCGAAACAGGCTAGGCCCGGTTGGGCTGCACGTGATGGATTACCTTCCGTTCCTGATCAGTCAGACTCTCCGACTCTATACAGGAATCTGTTCATGAATGGGATTTTATTTTGGAAGCTAATGAGTACTTTAACAGCCATGGCTGACAAATGCTATCTACAAGATAGTTACAGAATGCTTCAATCTTCTTCCACTTGATACCCTCTCTCAATGCCACTCTAGCTCGTCCACGTCGAGTAGAGGGATCTGCACAATCCCGCAGCACTATGCCGTTCGACACGGTGAACAGTGTGGCAGCCTCAGCTGCGTGTCAATGGTGCATCAGTAGACCATAAGTCCGAGGTATGATCCCATGTGATGCAGCCACGTATCTCATGATCGTAGGCTCCACGAATGGATATATAAAGTTATATTCTGACACTTCTAAGCACAACAGTCTCTGGCTCTGGGATCCACCATGGGCATCCCATCTATAATCCCCTCCACCCCCTCAAACCCCTCAAACCCCCTCGCCATACTAGGCTTCATCCTCCTCGCCGTAAGCCCCCCTCCCTCCATAGGCTACTACCTAACCGACTAAAAGTCTACCACAACAACAATCCTCTACATAATCTACAACATCTACCTACACCCCCTACGGTCCTTCCCCGGCCCTTTCGCCAACTCCGCCACGCCGCTCCCGCTCTTCCGCTCCATCCTGCGAGGCACCCTCCCCCACGACGCAAAACGCCTCCACGCCCAATACGGACCCGCCGTGCGCATCGCCCCCAACGAAGTAACATTCACCGACCCAGCCGCCTGGAAAGAGATCTACGGCGTCCGGCCGGGCAAACCCCAGCGTCCAAAAGACCTGCGCCATGTATCTGTCGGGCCGAACCATATCCCCTCCATGCTGCGGGCAGATGACCGCACGCACGCGCGGTATCGTCGGGCTCTGGCACCGGGGTTCAGCGAGGGGAGTCTCCAGCGACAGGAGGTGATTGTCCGGGGCTATATCGATCTACTGGTTGAGCGGTTGCGTGCTGCTACAGCTGCAGGGGAGGAGGGAAGTGCAACAGTCGACATAAGCAGATGGTACAACTACACCACATTCGACATCATCGGCGACCTCGCATTCGGCGACTCCTTCGGCTGTCTGCAGAACTCGCGGTATCACTTCTGGGTGCAGGTACTCTACAGCCACTTCCACAACGCAGCGTGGGCGAATGTGCTGAGACGGATTCCGTGGGGAGAGAAGCTAATGCGGTGGATTATCCCGAGAAAGGTGTTCGAGGAAAAGCAGGCGCAGAACCAGATGACGGGGGAGAAGGTACACGCGAGGATCGAAAAAGGCGATAATGAGCGCGCGGACTTCCTCAGCCATGTGCTGAAGCAGCCTGTTGAGAAAGGGATGAGCGAGGACGAGCTGATCTCGAACGCGTACGTGCTTATCATTGCGGGGTCGGAGACGACAGCTACGTTGTTGTCGGGCGTGACGTATTATCTCCTGACCGTGCCGGGTGTGTTGGAGACGCTGCAGAAGGAGGTCAGGGGGTCGTTTCGCTGCGAGGAGGAAATCACCTGGTCGGCTGTGAACCAGCTGAAGTATACGCTGGCGGTGCTGAATGAAGGACTGCGCATGTATCCGCCTGCGCCGTTTGGGTTTCCGCGGATTGTGGAGGAGGGGGATTTTATCTGTGGGAGATGGGTTCCCGGGGGGGTAATATCACTCTTTCCTTTCTTTGACCCTATCTATTCAACCCTGTTTAGTGATGTGGTGAACTGACAAGATAGACATCCGTCGGCGTCCCCATGCTCGCCACACACCGCTCACCCCGCAACTTCAAAAACCCCGACGAGTTCATTCCAGACCGGTACATGGGCGATCCGGCCTACGAAGACGACAAGCGCCATGCGGTGCAGGCTTTTAGCCTAGGACCGCGCAACTGTCTTGGTCAGAAGTATGTTCCCGCCTTTCCCGTCCGGCTCGTTGGGGCAGTAGTAATGTGTATAGTCTGGCCTACGCGGAAATGCGCCTCATTCTAGCCCGCATGATCTGGAACTTCGATATGGAGCTGGCCGACGATTCGCGCGACTGGATAGATCAAAAGTCGTTTGTCGTGTGGGCTAAAGGGAGTCTTCACGTGAAGTTGACTCCTGTCCAACATGGACACTGACCATCTAAAAGACACCACTCATCCACCTCATAATCATGTTCAATGTGATATATTACTGGATATGTACAGGGATATCCACAACGCCCAACTCCAAGCATGAGCGCATGGCGGTTCGCCGGGTAATATTATGTACCCAATGCATCACACACAAAATAAACAAGTAGAAGAAAAGAAGGACAGAAAAGATTAAGATCAAGGAATGGGGTATCTGGTGGCCGGCATGCGTCCTCCCCGTCCCGCACCCACGCGCAGGTCAAAGTCGGGATTATTCTCCAACAAGATGCTCTGCTTCGTACGCGTGGGCATCGGAGGGGGCGGCGGCGGATGCCACCGGGGATTGACCGGCCGCTCCGAAATGGAGGTAAAGTGGCTTATATCGCTAGTAGTCGGTGAGCTGGGGCCTTCCTCCACATCGTCCAGCGGTGTCCGCTCACCATTGCCACCCGGCATCAGCGCGCTGGGCAGGCGGGCATTACCCGCGCTCGGTCCAGTTCGGTTGGCGAGGGGCGCGACGGCGTCCGGCTCGTCGGGGGAGGGCGAGGGACGGGAGAGGGGCGGGGGCGCCCCGTAGATGGGGATCGGCGAGGGGGAGGTCCCGACGCGGAGATCGGGACCCCAGACGGCCCGCGCGGGGATGTACGACCTATGGAGCGTAAGCAGGCGCGTTCTACGCGACACGGCATGCGAGAGGGTGGAGGGGGTGGGAGGGGTTTCAGAAGCTTACGGCGTCCGGCTGTACAGGCTGGAGGGACTGGCGGGCTCTGGGTAGGCGTTGACGGACAGACCCGGATCCGGCTCCGTGGAGCCCATGCGACGCGGCTGCGGCGTCATCTCGATCGCCTGGTCCTCCGAGACGGCCATCCCAATCGGACCGGGCGAGGGGTGGCGCCCGCCGCCTATCGGGGACGGGCCGCGGTACGCGTAGGGGTCCTCCTCGGCCGGGGGACCGGACCAGGGACCGAGACCATAGCCGCCGGGCGGGGGGCCGCCGTAGGGACCACCGTAGGGACCACCGCGGCCGCGCGGGCCGTATCCGCCGCGGGCGCCGGGGGGCGGACCCCGGGGTCCCCCATATGGACCACCCCGTCCCCAGCCGCCGCGACCGGGATAGCCGCCGCGACCACGGGGGCCGGAGGGCGGAGGCCCCCGGGGCGGGCCCCGCAGGGGTCGCATGGGCGGAGCGGCGGCGTAGGGGCCATTCCAGTCGTCGCGGGGCGGGGAGTGGTATGCGCCGTCGTCGAGGACGGGGGGATCGGGGGCGGAGCCATTGAGCGGGGTGCGGTCGTCGTCGCTGGGGCGGAAGGTGGCGACGGTGGGGCCGCTGCCGAGCGAGCCCGAGGGGCCGTGAACCATAGTCTCCTTGGTCTCGACGGCGATGGGCGTGGCGTTGAGGGCGGCGTTGGCGGCGGCCTGGCGATTGTAGTAGTTCTCGCCGCTCATCTCGGCGTTCTCGGCGATGCGACGCTTGCGGGCCTTGCGACTGACGAGGGTGCGGCGCATGGCGCAGGTGACGATGCCGCAGGTGACGAGAAGGATGGTGGCGGCGAGGACGATCCAGCCGCCCCAGCCGAGGTGGGGGACGAAGAGGAGGATGTCGACGAGGAAGGCGAGCAAGCTGACGAGCAGGGTCGGCAAGAGGAGGATCAGCAGGGCGAGGAGGTAGCGGGGCGAATGCGACGGGCCGTGGAAGTGGGCGGCAGCGGCGAGACAGAGGCACACGAGAGTGAGGAAGGCGGCGACGGGGTGGACGATGAGGATGGAGGAGAGGGAGGTACGGGTGGTGGAGGGGAGATTGAAGTCATCGCCGGTGTTGTTGATGTCCTCTATGATATCAAGTCATTAGTATAGATACAAAAATAGAGAGAAAAAAAGAGAGGTACCCTTGGTGTAGCCTATGTGGATGTTGGTGCAGACGCCGCTCTTGCAGTAGCCAAAGACGCCATAGTCGACATCATTATAGGTGGCGAGAGGGATCCCCTTGACGATCGGGGTGGAGATGACGGAGAGGAGCAGGAGGGCGAAGGCGACGAGTAAGAGGATGGTGAGGGGGGTGGCGGGTTTCAACAACATGGTGCGGTGGGCAGTCGGTCGGCACAGCCAGACTCACCACCAGAAAGAGAGACGAGGTCAATGGAAATAAAGAAAGAATGGACTGGGATGAAGATACCCAGGAATCAATTGGACCAGGGAAAGAAAGAAAGACAAGGAAGGACCCGGCTTCACAGAAGGATAGGGGAGGGGGGGGTTGACTAGATCATGCTTTTTTGGTGATTTTGGATGTTTTGGCTGACAAGAGCTGTCTCAGACAGGGACTGTCAGGTCTAGAAGGATAAAGGATAGACGAGAGAAAGAATGAATGAAAGAGAGAAGAGGAGGAGAGGAGAAAGAAAGAAGCCGGAGAGAAGCGAGTGTGAGAGAGAAAGAGAAAGTGGAGAAAGAGGAGAAAGAAAGAAAGAGAGAAAAAGTGGAGAGAGAACGTGATTGGCGGCCTGAGGATGCAGTCCCACCTATCAATCTTTAAATCACCATCATTATTTGCCTGAGAATCTTATAGTACTGATCATATAATAATGATAGAAGTAAGACTCTAGACAATGTTATTCTGACAGTGACTCTCTTCTTTCTACTACTTCATCTATCAATTCAATATTCTTCCATATCATAAAGACTGAGAAAACAAGAGAGAAGTGTTTCATCAATCCCCCAAGTGGATCCTTCTCCCGTCATGTCGATGGGGCGGAGTCCGTTTGCCCCGTTGGTCGATATCCTGGAGGGTACGACAGTGACAAACAAATAGCTGAATACTAGGATAATAATATATTATATGATATCTGCTTAAACCATAGTGGTATCTATAATGCCAAGCAGGAAGCTTATCATAGTCGGTCTTTTTAGACGTGGTGGGATGATTGGCCCCCCCACACTGCGGCGTAAGTCCAAAGTTTATATGGAGCTCTACCACTGGAAAGCTTCGAAAGTATGATGTAGAGCTTAGTAGAGCACATGTCCAGAACTCTCCTGCATCATATGTATAACTCGGGATATATAGATACAACTGTAAGTACTTGTATATGTTATCAGATACTCTATATATATTCACGGGAGCATGCCCTAGACCAACTACGAATGATTACATCTCTCAACGTCTTTTGATAACCATATACTCTGTACTCCGTAGTCATAAGTAATACTAGAGATCGGAACATATGTGACTAGAATATATCCTATTATAATATTCAAAGCTCCACAAGAATATAAAACTAGGCGCTCGAGTGACTGAAATGATTGCTTGTCCCTAGCAACGCCATCCGCCGTACTATGCCAATATATCTCAGCCACTCTGCCAATACGAATTGGCATTTGGTCGGGCATAATATGACTACTATCCCAGGAATATATTAGACGAGATAGGTCAATGGATTTCTAGATCATACCTACCAATGCAATGCCATATCCATCCAATCGCAGCGAGTTCATGTCGAATTACCCCAATCCTGCTATCCTAAGCCCCAGAAATAAACCCCCTGAATCGACCCCCAAGCCCGGCTGCTCGTCGAGCGACAGAAGAAGAAAATATAAAATAAAACTAGATCAGCCACCGCAAACGTCCATTGGTTAGGGACGTTTCGAAAACACCGCGCCCATCTTCTCGCCCATCTTCAAAGGCTGCCCCGGCGTCACGTTCAAATCAACCGTGCTCGACCGCTCAAACACCAGACCGATATCCGACCCCCCGAACTGGAAATACGAGATCTCCTGCCCCTTTTCCAGGGTCTGTCCCTCTTGGACTGTCATCACAACCGAGCAGATATGGCACATCCCCACAGGCAGTACCGCCACCAGACCCACGGCGGTGTCCAGCACCAGGAGACCACGCGTCTGGCACCACTGGAACCCATCCCCGTCCACAATCTCCAGCGGCTTCTCGGTCTTGGCATCCCGCCGACCCGCCTGCATATCGCCCGCCCCGTCGTGGCCGACCTCCATATAGCACTGGCCCTGGATGATCTTCGTCTCCAGCACCTTGCCCGGCAGAGGGCTGTGCTGCCGGTGGTAGTCCGTCGGCGACAGGTACGAGTGCATGAACGTGCCCCCCGTGAACCGGTCCGCGTACTTGCTATCCTGCAGCAGCTCCGGGATCGACCACTCGATCCCCTTGAACGAGACCGACCCCCGCTCGTCCACGGGCCACGACCCGACAAACGTGCAGTCGGTAGGGCTCACCAGGACGTGAGGGCTGGCGACGTCCGCGACGGGCCGGCACTCGGGCTTGACGTGCCGCGCGAAGAACTCGTTGAACGTCTTCCACCCGCCTTCGGGCTCGATGTAGTCGTTCATCCGGTACTTGGTCGCCTGGCGGAAGGTGGCCAGGGACTCCTTGGTCACGGACCCCGGGGTGTCCATGAAGGCGCCCAGGCAGCGCACGTAGTCCACAATCCACTGCGACGTCCACGAGAGCGGGCCCCGACTGGTCGACGGGCTGACGGGGGTTTGCAGCGCGAAGACCGACGGCTGGTTGAGCACGAGGTAGAACAGGCAGATCTTCTCCGTCATCACGCCCGAGGTGCTGTCCTCGCGGGGGATCCACGTCAGCAGGTGGTCGAGGTAGGCGTAGAAGTCGGTCAGCGAGGCGATGCCGTGGCGGTCCATGGCAACCGGGGCCACTTTTCGAGCGTCGGCGACGGCCTGCTCAAACGCGGGCTGTAGACCGGGCTGGTCCGTCACCTCAGTAGAGAGGGTCTGTACGACATTTGCGAAGGTCCTTGCCATTGTCCCGGACAAGATGATTGAATATGAACTGACTGGTAGAGAGAAATCAACGTGGGCGTCCAATGGCGGATCCGTTCCAGGGCAGATGGGAAAAGAGGGTGTGAAAGAGAGATAGGATTTCTCGCAATGCCCTCGAGCGTCCCCTTTTATACATCCTATCCAAACCAAACAAACCCTGACCGCTATAAAGGGGGGTGCTTCGCCTGCGACATCTCCCCGGCTTTACCTGCAAGACACGTATGGTCTGGGAGTTACCATCTCCCTGTATAACCCTCCCATGTTCACTGTGAGGGCAGCCCCATACTGTACCAATCTCATACAAACAGAACATACCAGCAATACCACGGCTAATACTCCCCACAGATTGACCGGACGACGGTATGTGCATCCTGTCCCTAAATCTCAACGTGGTTAGCCACTCCACAGCCCACGTACCAAGCCAGGGGAGGCCGACAGGAGAATACGTAATGAACTCCGTAACAGTGCCTCACATCGGCCCATTTCAGGACTGTGTCGAAGCCAGGGCAAAGGGTTTCAACATGCAAGTGCCGTCGTCAGCGGCGATCGTCATCCATAACGTCCAACCACCTGCGCGTCATCGAACCCTGCACCAGGTCAGTCTCAGCCAGCCCTTCAACGTCGACGCACTCCACCCTCCAAGCACAAGCAATTAACGAATACCAGCCGCGGATCGTACGAATGTCGGTGAGACCCGAATACCGCGCAATATACCCCTTGCACGGTGTCGAGTCAGCTCCGCTGTCGATAAGTGGGCACCGTGCGCGTTGCATTCATAGTCTGCTGTGGAATGCGCCCGTTACTACTGAGCGTCCGGGGATTTCGAAAAGCAGAACGGTACACTGCAATGAAATAGAATGAATATTGATTCGACGGAAATGAGCTAATCTATTCAGGGCTTGAATCATACCTGCGGGGAGCGCCTTACTTCCATTACAACCACGATGATCAATTGACAGGTTCCGTTGTATATTTACTGTCTGCAACAATGTCTGAGAGCCATGGCGGTTAAGAGCTGTATAGATCAAGAGTCTCATATATCGAGGGGTTATAGATCAAGAAATTATAGACCACGAAATCACAGATCTAAGGTTATAGATCATGGGATTATAAACATACGGTACGATGATGCCGCTAATGCCTTTGACAACCCGTGTACAAATGAAAAGAAAATATTGTTCAAGATCATCTATTTCAATGCTGTATTGTATTATCATTGTGCCAACGCGTCACGTCAAATCATCTCTAAATCACCACCTCAGTACCTAGATATCAACCAAGCCATCTGCTTTTCAGGCTCCATCCGCCGAAACCATTCGGCCTCGCCCCGTTTGAGTCCCCCATAGGTTGTCACAGCTTGCTTGCTGAGGGCGCCACAGAGACTGGCATCGCGTTCGAGCTCCCTCAAGCTCTCATCAAGCGTCCGAGGGAGCAAAATATGCACCCCCAGTTTGCGCCGTTCGTCATTGCTAAGATCCGCTGCCGCCTGGGGACAAGGTCCTCCCTCTAACCTGATTTTCGACCGCAGCCCCTCAAGTCCGGCCGCAAAGATGGCCGCAAGCGTGAGAAACGGGTTGGCCAGTCCGTCCATCAGTTTGAACTCGAACCGATTGCCCTTGACTCGCCGGAGCGGCGTCTCCTTGTTCTCCCACCCCCAGCACGCGTACTCCCCGCCGCTCCAGATGCCCGCCTTCAGGCGATCGTAGCTCGGCTCCATTGGCAGCGCAAAGGCCAGAATAGCCGGCATGTGCTGCACCAGCCCAGCGAAGAACGGCTCGACGCGGTTGGCCGCCAGTCGCTCCTCGCCCGGGCTGTTTAGCGAGATATGGACGTGAGCGCCCGTGCCAGCGTGGTCCGGCGACGGGCGCGGGTACAGGGTTGCGTGCAGGCCGTGTGAGAAGGCGACGGTGCGAATGGTCTCGCGGGCTCGCAGCAGCATATCGATGGATTGGACGGGGGGCGCCGGGGGCAGAACGAACTCCCACTGGGCGGGGGCACACTCGGCGTGGAACTGTTCGATCTGGACGCCTGCGTCGGCTAAGGAGCGGGATATGCTCTCTAGCACGCCCAGGATCTTGGTATCCTCTAGCGTGATGCACGACCAATTGTGCACGTCACTCAGGGGACGGTACTGCACTGTTCCGTCCGGTTGCGACTCGGCTTTCATGAGCACCAGCTCGACTTCGAAGCCGACCAGCGCTGTCAACCCCGTTTCACGCTGCACGAGCTCATCTAGCGCTTGGAGTCTGGAGCGGGCGCACTCGTCGATGGGCGTGTCGCCCTCGTCGACACAGCTGCATTGGACTACTGCCCGGGTGCCCTCCGAGCCCGCCTGGCAGTAGATGCTGTCCAGGTCGGGACAGAGATAGAAAGTACCGCATGGGGAGCTCCCTCTGACGAGGTGGTCCTCGGGATCAAACGAGAACGCGGCCGTCGGCACCGATACGTACTTTCTGCTCTGGAGGATCTCGGTGAATCTGGCCGTCGGGACAATTCGCACATACGGCCTAGACGAATAGGACAGCACCTGGAGCCAGACGAATTCGACCTTGGAATTCGCGGCCAGGAATTTGTGCCACTGATCCAGCTTTACGTTTGGCGTTTTCATTGCTGTTTGGGTTGAAGAGAGGGGGGACGTTCGAGGGATGATAGGGATGGATCGCTAGAAGGGGAAATCCGCAGGCTCCCTTCTTGTACCCATTATCATTCTCTCCGTAGCAGAGAAGCGGTGTAGCCTGCTTGAAGGTTGCATCGTGAGTACCCCTCGGTGGCTGAGGTGGTTCTGTAGGGTCGCCCTACTGATGTACTCCGTCTGCAGACTGGGTAATACGAGAGTACTTGCATATCAAGGGGGTGGATAACGGATTGTTTGGATCCACCACTCCCCCATCCCATGCATGGAACAGGGATTTATTGCGAAATAGTTTCCTTTCTTGCATTGTGTCCTCTGCGCCCAGAGGACGGAGTACTGTGGTGTACGTCGAGTGACGGGCCATGCGTGATGACGTCAAATATTGCGAATGATGCTGGTATTGAATTGGACGGAGTACGAGATACAATCGGTTCATTTTTTGATTGCTTTCACATTGGATAATGGTGACGCGTCCCAGACTGCTGGTGCATCATCCTCAGCACACTCGTCCAGATGGCCATCACCGCCGGCTTCTCACAACGTATCAACCGAGCACCTCCCCATCCCGTATTGTATGCGGTTTGTTGCTTATATTACGTGGGACAGAGCGGATTTTTACCTTTGGGAAACCCAGCCACATGAATGGCATCGGGTGCTCCCATTCAGTGGGGGGGTCTTTAACCATGCCAGACATCCATACATTCGGGCCGCTGACAGCGGCTGGCGGAGCCAGGTCTGTACCCTATTATGTATGCAGCATCCCTGTCGATCTATACTTCACTGTCACGTACTCAGCGTGGCCATATCAACTAGGTAGCAACTGTGTTATTGAAGGCTGATTGGACCAACTTCACGATATCTGATACTAGGGAGATGAGTCAAGTCAAGCCCTCTCAAAGTGCTGTTCAGTAGTTTGGTGCAGTGGTTGTTATTTAACGTACTGCTTCCACTGTATAAGAGATTGTTTCAATCTGGCCGCAAGACCGTCCATCCTCAGGTTCTCGTGGACTAATTGTGTCCGAACAGCATTCCACGAAGGATTTACCGCTTTTTGCTAAGATGCTACATGATTGTGTCTATTACAGAGCCGAGCAAAGTGAGGCGCAAATGCATTCATCGAGATGGTACACGCGTCAGCGTATGCTTGTCTATCATGCCTCCCTCTATGTGTCGTCTCTACACCGGTTTCTACAACAAGAAGTCTCTAAGAATACAGCTGGAAAGCGGGACCAACTCTTTAATCCAACGCGTGCGGCATCCAGAGTCACTCAAACACATATGAAAAAAAGAAAAAAAACCTTGCATGACCAGTCGAGTCTATCAACGTCAAACCTATCAGGTAGCAGGTTTGAGTGTTACAAAGAACCGGGTGTAGATTTTCCATGGCGGCAAGTCAACCTCATCGGTGAAGGGACGAGGCTGCTGGGGGAGAACGCAGGGGTGGTCTTGAGCCATGAGCAAAATGGATGCGGTAGAGTTTTGATGAGACCCGAGTCTCACCGGTGCATATCGCTGGGTCGTACATAATTTTAAAGAGTTGTATGTGCCATCGCACGATGGTTCATGCGTGTGTGGTTACGCATGGCCACCTCGCGTTGGGAGACCGTAGGAAATACTCTATCCTATAGTTCATCCCAACTATTTAAACGGTAACCTCTTCAATATCCCACTGGGCACAGCTCTCTTCTGAATTGGAGTACACATCACTTTTTTCTTGATAGCGTTAATATACCAACCCCAGCCCACTCCCCCAACACAATTCCAAACTGAAACATTAAGACTATCTCCAACAGCAATATGACACGCGATATAGACGACGGACCCTTGGCGGACGGGGCATCGGCAAACGTGCAACTCACGACCATCTCAGCCGCGAAACTCCTTGGCAATGACCCACAGACCCAGAAAGATCTCCTTGAGGCGTGTAAAGACCTAGGGTTCTTCTATCTGGACTGTCGAGACCATCCATCTAGCCCCGTCCTGTCTCTGGTTGCAGAGATGGCCTCCACGGCACTGGACTTCTACGACCTTCCGGAGTCGATCAAGGAAAAGTGGGCTCTGTTCCATCTTGATGACTTGAAATATAAGTCTTTCTCGTCGGTCTCCCTTTTCCTATGTTCTATGAGAATCGATGAATGAGCCGTCGTGACACTGCAACTGACACAAAACAGCTATAAGCCGGCTGGGAAGCAGGAGGGTGCCGTGAAAGGGAAGAAGGACGGGTGGGAGGGGATTATTGTGAGACTTCTTCGTGCAATATCAGAATGGCTGATCTTCGAAACTAATACGAAACATCTAGCTGATGGAGCACCCGCTGGCTCAGATCCCCCCCGAAGACCCCATGCCCGGGCCTCCAGTCATACAGAATGCGAGGGGTCTCATCGAGGCCACCCAGGACCAGCTGGGAGAGATGAGCCGAGCCATCGTCGACAGCCTCTCCCGATCCCTCCACATGACTGGGGACCAGAGCCTGGGCCGTCACCACCGCAAAGGCTGCCCGGCGCCCACCGACCTGGAGATCCTGAAATACCTCCCGTACGTCCCAGGTAGTGAGAAAGTCGGACACATCCCCCACACCGACCTAGGTAGTGTGTCGATGGTCTTCTCCGATGTCGGTGGTCTGCAAGTTTTCCACCCACTAAGAAAGGAATGGATGTTTGTGCCCCCTCGGCCGGGCCACGCCGTGTGCAATCTGGGTGACGCGATGGAGTTCCTTTCAGGGAATGTTCTGCGCTCGTCGCTCCACCGTGTGATCCCCTATACGCAGGATCCAGGCAAGATCAAACTGTCAATCATCCACTTTTTGCGACCCAGCGAACACACCAAGATTGTCTCTCCCGATGGAAAGGAATGGACGGTGGCCGAGTGGAACACGATGAAGCACAAGTTACTCCACGAGGGCGGGGAGATGCAGAAGAACTTGAGCATCATCACGAGACGCGAGGGCCAGGATGACTTTTGGAGAGAACAAGCGGTGTAAAGAGGTTTGCGTACTCTGGCTTCGGCGACATTTCCCAACCGTACTCTTTGTTGAGTGATGGCCTCGAGAGGATACGCACGGCAATGTTTGAACCCCATATAATCGAACACAATCTTGAGGTACTGTTCATTTTTCTATACGATCTTGGTTCAAGGTCAGATAGGATATGTAGGTTGATAGAGGAGGGTCTTCTCGAGGAATCTACATGTCTCGCGTATCTACGTCACAAATTGTCATTTCTAAGAAAACACTTCGAGGCTATAGAGCGCTTTGGAACGTTTCAAAATACACTACAATTGAATTGAAGTCACTGTATTGTCAAGGTTCGGATAGACTTATATAAATTGACATATACATTACATGAGCCATAATCGTAAGACTAGTTTATGTTAAGCAAGATCAACCACGCGCGTCAAGAGCTTGTAGACATCTTAAGCAAAGGCCATGTAGAGATAAATACAATGAAGCGTTCGAAGGAAGATCAGGCTGATTCAAGCAGTGAAGAAACTGTAGTTGTTGGAGGAAGGTGAGCCGCGCTATGGATCGGGGACGTCCAAAAAAAAACCAAGAAGGGCGAAGAAGGGTCGTCGACTTAAGCTTTGTAATGAGCATAATTTGTACGGGCTAACTGATTCAACTAGGTTGAAGACATTGCTTTCAATTGAGATGTCTTAGATGGGCTCCACAGGCTTATAGCTGAGCAATGTTACGCGTTCGTTGAGCAAGGTCTTGGGTATTCTTACCACTTGATTGCGTTGAAAGTAGTCATCACATACATATTGTCAACGAAAATGACGCGACTTCGGAGCCGTGGAGATTTGGACGATGATCATGTTTCATCTCATATCAAACTACGCATTCGGAATGCTGTTACGCGGTCAGTTGTCTGGATTGGGAGATTTGAATAATGGTTCAAGGTTTAGACCCTCATTCATCGGCTGCATGGTGGGGTTGATCACGTACGACTTGGTTGGCAACTATATATAATACTCGTTTTGGAGATAATATTTTGTTTATTGAGCAGATTGACCATAATCCTACCTTACATCTGCAAGGCACGAGCTCCTTCTATCAGTCCTTACACTTGCTGGTTTCGACGATCTCAAACATAGTCCTGCTTGTAGACTGGGTCCTCTACATAGTCCTCCACATAGCTTCTGCCTAATTAACAGCAGATTGCAATAGAGAAGGAATAATCAGATGCAATGAATCTGGGTAATAGGTTTGTTTCCTTTACTGGCTAGGTAAAATTGGAAGATCACGTTTAAACATCATTCCTGTGTCCAATGCAGTAGCAGCGATCCCTTACATCCCTTGTTCTCCTCGAAGAAATACCCTTAACTTGATGTGTAGCTCACTAGAATGCTTTGCGGTTTTTTTCTATTACATATCATAATATCATTTTTCCACCTTTTCTGGGTTCACTGGTCGGAGTGATCAACGAGGGATACTCTCTACTGGAACCATCGGAGGGATTGGTTCGCTTTCCAGGCACAGCTAGATCGGCCACGATGAAAGGAGCAACTTCTCTCCCGGAGCTCACCATACAACCTGTTGATCAAGAGCGTCATGCTTCAGATGACCTTCCAGGCGAGCTCCAATCGGAAAAAAGGCCCAACTCATCGTCCGGCGATGAGGCCGCAGCTCAGGAGGGAGTGAAGTCCTACGTTGAACTGGTCCTAGTGACAATCTCATTGGGGTTATCGGTGTTCTGCATGTATCTGGTGGGTTGATATAGTTCCCACGCCTTGAGCTCCATGTTCGTTGCTCACGCCATTCTTTTCGGTCCTCAGGATACAACCATTCTAGGGACAGCTTCCTCCAGGATCTCCACCGAATTCCATTCATTACAGGATGTTGGATGGTATGCGAGCTCGTACCTCCTCACATCTTGTATAGCACAGTTGCCCTATGGCCAGTTGTATAATTTCTACACAGCCAAGTGGGTGTTTCTGGGTGCACTGGGTATCTTTGAAATAGGATCCCTCATCTGCGCCATGGCCCCAACGTCAGCGGTCTTGATTTGTGGTCGAAGTATTGCCGGTATCGGGAGTGCAGGTATATTCTCGGGGTTCTACGTCGTCATGGGGTACAGTACTCCGGTGAAGCATCGAGCATTGTACAACGGTATCCTTGGAAGTGTACCGGCTATTGCCAACGTTGCTGGCCCGGTGTAAGCGCGCGCACAGTCATATATCCAACGGATCTGCTGATCCATGGAACAGGTTAGGGGGTGTGTTCACAGACCGGCTCTCGTGGCGCTGGTGCTTCTACATCAATTTGCCCGTGGGAGGCGTGGCCGCCCTTTGCATGCTCTGTACGCACGCCGTGAAGCCAAGCCTCAAAGGCGCCGGGTGGCGCGAGAAACTCGATGCCTTCGATCTGGTTGGAAATGCCTTCTTGGTTCCCGCGCTCGTCTGCCTCATGCTGCCCGTCCAGATGGGGGGCACGACCCCTTGGGAGTGGGACAGCGCACGCGTGATAGCACTCTTTGTTGCATCTGGTGTCCTGGCCATCATCTTCGGCGTCCATCAAGTTTGGCGCGGGGATCGTGCTCTGCTGCCCCTCCGCATTTTACGGAACCGGGATCTGATGGCGGGTGCCTGGTTCAATCTCTGCATCGAAGGCGCTCTTCTCGTCATCACATACTATGTAGGTGGTGCTTCTCCTTCTGCGAAATGAAGCCGGGATGTTGAACTGACTGCCTCTAGCTCCCGATCTGGTTCCAGGCCGTCAGAAATGCGTCCGCTATCAAGTCCGGTGTGATGACTCTGCCCACCATGCTGGGTCTCATCCTCACTGCGACAGCAACCGGTGGGCTGGTGGCTGTCGTCGGCTACTATACGCCGTTTGTCATCGCATCGTCGATTATCACGCCCATCGGGGCCGGCCTCCTCACCACCCTGGCCGTCGACTCCACCACGGCCCACTGGCTAGGCTACCAAGTGCTTAACAGCGTGGGAGTGGGCATCGGCTGTCAGAACGTGATGCTCGTACCGCAGTTCGCCGTTGGCCCCGGCGACGTGTCCATGGCGATCTCCATTTTCTTCTTCACTCGGACCCTGACCAGCTCCATTTTCCTCGCCATCGCCCAATCCATCTTCCAGAATCAACTGGCGCGAAATCTTCGCAGCCACACGGAGTTACCCGTTGATCCCGCCGCCGTCATCCACACCGGTGCCTCTCAGGTCTCCGAAAAGTTTTCTTCCGATGTCCTGCCGATCATTTTGGACGCATATAACTCTGCCTTGACTCGGAGTTTTGTTGTGGCGATTGCGCTCAGTGCTCTGTCTATATTGGGATCTGTCTGTCTTTCATGGAGACGCATCAATGAGGGGTATCAACGAAAATGAATACTACCTGGAGGCGAAGAGGCTTCAGGGTAATCAGCATCAATCTAGCATTTGTTCAAGTGGCGAATTTGTTACTTGAACTTGGAGGGAGTGAGCCTTTGTTGTCGGACTGAGCATTTCAAGACTCAGCCATCCTGTCGGAAATAGAGAACACTTTAGTGGCCGATAATAGGATCAATAAGCGAATCCAGTAGATAGGAAACATATAAAATGAAATAAAGTGAAAGAATAAGAAAGAAAGAAAGGAATACTACTTTAGAAAAAGTGACCGTTATATTTATGATTGATCGTGATAAGTGATAGCAGATACATCACCTCTTGAAAACAAAGAGATAAAAATAACTTTTGTACATACACCATTATATTGTTCTACCTTGCTGGCTTCAGCCTATCCTTCCAAAATCGAGTTACTGGAAGTATTACTCTCCCACAAGGCCCGCGGTGACAAGCCCTCCCGATTCAAGGCATGATGGTAAACCTCCTCACCGGCGTCCATGTCTCTTAACAACTGCATTGCGCGGGGGTCGACATTCCAGGTCGCCGCCAGATAGTGCAGGGCAGTGTTACCATCCACATCCTGTGCGCGGACATCAATGCCGGCATCGACGAGGACGCGCAGGGTATCCAACTGGGCTTCCTGCTCGGCGGGCGTCATTGGGGTTCTCGCCCGAGGGCGCACTGGGTTGAGCCGGGACGGCGGCCGTGGCTGCAAGTGCAAGGGACTAGGTCTGGGATGCGGTAACCAGGTGAGATCGAGCGTTCTGGCGCAATGAATGCTCCGGACAACATCGGGGTTGTTTTGATCGATGGACTCGGATGTCAGGGGCAGCGAGGCGATATGAAGCAGTGTCTGTCCGAGGGCAGTAGATCCCGCAGACGAGAGGAGCAGGGCAAGCCAGGATAGAAGGGCTGGGCTGTGACGAGCGACGGCGAAATGGAGCAAATGGACTTCGAAGATGGGGGTGCGGAGGTGAGGGTCGAGATCTGGGTGGTTTCGCAGTTCTGTGATACACTCTCGGATTTTGGGGTCGCCTGGATCACAGCAGGCCAGAGCGTAGGAGAGTGGCGGAAGGGCCAGCGTCGGCGCCGCGGTCAGGGGTCGGTAGTTTGGGGAGTATTGATGTTGATGGAGCAGCTTGCGAAGCATGACGAGGTCACCTGCAGCGATGGCTTCGTGGACGGGTGACGAGGTCGACAGCGATGATGGGGGTGCTGCCTCCTGGCCAGACAGTCGGTCGTCGACACTTTCATTTGGGGGTTGAGTCTGAGTCCAGGCGGATTCATCCGCTCCAGCGTCGCGGATCCAGTCGAACATTTGCTCTTGGCCGCACGCTGCGGCGACTTCTAGGGCTGTCAAGGCCTTGGTGGAGCGAAATCGTTGGCCCGGCAGATTGGGTTCCGTCCAGAAGCGAGGAAAGCCAGAGCGGCGCTCGTCCAGCTCGGCGGTTGTCAGGGGCTGGGTCTGATGCTGGATGCCTTTCGCCGCGGCGACGGCAAGGATGGACTCTCGCGGCGGACACAAGGCAAAGCTCGACATGTCGGTTTTCGCATCGCGGCCGCGGATGAAGCGCACGGAGTAATCAGACTGATAGGACAGGCGGATGCCTGTGGGGTCTGCGCCCGCCGCCAAAAGCGCACGCACATTGTCGGGAAGGTCTGCGCGAATAGCTGCGGTTAGTGGGGACTCGTAGACACAGTCAATAGCGCCGGTGATGTCGGCGTTGGGTGAGCATTGCTCGAGGCCGCCGCGGTCTCGGGGGGCGAGATGCGCGACGTGAGGCAGCTCGGACGTGTAATAGTCCAATAACGCCTGTAGAACAGCGGGATTGGGATTTTGAGCCGCCCGAATGGCCGGTGTGATCTCGGTGGATATGTCGAGGTCGTCGGGGGTAAGTTGATAGGAGGACATGGCTGAGGGTGATCGGTTGATAATGGCCATCAGGATGGATAAATTGATCTATATCTATCCATTGATGGTCATCCTACTTCGTGCGGGGCTGATTTGATGCCACCATGACATCATTTAGTACTTCGTTCACCATATACTGTCCATGAAGAATTGAGTGTTCTGCTGCATTCTGCTCAAATTATGAAAGACTAGAACAGTCCGGATAACGGTACCTGGTTGGACTCGAATCAACACTCGCGATCCTCCGGCGCCCGCCAGGGCACCCCCAACAGCCCAAAGATCCCTCGCTCGTCCCGCCCCTCCACTAACCGCCCCCGGGTCCCAGGCACGACGTCCCTATACAACCCCCGCTGGTTCAGCCGCATCCCCCGCCGCCGCGCCAGTAACCGCAGGCTCCGGTTGAATATATCGTTCCCCGTGAAGTAGATCAGCGCTGCCCCCAGCTCCGATCCCGGTACGAATAGGAGATCGATCCGTCGCCAAGCCGCGCCCTTGGCCAGCTGACTCGCCCCGTGCCACTTGCTTCCGTCTGCTGCCGCCGTCGTCGCCAGCCCGACCTGCAGAAACCCGCGCCGGAAGAGATCCGGGATCACCGTCTCCACCATCACCGTCCGGATCTGACCCGCCGATGCGTCCGTCTTCGTGATCAGGACGTCAATGTCCCCCGAGTTGCGCGCCCCCCGCCGGTATGAGCCCCCAATCAACACCTGCATATCCGGGTCCACCCGCAGTACCGCATCTCGCACCATGGCGCCATGTGCCGCCACCTCCTCCCGGGGAATCCGTTGCGCGAAATCGTGGTAATGCTCGATCCCCACCCGCTGGTTCGCCGTCAGGGGCGCCCGCGCCCCAAGGTCAGCCAGGGACCGGTACCCCTGCGCCAGCCATCGTGACGCTTGCACGATCCCGGCCCCGTACACCCCTAGGAACAGCTGCAGGATTCGCTCGTCCACTGTCGTGTTTGTGTTCTCCAACCGTCGCAGACGGTCCGTGCACGCAATCTCTTCGATCTTGTCCGCCAGCCGAGACCCCACCCCGGGGATCGAGAGGGCCTGTCTCCGAGTGACTATCCGCGTGGTCTGTCGTCGGAGAGCGCCGATAGCCTTGCGGTAAGCCATCGAGCGCCACTGGTCGTCCGTCTTGGTGTAGTAATCCAGCATCTTCTGGAGTATCTCAATGGTCCGTGTATTGGGCCCGTCGGCTGTCAATTCCGGATCAGGCGTTTGCATGCATACGAAATTCTGCTGCCACGCGTCCACGGTGGAATTAGCCTCCGGGAATAATCGCTTCCGCTTGGGCCCAGTCGAGTGGGTGTCCGAGCACTCCGAGTCTGATCCACCTGTCGCCGTTTCGTCATCGAAGGTCTCTAGAGGTTCCAGGGGCTAGTAGCCATGATGTAAGTACGGTCCGACCTCGCTGCGTCCAGTCAACGTACCAAATCCTGGGCACACTGTGCTGCTTCGATCATCTCATCCAGGGCGTCTCGTGGCGGGGGAGTCCGCGAGCGAACCGCCTCGTCTACCACGCCGCCGCGTGCAGGTAACCGGGAAACATCAAAGTTCCATCCCACGGGGCTATCAGGCTCAGGGGGCGTCATCGCCGTCCGTAGCTCCCTGCCGCTGGGCTTCAATGGGAGCGAATCGCCTGTCGACACTTCACCACCCGGTCCTGTTTCTCCGGGCTCCGGCTCCACGGACATACCGAGGATACGGAACCGGGCATGGTGCGAGCTCAAGATGGATCGAAATTTGATGCACTCGGAGGGGTAGCTCTCGTCGAGCAGCATAACAGTCGACTGTACCCGGTTAGTGGGTGCATTGGGATTAAAGAGTTGGTTGCCTACCGGAAAACATTCGAGAGTGAGGTGCTTCAGGACTTCCTGGAACGTCAACCCTTTGTCCACGATCACATGGGTGATGTGATCCCCCCAGTTCTTCGCCCATACCGCCCCATACTCCTGTGCCTTTTGAATGCGCAACCGTCGTAGAGGCGACACGTCACTGTTGGGGAAGAAGACTTGTCGAGGTCAGACACCGACCGGTCCCTGGGATCAGGGGACTCACAGAATACCAGCCCTTTGAAAATCTGCTGCTGCTCGGGGATCATTCTCGCACAGGCCTTGCGCTTCCGACTGCCTTTCATAGCATCCGTTTCGGTGCCTCTCGTCATGGTATCCGTAGTTAGGGATCTCTTCGATCGCGGGCTTGGGATGTCGCGGGCATATGCCACCTCGGGCTCACCCTGCTCCTTGGGAGAGGCCCGCGGGGTAGGAAGCAAGGGGGCCGGACTGGTCGGTTCTAAGGGACTGGGAGTAGATACCGGTGGAGTCGATGCCTGCTGAAGCTCATGTGTGGCACTCTGCAGTACCCGATCAAAATCGTCAGGGCTCTCTGGTAATCCATCTGACACCGAGTCCAACTCATCCAGTTGGCTGAAGAAGGCTTCTTTGTCCGCCAAGGTCGGCGTCATTTCGGATGCGCATATAGACTCGTCCTTTTTTGCTGGCTGCTGACAACCCGGCCATGAATGTCACGTCTATATATTAGAACTTGGGAGAAGAAATGGGCCTTGCAAGGGTCGGGGCGACGGTTGTCCAGGCAGTGACGCGTGGGTCGAACCGCGAAATGGTCGCCTGATCACGGGACTGAGGGGGCAATTTAACCTTTTTGGGATATCTATATCAGCCTGGATTCTGGCCAGTTCGGGCTATTTGAATGGGATCGTATTTACTAGGTGTGATTCGTATAGGGTATTGGTCGGGGAAATTAGTATTACTGCACGGCTCGCATTGGATTTAATTCTCGCTATGCATGGAAACAAACAGATCGCCATAGTGAGCTATCCTTGCTAGGGAGCCCGACACTTCGTATTGCTGACAGTGCTTCTCTGTCGAGTTTCAAACGTGTCTGCCATATTTGAGTGCGGTGCGCTGCTCCCATTTCTCAAGCGAGGCAGGTTGTAGAAAGCCCAAGGCCGCACTGCACCCAGTGTATCTGGCAGGGTTCCGACTTTTCCCGCGGACTTGTACCGTCGATTCCAGCGGTAGAAAAGAGAAACTCTTGGGAAACGAGTCCACCTGGTCGGTGTCTGCTCGTGCCCATTTCGGTCTGCGTACGAGCACTGGGTCCGCACGTCCCCGGGACCAGCATGTCTCTTTTCAACCGCACTCCACACCAGAATGCGTCCCGGTAAATCAAGGTTGGCATTCGAGTTCCCTCGCCCATGAGCACTATTGTTGGGACCGCAATCACTAGTCCCAGCTTGTCGCCGTCCCAGCTCATCGCCAGCCACCCAGGCCAGGCAGTCCACCACGCCCCATACTCGCGCCGGCGGTGTGGATGGATCGTTTGGCCGCCGGACCCTCTTGGCTTCGCACGCTCGCCACGATCTTCTCCGTGTTGGTTTCCAACACCACCCCGCCTATGATCATCTCCGCCAGCACTGCGTGCATCGACTCGAACCCGAAGATGAGATCCAGCTCGCAGACGTTCTCGAACATCCGGTCCAGGGACTCGACAAAGACCTGAATGAGATCGATCAGCGCCAGCGGGGACTCCGTAGATGTGGCGATCATGATGAACGACAACGTGGCATAGGTCCGGTAGATGACTTGTGTCGGGGCATCGGACGGGCCAAGCTCCACGGTGGACATGGCCCCACGCGACAGCATCGGGGGAAGAGGAAGGAAGTTGCAGGCGGTCGGGGGTCGTCGCGACACGAGATCATAGATTTGGCCGATTAATTCTTTCTTTGCTTGGGTGTCCTGGATTGTAGGTTCAATTAGTGGGATACTCTTTCTCGGAGGGGTGGGGGTGAGCGGTATCCAGGAGACATACGATTTGGGTGTAGAATTTGGTGAGCCTCGGCTCACCGTTGTTGTTGAAGACCAGAACCGCGTTGATCATGATGACCGTAGTATGATATGATTCTGTTCAACGTCGGATCAGACAAGATCGAATAGTCGATTGACTCCAGGACGGAGCGGGTCGCCCTGATCGGCTGGAGTGCCAAGCACGGCCCCCTCGTGCCTTAGGCAGCGCACCATGGCCCGTGCACACCACCGGATGCAAACGCAGCAAACAATGATTTCATGGAAATTTGTTCCTGCGCGAACTTGCAGCTTCGTTTTCTTCCTTCTTCTTCTGCTCGTCCAGAGTCTCCAATTCATCCATCATCGTCGGTCTGTTTTCCGGTACAGGCTATCCTTCGTTTCACTAGAACCAAGGGGCCTGTCTAACCAGCTTCCGGGTGTGGGATTCCCACCACCTTGTTTTCTCGACCTTCCCCTTCCGTCCGGCCTGTCCATTATGTGACGGCAACCATGACAGGCAATCTTGGACGCAGGCTGTATACCAACTTTTGGGAAGCGGCTCATCCGCTCCTAGGCAAGGGATTTCAGACGGCTCCGGCCAGTGCGGCCAGCTCGGGCAACTTTTTTTGCGATTTCGTCCTCAAGAATCGCCTCGGAAAGCCGCCTTCTTTCTCGCTACGAAAAACCCACCAATATACTCGACGATTCGCCTCCGGGGGCTTTCTGGTCCTCGGAGCATCACCCAGCACCACCGCGGTCGAGACGGGAACCAGCTGTGCTATCGCCCCGGAGAAGTTGCTCCCGTCTCGCCGCTACCAATTCGACCGCAAATTCTTTCGCACCCTATCCCAGACCGCGGCACGACGCGGCTTTCACACAAGCAAGGATGACCGACCACCGACGGAGGGGTCGAAAGATCCTTTGAAAAATGCTCCGGAAGAGCCGCAGTCGACAACGCCCGCCGCTCGCCGAAATGAAGGATCTCAGAGTCCCGGGTCCGAACATCCGACCGCGGAGCAAAAGCACCCGACCGGATACCGCTTCCCCCAGATGCCACACATCCATCGCCCCTCCAAGGAGGAGCTGTTGGCCGCGGCAACGGGGTTCTGGTCCCGGCTGAAAGTCCGATTCAAGTGGTTCTCCATCCGCAGTGTGCGACCTTATAATCTGGACGAAATGGCCGCCCTGTTTTCATGGGTCTTTCTGGGCCATGTGGTCTGGGTCGTCCTGGGGACGACTACCTTCTTTTCTCTCATCATCCTCACCATCAATACAGTATTTGCACAGGGTATGCTTTGTTACTTGCCTTCCCCTTGGGGACCTTTCAGAGCTAACGGTTGCAGAAACCCTTGCTGGGTGGATAGGAAACTACCTCACGAAATCCTCCGGAGTGAAAGTCGTGTTCGAATCCGCGATCGTCCCCAGGTGGAGGGACGGCGTCATCACGTTCCGAAATGTTTTTGTCTCGCGACGTCCCGGTCAAGGGACCGGAAATGTCAGTAAAGGTTCCTCGAAGACGGCGGCCGCCGCCGCTGCCGCCGCGGCTCGCAGCGACCACTTGATTCCCGATGGGCCAGAGCAGAGAACAACAACGGAGGACGAGGATACCAACTACACACAGTTTGACGTGTCCATCGAAACCGTCAACGTGACCCTATCGTTCGCGAAATGGCTCAACGGGAAAGGGCTCCTGCGGGACGTGGAGATCCAAGGAGTGCGGGGCGTCCTCGATCGTCGATCGGTCTTTTGGCCCGATGAGGACCTGGACCCCAAGTCTTACCGACATGAGCACTACCCCGGAGACTTCGAGATCGATTCGTTCAAGATGAACGACCTGCTGGTCACGGTCTACCAGCCGGACAACTTCCGGCCCTTTTCCGTCAGCATCTTCTCCTGTGACCTCCCCCAGCTGAGAAAGCAGTGGCTCTTCTACGATTTCATGTCCGCGAACATGATGTCCGGCGCGTACGATAACTCCCTGTTCACCATCCATCCCCGACAAACCCACAGCTTTACCGGCGCCCAGCTCGACAACGGCCGGGAGGAGGACGGCAAGCCGAGTCCGTGGAAGAAGCACAACCGCATCCGCGTGGACGGGTTAAACATCGACCATCTGAACCGCGGGGTGCCCGGTCCGCTCTCGTGGATCCACGAAGGGCAGGTCGATATCGTCGCCGACATGATGATCCCGGCCGATAACGACGAGAGTCTGGCCAAGGTCATGGCCGACTTCTACGACCGGTTGGAGGCGACTGTCACCTCGAACCGATTCCACTCGGCCGCCGACATTGCCGGCCGCGCCGACGAGCCTGTGGCTGACGAGGATAAGCGATTCCTCGTCACGGACCTGCGCTTGCACCTGAACAACGTCCGCGCGGTTGTTCCCATCTTCACCAGCGACCTCTCCTACATCAACAACGCCCTCATCCGCCCCATCGTCGCGTATATCAATTCGCGGCGCACCTTCATCCCGGTCAACTGCCGCCTGGTCAAACGGGCGGGGGATTTCAACGGCAGTTGGACCATCTACGACAGCGGGCTGATGGACGACCTGTCCGCAGCGGTACGTCTCTGTCTTCTTTCAATCGGAACAAGAACTAACGATATTTGTCTAGGTCTACGACGCATTTGCACGCGACGTAGTCGACGAACAAGCGCGCAAGCGACGGTTCAAGAAGGTCGGGTTCTGGTCGCTGCAGCTGGCGGCGCAGGCGATCTTCATCAGCATGGCAGGGAATATCGCGTGACGCGCTGGATCCCCGCTCTCTGTATTTATATGTGATATCATACTACCCATGGGCGTTGTCGGTTTGATATTGGGACCCGGCGTTGCTGGGCAAAATACATTTGATTCCGCATCACTCCTTGTAGATTTGTTCTGGCTCTTCCATATGGGTAATTTCACATGACTTGCTATCCATCTTACCATTCAGTTTTTGTCCAGGTCACCTACATCCACCTAGTGCAACAAGGTAGATATCTACACAACAACAAATAGTCACAATACAGGTTGTATTCTAATATATCTGACAAGGGCCAATGCAATATGAACAGGCGGAAATAAGACCCGACTTTTCCAACACCCATAAAGAAATAGGGAACAAAACAAAACAAAAAAGGCAGCATGAGTCATGATCTACCACCCCCGCTGCGCCAGCTTATCGGCCTCAGGCATCTGCTTAACATTGATCCCGACCATAGCCTCACCCAGACCCTCGCTGACCTGCGCCAGCACCTTCGGATCCTTATAGTGCGTGACAGCCTGGACGATAGCACCGGCGCGCTTCTTCGCATCGCCAGACTTGAAGATACCCGAGCCGACGAAGACGCCATCGCAGCCCAGCTGCATCATGAGCGCCGCATCAGCAGGCGTGGCAACACCGCCCGCAGCGAAGTTCACAACCGGCAAACGGCCCTTCTCAGCAGTCTCACGGAGCAGAGCGTAGTCGCAGCCGAGCTCACGGGCGTACAGCCGCAGCTCGACCTCGGGGTCAACAGCAGACTGCAAAATGGAGCGGGCCTTAGCGATGTCCGCACTGACGGTGCGCATGTGTCTGACGGCTTCGACGACGTCTCCCGTGCCAGCTTCGCCCTTGGTGCGGATCATGGCGGCGCCTTCGGAGATACGGCGCAGGGCTTCGCCGAGGTTGCGGCAGCCGCAGACGAAGGGGACTTTGAAATTGTGTTTCGTGATGTGGTAGACGTCGTCTGCGGGTGTGAGGACCTCGGACTCGTCGATGTAGTCGACACCGATGGCTTCGAGGATCTATAACCGAGGTCGTTCGTTAGCGGTGTTTGCCTGCTCTCTGTAATGAAAAAAAGACATACCTGGCACTCGACAAAGTGTCCAATGCGAGCCTTGGCCATGACGGGAATGGTGACCGCCTCCATGATCTCCTTGATCATGTTGGGGTCGGACATGCGCGCAACGCCACCTTGAACTCTGATATCGGCGGGGACCCGTTCGAGGGCCATGACGGCGGCGGCACCGGCTTCCTCGGCGATGCGGGCCTAATTCGCTCTACAGTCAGTCCCTGACAGACGCAATGGCAGTATAATGGAGGGGATGGAGACATACCTGTTCCGCATTGACAACGTCCATGATGACTCCACCCTTGAGCATCTGCGCCAGGCCGGCCTTGACGGTGAAGTCATTGGCGGTGGCGCCGTTGGTACCGTTGGCAGACATTGTGGGGTTCGATTGGTGTGGGAGAGTATGAATCTATTCCGATAATGTGCAGAGGGGAAAAGAAGAAAGATATGGCAGAGAGATATAGTGGAGAAGAATACACGCCGATGAGTCAATGGTTGCCATTCATGGATCTGGTCACCGGTTCCCAGAGGATCCCCGATTACATACATGCCGTTAAATGAGAGTGGGTACCGTACGGTCACGTAACGGCGTTGAGTACCGGCTAGTCCGTATTCGGCCGCAGATTCGTCTGACGTAAGCGGATTCCAGCCGGGGGGTCCCTGCTGGTATGATATCCAGCCAATCAGATTGATTCCGTCCCTCATATCACAGGATTTAAACTTTTTTAAGTTTTCCGGTTTCCGTCTGTTACCGGTTTCCATCGGCTTATCGGCGGTACTGGAGGGGTACTTGGATTTGTCTGCCACTGCCTCGGGATGGGAGGTACTTTCCTGTACTGCGGATACAGACAGTATTCCGCGGAGACCGTAGATACAGGGAAGAGAGAGCTCTACATATGACACATTTGATAATCTACAACCAAAGGAAGTCAATCATTGGGGTATCTTCACAACCACTCGCCCCGTGATCGTGTCTGTCTTCAACCCCTCTATCACTCGGGCAGTCTCCGAGAACTCCAACACCTCGACCAGAGGGGTTAATTTCCCGGCCAGCGCCTGCCGCAGCAGCTCGTCCATCTGCGCATCCGTCCCGACACACGCCCCTTTGATGACCAGACCTGGCATATCCTTGTCAGCGGGGATGGCCCTGGCCTCCGGTGTACCAATGACTCACCTCGTGCCGCGCACGCCGTCGCCGAGATCGGCAGATTGAACTGATTTGGCGGCAGACCAACGCACACAATGGACGCCAAGTTCCGCACCAGGCTGGGCGCGACTTGGAAGGCCGCCTCGGTGCCAGGCACGACGAGGATCGCGTGGGCCCCTTCCCCTGTGATCTCCGCCACACGCCGGACGAGGTCATCTTCCTCGTAGTCCAGGAACACCTCCGCCCCCGACTGTAGACTCAGTGCTCGTTTGGCATCCCCGCGGTCGATGGCGATAACGCGGAAGCCACGGATCCGGGCGGCGATCTGCACCCCAATATGGCCCAATCCGCCGCCGGACCCCGAGATCACCACCCAGTCGCCGGCCTGGACCTCACCGTCGAGCTTGGACAGCGCCCCAGCCATGCTGAGCCCCGCGCAGAGCAGCGGCGCTGCCACCTCATCCGAGAGACCGTCCGGGATGGCGGACACGTATCGCGCGTCGGCCACGACATACTGCTGCAGCGTGCCAGGGACGTGGCGGCCCGTGTTCAACTGGTGGGGACAGTTATTGGGGAAGCCGCGCGCGCAAACGGAGCATTTCCCGCAGGCGCTGTAGAGCCACTTGATGCCGACGCGCTGGTGCATCATGGACGGGGATACATCCAGGCCTGTCTGGACCACGGTGCCGATACCTTCGTGGGCGACGATGGCGTTATAGGGGCCCCAGCCGAGGACGGCGCGGATTTCCGAATGACTTGAGGGTGGTTAGATGTGCGCGTCAAGGTAGGAGTAGTCTTTTTCCAGGCACCTCGGTGCCACCTCATGGCTGATCGGGGATCCTACCAGAGGCCAGTGCAGGTGAGTTTCACCAGGATCTCGTTTGGTCCGGGGGTCGCCACGGGGATGTCGTCGCGGTGGACGATCTTGGCCGCGGGGCCGGGGTTCTCGACCAGCGCGGCTTGCTGGGTAGTAGGGATGGACGTCATGTCGTAGTATTTGGAAGAGTCTATAGAGGTGATCTATTCGACTTGTAATAAGGTGATCGCGCCGGTCTTATAGACCCCGCATGGGGAAAGGATCCGACAGCCGAAGAGTGAAGATATCGGTAGTTCATCCGGCATCGTCAGTGATCCACTGGAGCCTCAGGCATGTGTTTCCATATGTCTCTGTTCTATACATTGTCCTGATATAGTGGTCAACTTGATTGATTGCTTTTTGCTAAATCATCAACAATATTTTGTATTGTTGTTTAGACAATTCTGAACTATACCGATAATTGTGTTTCTATATATATTGAAGCACGGAGTCATGTTTATAACCAAGGATGATAAGTACTGGCGATCCTTCATCATACAAAGACCTCCAGAGTAAATCTCTTCCCACAATTCTTACTATACATCATCTTTTAAATTAAAATCCATCTGTCTACCTTTATAAACCTGCTATCTACATTGTTCGCCAGCATTTGGAGATGCGGAGAATGATGATGTAAGATCACGGACTTCCCAATCAGGAAAAGAACTGCGGGCCTGTGATGCCAACGGATTTTCTGGCCGCCAACCTGTCCGATTTCTGCAGCGACCCATCTACGCGACCGTTGTTGGACACCAAAGACCCTGATACATGCAGTATCGTCCTATCAAATTGAACCTCCCTTGAATTGGTGTTAGACATTCCCTAGCATACACCCAGTCTCAAACGAGTCTTCCGACGGCAGATTTTTCAACCACCCGTCGCAAATTCCCATCGCGTGGTGCGGGGAACCACTCTGATCCAGTCAATTCATTTGAACAATAGTGGTCGAAGAATTCGGTCATCATGCCTCTCGACACCTCGACAACATACCCGCTCACCAAGCTGCGCCTCGATGGCCGTCGCTGGAACGAACTGCGCCTCCTCTCGGCCCAGATCTCCACGAACCCCGCCAGCTCGGGCTCCTCATACCTGGCCATGGGGAACACCACCATCCTGTGTTCCGTCCATGGTCCCGCCGAAGGACGTCGCGGGGATGCGACAGGCGGTGCCGCCGGGTCGTCGGAAGCGGTGGTCGAAGTCGATGTCAATGTGGCCGGTTTCGCGGGCGTGGATCGCAAGAGAAGAGCTGGAGGAAGCGATAGGTATGTCGCGCAGTCATTCAGGAGATCGCAGTCTTGACTGTTGACTAATTATTTTATCCGCCATGCAGACAATCGTCACGCATAGCAGCGACCCTCCGAGCCGCCTTCCAGTCGCATCTGCACACCTATCTCTACCCGCACAGCACGATCAGCATCCACGTCTCGGTTCTCTCCTCGGACGGGTCTCTCCTGGCTGCCGCGATCAACGCCTGTACCTTGGCATTGGTCGACGCCGGTGTCCCCATGCCGGGACTCCTCTGCGGCTGCACGGCGGGCATGAGCGGCAGCGCCTCGACACCGCGGGATCCCCACAACGACGCGCTCGACCCGCTGCTCGACCTGTCGCTACCGGAAGAGCAAGAGCTTCCGTTCCTCACCGTCGGAACGACCAACTCCATCCCAGTCGGGGAACACGCCATGGATGACGACGAGCCGGACATGAAGGTCTCGATGTTGACCCTGGACTCGAAAGTCCACTGCACGTATATCGAAACCATGCTGGCTGTCGGGATCGACGGCTGCAAGCAGATCCGAGAGATCCTGGAGAATGTCATCCGTGGGACAGGAAAGAATCGATGATCGTGCCTAGCGGAGGGAAAGGCATGGGTCTGTTTTGTCTGTATCCGAGCATGGCAGGTGTGCGTTATACCCGTCGGTTTGCAATGGGAGGTGTTGGGCGTATTGTTGATATTAGTCGCGTTATCAAAAGTATCTTTGCAATAGACATTGGGCTGTGTGGGCCAGTATTGACTTGATTCTACCTAGAGTGTGCCATGTGTCTACGTCGGGGGGTCATCAGTGGATGTATATGAACACAATTATCATAGCAAGAGTCGGTTGCCATATCTAGTGCTACATTCAACGTGGTCTAAAGTCATTCCGGATATAAATACTTCGAGGCACTTGATAATAGACGGGCCAGCGGTATACCTACCACACACTCTAGAAATCCCATCACTGCCCATATTACAATAGCTACGACCTGGCCAGTTCCACGCCAAAGGCAAAATCTTCGTGTCTCTCCATAAAACAATGTATCCAAGGTATTCATTAGGTGAGACATCCAACCATCATACCTCAGGGTGAATTTCACTAAAACCAGGTAGTAGCAAGCCCTAAGCATATCTGCCTTGACTACCTTTGAACACTGACCAGCGATAATTGTTGGCCCTCATACCACCCGTTAACATACAGTACAGCTGCCGGACAGTAGATCTAGTACTACAGGTCCATAACCTCTTCGTGATCTTGTAAAACCATAGGGCTGAGAAGCAAGGAGTCGTAGGGTTAATAGACCGCCATGTTCTAAACCGCGAGAGGCTTCAGTGAATAATTCCTAGATCGGTAGCAGATGCATCTGGTATTTCATTAAACCTTTGCCAGTGGCCAGGCTGCTCCCTATAGTATTCATTTCAAGACTGGTTCATGTTTTCCATCGCAGATCAAAAACCTAAAGGTAAAAGATATAAATAACCTCCTAAAAATAACATACTATTTAAAATACAAATTAATACAATACTAGCATATTCAGCTAAAAAAAAAAATACAAAAATACTAGCAGAACATGTCTGATCGACCTTCGGTCTTGTCCGAGCAATGTCGTTGTCGCGGCCCTCGAACATATCAGATATCGGCAATTGGCCACTGGGAGCATAGGTTCGTATACCGATTAATACAAACTGATATAAAATGTAATTATAAGAAATAGACTCGGGTGTAGATTGTGAATCAGAGAGAGAACAGCATGGGAGCTTCCTCTGCATCACGTGACGATGGCCCATGATTGGAGAACGACCGAGTCGGGGCGGCCTCTCGTCGCCAACTGATCGACCAATATCAACCATCATGGATCAATTGGCCGCTACTTTTGATAATGCCCTGGCATCGGCACATATGGATGCCGTGGATCTGATTAGGGCAATCTATATTGCCCTCACCTCGGTGGTATGAACAAGCCCGAATCCAAACGCTGCGCCAATGTTCGCGGGTCAAACTAAGTCTCCCCCAGGTCCTGTTCGCCAGCCTGCTGGACTCGTTCCATGCCCGCTTTATTCCCTACGGGGCCCGCGCCACCCCGGCGCAGACGTCTGCGCGTCAGCCAGCCGAGACTCCGAGTAGATCGATCGCGGGGCGCGCGCTCGACGTGGTCGCCTCGTGGAAGGTGCCCCACCGGTACTTCACCCATTTCTACATCGCCTCGGTGGTGGCCTCGGTGTTCTGGGCGGCTCAGGTCACGCTGCGTGGCGGCGCATTTGAAGCGATTGCGACGCGGGTCAGCCCGGAGCATCGGGATCGGTCCATGGCGATCCCCCAGATTGTCATGTGCTGGGGGTTGATGCTGGTCCAGGGAGGTCGGCGACTGTACGAGTGTTTTGCCTTTTACAAGCCGTCCTCGTCCTCGATGTGGTTTGCGCACTGGCTGGTGGGGCTCGCCTTTTATCTATTGGTGTCGGTTTCCATTTGGATTGAAGGAAGTGGTATGTTTCTATCTGATTTTGTCTTATTTCTTTGCTCTATGAAGAAAGCGACATCGACTGACCTCGAACAGGTACACTGCTGTCTCATCAGATCACGTTGGATGACGTCAAGGTAGCCAATGCGCCGTCCCTGCGCACCTTCTTGTGTCTTCCGGTCTTCTTGATGGCATCCGGGTTGCAGCACGACGGCCATCACTACCTGTCTTCGCTCGAGAAGTACACCCTGCCCACGCACCCCATGTTCTGCAGTATTGTCTGCCCGCACTACACCGCCGAATGCGTGATCTACCTCTCTCTGGCTGCGCTCGCTGCTCCGCCCGGCGAGATGATTAATAAAACGCTCTTCCTGGCGCTGGTGTTTGTCGCTGTGAACCTGGGCATCACGGCGGGGACCACGAAGCAGTGGTATGCGCAGAAGTTCGGGAAGGGATCGGTGCAGGAGCGGTGGAAGATGATTCCATTTGTATATTAATGGTGATTATGTATAGATAGACTACCAATACCATTTTTGACCCTCCCATGACCCCAGTTTAGAAGTAGATAAGGTCGAGTGGTTTGGGCAGATTGAGATGCGGAGATAGCGGAGTTTGGCGAGCAGCGACAATCGGACCGAGATTTCCACCGCGCTCCGCGGCCAAAACTTTCCCACCTGCCGCTTCTTGCTCCCACCGTCTGTCGTCCGATCGATCTGGTAGAATAATATTACTGCAGTCGGGATAGACAGCTTCTTGTGTTCTCCACCCACTGCAACCCCCAGCGAAATGAGCCCTTGATCCGGTTACCCCGATCGAGTCACTTCTTCCCGACCATGGCCCAGGCCTCCGAACCGGGGCCATCGGCCTCCCTGTGGACCAGATCTCTGCTGGTAAGCTGAATCTGGATAGGTAGTGACCAATGTCGCACTGACTGACTGACTCTCTCTCTTACGTTCAGTCCGGTGCCGTCGCTGGTCTGACAGTGGACTGCTCCCTCTATCCGTTGGATACCATCAAAACCCGCCTCCAAAAGGCCCGGCACCACACTTCCGCCCCGGCCTCGAACCTTTCTTTGAGACAAACCATCCGCGGGATCTACGCCGGCCTCCCGTCCGTCCTCCTCGGCTCCGCACCGTCCGCCGCATCGTTCTTCATCGTCTATGATGGCGTTAAACGAACCTTCCTCCCGCCGTCACCTGCGGAAATGCCCTCGCGGACCCACATCATCCTGACGCATTCCGTCGCATCGTCCATGGGCGAGATCGCCGCCTGCGCGGTGCGCGTGCCGACCGAAGTGGTCAAGCAGCGCGCCCAGGCCGGTCTATTCGGCGGCTCGAGTCTGCTGGCCCTCAAAGACATCCTGGCGCTGCGACATCCGGATCCCGCGAGCGGCGCCCGCCGAGGCTACGGCCAGGTGGTCCGGGAGCTCTACCGCGGGGCAGGGATCACGATCGCGCGGGAGATCCCATTCACGGTGCTGCAGTTCACCATGTGGGAGTCTATGAAGGAGGCGTATGTCAAGCGCGTGCGGCGATCCGCAGGGCCGGGCGCCGACGCCATTGGCCACGTCCCGGCCTCGACGAGTGCCGTGTTCGGCAGTGTGGCGGGCGCCATTGCTGCGGGCTTGACGACACCGCTGGACGTGATCAAGACGCGGGTCATGTTGGCTCGTCGCGAGGACGGGACCGCGGGACAGGAGGGAGCCCGCTCGCGCATCAAACACGTCGTGCAGGATATCTCCAAGGAGGGTGCTGGGGCGTTCTGGCGAGGCATTGGGCCGCGAGTCACCTGGATTGGGATCGGGGGCGCGGTGTTCCTGGGTAGTTACCAGTGGGCGTGGAATGCGCTGGAAGGGAAGGAGAAGTTGGAGAAGTCGGAGAACCCGATCTAAAAGTGAAGGGGAGCGAGTATATATGTGTTGTCTACGAAGCGACTGTTGTAAGATACCTAGATAGACGGTGTGATTTCCGTAGAGCTTGACTCAATACATAGAGGGACATGACAGCAGCCCGATACGTCTTCAATGTGGTGCAACGCGACAAGCATGGACTGTGTCTCAACTCGACATCTACTACTCCAACTCGTCTGTCCATGTGGGTGGATCTCAATCCTAAATTCATCTACAGTGGAGTGATTGGATCTATGTTGGGTCCGCCAGTTGCCTGCCTAAAGCGGCAAGGCCCGTCAGTCGCGTTGAATTCCGAGATCTCGCGACAACAAAACTTCTCCAGTCGTGTTGTCCTCACTCATGATTATCATCTTCCCTTCAATTCAATTCCTGGTTTTCGCCTGATTCCTACTTTTCTTGACCAGTAACGCGAAGGAGCAGCTGGGTGGACCCAACGCCAGCGCGACCGGTAAGTCCCAGGCCTGATTGGCCGCGGTGAAAATTTCTGTCGCGTCCAAGGGGGACCGCTAACTGGTTTGTCTCGTCCGGCCGCAGCGAAGCAGATATCAGTCACAAATTCCTCCCCTACCCCGCACGGCAAACAGAAAAGCGATAGACGCGATCAATCAGACGAGATGCACCCTCCATCTTCCGCCTCGCTACACAAGCGAAAAAGGCTGTCCGGCGACGCCGCGGCCGCGCCGACATCGTCCGCCGCCGCCGGGCCCGCCGTGCCTCCATCCAAGAAGGCGAAGAAGTCCTCGGATCCCGGGTCCAGCCAGGCAGAGAGCAGCAACCCGTCCTCCGGAACCGCCCCCGTGAACGCTGCGGGCGCCGAGTCCGCGACCGCAGCCGAGATCGCAGCATGGTTCAGCCAGGAGCCGCCCAAGAAAGGCAAGCATGGAGCCGCGCACGGGCAGGTCGGACACTTTGGGAAACACGAGTCGAAGACGATGGAGAAGTTCAAGAAGGATTTCTGCCGGACGCACGACATCGATGACGAGCTGTTCAACCAGATGGTGCAGCACTCGGACCGCGACAAGGAGCCGTTCCCCTGCGACACCGTCGAGAAGAAGGACATGTGGAAGCACATCTACGAGGCCCTGCCCACCCGCGACCGGCGCTCCATCTACCGCTTCATGCGGCGGCATTTCGGCTCAAGCTCGCAGCGACCGCACGATTGGACGCCGGCGCAGGACAAGGAGCTCATCCGGCTGTACCAGGAGTTCGGGCCCAAGTGGACGGCTATCGCGAAGCTCATCGAGCGCACGGACGACGACGTGTCGCAGCGGTGGAAGAACCAGCTGCAGCACCAGAGCACCATGAACCGGGGGCCGTGGTCGGAGCCGGAAGTCCAGGAGCTGCAGCGGACGCTGCAGGACGTGTGGAACGCCAAGCAGGCGTCGGGGCAGCTGGAGGGGCTGGGCCGGGACATATACGAGATGGACGACACGATCATCCCGTGGGGGCAGGTCAGCGATCGACTGAACCACTGCCGGTCGCGCCAGCAGTGCGGCGACAAGTGGCGCAAGGTGCGCCGTCGGGTTTCCTCCCTGCGCGAGAACGGAAAGCCCGACGCGATCTACGACCTGTCCGCCGAGACGAGGTACCGGAACTGGTCTGAAGCCAGGGGGTCGGATCCGAAGGATTTGCTGAGGCGCTACAAGAGTTCGAAATACGTTCACTCGGACGACGAGGAGTCTGGGCCTGATCCCCGCCCTCAGCTGAAGGCTCAGATGGAAGAGCGCATGAAGACGATGCTGGCCAAGAAGTCTGAGGGAGGGAAGCCCGAGAAGAAGAAGAAGCCCGAAGCACAGAACCCTGCGCCACAACAAGCCGAAGCAGAGACCCCTAAGGCACAGAAGCTCGAGGCAAGGAAACCCGTGAACAAGAAGATCACGTCGGTCTTCTCAGATAGCGAGGGTGAGAGTGGGAGTGGGAGTGACGAAGGTAGCGATAGCGATGGTGATAGCGAGGACGACGGCGAGTCGAGAGAGGATAGCCGCAGCACGACCAACAACCGCGATGGGAACGGGATTGTCAAGGTCGAACCGCGCACATCTACGACTACGACTGCATCTACGTCTGACGGCTCTGGATCCGACTCGGGAAGCGATAGCAACGGCGACTCCGATGGCGAGTCTGGCTCGGACAGCGACAGTGGCTCCGAGTCCAACCCTGACCACCGGCAATCCCAAGATCTCGCCGGTTCCCAGAGAATCAAAAGGGAGCGCAGCAGTTCCAACTCCTTGACCGGCCGCATGGACGTCGACGCGCCAGGTGAATTGGATGGATCTGCAGATCCTGGAGTGAAGCAAGAGCAAAGCTCTGCTAACAACTCCGACAGTGATGAGGAGGAATCAGACTCCGATGAGGAATAGGGTGGTTGATTGTTTGGAGATGCAAACATGCTGGAGCATTGCCCTCGAGGATTGATGCCGTTGGTAATATCACGAGTGACCGGATGGGGGCGATAGAGGATCCGAACGGGGTACCCAATTATGTTCGTAGTAATATTCACAGATACCATATGATTTCGGTCAATAATCAACAAGTTTCTCCCAACAACCTAATGTAGTTGACAGATGTTGAATCTGATATTAGATCTGATGGAAGCCTCAGGCCGCGAGGCGGTCTCGGCGTCGGCGGCCAAACCTCCGATCAGCCTTGCTCTTTTTCGCCATCATTTCCCGTCATCTCTTTCAACTCCTTCTCAGCCACCACTCCCACCTTCTCTCCAGCTTTGTCGCGGTCGGAAGGATGTCGCTGTCGTTGGATTGACCTTTGAACAAGACTTATATCACCTCCGGACGTTGACGCCTCATTTAACCCTCGTTTTTGGTGATCGGCGCAGTCACATCCACCATGGATCTCGCCAGTACCTTGATTCGCAGCGTTGCGCGCGCCTTCTACGAGACCCGTCATATCCTCGTGGTTGATGCGCTCTTCATCCACTCGGTGTATGCCTGGGCCTGGACTTCAGAATTAAATTAAACATCACCCTCTGACGTACTTTGACTAGGCTCCACGCCGAGGACCTCGCCTTTCTTCTGGGAATGCAGCAAAAGGATCTACGGAAACTTTGCGCCAAATTGCGCGAGGACCGACTGATTGCAGTGTATGGCCTCACGCTGGTGTCGCATGCATGGGAGGTCTGAGCTGAGCTGACTGCGATTTTATTTCCCCCGTTACAGGAGCACGCGAGCCGAAATTCGAGACGGCGCCACGCGCCCCGTCAACCGCGAATACTACTACATCCCCCTCCACCCGGTCGTCGACGCGATCAAGTACAAGGTTTCCAGGTTGACCTCGACGATCAAAGCGCAATACACGCCGAGCGAGGACCGAAAGGAGTACATCTGCCTACGGTGTGGGACGGAGTGGACGGAGCTGGATGTGCTGAGTCTGTACTCGGAGGAAGGGTTCGAGTGCCAGAATTGCGGCGCGATCCTGGAGCGGACGGAGGATGTCAAGGGCGCCGAGGGGATCGACCGCACGGGACACGAGAAGAATAGCAAGCTGATGGCGCAGCTGGATCAGATGCTGAAGCTGCTGAAGCAGATCGACTCGGTGGAGATCCCGCCCAACGACTTCGACACCGCCTGGGACCACAAGGTCGACGTCGTCCGCAACCAGCAGATCAACCCCACGCGGGCGGCCATCGTCGTGCCGCCCAAGCAGCAGGACGCCGTGCGGGGCAACGCCAAGACCGACACGTCCGCGCTGGAGATCTCGCTCACGTCCACCGCCGAGAAGACGGCCGCCGAGCAGGCCGCCGAGGCGGCGCGCAAGGCGGCCGTGGAGAAGCAGAATGCGCTCCCGGTGTGGCACACGCACTCGACGGTCTCCACCGCGGCCGGCAACGGCAGCCGGGTGAAGACGGAGACGGACGTCGACGTCAAGCCCGAGATCAAGGACGAGGAGGACCAGAAACCCAGCATCGACGAGCTCGACGACAAGGTGGCGGCGTACTACGCGGAGATGGAGCGGGAGAAGGCCTTGCAGGCGCAGGAGGACGCCAGCAGTGCGGAGGACGAGTCGGACGAGTTCGACGAGGAGTTCGAAGACGTCGGGGGCGTGTCGGCCAGCGACGCGGCGTCCCCTGCTGTGGGAGGCGGGGCGCCGACCAGTGCGCCGTCCGCCACGTCCGGGTCGGGGATCAAGCGCGAGCTTGACATGGATTCGGGTACGAGCAGCCCCCAAACGGGCGCGACGCCGTCCACCGCCGCCGACGGACCGGCAGCCAAGAAGATCAAGACCGAGCCGGAGATCAAGACCGAGCCGGGGATCAAGAGGGAGGAGCCGGCAGTCAAAAAGGAGGAGTCGGACGAGGACGATGACGAGGAATTCGAGGATGTCTAGGAACCCTTCTCTGCCCATTTGTATTATGATCTTCCTTTTTTTCAGGGAGAATAGGACGTTACACTCACCATCCTCGGCGCTGGCGCTGGAGCAAGGCGGGAGGGATATTTCCACTTGGATTATTTAGACGGTTCGATAGATTATTCTGGATGATCTTATTTTTATCCTTTATTATTATTATCATTATTATAATCAGTCTAGTGCTCGTTCTAGATCGGAATGACTATTCTATGTAAAAGGGGGGCTGGAAACAAACCGCCAACTCGTTCTCGCCCAACCAAACGCAGCCCTAAGTTGAGCGTCATCCCAGCCACCCCGGAAATCCACATGGCTGGGCTCTAGGTCCGTTTTCCCTTTTAGACACGAGGGCGCCGAGAATTTTTACTTCGTCTCTCTTTCTGTTATGTTCCATTCTTCATCCCTGGATTCTTGGATCTTTCTTGATCCTAATCCTAATCCACTATTCGATTATCAACCATACCGATCGATATAATCAACCTATACTATTGGACCAGACCGATTGACAACCCTCGTTTTTGACACACCTATACATATACACATACGCATATATATATATATATATATAAAGAGAGGAGAAAAAGACACAATGGTTCAAAAAAACATCGCCATCGCGATCATCATCATCATCCTCTTCCTGCTCATCGCCATCGCCAGCTTCGGCATCTGGGCCATGAAGAACCACGTCTCGTTATTTCCGCGGAAGAGGGCTGTCGACGAGGAGAGTGGGGCTGATGAAGGATGACATCTTCTTTTCCTACTCTTGTATTCCTCTTTCCCACGATCTATCTCCATTGCTATCTCATGACCGACTATTTCCTGAACGAACGAAACGAACGAAACCCTAATGACGAACGAACGAACGAACGAATACGCCCTCGATCTATCTATCTATCCATCGATCTCTTTTCTACCAGAATCAGTACATATCGAACGATATGACGACGCACGGCGCTAACGAAAGGAGTACCGGTTGATTTCCTGCTATCTTGTTTCTCCTATTTCCTACGGCCATGTTCAACTATGTTGATGTCTTTATTTCCCATTCTTTATTTTCCTTGATATATTTTCTCCGACATACAACCCGAGCACAGTATATGACGAGCGGTACCTGCATTTATTTATGAGTGAAAAGTGACTGTACATCAAGCATGCATACATATATGACACGATCGCGTTGGTCTTATGATCACGAATATATACTTCTTCATATTACGTTCTCTACACAGCTATATTCTACCAGAGATACGTACCTCCCTACGGTCATATCAACTGGACAAGTACTCAGCAGACAGGTTAGCGGAACTTTAGATATTAGAGCTACCAAAATACAATCACAATATAGATTTATCTTGTATATGCATGTCAATTACTATGTATCATAGACAGGGTGAAACGATATCCTCCACGTCAACCCAAAATCTTCAATCCTCCCTTCGTCTTCCCCGGCTTCTTCACCCCGTCGTGTCGCACCTTGCCTCCGGCGCCCGCTCCACCCTTGTGGCCGCCCCCGCCTCCGCCGTTCTTTCGCCCCGTCTTGTTGTTCGCCACGGGCCGCACCTCGGTGGTAGCGCGGCGAAGCAGAATCGGGTGCGACCCGATGTACTTGTTCTGCATCTCGCGCGCGGCCCGGAAATAATCATCGCCGTCGCTGAAACTGACGAACCCGTACCCCTTGCTCTTCTGCGTCCGCTTGTCGCGGATCACGCGTGCCTTCTGGATCGACGTGTATTTGGAGAAGGCCTTGAGCAGCGAATCATCGGTGACCTCGCCCGCAAGGTTTCCAACGAAGAGGCGGAAGTGCGCGGGGTCCCACTCCAGAAGCGAGGAATCGGACCACGTCTTCCCGCCGCCGGCGCGCACCACCGTCTTGGGATCCGGTTCCGGGCCGCTGGGGAACGGGTTGGGCGTGCTGGCCGCCGGTGTGGTTCCCGCTTGGGTGGTGGCGCCGGAGCCGGTGCTGGGCATGGCGGGATAGGCGTCGCGCTGACCCGGGATCTTCCCGACGGGCGGGACTTCATCCTTGTTGGCGTAGGCGCTCTGCCACTGGGCGATCTGCGCCTCCATCTCAGCATCTACGCCGGATTCGTTGGCCTTGGCGCGAGACCCGTACGGCTGATCGGCCGCAAAGGGGTTCTGGATGTGCGGAACTGCAGCCCCATAGTTGTTGTCGTTGTACTGCGCCGACCCGTAGTAGGAGGCGCCCCCCTGGTACGTTTGCTGTGGTTGCGAATAGTAGTTACCGTAGCCGGTGGTGGTTGGAGTGGAATACCCAGACGTGGTAGCCGGCGGCGCCGACACCACGGGACTGCTGTTACGGTATGGCTGGCTCGATGCTACGGCCCGCGGCTGGAATGCCGTGAAGGCGTTGTAGCCCGAGCGGGCTCCGCTACCCCCATATCCGCTACTGGTCCCCGCAGAGGCATAGGACGGCGCTGCCGAGTATGCGGGTTTGTATGACGACGGAGTGGGAGAGGGCGAGATGGAGCTGGCGGGAGGCGGTCGCGGAGGGAGCGATGAAGGAGCTTGCTTCAGACCTGGAGGTGGCGGAAAGGACATGATGAATGGATTGTTCGCAAAGAGAGAGGCGGGCGGTGGATAGTGTGATTCGCCGTGTGCGATTAGCAGCGGACACGTACCTTCAGGGTTTGACCGACGTAGCAGTCACACGCCAGACGTCACACCTGAAAAAGCCGAACTGTGGTGTCCCTGAAAGAGAGGAGGGGGGATTGATGGTTGTCGTCGCGGTCTGGAGGGTCGAAAGAGGCAAGAGGTATCCCGGACGATCGCGTTTGGGGTGGATCAAGGAAGCAGTCGTGATCCTCGAGTGGTAGTTATAATAAACCAACTGAGCAATAGGACACTGGTGGGGATGAAGATGGCGGTCGTTGGGTTGAAGTGAAGAGAGAGAATGAGAAAGAGAGAGAGAGAGAGAGAGACAGAGAGGCGAATGAGGTGGAAAAAAAGTCACGGGTGGTCTGGGTGCCTCGCCGTAGTCAGGCATCAACCTTCCTCTTCGGTCAATCCATGACATACTTTACGCTCTCTAAGCAAGATCTATGGTTTAGTCTAGTTGGTTAACAGTGTAGTTTACTTGTAGAATATACTATAAATTAGACATCTCAATTCATGTAGTGTATTGCTGGTAAAGTGGCTCTGTATGGAGATTCCCCGGTCGTGTCTACGATATATATCGATCGATCACCAGGAACTTTGAACACCGATATAAATATTCCATTGAAGATATAAACTTTGCTTCAAGTCTAAACCTACCCCAACACCTTCATTTTCTTCTTCTTCTTCTTATCATCTCCCCCCTTTCGCCCTTTTTGCCAATCCCGCCAACTGCCAATCCGTTCCTCCCGGGTGTCCTCCCACGCCTTGTCCTGCTCCCTCTTTCGCTTCCGGGCGTCGAGCTCTTCGTCTTCCTTGCGTCTCTCGCGTCCTTCTTCCTGCATCTTGGCTTTGATCTGCCTCCGTCGTCGGGCCTCCTCATCCAGCAACACCTCGACCGTCTTTTTGCGCCACTCCTTCTTGAACTCCTCCGTCTTCAGCTCCGGCGAGTCGAGAGTGTACTTGTGATCGCGAATGAGCAGTCGCCGAGCGTCCGCGATGCACTCGTCCAGGTATGTGCGTGACTTCTCCTCCATGAGGGCTGATTGCGCTTTCTTAAGGCGATCGAAGGCATCGGGGGCGGCCGGATTCTTCGTCTTATCGGGGTGAATGAGGAGGGACTTCTTGCGGTATTGGATTTTGATGTCGGACTCGGTGACTCCCGGTTGGAGGTCCAGAACAGCGTAGCTACACCATAAAAGTCAGTTTCTTGCTGAGTCTCCCAAATTCCGCCTTGCAATGGCTTCAGATAGAACACAGGAAAGAGAAACTCACGCGTCTAGCTGAAAGGCTTTGCGAATGCGATCGATCTCGGCATCCTGTCTTGGTCAGTCGCAGCTCCGTGTCCGTCCTCGGGGTGCCATACCTTGTTGAAATCCGAGGCCTCCCTCTCCAGCGAGTCCAAGATATCTTGCTCGTCGTCCGACATAATGCAGCCTGCTCTGTGAATGATGGGATTTGGTCAATCCAGGAAGATGGTTGAGCGTACATGAAGCAACGATAAGCGCGATCTTATCGGCGCTGAGTCAGCACGTACCCGCCCGGCAGAAAGGTGGGCCTGGGGCCTGCAAAAAGTCCTTTCTCACCGCCCGGCAATTCTGCGAATCTTTTTCGCCAGAAAGAAATGCGAAGAAGCGCAGTCAATCCTGGTCCTTTGTCAACAGAACGTTTGATTTCCCCCCCGACACGGCTCTATTACGGATCGCTTGCGATTTGAGTCGATCATGGCTCCCCCGAATGCACGGAACGGCAAACATGCGAAATCTCGAGATCCGTCGTTGAAACGCAAGCGGGGACAGGAGGATTTGTCCACCCTCGTCCAGAAGGTCGAGGATCTCGATATCAAAGAGACCTTCAAGTCCTTCTCCGATATTCCTCTCTCCGAACCGACCGCTTCCGGCCTGGAGGCGTCCCATTTCAAGGCCCTGACCGATATTCAATCTCGTGCGATCCCCCATGCGCTGAAAGGTCGGGACATCCTGGGTGCCGCAAAGACCGGCAGCGGCAAGACCTTGGCCTTCATTATCCCCGTTCTCGAAAACCTTTATCGCAGGCAATGGGCAGAACACGACGGGCTGGGGGCATTGATCCTGTCTCCTACGCGCGAGTTGGCCATTCAGATCTTCGAGGTCCTGCGCAAGGTTGGCCGCTTCCACGGCTTTTCGGCTGGTTTGATCATTGGTGGAAAGAGTCTACGGGAGGAGCAGGATAGATTGGGACGGATGAATATCTTAGTCTGCACGCCCGGTCGCATGCTTCAACATCTGGACCAGACGGCTATGTTTGACACCTTCAACCTGCAAATGCTCGTCCTGGACGAGGCCGATCGCATCATGGACATGGGTTTCCAGAAGACCGTGGATGCGATCGTCGGCCATCTTCCGAAAGAGCGACAGACCATGCTATTCAGTGCGACCCAAACCAAGAAGGTGTCTGACCTGGCCCGGTTGAGCCTGCAAGATCCCGAGTACGTCGCGGTTCACAATACGGCGGAGTCAGCAACCCCTTCCACGCTCCAGCAGCACTACGTGGTCACGCCCCTGCACAACAAGCTCGACGTCCTATGGAGTTTCATCCGGAGCAACCTGAAGTCGAAAACAATCGTGTTCCTCTCGTCGGGCAAACAGGTGCGCTTTGTGTACGAGTCCTTCCGACGGCTCCAGCCTGGTATCCCGTTGATGCACCTCCACGGCCGACAGAAGCAAGGCGGGCGCCTCGACATCACCTCCAAATACTCCCACGCCAAGCACGCCGTTCTCTTTTCCACCGATATTGCCGCCCGCGGTCTCGACTTCCCGGCGGTCGACTGGGTCATCCAAATGGATTGCCCCGAAGACGCCGACACCTATATCCACCGCGTGGGCCGGACGGCGCGGTATGAGCGGGACGGTCGCGCCGTCATGTTCCTGGACCCTAGCGAGGAGAAAGGGATGCTGGCGCGTCTGGAGCAGAAGAAGGTCCCCGTCGAGCGGATCAACGTGAAGGCGAACAAGCAGCAGAGCATCAAGAACCAACTGCAGAGCATGTGTTTCAAGGACCCCGAGCTCAAGTACCTGGGTCAGAAGGCCTTCATCTCCTACGCCAAGTCGGTCTACGTGCAGAAGGACAAGGAGATTTTCAACATCAAGGGGATGAAGCTGGATGATCTTGCGTCGAGCATGGGTCTGCCTGGTGCCCCGCGGATCAAATTCATCAAGGGAGACGATACGAAGGAGCGGAAGAACGCCCCGCGGGCCGCTGCGAACCTGTCCAGCGACGATGAGGACTCGGACGGTGGCGAGGGGAAGAAGAAGAAGGCGCCGAAGGAGGAGAAACAGGTGCGGACCAAGTACGACCGGATGTTCGAGCGACAGAACCAGGACGTGTTGGCCGACCATTACCACAAGCTTATCAATGACGATGGCACGATGGTTGGCGCGGCGAAGGGCGCTGGTGATGGCGAGGATGAGGACGACTTCCTTTCGGTGAAACGCCGGTACGAGGCCGGAGACGAGGACCTCGGCGTGGCAAGCGGCTCCGACGAGGATTCCTCCGACGAGGATGTCTCCGACAAGGATATCAAGACGGTGCATATTGACGGCAAGAGCGAGCTGACGATTGATTCGAAGCGTCGCGAGAAGCTGCTCAAGTCCAAGAAGAAGCTCCTGAAATTCAAGGGCAAGGGCAAGAAGCTTGTGTACGACGAAGACGGCAATGCGCACGAGGTTTACGAACTGGAAGACGAGGAACAGTTCCGGGCCAAGGGCGACGCCAAGGAGCAGCAGGCACGGTTCCTGGAGCAGGAGACCGAGCGGGCGCGGCAGGCCGATCTGGAGGACAAGGCGGTTGCCAAGCAGAAGAAGCGCGAGAAGAAGGAGAAGCGCAAGGCTCGCGAGCGGGAGGAGCTCTACTCCGACGACGAGGGCGAGGAGGTCGTGGCCCAGCTGGCCCCCTACGAGGAGAGCGAGGGGTCGGCGTCGGAGGACGACAGCCGTCGTCCCAGCAAGCGCACCAAGGTGCAGCGCCACGAGTCGGACGAGAGCGAGGACGAGCCCCGGCCCAAGAAGGACTACCGGAGAAGCACCACTCGTCCGGTCCAGGAGGCGCCCCAGATCCAGACCCTGGAAGATTTGGAATCGTTGGCGACTGGATTGTTGGGATGAAGCATGGGATTGGGCATTCCCATATAGTCGGCCGTGGACTGAACGCGGTCATTCGATTTTGTCTTTCTTGTCTATTATTGTCTTACATTTTTTCTTCACCTTTTTGTTTTCTAGTTCTCTAGCGGGATATCAAAAGCAAATGGCATGTATATAGATCGCATGAAGTGTTTAAACATCATAGTCTACTTCTTAGGGTTAGATCCACCTCAGGCATCGATGTCGTAATTATGTCCCGGAGTCACCACCTCCACGCTAAACTCGATCCAGCCATTTATCCCTCTGTCCATTTTATGAAGCGGGCGTTTTCCTCCGACCGCGGCGCTTTCATCACCAACGCTGATTCCCTCCAATTGCTTCCACAGAGCTTCCCCTTCTCCTAACCATGTGTCATTGAGTAAAGAGGTTCTGTCCGCTTGATCTCCCGTCGACTTGACGCTCACATCCGGCCATCATGCTGCCCTGGGCGGCTCGATCGCCGTGCTGGCGCATCTCGCGCCTCATACATCACCGCCCCGCGGTGCCGCGCTCGACCGCGTGGACGACTCCCTCTCGTGCGACACAATTGCGCTTTTTCTCAGCTCACAATAGCCCGTTGCGGAAACAGGACTCGAAGGAGCCACCATCGAACCAAACAGTATCACCCTCCGCCGCGGGGTTAGATTCCAAACCGACCGATCCGAAGACGAACGACCCCAAGAATGCTGTGGTCGCGCCTAAGAAGGACCTCCTTAGCGAGGCGACGCTGGGGAAACAGGAACAAAGGAAGGCGGACTGGGCGATCATGAAGGAGATGGCCAAGTACTTGTGGCCCAAGGTAATGCGTCTGGGTCTGTGGAGGGGTTCGAATGGTGTTAACCGGGGACAATGCAGGATGACTGGGGCACCAAGCTCCGCGTCGGAACGGCCTTGTCCTTGCTGATCGGAGCGAAGGTTAGTGGAAAACATTGGCGGAGTGTAATGGGTCCATTGCTGACCGGGCGACTAGATCCTGAACGTGGAAGTGCCGTTCTACTTTAAGAGCATCGTCGATTCGATGAACGTGGATTTTGCGACGCTCGGCGGCACGGCTTATACAGTTGCCGGGTCCATGATTATCGCTTGTAAGTCAGCGCGACACTGAGGTACTGATCGAGGTTATCTAACGAGGCAGACGGCGCCACCCGGATCGGAGCCACGCTCTTCCAAGAACTCCGGAACGCGGTCTTTGCGAGTGTGGCCCAGAAAGCCATTCGCAAGGTTGCTAGCAACGTCTTCGAGCACTTGCTCCGGCTCGATCTCAACTTCCATCTGTCCCGACAGACGGGCGGGCTAACGCGAGCTATCGACCGTGGTACCAAGGGCATCAGCTTCCTGCTGACGTCCATGGTGTTCCATGTGGTCCCGACTGCCTTGGAGATCTCCCTCGTGTGCGGGATTTTGGTACACCGGACACCGTCCCCCTACCGGCGAAGTTTCTGCTAATGGTCTTCCCAGACATACCAGTATGGCGCGCAGTTCGCCGCCATCACGGCGGCCACCATGGTTGCCTATTCGGCCTTCACGATATCGACTACGGCATGGCGAACCAAGTTCCGCAAGCAGGCCAACGCAGCAGACAACCGCGGGGCCACCGTGGCCGTGGACTCCCTCATCAACTACGAGGCGGTCAAGTACTTCAACAACGAAAAGTTTGAGGTTGCGCGCTACGACCGGGCACTCAAGGCGTACGAGGACGCCTCGATCAAGGTGACGACGTCGCTGGCCTTTCTGAACTCGGGGCAGAACATGATTTTCTCGAGCGCGCTCGCCGCGACGATGTACCTCGCGGCCAACGGGGTAGCTGCGGGCTCCCTGACGGTGGGCGACCTGGTCATGGTCAACCAGCTGGTCTTCCAGCTGTCCGTGCCGCTGAACTTCCTGGGCTCCGTCTACCGGGAGCTGCGCCAGTCGCTGCTGGACATGGAGACTCTCTTCAACCTGCAAAAGGTCAACGTGAACATCCAGGAGAAGCCGAACGCGAAACCGCTCCGGCTGAGCCAGGGCGGGCAGATCCGCTTCGAGAACGTCACCTTCGGATACCATCCCGACCGGCCGATCCTCCGCAACGCCACCTTCACGATCCCTGCGGGCCAGAAGTTCGCGATCGTCGGTCCCAGCGGGTGCGGCAAGTCCACCATCCTGCGACTGCTGTTCCGGTACTACGACGTGCAAGAGGGCCGCGTCTTGATTGACGGGCAGGACATCCGAGACGTGTCGCTGGAAAGCCTGCGGAAGGCGATCGGTGTGGTACCGCAGGATACGCCGCTGTTCAACGACTCGATCGCCCACAACATCCGATACGGACGGATCGATGCGTCGGACGAGGAAGTCCGGCACGCTGCGCAACGGGCGCACATCCACGAGCTGATTGAGCGATTGCCTGATGGGTACAAGACGGCTGTGGGAGAGCGCGGCATGATGATCTCGGGGGGTGAGAAGCAGCGGTTGGCCATCTCGCGATTGATCCTGAAGGACCCGCAACTGTTTTTCTTCGATGAAGCGGTACGCCTCTTGCCATTTCTCTCCGCGTCCTTCTTTTCCGTTGGATAAAACTAACTTCACAGACCTCTGCTCTCGACACCTACACTGAGCAAGCCCTACTGCAGAACATCAACAGCATCTTGAAGGAGAAGACGCGCACGAGCGTATTCGTCGCGCACAGACTGCGGACCATCTTCGACAGCGACCAGATCCTCGTGCTGAAAGACGGCCACGTAGCGGAGCAAGGGTCGCACCGTGATCTGCTCGATCAAAACGGCATCTACGCCGAGCTGTGGAATGGTAAGTACCTCATCCAGGACATCCGAACGCGCCGCTAACCATGCCTGCAGCCCAAGAGATGTCGCTAGGAGACGCGGAATATGAAGAGACCGTCTAACTGAGGCGAGGGACATTGCCAAGGGAAGAAGACGTAAGTTAGATCGGATCACTGGTGTTACTGGATTGGGGTTACAGATGGTTGTGTTTGTATTTTCTTCGTGCATATTTTGGGTCCCGTTGGGATGTCGTATATATATTGACAATAGATATTGATTCTATCATACTCACGATATACAATTATAGTAGACAACCATCTACCAATTATTTGGGAAGCAATGGTTTGATTTGATATATTATAGGTGGGCTTCCTCATATATTGTACTATCAAACTAGATCAGCCCATCTACTTAATATCACTCCCTCCTCGCACTCCACCGCAGTCGATACCCATTCAAACCCAACCTCTGATGATCATGATACTCGTCCTTGCTCACCTCCACTCGCCATCTCGTCCCCGTGGACTGTCCGACCTCCTCCCACAATTTCAAAATTGTCTTATGGGTATGGACGGACATCACCCCATTGCCAGGCACAACGCCTTCTCGCTCCTCACAACGGGCGAAATTCACCCCGACGACAAGGTCGTCCTTCATCCCGGGGAGAACCTTCAACATGCGCTTCACGAGCTCAACTTGACCCTTCCAGTCCCACACATGCAAGAAATACCCAGTATTAATCACGCGGAACTTTCCCTCGCCCAACAGACTGTCAACCAACCCATCCTGCATAAAATCCCCGACTACAAAAGAACTCCCCAACCCATCCCTATCCCGAAACAACTCATACCCCAACTCAGCGAGTCCACGATGCGGATCCAATCCGCAGAGATTCTCGCTCGGCGCGCCGTCATACACCATCCGTCTGATATCCTGTCCCACCCCGCACCCCAGATGCAGCATCCTCTCGCCGTCTTGCACCCGCCCTAGAATGTCTCCGTACGCGGGCGATAGGGCGATCTCGAAGTCCACGAACCAGAGCTTGCTGAAGTAGGGATAGGGTGCAATGGTGAAGCCGCGCTTGGCCTGGTTCTTGTCAGGAAGTCTATTTACAGGGGTAAGGGGAGAGGGGAGAAGAAAGGAGGGGTACAATTGTGTGAACGTGGGATGGGAGTAGGGAGGGGGCGAGTCCGGTGTAGTTTTGGAGCAGGGTGCGCGCTTCGTCGCTCATGGAGGTGGCGGATGCCATGCGGGCGTTCCAGGTGTTGTAAGCTTCCATTTTGCGGTCAGTTTGGAGATAGTATTTGTTGACAGATACAGCCGACTTGCTCAAGGGAAAGTTGTTCATTCAATATATTGAATGAAGAGGATGGCGGTTATAGACGGAGACTGCGCCAGCCCTAATCCAGCCAAGCCAACACAGCCTTGTCGTTGAGCATATGATCTATATCATGAGCCTGTATTATCGAACTATAATCAAACTATCATACAGATACTACCGCCCCAGTAATCTCACCTCCACCCACCGCAGTGGTGGATAGATGAGCGCCGTGAACCCCACCGACAGCCATATCCCCAGATCGCACGGTGCAGGGAGGGCCCTGGTGACAGGACCGACGAAGTACGATTCGGACTATATCATCAGTATAATAAACTCCAAGAATGAGGTGCCAAAAGCCTACTTACCATTCCGAGAACCCCACCCAAACAGCCGAGCAGGAGACTTCCCCCCGCAGCAACCCCAACAGGCAGTCTCACTCTGCAGTTCCACGCCGTCCAGTCGACGACACGACCACGACGGAAAATCCACGTCTCCTCGAGACAGATGGCCAGCCATGCTACAATCCAGTACGCCATGAGCGGGAGGAAGTTCTCGAGGATCTCGCGCAGGTAGGACCGGCCCAGGATTGCGCACACGGTGCACAGGCCGATCTCGAGCGTGGTCAGGAGCGGCCGCGGGATACGCGGCCCGTACCGGCCTAGCATCTGCAGGTTCAGGCCCGCCGAGTATGTGCATGGAATGTTGTTCGACACCGTCCCTAGCATGAGGAGCACGGCGCAGAATCGCCCGACTCCGCCAAGGGGTGTTAGTGAGTTTGCAAGCAGGGCGCCCGGGGCGGTGGTTGCCACCTCATCTGGGTAGGTGATGCTGGTGGCGAGGCCGACTCCTACCACAGTGGTCAAGACGGCCCCTATGCTGGTTGCGCTGGCAGCGGCGAGGACCATGCGTGTGGTGGAGGTCGACGGGGAAAAATAGACGAAGTAGTCTGCGCTGGAGGGGGCCCAGGTGATAGCGGAGGAAAAGCACAGCGAGAAGAACGACAGGCGGTTGGCCACGACCTTAGGGGAAGATTCCAGGGACTGAGAGCGACTGGTGTCGAAGTGTGGTCCCGCGCAGCCGATCGTGATGCACAGCACTGCGGCCTGCACGGCCCATGCGTATCGCGTGTAGAGGTGGAAGAGAGGCATGCCGAAGGTTGCGACGCACCATGTTAGGACGGCGACGATGACGATGCCTACCGGGACGGCGGTGCGGCCGTTGGACATGGTGAAGAGGATCTGCCCGCCTAGGATGCCGTTGACCATGGCGTAGCCCAGCATTGTGAGGACGTTCAGGAGACAGCAGATCTTGCTAGGGTAGTATCCGATGAAGAAGCGGGTTGCGACCTAGGGATTTAGCGATTGGCGCAACAAAAGATGTGTAGCATACCTACCAGTGTTCGATTGCCACTGCGCGGTCCCAAGGTGCTCATGTAGGCCACTCCAAGACTGCCCAGGACGCCCCCAAATACAGCACACCAGACAGAGTCGTGCCAGTCCAAGCCATATAGCGACGGCCCGTACAGTCCAACCAAGATATTGTTGCCGGTCAGGAAGGAGCTCAACCACAGCATGAAGATGCGATGGTAGTCATTTGGCCCGGGGGGATGGCGCTCGTACACTTCGACGCGTTCAATGCCTCGTTTCTCTAGGCCTGATAGCCGACTAAGCTTGATCGCACACCGTCTGACCGGAGAGATCTTTCGATCAGAGTCGATCGATTCGGTGACTTGCACGATTTCCGATTTGACCCCCGCGTCCTTGAGGACCTCAATCGGCGTGGGACCTTGTTCAATGTCTGCCATTCTGTCTATCTAACTAGCAGGAGCCTAGGATATCAACTGGCGGGGATTAAACCAGTCTATCAACGAGTGTACCATATCACTACCCCTGGGGTAAGCCAGACAGTTTTATACTGTACCCATTGTCAGTCACCTTAACCAGGGCAATCGCCCGCATGGACCTAGACCCAATCGAACCGTCAAGAAGGAAGAAAAAGATCAGAAAGAAGAGAAAAGAAATTGGTGGATGCCTAATATGCACCCATAAGAAATTGTCTCGTACAGTTGAGAGGGTTCCATCCTGTATGCAAGGATCGCATAGGGCTGGTCTGCTGATCTGGGGTCACATCGCAATGCATTCTTCTACCGTCTAGGGGGTGGCGCGTTTTCTCCCTATCGTAGGGGTATCTGTGGAGGTCTGGATCTAGCTGTTGTCTTGGTGAGATCTAGTCCTGGGTCTTATTCTACAACGGCTTGGTGAGCCGAGACTTTCATCCGCCCTGTCTTACCAGGACCGCACATGGGGTCAAGGGTCGTGATGGGGCGGTTTAGGGGGGTGGAATGAGCTGTTATCTAGCGGTGTTTCCCCTGGAGTTAGGATACTCTTGCAGTAATGGGTGGTTGGCTTTGTAGAACGAGGGCTTTAAGCAGGTAGATGGCGTGCCCTAGACTCCCCGGCATGGAATCTAGGAGTGCTCGATTACGGGTCCTCTCTAGCCCTAGGTTGAATATACTGAGGATGAAATTCAGTGGACGTCGATGTTCCGTTTAGCTCGCCGTATACGATTAGACATCTCATGTCTTAGTCTCAAGAATTAAAATGAACAAGATATCATTTCTCGTCTAAACACGTCAATGCTACCTAAATCGTTGCCATGCACAATTCTTCCTTTTCTGCATCCCCTGATCGGGACAGATGTGCCTACCGCACCGTGCCGTTCTTCAGGCTCTTCACAGTGCACAACCCGCCCTGCGTCGTCAGCTTGCCCAGCGCGGGCTTGCCTTCCTGGCCCTGCACGGCGGGAACGGCACTGCTGTCAAAGGCCACCTCGAGGGAGTCCGTCGTGGTGAATCCGGGCTGGAAGGTCTCCCAGACCTTCTTCTTGGGGTTGAGCACCTTCTCGGGCTCGCCCTCCGACCAGCCGTCGAAGTAGACGCGGGCACCGGCGGGGGCATCGGCCGGCGGGCTGACGAGCTCGACGGGCCCCGCGTGGGAGTCCTCGCCCTCGGCGACGCGCGGCGACGCGGCCAGCACCATGGCGCACGACTTGATGCCGCGCATGGTGACGGGCTTGAGGTTGCAGACGGCCACGATCTTGCGGTCCTGCATCTCCGGCAGCGGGATCAGGCCGTTCAACCCGGAGCAGACGGTGCGCACCGTCTTGCCCGTGGCCTCGTCCAGCGACGTGTTCTCCGTGCCGGGGGCATCGCCGCAGTCGATGGTCGACACGTACAGCGAGTCGGCGTTGGGGTGGTTGATGGCGCGCAGGATGTGGCCCACACGCAGGTCGATGACCGACGGGGAGGGCGGGGCGGCGGGGGCCGGCGGGGGCTTGGGGGCCTTTTCCTTCTTCTCCTTCTTCTCCTTCTTGTTGGCCTTGCCCTCCTTGGCCTTGCCCTCGGGGGCGGCGTCCTTCGACTCGGGGCGGCCCTTGCCGACGACCAGCGGCTTGCCGGAGTCGGGGGTCTGGACGCCCGTGGCGGCGGCGGCAGCGGCCTTCTCCTTCTTCTTGCGCTCCTTCTCCTCCTTGGGGTCGACGGGCTTGGGGACGAAGCGCACGTCGTTCAGGTCGATGGCGATCTTCTCCTCGTCGGGGATGCGCAGGCCGAACAGGCGGCTGTTCTGGACGAGGTCGATGTGGCGGACGATGTGGTGATGGCCGTGCTCACCGGTGCGCTCCTCGGGGGACCACTTCTCGACGACGGGGGCCAGCAGCGCATACAGGGCGATGTCGGCGACGGACGGCTTGCTGCCCAGGAGGGTGGTGCGCGAGGCGAGGTGGGTGTTCAGGTGGCCCAGAATGTTGGAGATGACCGTGGCGTCGCCCTTGACGAGCGCAGACTGGAGGCCATCGACGGACTCGAGCCACAGCTTAGTGCTGGCCTTCTCCTCCTCGGAGTAGTTGATCTGGGAGAAGATCTTGTGGGAGGCGTGACGGAGGTCGGGCTCGGTGGCGTCGGGGGAGACGGCGCCCGGGTAGGAGCGGTAGAGGAGGGAGAGGAGCGAGGTCTGGGGGGCGGAATTGATGGCCATCGTGGAGCGGGACCTGGTGGCAGGCGTGATCGGAGAAGGCGTAGTGATGGTGGGGAGGAAAAAGTGAGGCAGACGAGGGGCAGTTGGGAGAAGTCGGCGTGGGGCTACTGGGGTGGCCCGCACACGGCGCAGGAGGGGCACGAGGGGAGACAGCGTGGATGCTATCCCGAGGGATTACGGCGAGAAGTGGAGGGAGAGGGCTAGAAGGCTATAACGAACGGAAGAGTGAAGCAATTGAATAATTGAAGGTGAGAATCATGGAGAAAAAAAAGAGGAAATGTCCGATCGCAGATGGATGCCTGTGCGTTCAGGCATGAGTATGAGTCAGCGTTGCATCTGAGTCAGCATGCACAACGGTCACCTGATCTGGGGATATCCGTCACGTGCGCATCCCTTCTATCCCAGACAACATACAGATGACTGCGAGACATCTTGGAGGGTTGTAAATGATCCAATCGGCTTTGTGGTCCAGTGGCTTTTCTGGCGTTGTATTACAGAATGCCAGATATCTCTGCTCTGTCCCCCTCATCTTCCAATTCAATGAAGTTGCTGACTCTAGCACACGTGCAAGCATCAACACCAACTATTTAATACCGTTGGAGCTGCCACCGAAGCTAGACAGGCATGGACTTTCACACCATTGATACAGTAGCCAGCTTATATGATCATGCGCCGGAAGTGCGGATTGGTATCTCATGAGGGGGTCCTATTTTTGCTCGACGAATTTGATAGATCTATCCCCAGGTTATCGATCAGCCGTACCCGCGTCATGGAACGAGGTTGAAGAAGATCTCTTGATGCGAGGAATATTCATGGATTTGAGTGTCCTACCAATGGGATGCCCTGAGCAACTGGTGTGGCGCATCAACAGGGGTGCTTATCACCTGCGACGCCTGTTCGACCCCGCAGCATATATGCCAGTTCATCAAGAGGCTGGAATACACCCTATTTTGTCGTCTAGTTCCTATTTTCATCCTTTCTATCCCGTGAAGCATCATGCCCTTCACATTCACAAAACCTGTCCATCTTCCCCAGGGTAGGTTTCAAGAGGCCTCTAATTTCAGTGGAAAACGGACCGACTAATAAGCCCGCTCCGCCTAGAGGGAGCTGAAGAAACCCCATTGCGCCCTGTACTGATCGCCCCGTTCCCGCGCAATCCAGACTTTGTGGGTCATGACACGCTACTCAATGAGCTTCATAGGAGAGGTGATGTGCCCGGGTCGAGAATAGCACTTATCGGCTTAGGCGGAGTCGGGTGAGTTTAGCATAGTCGACCGGCTGCCCGTTGCTGACAGGTTTCCAGAAAAACGCAGCTGGCTGCCGAATACACCTACAGCATACGAGACCGATCGCCCGAGACGTCGGTATTCTGGGTCCCTGCAGGAGATGCTGGCAGTTTCGAGCAGGGTTGCCGGGATATTGCAAATAGGCTCAAGATCCCCGGCAGACAGGACCCGACAGCAGATATCTGCGAACTCCTTCATGTCTGGCTTCAAGATGAGAGGAATGGAAAGTGGGTCCTAGTTCTCGACAATTGGGACGATGGCGAATTCCTCCGTAAAACCCGACCAGCAGAAATTGATGACCTCGGCGGCGAATCTCGCGGCATGCCAGGGCAATCATTCTGGTCGTATTTCTGTGAGGGTTTGAAGGGCTCAATTGTGATCACAACCCGGAACAGAGGGGTGACGTCGATGGTGGAGGATAGCAATGTTCTTCATGTTACACCGATGAATAACGACCAAGCGATAACACTGTTTGAGAAGAAATGTAATGTGCAAGCTGACAGAGAAGAGGTTGTTCAGCCTGTGACGGCCCAAGATTTCATGCCACTGGCGATTACGCAAGCGGCAACCTATATCAATTTTGGATCGCGACGTCTGTCAGCCCCAGGGTATCTTGAAGTGATCCCTAAGTATAAAGAAGTCTTTACTACCTGGAAACTGATATTTGACCGTATACGAGAAACGCAGCCGTCGGCGGCAGATCTGTTATGTGTTATGAGTTTCTTCGACGCAGATGGGATTCCTGATCACGTTTTTCGTCAGAACGAGACAGGGTACAACATCAGGGGCTTGCCTACCTACGACAGGGATAGGGTAAACAATGGCGGAGATGGAGAGGAGAGCACAAGCGAAACTAGTGGGCTTGATCTGTTTGAAGATGACATTTCGCTCTTGAGAATTAGCTCATTGATATCCGTCAGCGCAGATAAATCAACGTTTGGGATGCATCGGGTTGTTCAACGGATCACACTGAATTGGCTGGAAGCCAACCAGCAAATTGAAGAATATAAGGAGCGTTTTATCCGAATACTTTGGAGCAACTTTCCATCGGGGCGTTTGAGAAACTCGTCAAGATGCGAATCGCTATTTGCTCACGTGCTATGCGCGGCTGCACAACGCCCGAACGCAGAAGCCTCTTTAGGTCAATGGGCATCTTTACTGCATGAAGCAGCATCGTTTGCGATAACTCGAGGAATTTACGCTGATAGCACAAAATTGGCAGGGGAAGCTTTCTCCGCTAGAACGGAATTATTTGGCATAAAGAATGAACAGACACTCAATAGTTCCCAAGTCCTGGCACTATCATACAGTCTCGAGGGCCGATGGAATGAAGCCCAAGAGTTACAAGAGCATGTGATGGAGACTAGCAAGCAGGTTCTCGGATCAGAGCATCTTTTCACTCTGACTACTGCGAGCCATCTCGCATCTACATACTCACATCAAGGGCAACTGAAGGAGGCAGAAGAGCTTCTGACTCTGGTGATGAACACGAGCAAGCAGTTGCTAGGACCAGAGCGTTCTGGTCCTCTACCTACCATGGCTGCTGTCATATCTTCATGCTTGAGTCCAACACAAATCGAAGAGGCCGAAGAGCTCCTGACACTGGTGGTACAAACCAGCAAGCAGATCCTAGGGCCAGAACATCCTAACGCTCTGCTTAGCATGGATAATCTCGCTTCTCTATATATAACTCAAGGAAACTGGACGGCGGCCAAACAGCTGCTGATGCAGGTGATACAGATCAAAAAGCAGGTCCTAGGGTCAGAACATCCCAGCACTCTGCTGGGTATGGATAACCTCGCATCTCTATACATGAGACAAGAAGAATGGACGGCGACAAAACAGCTGCTGTTACAGGTGATAGAGATCAGAAAGCAAGCACTGGGACCGGATCATCTCGATACTCTACAGAGTATGAATAACCTCACATCGTTGTACGTACTACAAGGAGAATGCAAGGTGGCGAAAGAGCACCTGATCCAGGTGATAGGGACCAGCACGCACGAGCTAGGGTCGGAATACGCCAACACTCAGATCCGAGAGGATATAGAGACACGAGTAATGAACACTCACGATGAAGTGCTAGAGCTCAAACATTCCAGACCTCTGCTTACTATGAACATGCTCGCATATCAGCGCATGAGCGAAGGGCGATGGGAGGAAGCAAAAGAGCTACAAATGCAGATGGTGGTTATTCTAGACTCATTAATAGAGACTCGAGAGGAGGGTTCGGATTCAGCCAGTGAAAATGACTCAGTTTTTTCTGCCTCGGTCTCCCACCCCAGCGCAACTTCGTTGGAATCAAGAGGACGGGAGATAAATTTGCTGCTCATTCGCGAGTTTGCAAACTTGCTGTTTGACGATGGCACTCTGTTCTCGCTTCTCTTAGTCGGTATATCAGAACAACGGATTGGATTTGAGAGAATGCGAAACAACTTTCGGAGGTTGCTGAAACACTTCGCGAACAATCTCAAAGCAGACATCCACAGTGAACTGCACCAGGACTTTAGGAGATTTGTAAGTTCTTATTCAAGGATGATCACCCAGGAACTTTTTGCCATGACACCCATCGGTGGAGAGCAAGTTACTAGACTTCTCGTTCCAGAGGCAGTAGATGGGACCACATCATTGAGAGACCGCGCAGTCCGTGAGAAGAGAGTGGAAGATTATCTTCAAAATCTACACGGGACTGGCCAATTTCCTCCAACAAATGAAGCAACTACAGTATTCAAACGTGATGACGAGGATAGTGATCAAGACTCCGTGGCAGAGGAAGCCGGCGAAGATGAGCCATATGAGGGATCTTTACCGCAGTTGGACCAAGTGAAGACCTTCATTTTGGAAAGCGTCGCTTACCAAATGTTTCGTCGCCGGATCCAAGAATTTGTCCATCCCTCGTTGTACTCTCGGCTTCGGGATCTGGTGACACAATGGATTGATCAAGACGACCGGAGCCGTGACGATACTGTGCGTTATAAATTGCATAATCTTGTCTCGGATCTGCAGCACGTGAATCCCCTTGAGATTCGGTTTGATACTGGCCATGAAAGTTCTCGATTCGTCAAATTTATCAGTCCGTATCAGCATTTAGTTGAACGCTGGACCGGGGAGCATTGGGATTGGTGGCCATTGCCTCGCTGTCAAAGACCACTGGAAGAATCAGAAACACGTCTACGATGGAAGTGTGTGAGTATTCGTTGATCTCCGCTCCTGCACAAGATTGAGCCCTGATCAGTGATGCAGGAATGTGGTGAAGAGCGATGGGCAGAAGTGCCAAAAAGATTTTCCAAACGCCTTCAGTCTATAATTAGAAGTCTGCCCACAGGCACAACTGCAAGAGAAGATTTGCAACCTCCTCCAGGGACCCATACTCGATCTGACTCGCTCCCTAGTAGCGCTCCAAATAATGGAATCTCTAACCAGGCACCACATCAGGGTCATGGGATTCAGCAGGCAGTTAGTCCATCATCGGATCCTTCAAGTCATCGTCGACCACCGGGACTCCAGGCCAGTATCTTCGACAAGAGTCTCACTCAGCACCGCGTCCTCTTGGTCGTAAAACGCGGCCATAACTATAGACTCGCACAGATTCGCGTGAGCGGTTCAAACCATGATACCTTTTTCGGCACCTTGAGAGAAGAATATTTCCGCCTTAGAGGTATGATGCGAAGCTGGTTCAGTGTTTGGAGGTACAACCATTGCGAGTTTTACGAGGTAACCACTTGCGCTTGCTTTGCTCTCTGAGGCTTTCGGCTGAATATATGAAAACAGTTTGAGAAGTTCGATGACCACCTCTTCGCACCCAGAACCAAGAATGCTTTCCCTAGCCATGGGAATACTGAATATGAGTATCTGCCAAGACCAATAGACAACATTCCCCCAATAAGTGAACACGCATTCTGGTGCAAATTTTACGCATGTCACAAACCACGACCATATCACCTCCACCACAAATGTAACCAGCGGAGGTCTCATTCCAATGAGATGCTAAAGTCCCTCCCCAAAAAAAAGACTGAACTAGAAGAGGGGGGCGACAAGCGAGAGTACTTCTGGGGGATCTATGCATGTGAAAACATTAGTATACGTTGGATCATTTTCTACAATTTTCTCTGTGTTTCACCTTTGCTAGCATTCTTCGTGGCATGGATCATACCACAGGAGCACGGCACGGATTTGCAAAACCCGTCTATCCCTCTTTCCATGATGTGTTCGATGCTTTCTCTCTTCTGGAGTGTATATCTCAGCAGTCTACAGTTTGGCAGGTCTCATTAAAGCTGGTATGTGTGTTATATCTTGGTCTGTATTGCTATGAAGATATGAATTGCTTATGAGCCTGCAAGTTTCATGGTTCTTTTTTGTGTTTAGGGTCCGTTGCACCCAGGTAGCGTTGATTTGATACCCAATGTTGGCCATATCGTCCAGAAAGAGCCCTGCTAGTTTCAAGAGCAGATATAATGAGATTGCATCTGTTGTGAAATATTTTATACAACATAAATCATGAAGCACGGAGCATAACCAGAACCTGTTTAACTGGAATATGTTTCTCTTTGATATGTCTACCTAGCCTTTTGTTTCTTTTCTTGTCCTAACGGTCCCATAGCCGATTCTACTCCCACGAGAGGGCAGGGAGAGCGGTTAGGATCCTCCCCTGTCCTCTGCCGATTCGATTTCATTTACACTGCTTATTACAGCTGGACGGGGATGGAGTCCCGCACTCATTATCAGAATAATAGGAATCATCCCATCCGCTTGGGAAGTTGGGTTAATATGAGCCTGTTGGAAGCAGGCCACCTGACTGTGCTGGGCGACATAATCACCACTTTGGGCTACTCAATGTCTCTATCAGGTAGTAGAGCAATTCTTGCTTCGCACCTTTAACCACTATATCCCAAATGTAGTTACCAACATACTTCGCATCGTGACGACTGGTTGGGGAAGACCCCCCTGACCAAAACCAGACGGTAGGGCATTGGATCTCTCATCCCTGGAAGATTTTGGAATGGCAAGATCATGATACAGACCTGCGTGATGATTTGGGCAACCGGTGGCGCAACCACACCCCGATTTCACCGGAGGAGCTGGCCGAAGCGCAGCATCATGGCTACCCCTGAAAGGACTGAGATTTTCTACACTGGCCAAGTCGAAAGTTGCCAAGGTGCCAATGGTTACTTGCCCAGGTCGACTAGGCGACTCACCATGCCCAGAGACCAAATCCTCTGGTCGCAAGGAAGATAGCACTACTTATGAAGCCCACGATTGCCATAATATCCTTTGTGTCTAGTGGGAGTGGCTACTTGAATGCGTTCCCTCGCCAAGGGTGTAGTTCTAACTGCTCTATCAAGCAGAATCGTTTGCATGACTCGAGGAAATCCATTGGGATCAAGAGAATGGCTGGGGTGGCCCTCAAAAACAGGATTGTCTGGTTTAAAGAAGGCGGGGCAGTCAATAGTCATCTGCTTCTAAGGGTGGAATATAGCCTGGAGGGTCAATGAACCCCGGCGGAATACTTATATGTGCGTGTGGTATAGATGAGCAGGCCGGTGCTGGGACCAGAGCATCCCTTTCATGTGATGAGTATGAGCCATCTCCCATTTATACACCGGAAAAACAGGGAAATTCGAAGAAACAGCAGAGTCATGGGGTGCGACTTGACCGTGGTCACGATGTCTCTCGACTGATCATGTTCACCACCCACCCTCGCCACCTAGTTCAATTCCTCACCGGACCGTGTTGGGATTAGCAGCCATGACCTCATCGTCGGAGACTACAGGGATAATCAGAAACACGGTTACGGTGGGATGCATATGCACCCATCTATCCCAGCCCTGCACGAGATACCATTTCTGATCAGGGATTCAGGACTGTGTTGTGGCGAGGAAGTTGGCCAGAAGTACCAAACACGGTGGGCAATTACCTTCACTTTATAAGCAAAACAATTCCCATGGACATCATGGCAACCAAAATCTGTACCCTCCCGGGGTACATATGTCGCAACGAAGGGGATTTACTCACGACAGCCCAGAAGTGCCACAGTATCTTCCGCGGTCGACCGGTAACGACTGCCGTCGATTGCGTTATTTTATTATCAACCTCGGGAGATAAGGCCAGTACCTTGCCACGAGCATCACCCAGCATGGCGTTCTGGGGGAATATATGGGGTGATGATGGGATTACAGGGATTGGATATGTCGCCCATATGCCTAGGGGTCAGCGCGACTTGTAGATGGTCCATCGGCCCGACGGTTGCCCCATCCGTGCACATCTTCATTTCCCTTGCGACGGCCGCTTCTTCAGGTCCGTATCCGGCTAGCGATGTCGATTGGCTCCCAGTCCGAGCGACTTTCAAATCCCATTCCACTATAGGACTGGATTGCCCAATTAGCTCAGGGATCCCCGCATTCCGGCCGGGGCCAACTAATATAGGGCTAGAGCGGCAACTTTATCCCGTGAATAAGGGTCTCCCACCACGGCATGTATATTACGGCCAAGGCACGGATAATCGACGGAATTAAATAGGCGGGTCACGAGGTGATCGTTGGCCTGCATCGAGCGCGAAGCCGACGAACAGCCGACACTTGGTCAATAGTGCCCCGTGCGAAGGCCTGATGTCGTATCTTCAGGCTAATAATCACTTCAAGCGGAAGGAGATCGCCCGGGGATTGACGTCAATGCGCCAGTGTGGAGGGCGAAGAAACTTCCAAACCCATTCTAGAATGGCAGGTTACAGCCTAATCGCCTTTTCCAAGACTGAAATAAGCCAGCCCCTCCGTCTACACACCATTCTCCCTGCTCACCTGAGCGTCTGAGATATTCCGGGTACTATTGACATGCCGTCGATGCCTACTGATCCAAGTGTCTTCATGACATATACAAGTATCAGTATCGACAAGAATGGGGTGGACGAGGACGATGTCAGCCTGGACAAACCCACATGGGTCCACGATCCGGATCTGCAGCGTCCTTCTACCGCGACGCCTGCAGATCACAGCTGTGATAAACTCGCCATGGACGTCGAGTACCGTCCTACGCATCTCATTCCAGGCTCCACCTCAAAGCGAGCCAGAAATTACTCCCACCCCGACAACCAGCGAGACAGCCAGACCTGCGCCCAGGAGCTCGCCAGATTCAACGAGAGGCTGCTCTGCGAGGCCCGCAGCAGCGAGCCAACAGCCCCGGGGCCCTCATTCGGCCAGACCCTCCGGCACTGCCAGGACTTCCTCTCCGTCCTCCGGCGCTTTCGCGCATCCTCCTGCGGGGATAACTTCGACACCGCCACGGAATGGCCGTGCTCGCCTACACTTAGCCCTGGTGGCTCGTCCGCCTACCAGAACTTTTCACGACTGTCCTCGGCGTCACCCTCGTTCACTTCCCCCTCCGCCTCCCTCGACATCCCCACCGTCCTATCCATCCTCTTCTGCTACACCTACATCCTCCAATCCTTCGACGACCTGCTCACCCCCATCCACGCCGCTGTCACACAGTCCAGCCCTGTCGTCCCCGCCACGCTCGTCGGCCTCCGCCTAGACGGCTTCAACCTCGACAGCCACCCCGCCCTCCAACTCGAATGCCTCGTCAACATCAGTTGGAACCGACTCGAAAAGATTGAGAACACCCTCCTCGGCGGACCAGGCTACACGGGAATTCTCACCCGGGCCAGACATGGAGTCCTCGGCGATAAGCTCTTCGCGGGACTCCTGGACGCGCTGTACGAGCCCAAAGAACCGGGGATTCTCATGCGGGCGAATGGCAAGCGCGAGGTTCGCGCGAAGCGGCTGATTCGGGAGATTCAGGCTTCGTTGGAGAGTACGGATTTGTGATTTTCTTTTCTCTTTTTCTCCTTTTCTCTCTTGTTTCTTTCTGTCTTTTTCTTTTGTTGGTTGGTGGTGGGCGTGATGTGGTTAATGGTGGGGAGTGTTCTGTTTTAGAGTGGACTTCCTTATATAGTTTAGACTTGCTGGTTTCTACGCGAGGGTTTGGTTATTAATGAGACAATGATGATATTGACTTCAATCTTTTAATATTCTACGAAACACTTAACCTTTGAACCTTCTCGAAACTAGTATCCTCCATAGACAGATCTCAATCGAGTAATTACGCTCAAAGTACCCCTCGCCGATCATTCAGATCCTAACACCACTTGTAGACAATAGATACAACGATTTCTGCCATCCTAACATTACTAACATACTCCCATATCCATCAAACCAACACGTCCTATTCCAACTATGGATAGCCAAAAAGTACACATAGCACATGGGCCAGATCAGCGAGGCGTAGCAATCGCGATAGATGGTCCGCGCAGGTCAAACACCACGTAGAATGCCTTCAGGAAGACATCACCCAAGACTTGCATTTTGCTGCCCCGGTTTGATTGTACGCCTCCGAAGCAAACTGCCATTTTGTTAGTAAATAGACGCCCAGTCACTTACAGCATATAAAAAAAAGAAGAACAATGAGGAAACGAAGGAGGGAGGGAGCGTACCTGGTTCACCGGTGGTCCGGTTGGTGCCGACCTGTGAATACCCCAGAAACGCGCCCGGGAGGTAAGCCAGGTGGCTGTCACCGAAGCCAACTGATAGATCGGGCAGCGTTTGACTGCAAGGATAGGTGTACCCGCCGACACTGACGAGGAGGGCAGCATTGGGGACCTGGGCGTAGTAGGCCTTGACGACCTCGTCGTCGAGCAGCATGAGTGTTGTGCCTGTGTCGGCGATAGCGGGGGTGGCGTTGTCGCGCTTGATCAGCGTGCCGTCCCCGATCTTGTAATGAAGGGACGGGATCTGCCAAAAGCCACTGGAGGGATCAACGGTGATGTTGACGAGCTCGCCGCGGTACTTGTCGGGGTCGACGAAGCCAAACTCGTACTCGCCGACGGCCTTGGGCTTGAGAGAGGCGGTCAGCACGGGCTCGTCGAGGTCCTTGGCGAGATTCTCCAGAAAGTTCTTCTGTTGGCGAGGCCGCATGGTGCTGACTGTCGAGAAGGCAAACCCCGCCAGTCCGTTGTAGTGGGTGTCTTCGAGAAAGAAGTTGGACACGGTCGTGGGGATCCCAATGGCCTGGCCCGAGACGACGGCGCCGCCGATGTTGACGGTATCGGTGCCGACGTAGCCCCATGCATAAGATCGATCACCGTAGCTAATCCTGAAGGTCGCGTCGTTCATTTTCTGGAACGTGGTTGAATTGGAGACGTTAAACACTTCGCGGCCGGCCAGGTCGATGCCCGCCACATTGGGGTTCATCACCCAGCTGCGAATCTTGTTAGCTTGAGCAGTCCATAAGGGCAGTCTGTAATACGTGCAAGTCAGCGGAGCCCGTGTCAAAGCTCATCATGATCTTCTGACCGCCGACGGTCACAGGCGAGACAAATGCGGCGTCTTCCTGAACCGAGGCGGCACTGACGGCGCCGGCTGCCTCGGGCTCGGAGACGTTCTTTTTGGCAACGGCGTTCATCAAGGCAACCGGTTCGAAATCAGGAAGCTCGACTCCAAGGTCTATCGGGTTGATTCCATACTTCCGATAGGCCTGACGTAGGGCGACAAGGCCTTGGATATCATTATCGCGCCGAATGCTTTCCACCTTGAAGGACCGACGTTGATGGGTGTCCGGGGAAGGAGTGGGGATCGAAAACGCTCTGTACCCTAGACAGGCAATCAACAATAGAGTCTGGACTAGCATTCTGTTCCTTGGCCCGATTCGAAAAGAAGATGTAGGATCGATCACGCGTGGGGAAAGAGTCAGGAAATAGGAGTAGAAATAGTGGATGGAGACCAAGCCAGGAAGAAAGCTTGAAAGAGGAGGAACAAGACCAAGTCCTGAATTGGGTCCTTTATATATCTCTATATTTATAGACGTATAGAGGAAGAAAGGATGAATGTGCCGGTGAAAGGTCGTGCTGTCGAACAAAGGCCAGGGAAACGATGAATTTGTTCCAATGATCATTGTCAGTGATGACCATAAGCCATAGCTCACTGATGAGTGACCGATGCCCAGAGACACTGGTTATAGGCTTCTCGGATAATATCTGAGGGTTATCATCATATCATGCTTCTAGTGCACATTGCTGATAGGAGCACTGCGTTAGCCTGTATAAGAGCAGAGAGTTCCAAAATAAAACCCCAGTGAATCTGATACTCAATCGTGATCAGACCAACAAAGGTTCTTTGAGACAAAAGCGCGCGGGTAGGGAGTGATGGAGAGAACGAATCCCGCCTATCCCGATGGTCTCCATCACAGGCGCTATGGTCCTGATACTACCATCTAATAGTGGTGAAACATCCCGGCGGTTTAGCGCCCAATCATGGACCTGTCCGAAGTTTTGATGGGACGATATGTAACATGTTGGTGATAGTCATAGTGCGAGTGAAAAATGGAAAGAGTGAGCCAATAAAGAAGCTAATCAATCCGAAGCTTTTGATGTGATATTCCGGTATCTAGTTGACGTGAATGGCCAACCGGCAGCAGTAGCACCTTGAATGTGACTATCATCGTCTCCAGATCCGCAAATGGCGAAATCGTTGATGCTGTGAGATTTGTCTAATGTGAATGTGAAATGACACTGAATGAATTTAACAGGAATAGTACAAGCATATCTATACAGTCGGCGGAATCTAGCTCGAGATTAAACCTTTCGGCAGTAATCCCGGCCCTGGCCCACCTGCCAGTCGCAAAGCCACACCTCAAACACCATACTAATGAACCCCGCAATGCAAATTCCCGCGGAATCGCTGACCGTCGTGGCGCCCAGCGAGAACTCACGATCCTCTTTGGGGACGCGATCCCCGATTTCGGCGAACGTGTTGACGTAGACGAGGCCGCCCAGCAGACCCTCCCAGAAGATGATCGCGAAGACCAGGTAAACACTGGGGATGAAGTCGAACAGCGCGTGGAGGGTGAGGATCAGCAGGTTGAGGACCTGGAGAAGGGAGGGCAGGTAGAGGTTGTGGATGCGAAAGAATGGAATCGACGACCGGGAGATGAACACCCCAATTTGGTAGGTGGCGTTGTAAGCCGGATAGAAGGAGCGGAAGCGCTGGAATGGGGTTTCTTGGAGGGGAAAGAGCAGCGTCGGTGCGACTCCTTGGTTGATCGTATACTCTGCGATGTATACCAGCAAGAGAGGGACCATGCTGCGAGGTGTTAGCGGGGAGCCAGCTATTCTGGATCACGTACTCACAATGGAATGAAGAGCCCCTGGACCCGCTGCAGGTTCGCCCTGACTTCTTGCCACAGAGCCGCTCCACGGCTGGCACTGCTGGCCTTTGAACTGGGAGTCGAAAGCATCGAGGAGCCGAGAAAGCTGTCCTCCTCATCCGGAATGTCACCCGCATCGTCGGCATGTCGATCGCGCTGCCCGACAGGACGATAGCTTCCTTGGCTAGTAGCCAGGGCATTCCGAGACGACCGTGGCAAGATCACGAAGAAGCTTACTAGCATGATAGACGGGAGAAACGCCGATGCAAGTAATGCCTTTTGGACAGGCAGACCCATGGAGGTCGTCGCCAGCGTGTATGCGGCGGCGCCGACCAAGCCTGCTGCCCCCGTTCCGCTGCCCCAGGCAGCCAGACTGAACGATCCATAGTAGTGTGTCAAGCCCAAAAAGCTCATCTCCCCACCACCGCTACTCAAACTCGCCAGGACGATGCCTGCGATTTTCGGGGCAATGGACTGCCCCTCCACGTACTCCGGAGTGAGCGCCACGAGCAGCATCCCCATCGCCGAAATCACGACGAAAAGTATAGTTCGCACCGAGTAGGGCACCACATGAATGAAGTACGGGGCCACCAACTTCATGGTGAACCCGGGGACGATATCGGCGAGGAGCACGACGCCCTTGGGGACTTGGGGGCCCACCAAGTCGAGGGCGGCCGCGAGGATAATCACATAAAGCACATTATTGATCACACCTGTTGACGAAGTGTTAGCCCGGCTTCCATTGTTGATAGATATGGGAAACATCAAGTTCGCGACCCACCAAACAGCCAGAATGCGATGAACACTCGAGGGTCAGCGCCCCTGAAAGGAGAGACCAGTCTCTCTCGAAACCGAGCCCACGACGAAGACGGAGCACCTGGAAGAGGCAACATCGGTGATGCTTCGGGGGAATTGGCTCTTGTCATCACCGTTCAGGGGGGGGCCCACTTGGGGAATGCTACAGGAGTCTGGACGGATGTCACGCGGCGCAAGGGAGGATTCCGTCAGGATCACTCATTACGATCAAGCTGTAGGTACAATGAGAGTGAGTATCTTGAATCGCAATAGTTGGAGAGAATCCAAGCCTGTGAAGACGACAATTTCGAAGTTGATAGATGTGTTGGCCTGATGTCGCGTGACCAGGGCGGCCTGAGGCGACCGCTGCGTCATGGCCAAGCCCGATAAGATAAGCGATAACCAGCGGTGCTTATCAGGATCGACACTCATTCTTTGGTTCTGTCCATGGATGCCTGGTTGATATATATCGATTGATATAACTGACTACCATGACACTTTCCATCCACTCAGTAAATATCAAACCATCCCCATGCGCAACAAATGTTAGTGGCCAGGCAGCTGTGCTGCTGCCTGAGGCCATGTTTACCCTTGCCGAATCGCGTATTCTGATTGGACGCGTCACGCGTGGCCCCAGGCCGAGCATTTCCTCTTTTGGAAAATTCATAATAAACCCCCACAGTGTCCTGCCTGGAGCTCCATCGGGGATTCAGATGTCTCAAATTCTGTTATTTATTGATCTCACGCCACTAGGAGTCTAAACATGATCGACGGGGTTTGTTGGGGACGTTATAAATTAACCCCGTGGGCGATCTCTCCCTCCAACCGTGGGATCTCTTCCGCGATTTTTTTTACCGATCATCCCATCCCCCTCCTACCCCTCCATCTCACACCATGAAGACTAGACAAACCCGTCAGAAACGGCGTCACAGCTCGTATACGGAGTCTAATGGGGATACGGGCCGGACGGCTGGGATCCAAACCCCCTGTCGAACCCCTCGTCGGTCGTCCAAGAGGGTCCGTTTCTCTGATCCCCGCCCTCAAGTCCACGATGAGCCGGACATGTCCACAGGCCTTACTCCAGCCCTGTATCGGACGTCGTTTGACGAATCGATGGGCGGGGGAGCTGGTCCACGGACCCCCAGTCGACGACGCTCGACTCCCCTGCCGCGCTCCCGTCGCTGGCTGGATCCGCTCGCGCCCGGGGACGGTTCCTCGCCGGACAGAGTGGTGCAGTTTGCGCCGCTGCGGCAGATACTGACCCCGAGGACGCAGCGTCAAATCCGGCGAGTCGGACTCAGCGAGGAAATCAACCATATAGAACGGGAGAAGAGGGATGCGGCCCAGTATCAGAAGATGGTGCAGACCCTGCGGCAGGAAAGGGACTCCCTCAAGCAAGAGCTCGCGCGGGCGCAGACCCGAGACACGCCGGACAGTCAATCCGCGGGTGAAGACACGACATGGATGCTTCCTCGGGCGCAAATCGAGCATCTACAATCGGAGAATACCCGTCTGAGGGAGGAGATCTCCTTTTCCTCCGCCCGAAACTACGATCAACGAGCGACGACGCCGAGCGAGACAGACACTGTCCTCATCAACGACACTGCATTTGAAGGAACCATGCTTGTGTCTGACTCCCCAGATATGCGTGGAATTGATGGTCTCCAGCTTCCCACCCCGGACGATTATTCTCTTCGTGATCAGCCTTCGCCTAATTACACGCAGGACGCGGAGCTTCTGGCGCTGTCCCTTGACCTGGAATCTGCCAAGAAGGAGAAACGCGATCTGTTTGAAGCCTGTCGCTCGCGCCTATCGGCCTTGAATGGAACCCCGATTGCGCGTCATCTCCAGCAGCCGTCTCCCCCACCGGAGTTCCTCGATTCCATCGTGCCCACTCTGACGGAGGCGCTCTCCCGAGCATCAGATGCTGCCTCGGCCCTGGATTCGGTCAAGGAGGAAGTCGCCAACCTGGGTTTTTCTGGGGATAGCGCTCACGACATGATCGCCGAGATGCGGGATCGCTTCCGGTCGGCCCGTCTCGGTCTGGAGCGCGCAATCCCCGGAGAAACCCCCGGTGGTCTACATGACGGCAACGCCACGCTTGGAGCATTGGTGAAACGAGTTGAGGTGCTCGTAGAGAGCCTCGATGACGAGCAATGCCTCCGCGAGGGGTCTATCGATCGGGAACGGGCGCTGCGGGGACAGTTCGACGACTTGCTCGCGCGATACGAGACCGCGTCGCGGAAGATTCGCGAGCTCGAGGAGTCCACCGCCGCATCGGCCGGGGACATGCTGCACACGCGCATGCGGATGCAGGAGCTCGAGCGCGAAGGCCAGGAACAAACCGTTGGGATCGATCGACTCAACGAGGCGCTCCAGAAATATCGCGACGAAGTCAAAGGTCTGGAGTCGCTTGTGACCGAGCTAGAAGAGGACAAGCGCGTCTCCAATGACATGCACAAGAAAGAAGTCGCCCGCTTGGAACAGCGGGCGGTTACTGCCGAGACCACCATGGCAGAACGCGAAGCACACATTCAACAGCTGGAAGACACCGTCGAACAGAACCGCATCCGTGCCTGCGACCTAACCGCCAAAGTGGAGCAGCTCGAGAAGGATCACCAGAGCGCGATGGAGACCTTAGAGCAACGCACGGCTCAACAGCTACACAGCGACCAGGAGATTGGACGCATGAACGTGCGGGTCTCCGAGCTCACCACCCAGCTGGAAGCAGCCCAAGCCGAAACCGCCAAGCTCCACCGCCACAACGCAGGCCTGGAAGACCAGTTGCGCACGGAAACAGACGCAAGGGACCATCTGCTCGACCAGTGGGCCGCGGACCAAGCGCGATCCTTCGCATACATGAAGGAGACGATCAGCAACCAGCGCCGGAGCGCCCGGGCGCGTGCCGCAAACTGGGAGATGAAATCGGACGAGCTGCAGTCTAGTCCCACCGCGCGCAGCGATCCCCTTACGCCCATCAGCGCGACCCGGTTTGTGGATGTGGAGGTTGGTCGGGGGAAACACCGTCGACGACTGGATAGTGGGATCGGGATCTTGACTGACGAGATGACTGGCAGTGATGATGGGGCGATTTTGCCGTCTGATCCGGCGGATCTGTGATATACTCGCATATACTCATTTCGTTCGTATAACCTGTTTTGTAAGTATATTAGAAAATTATATATTATGGACTGAGCTATTAGCGTGAGAACGAATGATTTTCGACACTTCTTGGGGTACATGCTGGTAGAGTCATCATATCATTTGAGAATATATTTGTAAACAGTCTTAACATGGTCATATATTATACTCTAGTGAATGCTGTTACTATCGCAATATATACTTGAAACACAAATATATGAAGTTAAGTCTACTCTGTTTATAACGATAATCTACAGAGTAGACGCTTGAACACTGATAGAAGCTCCCTGCGGTTCATACTAGATATTCAATATACATTAAGAAATTATAGGATAAACAAACGAGTATAGACATCCCAACTAAGTCTCCACCTCAAAATCCTTAGTCAACTGCTCCTGGAACTTCTCCCACTGCCCCTTAACCTTACACGCCGAAGTCCAATAATTCCCCTTCTCATCCTTCCCAAAAATAAAGAACCCATCCGCAGGCTTGATAGGACCATGATTCTCCTGCACATATGATGGCCGACACGGCCCACCACCACCAGTCTTACCATCGTGGTCTACGCGCGCAGGCGAAAAATCCAAATCAAACAGCCCAGCCTTATTCCAATTGGAGAAGCCAACCTGCGCCATGCCGCCATCCCCGAAGATGACGATCGGCAGGCCGGCTCCCGTGCGCACAAGCGCGTAGTACGCTTCGTGTTGGGCGCGCGTGCCTTGCTCGTTGATCGCCTTTCGGACTTGTCGCGCAAGCCAGCTCAATGGCTTGGAGGTGATGTCGCCGGCTGTGACTAGGACGTTGGCCCAGCCGAAGGCGTTGCCTACGTAAGGGTGCTCGGCGGAGGCGGGTATCAGGTCGCCTTCGAAGGCTTTGCGGAGGGACATGGCGAGGGATGCTGCGACCTGGAGGATGTCAGATAAGTTTTGTCAGATCGACGAGTAAGGGAACGAGAGAAATTTGGATCATTGGATGAAAAGCAGGCAATGGGGAAAGAACACACCGTCCTATTGGGAGCCATCCCCATCTGGCCCACAACGCAGCGCAGAATCCACGCAGTCAAAACATCGTTCTCAGTCAAAAACACCTTCGAGACGTCTTCACCCTGAGCTGCTGCTTCAACGCGAAGCTCCTCCAAGGCCTTCTCCATCTGCGGGCGCCAGAACGTCTCAGGAACACAGACCATGCGGTTCTCCTTGGCTCGCACCAGCATGTCAAACCCATATCCGAGTCCCCACTTGAGCATGCCTCCTAGTCCGACTCTCCGGCCCGCGAGAAGATGCTCTTCTGTGGCGGGACGAGAGCCCTGGGCCAGTGCGTCGAACGGGTCCGTGTCGACCTTGCATGGGACGGGGATGTCCTCGGATCTGCCCCAGAGCATGGCGCTCCAGCCTTCGACGACGTACTGCAAGCCCAGAGCATCGAAGGCAACATGCTGCCACTGCAGGACGGCAATAGTCTTGTCCGTGAAGGAATGGACCCGCAGTCCCAAAACAGGCCGGTCAGAGGTGAGGTAGTCACTAATTCCGCCAGGCTTATAGCCTGGCTCCCACGCCAAGGCTTCTAGGTCGTCAGGGTCTCCGACAATGGCGGGGACCGGCTGGGGCTTTGGGATGCGAGAGGCTGCCGGATGAGAAGCCGCCGGCATGCCATGGTCGACGTGTGCGAAGGAGATGGCAGGTCTGTCCGCAGTGAATTCCGCTGGGATATGCCATTCAATCTTGCCCGCAGCCTATACACGACGTGAGGATGCATGCAGTGTTCGCAACAGGAAAAGGGACATACGTTCTTCCTCAGCCGTCCTCCCAGTCGCTGCCAACCATCCTGCTTGACCAGGCCCTCGAGGGACGTCCGCAACTTTTCCGGGTCAAGAACCGCGTCGAACACAAGCGACACGGCCATGTTATTCCCCTGGACCAATGGGCTGTTCTCGAAGAAATGCAGCGGAAGCACCCGGTCTCCTGGGACAGGCTGCACCGCGGGCTTACGCCCGAAGAGGAAATCCATTTCGTCGGAACTGTTCCGGGGGGTGAATGCTAAGTATATGACAGTTCAGATACTCTTCAACTGTGATACTTTCACAATTCTGATACTGGTCGAGGAACCGTGATTGGGCGGGATGGTCGTGCGACGAGAGCAATCTACCCCCCCGCCGACAGATTCGCCAGGGGTAAGAATCCGCAGTCGGGATCATATGAAACCGACATCTTCAACTTTGGCACCATTTTGCCTAGTAACAGGAGCGGCGTCCTTGGCTTGTGCAGTTTCCTGGTCGCGAGAGGATCCGGCGCCGCATCGCCAGGTCACTAACGGCGTCCTAGCCGAACCAAGCCTAGTCCTGATCCTACCAAGGATTATAACCTGTCTTAGTGGCCAATTGCGCCCAAGCCAACGGTTGGAGACAAATCCTGGACTCGGGGAAGACAAAGTTTCCGTCATTTCGTGAGTGGTGCGCATATGACAGGTAAAATGACAGGAAGATCGGCATCGGGAGATTTCGCGGTGGGTAAAAGATTTAGAAAGGGACAGATTCCCGCCTCGATCATCGATCCTAGGAAGGTGTCTGTTTCGATCTGCCTCCACTGCGTTCCACTTTCGTTGCAGTGTGCACAGAACTGCTGTGCTTCGCGAACATGGAGACCCCGGATCTTGCGACTACGCCGGGCATGCCTCCTCCGGCGGGGGAGGTATCGCAGTTCGATTCGCCGTACAATTCGCTGCAGATAGTGACGTTCGTTGCATTTGGCATAACGTTTTTTCTGGCAACGGTTGTTCTGGCACTTCGGTATTTCCAGGCCATCAAGCTCATCAAGAAGATCGAGATGGATTTAGGTAGGCGGCATGGTGGACGAAACCAACACTTAGGGCTAACTATTCACTTGGGTAGTCACCGTGACGATTTCTTACGGCGTGTCTGTGTACTATTTCGTGTCTATGCATAAATGTCTATCTCCCTGTGATCCGTCACAAAGCGCATTGACTGACGAATGGTAGTGATGGGTTATGGCTGGGGCAAGCACGCGTGGGATGTGTCTCTGCTCAGCCTTATGAATTTCAACCAGGCAAGACGTCTCGATTGGACGTAGTTTAGGAGTTACTAACTAATGTAGGCTCTCCTCCCCAATACCCTGAGCTATCTCGTTTGTCCCTGCATCACCAAGATGGCCATCCTGTCTGTCCTATACCGCATCAGCCCCGCATTCGCATACCGTGCCGGAGTGGTGAGCGTCGCCGTCATGACTTTCACCTACACCTTGGTCTTGTGCGCCATCACGGGCGGCCCCTGCAGCCCGTTAAAAGAAGGGACCATTGAATGTCTGCAAAACGTGGCGCTATCGCAAGCGGCGTTGAACATCGCGTCCGACTTTGCCGTCATGGCCCTGCCTCTCCCCACGATCATGAGTCTTCACTTTCCTCGGAAGAAGAAGATCACCGCCGGCTGTCTCTTGACGTTGGGGTCCGCGTATGCTCTCCTCCACTCGACCTCAATCGTGTTTTGAACACCCACTGACCTGACCGTGCCAGTGTGACCGTTTGCTCGATCGCCCGTCTCCCATATGTCATCAAGCTCATGAAAGACCCCGACGTCACCTACACGGAAGCCATTCTGGGAGTATGGTCTGTGGTAGAGGTCAACCTAGGAATCATCTGCGCCTGCTCGATGCGACTCAAGCAGTTGCTGAGGGTGTATGTGCCACAATTGGGGCCCCCCTCGTCGAACCCGCCCAGTGGGAAAGTGAGCACGTACGAGTCGTGGGGGAATCGATTCCGGCCTGATGGAGGCAGCGCGCAGCACTCGTACCAGCTGCATAGCGTGCAGAACAGCAGCGTCGATCCGTGTGTTGGTAGCAAGGATATTGCTGTCGATCGCACGTTTAACATGGATGTGGAGGAGCGTGGAAGCACCGACAAGATCTTGCGGTGACTGGGGAGAAGTTAAAGGATTTATATCTACTGAAGTATTGGCATCAAGATTGCAGGGTTATGACTTAGGTGTCATCTAATCCTCCATGCTAGTTGACCCTCTATTCAACCAGGGCAATGGCATGAAATGGAAAGTGTGCCAGAAACGAGACCCGGACCTGTGATGTCTTCAACAAAAACTGTTAGCGATTGGTATGCCCACATCGTCTAGTCTATTATTCCCAGTCGACGACATACTAATCAACGACGAACTGTCTAAAAATAATGATAAATATTCACTCCGTTTATACATCCAGTATTTTAACCCCCACCATGGACAACCAGTTCCGCAGCGACCCACGGATCTGGCTGATCAGCGATGACGTCGGTTGATCGAACAACATTAAATCATCGCATAATCGTCATCGCGTTGACCAGCATTCTAACCATCAATCTTCAATCACTCACCGTCCCTGTAAAATATGTCCACAGAATCCCAATCCCCTCAATACCGCCTCCATGTCACCGCTGGCCCCTCCTACGACCCCAAATCGCACCAGACGGTCCCTGTCAACCAGGATACGCCCCTGCACATCGAAAGCGACCAAGCAGTCGTAGACCTCTGCGTGCGCATACAAGACTACAAAGGTATTCCACCAGAATCCAAGACAAGATCAATCAAACCATACTAAAATAACAAGGATACCCCGAAAACTCCCCCACCAGCAACGCCTACTTCAAACATCCCGCGCACGAAAACGACGCCTACAGCATCTCCTTCAGCATCGTCTTCAAACACCCCGTCGACGGCAACGCCCTCCTCTTCGGCAACGATTTCGACCACCCCGTGCGCGACCGACTGCCTCCAGGGTTCGGGGCGGGCCTGCGCCTCGTGAAATGGGCCATCGACCCGAGTCTCGACGGCGACGCCTACGCCGACAAACCCTACTTGTACAGTCCTGCGCTCGCAACCTGGAACCAGCTTTTGATCGGGGGACTGCGCACGAAACACGATAACAACACTAGCAGCTCAAACCCAGAAAAGCCCACCGCGCGCATTGTCGAAGAAGGCGCCGAAGACGACGGCGTGCCCGTGCGGCGCGGCCTCTTCATCCCCGATACGGCAAGCGAGCGCAGACGCTTTTTTCAAGACGAGCCGGTGAGGAAGGAGTTCGTGTTCCAGCCTGGGAGGGCGTACTGGGTTGACTTTGGGAATCCGTATTTGGGGTTTGATGGTAGGTTCTCTTCTTCTTTCTGCTTTTGCTCTGATATACCTACGGGGTGTATAGCAGGGTTATATGTGGCTGACTGGGGTAGATTTTACGTTGCGATTGCCTGGAATCACGCTCAATGGGTTACCGTATATTGATGAGGTGAACAACTATCTGCGGTATGTGCTGAAGGATCGCGATACGGGGGTGGTGTATCTGGTGGTGGTATTTACGATGGTGAAGCAGGGGGATGGGGGCGATGCTAAGGACGGCGATAGTGGGGATGATGATGATGACGAAGCGAAGAAGAGGTTCGACTGGGAGCCGGATCCGTCGCTGGATGATGTTGAATAGATTTACTTATTCTTCTAGCATGAGTATATATAGGTCCATATACATCTCATACATGGCGTTTGTTGAAGCACGGGACATGGCTTGCCCTAAATGTGGATGGTATCGTGATAGAATAGTGCATACTGATCGAGAGGAGGACTACATGTATACTTCTAATAATATACTGTTACTTTGGACACCTTTGAGCTACATACCGCATATTGTACATGCTAAACGAACGGATGCTTGACTACTCTAGCCGATATACAATAGAAGCAGCTAGTCGAAGGATTGAATCCTAGGAGCAATCTCGAGTAGACACGCGAGACCCATGAATAGATCGAGCTATTTCACACTTCGTATTTCAAGATCTCAATAGCTAGCATACCCGTAGCCAATTTCTAACCAGCAGCCATCTCATGAACATGAGTCTTTAGTGATCGGCTCAATCACCTCAACGAAAAACGCCACCAAAGGGAACCGGGGCCAAAAATAGCCACACCCAAAAAGGGACAGCTATCTTGGCACGGACAGCCAAAACGGCCCCCGCCAAGTCGAGATACGAATATCACTATACTGGTTTATGGTAGGGATGTTAGGATGGATATTGTTCGCTGATGTGAGCAGTGTATTCGGCGTCGTGGTGTGCTCGGAATAGCATCATCGCGGACGAAGGGTGGGGTTTCTACAGGGGCGGCTCGTATGTCTGACACGAACGGGTGGAAGACTCGATTATAGAGTCGAATATGGTGGTTAGAAAGAAGAGAGGAAGGTCTTGGGATATCTTCAACATGAGATGGAAAGGTATATAAAGGGCGTTGGATCCAGCGAGAAAGATAGATATCCAGACAGCAACAAGAACAGCATCAAAGCAATCCAGCAACAACAAAACACAAAAGACTCACAAACCCCTCTATACTCTATACTCTCCCATCAACCTCCAAAATGAAGCTCATCATTCTTCTCCAAGCCCTTCTCATGGCCATCTACAGCCACACAGTTCTCGCATCGGCCATCGACAGGTCCACGCTAATCAAACGACAAGACAACAGCACCGTCGCACCCGCAGACGGCGACGCCATAACCGCCATGTTCGAAAACGGCAATATCGTGAACTCGCTCCTCGAGGACGGGAAACAGAAGATTGAGTTCTTTGGCGATGATGGCCTGCTTGAAGTTGTGGCAATTGAGACTGATGATGGGGGTATGTTTCCCCTCCTCCTTCTTCCCCTCAACGCAAATGGATATACCCAGCTAACATGAGATTGAATGAAACAGCAATCTTCTACGACAACGAAGGCAACGAAGTCAACCTCGCCGATCTGGATCTGGACGACGACGACGAAGAAAGCGACGATACCGAGCAAACTCTGCAAAAGCGCGTCTCGAAGTGGAGAATCGCCATCCGGTTCGCGAAGTTGATCGCCAAGTACGGCAAGAAGGTGTGGCCTTATATCAAGTGTGTTGGGACTGCGCCTTTCTGGAAGTGTGGTACAAAGGTATGTTCTCCTCCTCATCTCTACATCGTGTGTGATCCGAGATATATGCATGCATGGTGCTGATCATTGTATAGTTCCTACACTGTGCTGAGAGGGGCATTGCGCCGTGGAGTTGTGTTGAGGGCGGCTGGTGCATTGGAAGGAAGACTTATCTGCATTGTAAATAGATGTTTTGTCTTTGCTGGTTCAAGTATCCGGTTGTTGTCAAGAAGATATGCTGCTATGTCCGAAGTGCACGGGGTGAGAGTGTTTAGAACGTGAGGGTAGCTTAGTATATATTGTACTACGTTGTTGAAATTGAGTTCGTTCTGCTTTCCATTTATGGCCCTTTTCAACTAGAAACATGACCTTTTGATAAGAGAGGTGATACGCGGCTTACTGCTGGTTTGAGTCGAAATGGCACATGTGAATTCGGTAACTTCTGATAATTAATACGGTTAATCCCTCCTCCTCTCGTCAACTCGCCCCCAAACCTCATCCGCATTAGCTTTGTCCTTCGTCTCCGGAACCCATGCATAGATGAACCCGCCCATTAGACAAGCCATGGCCGCAAAAACCCAATATACCCTGCCCCGTCCGCCCAGGACATCGTTCAGCACCGGGAAGAACTGCGCAACCACAAACGTGGCGATCCAGTTGGCGGCCAGCGCCCAGCTCTGCGTCGCGCCCACGGCTTCCGGCCCGACGAGCTCCGAGGCGAGGATGAACGGCACGGGGCCTAGTCCCACGGCGAAGCACGAGACGAAGAGCAGTACTGCGATGGCAGACAGCGCCTTCTGGTTGTAGTAGATCCCTAGCGCCAATAGTACGGAGTTGCATCCCATGCCACTGACACTGAGGAGAAGACACGAGCGTCGGCCGATCTTGTCCGGAAGGGGAGAGCAGGCGAGGGTGATGACCAGGTTGATGGCGGAGATGGCCACGGTCAGCAAGGCGGCTGTCGTGGGCAGGATAGTCTGCAAGAGCGACACGCTGTACATGATGATGCTGTTGATGCCGGTAAACTGCTGCGCGACCATCACACCAATCACGGCGATAATGGCCGGGCGATACGCTGAATCGGTTGCAGCGCTGAGCATCGTCACCGGCGGCTGCCTCGGAGGCAAGTTGCCAGCCGGCGGTGCCAGCAGTGACTGCTCCTCCCCAGAGGCCGAAGCCGGATCCCTCGCATGGCGCCATCCGTCCATCTCCGCTTCAATGTCCGCATCCTTCCCGCGGATGCGCTGCAGCACCTGTCGGGCCTCGTTACCCCGCTGATGCTCCGCCAGCCACGTCGGACTCTCTGGGACCAGCGTCAGACCGAGGAGCTCCATGCAACCCACGAGACCGGCGATCACGAGAATGACGCGCCACATGCTCCCTTTGCTGAGGAAATAGCCAATGGACTGGGTCAGCAAAATACCCACGTTGGTCATGATCTGCGTGAAGGCGCCAAATAGGCCCCTCGCAGTGGGAGGCGCGATCTCCGAGATGTAGATTGGACCGACCACGATGGCGGCACCGGCCCCGATCCCCGACACCAACCGACCTAGAACCAGTGTGCCAATATTAGGCGCAAAGGTGGCGGCCAGAGGACCGACGATGAAGAAGGCGGTGGTGGATCGGAGGGTCAGGAGACGACCGTGCTTGGTCGAGATGGGCCCTGCCAGCAGGGCACCGAGCAAGCCCCCGAGAGTATAGATGGACGAGACCAGCCCGAACTGGGAGGGGTTCATGGGGATGCATTGTGGTAGGTTCGAGTCGATGGTCTTTGCCTCTGCATGGATGGACTGGCGTTCGCATGTTATGACAGATTGAGGGGCATTAAGCTCTGCCTATTGGGAGACGTTAGCTGGGAGATAGGACGAGGGTTGGAGTAGTGTTCCTGACGAGATGGTATCCAAACTGTAGGGGTCCCAGTGTGGTGATGAACACCAGATAGATTAGGTAGGGAGTGACCCGGGCAGGGGACCCTCCAGAGGCCATGTCTTCCACTTGAGTCCCTGATAATGGGTAATCGGGATGTAGTTGAAGTGATGAAGCGATGAAGCGAAAGTGAAAGGAAGAAGAGAGAGAGAGCCTGAGGAATGAGGATGATGTTTGGCTGTTTTGACGGTTGCGTCACTCTTCCCGATTGGGCTTAGTCTGTCATCCTTCAGTATGAGTCTACCATGTTGAGACTATTCAGCTTCATTTTAGTCATTTGTATAGATATATATGGATTGATTCGTTGCTATATACACTTCATACTACATCATATGGTACAATAGCGAGCTTGCAGCCGACCAAGCGGCCATTCCCAAGTCCCACCATGAAGCCGGAGTGAATTCCAGCCATCATTAAAATAATTGATAACATTCCATCGTCCATCGTAAGTCGTCATAACATGTACAGGTGCTATACCTTGAGCGATCGTCGTTTGGGCAAGGTCCACGGTTCAGGACATACCACCTAGCAATATCATGTCAGTTTTCCATCGTCGCAAATAACCACAAACAGAACATACCTCGCCCTCGCTATACGCCCAAAAATACACTATGATCCCAACCACGTAATAGATGGCAGGATCGGTTCCCTGGTACAGTAGCGCAGCCAGAAGGGCGCTCAAAGGATATAAAATGAGACGGATCTCGATGCTGCGATGCGCCAGGCTCCCAGCGAAGAATTTCAACGGCCATTCCCAGGCGAGGCCGAGCAAGCCCATTATGAGATTGAGGATCTGAAGGACGGGGATGGGCTGGACGGCGCCGTTGAGATTGTGAGACACAAAGTCCCAGAAGACTTTGGGCCAGATGAAGCCTTCGATGGCGCTGCCTATCTGGACTGTTTCGAATGTTGTTAGTGAATTTCCGAGGGGAATGGGTGCTGTGGGAGAACATACAGACTGCGGCGGTTAGGATGATGAGACGCCCCCAGTGGTTCTTGATCAACCTCCCCATGGCTAAATATGTGAAGAATGTTGACAGTCGTGAGGTTTAGGGATTGGGTTGACTTTCGTCCAGCGAAAGAAAAGGCAGACGAAGTACTGATGCGACTCGATCGGCCGTTTTAGCCATCCACCGTGTCCAGAAGATGTGAGCGGAGTGGTATAGATATTGACATGGCCAGCAACGGGTTTGTCTAGAACTGAAGTCTTTTTTTTGTTCCTCTCGTATTGTCTTGATTGTGGCAGATGGGCTGGATGTCGAGTGGATGATAAGGTTCAATCACATCACACGAAAGATCCAAGCGTAAGAAGCCCGAGACGACAGTCACGCCATATCAAGCCCGACAGACCCAGCAAGTCGGGGACCTTAAGGAAGATAGGGGAAGGAGAGCCGATTATCTACGCTGTCCATCCACGTTGGATCGCTTATTTCCCCCAGCGGCAGATGGGACGTCCACGGGCCCTGGGCGGGGACCGGGGGAGGGATTCATCCATAGGCCGGTTCGAATCGCTGCGATGCGCTCGCTTCTCGACCAAATTCTAGCGACAGACCAATAACAAGTCATCACCGACCCTGTCCCTCTTGGCTTCTTCACAAGGGACCAGGTGAGGAGAGGGGGAGGAAGCGATCCCGACGTAACAGTCAAAAGTGGGGCCCAGTTAGGGCTGTGGTTGGATGGCGGGGGACCTCAGGCAGACCAATGTGACGAGAGCTGCAGCAAAATGGGCGGCAACTCGCTTTAGTCTCCGATCACGTCGGGCTTTTCCTGTTTGATTCGGCGCCTCACTGGCAGGAGCAGAATATGGTTGAGAAAATGAGAAGATGGACGTCTTGTTGCTGTTTTTAGTCCTTTGCACGTTGTTGGGTTGGGATGTATCGTCGCCACATACGGGGTCCTTTCTTCAGGCTGATACAGATACAGTTCCTCTATACTAGACGCTAGCCCTAATTACTACCCCGACGATTCCCCGCGTCGACAGAATGATCAGGACATTGACACTACTCTGTACGGCTCTTTGAAAAGATCGACTTCACCGTCTTTTCCACTCTAGTATATTGCTTTGAGTCCAATCGGTCGATCACTCATCCAATGTGCTCAAAGAGTCCACTAATGGTGATGGGAGGTCAATCCTGCAGAGCCACCGAGCCCTGGAGCCCTGTGCGTCTGCCCCACTCGCGGTCCGTCCACCAGCTCCACTATTGAGACTGCCAGGACGCGATATTTCGGGAGGAGGATATATATAGGTCTCCTCACGGAGATGGTTACCAGTTCAGGCTAGGGCCTGTCCATTCTAATACTGGACTGGACAGGGCCTGGGCTATATTTGGACATTTCCATGCAATATCCTGACATGACCGTTGCATTGTTGCAGAGAAATGGTGTGGTGCAGTTGAGTAGCCTGACCCGTGTGATGATAGACAGCGCGCTTGCAGAACGTCTCCTATAGGGTGTTTACCGAAGGAGCAGTGGTGGCTCCACTTGGGAAAGCAAATCATTCCACAGAGCTAGGGTATTCATCGAGCTCCAACAATTGCCACTTGACCCTGGGACCACATGGTCTAGTGGATGGGGTCACTAGGATGTGAGAATTTAAGAAGAAGCCTGGGGAAGAGACGAGGGCTTTGACATCGGCATTCCACCTTCAACCAATGACCCAATCGGGGGTAGCGAGCGAGCTATGAGCCAAGGACTGGTGGGATGATAGGTATGAACCTTCGCTTTGCAGAAGGAATCAATTGATGTAAGGAGAGGGTACGAGGAGCAGAAAGGCTCGTGTGTTCTGCAGTGCGATCTATTTGGCATAGGGATATCTTCCCATGGCTCACGAAAAACCCAGTCTGGAACAAATATGAATAGATCGAAATCATTATACACAAACAAATACAATGAATATATGGGGCCAAGGGTCAGGGAGCCCTAAACGCAGGACGATGTAAATATAGCAGCAGCACCAGCGCCAACTCTTTCTTCTGTCTATTTCCCCCTCTTTTTCCCTGCACCCCGAATCCATCCCTCTGGATACCAAGACGCCAACTCCATTGGCCTGTACCCTAAGAATAAAATAAAAATAAAAATAATAAAAGAAAAAAGAAAAGATAGAAAAAACACTAACCACTAACCCCACCACCAAATCTTTCTCTCGCAAACCGATGATAACATTGGTAAAAGCCGCCGCCTCAAAGCCCCTTTATCGTGTCTCTTGACGCCATTTCTCCGCCCACGTCGCGTGAACTCGCCTCGTTCGATGGCTGAACACCAAAAATAACCTCACATCGCATTAAGATAGCGTCGTTGGACTCTCGGGTCCCTATGCCGCAATTGTACAGCAAACCGCCTCCCATCTGCCCATGATCTCGTCGGCCTAGACCTGGCTCTGATCTCAACACGGCCTAGACTGGGGGAATTATTGAAAGAAACTTCATGTTCTAGACTGGGAGATCTTAGAACGGCCTTTTTCTTGTCGCCGACTTTTCTTTTACGTGTTCACAGGCGATTACGCGAAAATAATCACGACAGTGTCCCGTATATCATTCATCGCAGGTCGATGGTTGCCCGGGCTGTTGAGCATCATCGGTCAGAATGGCGTTTTCATGGGGATCGCAGTTTACCGGGTCCAAAATCCTTTTCTACTCCACCTTCTGGGCTTTTCACGTTGCGATATTTGCGATCGGATGGTAAGTTGTCCTGTTATGGCGAGATATCATAATCTAATCCCCGACTGATGACGTGCAGGTGGCAGCAAGCAACAAACCCCAAGTTGTCAACACTCAACGCCCTGGGTTATTCCGTATGGATCTCCAGAGCTGCAGGGCTGGTTCTCACCTGCGATGGGGCCTTGATCTTACTTCCCATGTGCCGGAATATCATCAAGACACTCCGACCACGCGTGCGATGGATGCCGCTCGATGAGACGGCCTGGTTCCATCGCCAAGTGGCATATGCCCTCCTCCTCTTCACCATTCTCCACGTCGCTTCCCACTATGTTAAGTAAGTTACTGTCGCGTTGAAACAGGTATCGTGCTTACGGGAAACAGCTTTTTCAACATTGAAAAAGACCAACTCCGCCCGGTGACGGCCGTGCAGATCCACTTCACCCAGGCGGGTGGAATCACCGGTCATGTCATGCTTCTCTGTATGATGCTGATGTACACCACCTCGCATCGGCGCATCCGACAGCAGTCATTCGAGACCTTCTGGTACACGCATCACCTGTTCGTCCCATTCATGCTCGCCCTGTACACGCACGCCACGGGGTGCTTTGTCCGCGACACCGACCATCCGATTTCACCGTTCGCGGGGAAGCAGTTCTGGGACCATTGCATCGGGTATGAGGGGTGGAGGTGGGAGCTTGTGGGCGGCGGACTCTACCTTCTCGAGCGACTTTATCGCGAGATTAGGGCTCGTCGTGCCACGGTCATCACCAAAGTGATCCGTCACCCTTACGGTATGATATAGACGCATTATGCCTATCGCCCCCACTTGTACCATCTAACGATTACAGATGCCATGGAGGTCCAATTCTGCAAAGACAGCATGAAGTACAAGGCCGGACAGTGGCTCTTTATCCAAGTCCCCGAGGTCTCCAGCAACCAGTGGCACCCATTCACCATCACCTCGTGCCCCTTCGACCCATACATCAGCATCCACGTCCGCCAAGTCGGGGATTTCACCCGGGCTCTCGGAGACGCACTAGGATGCGGACCCGCGCAGGCCCGAGACCTCGAAGGGCTCGACCCCCTCGGCATGTACGAAGTCGCCCTCGAAAACGGGCAGAAGATGCCCAAACTCCGCGTCGACGGGCCCTACGGAGCGCCCGCCGAAGACGTCTTCGAGAACGAAATTGCCGTCCTAATTGGCACCGGCATCGGGGTAACGCCATGGGCGTCTATCCTAAAAAACATATGGCACCTGCGGTCCGGCCCCAACCCCCCGAGACGTCTGCGCCGTGTCGAGTTCATCTGGGTGTGTAAGGATACGTCGTCCTTTGAATGGTTCCAGGCGCTGCTCTCTTCGCTGGAATCCCAGTCCGCTTCAACAGCTGCCAGCCAGGGCAGCGCCGAGTTCTTGCGCATCCACACGTACCTCACGCAACGTCTGGATCCCGACACAGCGGCTAACATCTACCTCAACTCGGTGGGTCAGGATGTCGACCCACTGACGGAGTTGCGGAGTCGTACCAACTTTGGTCGCCCGGATTTTACCCGCCTGTTCACTGCCATGCGAGACGGTCTGCACGATCAGACGTACATGTCTGGTCTGCATGGGGCTTTGACCACCGAGATTGGAGTGTACTTCTGCGGGCCCAACGCGGCGGCTCGACAGATCCGTGAAGCTACCTCGAAAGCGTCGACGAGGGATGTGAGGTTCAAGTTCTGGAAGGAGCACTTTTGATGGCTTACCATCTATCATTTATGATTCACGATTTTCTTGTCTTTCCTTTCTCTTGTTTTGTTTCTTTTTCCTGGATCTTCATTGGAACGTGTGGCGTGTTTTGTGGAATATTTGTATGATGCGATACCTTGTACAATACTGTGTGATTTATATATCTTCATTTTCTGTTGGCTCATAAACACGATTGTCAAAAGTAGAGTCCGAAGTCCAGACTAGATCGTCGAAATATTGACCAGTTGGCGATGTCGATCAGGGATAGCGCTAACCGGATCGGGATGCACTACGTCAAGTCAACGCGACTTTGATCAGCTTCACTTTTTCTCTCCATCGTTCTTGCGATAGAGAACTTACACATTTGTCTGTCCAGGAATGTCGCGTTAATTGATTCTTTCTTATCGCTGGTTTATTTCCCCCACACTGTGCAGCGATTTGTTCTTTCTTGAACATCCAAGGAAAGCGCTCTCGAGAACGTCATACCGGCCTCCGCATGAGTCCACAGAATCGGAAGAATTGCGCCTTGGCAGGCGTCTCTATCCAGTCGATCTTTCGAATCGTTGACTTGGTTTAGAATTGGTCTAAATTTTTCGCCCGCTTTGTTCTATCAATGCTCTGTCTGGTGTATTTCTTCCTCGCGTTATAAAGGGGTCAAGGACCCGCGGCGTGGCTTATCTAGCCCATGTCGCACCTACTAGATGCGCGAGTACCAATTCGCCCACCGACATCACGATGAGCAGCGACATGCTTGATCAGGTCTCAACCGAGGCCTTCCCACCGCCACCTCAGGACATCGAGGCCCATCCGCGATCGCCGAATCGCCCAGTCTCCTCGCCCCGGGACGCAGCCTCCCCGGACACGGTCACCCGAATCACCTCGAGAGAAACCGTGCGGAATCGCATGCGACGCAACACGGCGCGATCGTACCATGCCGAAGGCTTTTCCCAAGATAACAGCTGGCAGCCGGGGACGGAGCCAGGTATCGACCCGAACCAGCCGCTTCCCGCCTACGAAGCCGACTGGACCCCGAATATCCCGCCCCATCTGCACCGACAATGTGACATCATCGTGGTCGATTTCTCGCAGCACGAAATGCGACAGTATGAGCTCGACAATGACACGTTGGCGCCGTTCTTGGCTCGGAAGAAAGAGCCTTGGGTGCAGTGCCGATGGATCAACGTGAATGGTCTCAGCTGGGACGTCATCCGCATCCTGGGAAACCAGCAGTCGCTACATCGGCTAGCGATTGAGGATCTGATCAACACGACGAACCGCACCAAGGTGGACTGGTACTCGGATCATGCCTACGTCGTACTCACGCTGCAGAAGCTGGTTCGGGTTTTGGAAGATAAGAGCGACTCGAGCGACTCCGAGGACGAGGACAGCAATCGGCACGAAGAGTGCGCTCACGGCCGTCGTGGTTCTTTTCAAAGCGCAAAGTCGGTAGCCAAAAAGCGGTCCACGAGCATGGGGATCATCCTGGAGGCCTTGAAGGACATTCTCACGCTAAAGTCCCCACGGAGACGGAACAACGGCCGTCGCGCGGCGAATAGGACCTTTCCTTCATCAAGGGGTAAAACTTCGAACAGAGGTCGCATGCCGGTCGAGGACTTGACGGACGGGAGGTGCACTGCCCGCACAATGCAGCGCTTTCGCGGGGGGCCCAACGAAGACCGGATCGCATTCATGGAACGGCACGCGGTGCTCGCAGCCAAGGGTCTCTGCGTCACCCTCGAGCAGGTGTCAATCTTCCTCAACGCGGACAACAGCGTTACATCGTTTTTTGACAACAGCGCAGGGGATATTGAAGCCCCGATCGTCAAGCGACTCATGTCCCCGGAGACCATCCTCCGGCAGTCATGCGACGCCAGCATGCTCCTGCAGGCTATTCTCGACGCCATCATCGATTTAGCTATTCCAGTCACCACCGCCTACCAGGACGTGATCGGAGACTTGGAGCTGGAGGTTCTAACCGATCCCGACATCGACCAGTCCAAGAGCCTGTACATCCTGACCTCGGAGATCTCCATCCTGCGCAATTCCATGCAACCGGTCGTGAACGTGATCAACGCGCTCCGCGACCATCGGTCGGAGCCCGTCAATCCGCCTGGCTTGCCGGTCAAGATCCCAGGCCGCAACACCTCGTCCGACGAAGAAGCGTCGCAGATCGGCGTCGCCACGCCCAATCTCAAGAGTTTGAGTGGCTCGAGCGTGTCCATCAGCCCTATGTGCCATACGTATTTGGGCGATGCGCTGGACCACTGCATTACGATGGTGGAGGGGTACGATCAGATGCGACGGGCTGCTGATAACATGATTGATTTGATTTTTAATACCATCGGTATGCGTTCTCTTTCATTTGCGGCGATAGGGATAAATCTGACGATGTACAGGCGCATATCAGAACGAAAGCATGAAGCAGCTTACACTTGTAACCTGCTTTTATCTACCATTAACATTTTTGACGGTATTTCCTCTCTAACCTTTCTTGTTTTTGCATTACTGATAATGTAGGGCTACTTCGGAATGAACTTCGAAACCTTCTTCGGCATCCAACACAGCGATTCGTATGTCCACTACTATACTGTTCTTCTAGTATCTGCTAACACAAGCTAGATACTTCTGGATCATTGCCATTCCGTTCGTCTTCGCGACGACTGCATTCTTAATGTACGTTCTTCTATCCCCGTACCCGTGGTACACTTCGCTAATGATGACAGGCGCGATAAATTACGCCGATACTTCGTGCGCCTCGCGCAGAAGCGCCTTATCATGAGCTCGCGGAAGCGACGACGGCAGAGAACGGACTAGGTTGCCGTTCTGTCTACGTGACGAAGCTAGACTGTTGACATGCGTCTACTTACCAGGGTGTCCGTTAAATGTCAGGGACGCCTGATGTATAGAACAAGCTATCCTACACTGGATAGTCTCCATCCCCACCCAGAGCGCTTCCACTGGCTTTCACAGTGGCTAAACATGGGGAAGAAAAAACGTCTGTAGGCCAGCCTTAGATGAACGGAAACACAAATCCCAGGCCCTCCACACCCAGAAATCAAAAGATATTCGGGTATCTGAGGGTGTACGCTGTTCATATCATAGGATGCGTCGTATCCTTATGTACTATAGATTAGCATAGATTATAAATCCGAAAAACACACTCCAGGATACAATGACAAGATCAAGCAGTATACCCATCATCCATGGGCATTAGAACAGATTGTCTTCGGGTACCCTTAGAGTTGAGAAAAAAATAAAAAATAACAGCTATAGGCTACATCTACTTCAACAACATCCAATCAAGATTGACAGACTGAGATCATATTAGGCCGTCCTTCTACAAAGAGTCCTGCTCATGGCGGAGGTCTGATGCAGTGATATATTGTAATATGCATGAAAGTATGTATCAGTGAATGGCGCAGCAAGAGAGAAAAGAACGCAAGTCTGTCTCACCGACTAGTTATCAACTCATCGACCCAATTTTATATTTTGTACAATTGATAGATAACAGACTCCACTTTCAATGTTCAATAGACAATATGCTAGATATGACTAGCTATGACTATATTCCGTGTATGTATTCCAGACATATCATTACCTGTGTGAGAGGTTAGAAAAGGAAAGGTATGACAGCCACGAGAAGCATCATGCAATAATATCTCAATAGTATAGCTGCACACACAGTCAGTCCTAGAATAGATAGATCAGCATCGTGCAACCTAAAATATTTACCACACCCATCCTCGATTCAATACCCAGACCCGCATATCAGAGCAAATAATATTTCGACGCCCTCTAGCAAAGAGGCCACGATGATTCTCACCCACGCCGTGCCAGCGCTCATACTCGGCCACGCACAATGCCTTCTCATCAATTCTCTTGCATCTGTCAACAGCCCGACCTGGGACGCATTCAACCAGAGCGTATCAGGGCGACTATTCACCGGTCAGCCGGTGCTAGCACCATGCTTTACCTCCGTGAGCGGCGCGCCGCAGAGCCCAGACACACAGGAGTGTGAGCGCGTGGTGGGCAATCAGATGGATGCAGCATTTATATCTGACATATTTGGTGGATATGCCACTGTATGGTTCTATCCCAGCCCTCTGAGTCTTTTGCGGGCTTACTTACTCGACACAGGGAAACTGGGCCTCCTGCCAAGCAACAGGCGAAACCTGTGTGTTCAATACCACAACCGGACTACACCCAGCAGGTGACTGTCAACAGGGAGCCGTGCCCAGGAAATACGTCGAAGTGCACACCGTGGAGGACGTGCAGCGGACGATGGAGTTCGCGCATCGACACCGTCTTCGCTTGGTTATCAAGAATACAGGACACGATTACAAAGGGCGTAGCTCGGCGCCGGATGCGCTTGCACTATGGTATACCATTGTCCCCTCTTGGTAGCAAGATGAGAATGAAGAGAGCTAATCCAATAGGACACACAAATATCAACCGGCAATCCGGCTAGACCGGTCTTTTACCCCCGATGGATGCCATAACCCAGTCGGTGGTGTGATTACATTCGGAGCAGGACAGCAATTCGAGGGGATCTATGAGTTTGCACACGCGCATGGTTATAGGGTTGTTGGAGGGATGTCGAAGACGGTGGGAGCTGCTGGGGGTGGATTACGGGGGGAGGGCATAGTATGCTGTCTCCTGAATTGGGTATCTCCTGCTCTCTCTCTATTCCTCTCTATCCATTTATCTCGTACTTGCCTATGGCAGGCGGCAGATAGTAGGGTCATCGAATGATCCAGCTAACGACTACGGCAGGCCTCGGCGTCGACAACGTTTACCAATTCCAAGCCGTCCTCCCAAACGGGACATACGTAACCGCCAACCGATGCCAAAACCAAGACATCTTCTTCGCCCTGCGCGGCGGCGGAGGCGGGACCTTCGGGGTGATCATGGAGATGAGCGTGGCAGCGCATGCCGAGAAGTCAATGGAGGTGTTCACGATGGACCTACCCAATTCTGATCCTGGCAATGCAGAGAAGCTCCTCGCTGCCGTGGTCGCCAGTGCAGACCGCTGGGCGTCTGAAGGGTGGGGAGGCTACATCCTGCCTGGGGGGCGGACAGAGCAGCCGTCGACGATGGTGATGGCCACTGCACTGCTGGATCATGCGGCGGCGGGGGAGTCTGTGCAGTCACTTATGACATTGACGGAGGAGGCAGGAATGGCACGCGAGGCCAATCTAACCTCTGTATCTGGTTTCTACGAGGTCGCCAAGGGAATACTGGACGGTAAATTGCTAGAACGGTCAGTATCCAGCGGAACGGTGATGTCATCACGGATCATACCACGAGAGGCTTTCCTCGGAGAGGACAAACAAACAAGACTGACGTCTATACTAAACGACATCCGGTTGGCGGGCCAGAGGAACGATGCGTCGCAGATGCTGATCCTAATGACAGCGCCTACTGTATACTCACAGAACCTGCCAGCATCTGATGAGCCAGACGGACCGGGTGCATCGTCCGTGACGCCCGCGTGGCGCAATGGACTATGGCATGTTATCCACGTACGCAGTTTCGACACTGTGGTAACAGGCCCCGATGTCGTGAGAGAGGTATTCCATGATACCCATCAGGCGATGAACCCGCTGCGAGAGTTCACCCCTGGGGGAGGAGCGTATCAGAACGAGGCGGATGTGTTTGAGCCAGATCCGGTTGGGGCGTTCTGGGGGGAGAAGAATTATGAGCGTTTGATGAGGATTAAGGCGAGTTTGGATCCGGGGAATCTGTTGACGGTGCATCAGGGGGTGGGGTGGGATGGGGAGGATGCTAGGTTTGGTTGTTATCCTGCATCTCAGTAGTAGTAGGCAAGGTCAGGTCGACGATAAGAATGAAGATCCAGATTCTTATATACCATTGATTCAAGCATATAAAGTCATGGACACCAATCGAGTCAGTCCAGGTATCTATATAATCAAACATAGTCCCCTAAAAGTACACGCTACAACGACAATCAAAAGACCCAAAAGAAAGATTATAATACAGGTCAAACCCTCTCCGAAATCTCAATCGCCCCCCTACACCCGGCACGAATGACCCCGACAAGCGGATCATACGGCGTCGCCATCTTGGCATCATGTTCCACCGCATGATCCAAATGCTCGAGCTCCTCATCGCGAATCCTCCTCAAAGAAGCCACCAAGCTCGCAATCTCCTCATCAAGCACCTCCCCCTTCGACTCAGCATCCTTCTCCCAGGAGATAATCTCCCTCACCTGGTCATTATAATGCGTGCCAATCTCCGTCTCCACAGCCTCCGTACAAGCCATGGCAGCCTCCCGGCCAAGACAAGCCGTCGACCAACCGAGAAAGGAAGCAGCGGCGCGCCAGACGGGTGTCATTGCCGTGGGACGAACGCGGTGGGTGGCGAGGAGGTTGTTAAAGGTCGACAGGTGCGATGCTTCCTGGTCGTACATGTGTTTCATGAGGGGGCGGAGGTGGGGCTGGGACCGGGTGATGAGAGGCGATTGCGAGGCGTAGATGAGGGTGGCGGCTAGTTCGCCTGCCTGGTTGACGCGGAGGGCGCGGTCGAGGAAGGTTTTTTGCCGGGGATTTAGTTTGTAGGTTTTCTTTTCTGTGGCGGTGTTGCTGTTGGTGGAGGTGTTAGAGGCATTGCTGGAAGCATTGTTGGTGGAGCTCCAGAAGAGGCGGGTTCCTGGTTGTGTGACTCGTGGAGTGGATGTGCGCGCAGCACTGAGTATGTGGGATGGTCGCTGGAGAGGCTTCATTGTGTTTGTGTCTTCCGATGTGTTGTGATGCTGTAAAGAAGAAGTTGAAGTCATTCGCGGTCCGAACTTCCGCGGTGGTGTCACGCTGAGTCAGCGGTATAGTTGTGTCCATATTCTTGCATAACACTAAATAGGTCATACCAGCTCTATGCCTGCATATTTTGAAGTGTGGATGATCAGAGAAGTAGAGTGGATTGATTGATTAATCCTACTTACGAAGTGTTATTCTTGAGTGTTGAATCTATAGGAATATTGTTCTGCAACATGATTCAGTTGTACACCGTAGTCCAGTGTGTCTATATCCGTCCAGATATACATCGTAATCTGTATAGATATAGTCAACAGAACCACATCCCTTATACTGAACATAAACAATTACTGTTCATGATGCTTCCACTATTACCGTTACAGACTAGGTAGTAAGTAAGCTCTTCAAATGTCTATCAGCGTGGAGTATGCCATACCCTCGGATCCATTCTAGTACATACCACCGATTGGTATGTATGACATACCCTCAACCTCCTACATTCCTGATTTCATGCCCCTGACGTAGACAACACTCATGTATCCTCAGACGTACATATATCAGGGTAACTCCCCCATCTTCTCTGCCTCAGACGTTTACCCATACAGTCATATACCACAACCAGCCATCTACCAACCAAGCTTCACGCAGCAACAACAGAGTACTACCAAAAGAAGAAGAGGGATCAAAATATTATAATAACAATGAAACCAACAACCTTCCTCCTCCCCCTCCTCCCCCTCACCCTCGCCAAATCAACAATAATCAACATGACCACCGAGGACAAAACTTGCACCCCGAGCTTTGACTACTGCGCTGACGAGCTGATCAAATCCAAGGGTATCCCTCCCAGTCCTGTTCCTCTCCCTCTCCTCCCTCCCAAAAAAACAAGATCAACAATAAATTCAGTACTAACAGAAAGAATGAACGAAAGGCTTCACAGAATCCGACCTTAAAAACGCCCTCAAAAACAGCGACGTGGAAGAAAAAGAAGACCTAAGCAAGACCCTCTTCCACTGTAAGAATCCCGGCGATGTGGGCCATCCGAAGGTGTGTCAGGATGGGTGTAAGGGGGGCGAGGAGGAGGGAAGTCATTCTTGTTGATTTTTCTTCTTCCTCTTTTATGTAAGGTTTGGGCTTGAGGAGGGGATTCATGGATGGATACTGGGGTTTACTAGGTAGACGAGGGTTGAGGATCTTGTGATCTATGGTGTATGTACTGGATGAATTGTTAGGAATGTAGATTAAGTACATGATGATTATAAAGATGGGTACTGCGATAGTATAATAACCAATGCTGCAATGATAACATAAGGATGATGCTGCGACGGTATCAAAATGGACAATGCTGCAATGAATAAGTAGAAACAGGGCGAACCATATAAATATCAACACTGCGATGACAGTATCGCTAGGCGAACGACAAAGGGTAATACGCAAATAGAAGTTATACCCCCTCCAAAAATCTCCGTATCCAAACAACCCTCCCGGCCCTTGGATCCATAACAGCCGCGAAGTGCGTAACCTCATTCGTAATCGGATACGCCGTCGTCCAGCGAATGACTTCCCTACTTGTAGCAGTGACCTTCGGCTCAACGGTCATATCCACAAAAGGCGTCGGAAAAGACGTGGCTGCTTTTGACGAGCGCGTGCGTCGCAGACTATCGTGTCGGTGCGTAGTACTACCCCTACTACTACTCCGACTCCCACTACTCCTAGTGCCACTGTCACTCCTGCGAGCTAAGACCTTCTTATGCCACTGTAGTTGCATGTACGCGCGGCGCTCGGCGCTATCCTGTACCAGGTCTGACATGGTGACAGGCTCGCCGGAGATGAGAAACGACCCTGAGTGGTTCCCCGCAGGGTTGGTACCCTGCGACACAGGCGTGAACTGGTCGCTGTTGGTGGCGACGATGAAAGTCGAGTCCGAGGCGACGTGCGCCGAGCGGTGGTCTTTCTCGAGGACGTACGCCGTGGTGCCGTCACACAGCACCAGGTACGCGGCCGTTGTCGGCGTGCGCAGGAGGACCGGTAGCGCCTGATGTAGCGGGGGTCCGGGAGTTGGCAGCACACCCGGGACGAGACACCCGCGGAGGACAGACGCTATAGAGGGACGCAGTCCCAACAACACTAACAAATGACTCCCATAGAAGCGGTAGTTCGCCCAGCGACTACTAGCATCATGAACAGGACGGAAGTTCAAGCTCAGACTGAGGCCTTGGCGCACGCCCGTCAACACACCCACAAACCCAACATAGGTAATGCTAGTCGCAAGCACGGTGTGCGTATCCGGCGAGCGGACAAACTCCAACCGGACAAGCAGTTTGCGCAATGCGTCCATGCCCCAGTCCAGCGTGCGGAAGTGCAGCATGCGCGGCCTAGCCCCCTCGTCCTCGTCATCCTGGCATAGAGCCGCCCCGCTGGTACATCCCATGAGGGTATCAAGGAGGACGTTGAGCGCGACAAGCAGGTACATATCTATACCAGTGACGCGGCTGATCCCTTTGAGCTCGGCCGTCTCGTCAGAGGTATGCAAGCGGCGGAGGAAGACCCGAGAGACGCGCTTGATCCAGGGGATGGCGTGAGTAGGAGCCACCAGGGCCAGGAGGTCGTCGAAGAGGCCTGTCAGGGCGACCATCTCGCGGCGGTAGATGGTGGCTAGGTGGACGTAGCGCTCTTCTGGGGGGAGGGACAGGTCGATTTGGTACACTGGAGGGATGTCCCCTTGCTGCTCGGAGGAAGGCATAGCGGTTGTACTGGTCTGTGAGACCGCGGAGAATTGATTGTTTACAGCATGATAGACGAGATGATGATATGGTACGAGATGGGGGAGTGAAGTAGATCGATAGGGAAGGTGAGGCGGATGAACAGGCAGCTATGCAGGGTGAGTCAGCAAGCCGTCGACACCTGGCAGTATGAACGTGCACGAATCCCACGGAGGATACTGTCCCTAAGCATTTCAATTGGGTTGGATTGCATGACGAAACTACAGCTGGACAGATAAATTTAGATTAAACACGTGAATGAAACACAACTCCTTCTATGGATAGACCCAACGCTAAGAACAGCAAAGATCACATTTCCCGGTTGGTATCTCAACTTAACCCCGGCGCCTGGTACAGTAATTAAAAATAAGGATAAAAAGGGAAAGACATAGAATCAAGAATAGAAAGGAGAGCCAGGGTCAACGCCCCAACTCGGCTAGTTCGCGCTCCTTGGCCCGTAGTTTCTCCCGCATCTCCTCCGCCTCGCGCTGCAGCTGCAGTCGGCGGTCGTCCCGGATGGGGTGGGACGCGGCGGGCGCCGGCATGCGGCCCATGGCGGCGAGCGCGGGATCCAAGGTGGATGGGGGCGGGCGCGCGTGGTTCAGCAGGGTGGAGATCGAGCTGAGCCGGGCGGGCGGCGCATGCGGCGAGGCCATGATCGGGGGCAGCTGGTTGGAACCCGCCTCCAGGGTGACGGGTCCCGACAGGGCCTCGGCCGAGGAGGCCGTCTCGGCCAGGGAGCGGGTGGGTACGGGCGCCACATGGGGGGAGAGGGACCGGCGGCCGACCTGTGGCCCCGGAGAGTGACTGAGGGGGCTCATGCGGTCAGGCTCCAGCAGGCGAGGCGGCGGGGGATGGTGCGGCAGGGTCCCGACGCCGCCGCCGAAGCCAGTGAAGTCGACGGGGGGCGGGGCGGCGGCGAAGGGTCGGTAATAATCCTCGTGGAGCGGCGCGGGGGCGGCCTCGGGCGAGGCGGATGAGCCGTAGGAGGAGTGGGGGGCCCCGGTGGGCGACTGTTCGCGGAGGGCGGGCACGACGCGTTTGCGGCGTTTGATGATGGTTTTCTTCATGGTGGTGGGTCGGTAGCAGCCGTGGAGTTTGTAGTAGAGGCCTATCTAAGTTAGTCGAGGGAGCGTCTGAGAGGGAGGGGACGATAGGGAGAAATAGTGAAAGGAGGGAGAGAAGAACGAACCACACGCATTGCAGATGGGATGGCCATGTTCGTCCCGGCGCCAGAGGGGGGTGACGGTGGTGCCGCAGTTCTGACACGCGACCAGCAAATTCCCATCGGTCGGAGCGGGCCCCGCGGGCGTCTCGGCATCGGAGACCAGGTGGTCGGTGTCGGCAGGCGCAGCGCGGTTCCAGGCATGGACAGGGACGGTGCCTCGGGGGGTGGACTTGTAGACGCGGTTGTTATAGGCAGGGCAGCCATCGCAGCCCTCGGCGCCGCCGGTGCCGTTGCAGTTACCGCCGCCGGGACAGGAGCCCTTGGAGGAACAGCTGCCGGCATTGGGGGCGGGGGAGTGCTCGTGGTCGGCCTCGTGTGGGGGGAATTCGTCGGGACTGGAGTGGGTGCGATGGCGTTTGGTGGGACGGGCGACGTTGCGAGCCTTGAGGTAGAGACCGCAGGCGTTACAGATCATGGCGCCGTTGGGGGCACGACGCCAGAGGGGGGTACTTTTGGTGCCACAGTTACTATAGGGGTTAGTCGTGAGACAAGGGGTATGTACCAGGGGAGAGAGAGAGAAAGTACCTGCAAGAGTGCCCGAGGAAGGAGGTATCTTTGGAGGGTTTGGGAGAGGTGGAGTGGTCGGAGGATGGGCCTTTCAGGCCTTCGACAGAGGGACGAGGGAGGGCATCGTGAGAGGTGGTGGTGGGTGGCGTGGAGCGGGCATCGTAGACTCTGGGGGCGAGATCGGGACGATAGACGAGATGTTCGCGACCACTTTGAGCGGAGGAGATCAACTGCTGGGCGGCATCGAGATCCTCGGCGGAGGGATGTCGCGAGACGTCGGCATTGTGGGGAAACGACCGTGCCAAATCCATGGGGGGTAAGGAAGCTAGCATTTCGTTTGGAAGAGGAGGAGGGGAGATGGGAGGGAGGGAGGAAAGAAAGGGAGATAAAAGTCGGTGAGAACAATCAGGAGGATGAAGAAAGAGAGAAAGAGACAGGAAGGAAGAGAGAGGAAGAGAGGGATCCCTGACAGCGGAGATCTGCTGGTGGAGTCGCGTCTCGAAATAGAAACACAGATTGTCGAGTAGGGAGGAGGGAGTAGGAGTAGGAGTAGGAGTAGGAGTAGGAGTAAAAGTATTGAAAGGGGATAGATGGAGAGAAGAAGACAAAGGACACGAAGAAGAAAGAAAGAGAGATGATAGAAGAAAGAAGAAAGGAAGATGTGGATCTGATATGATCCAAAGTGAGAATCAGATGGAGAACGATAAGAGAGAAAGAAGAGGAGATTCTAGAATGGGGCAGAGACCGGTCAATCAGCAGGGGGCAATTATCAATCTCTTCTTGCCCTTAAAGAGTCGGGTGGATCTTATCGATCAGGGATCTTCTTCTATCCCTTGGCCAGACCTATCAGATTAGATCTGTCTTCTTTTCTTTATATGGTTATTTCATTTGTTCTTCCTGTCTTCTCGGTTTCGCTCTGTTTTTTTTTCTCATTTCCTCTTTTTCCCTCTTCTTTCCTGTCTTTCTCTCTTTCTCCTTTGTCTTTTCTTCATGATCCGTCTCCACAATCCAACCTGGATCCAGTGGACCGGGGTCTCTTCGGCTCCACCGCTTGATTCTTCCCCGTTTATCCTGTTTCTGATTGGTTCATGAATGGACTGGGGCGGTCAGCCTCTTTCTGGTCATTCCTATTGGTCGGGGAGGCGGGTCTCCCTTCCCCTCCACCAATCAGGATGGATACAATTGCCGTGTCAGCCTCGATGGAATTCCTCTGTCTCAGTCACGTGGTACCGACTGCTGTCCTGTCTCCGGAAGATATTAAATAGGATCATGGGGATTATAAGTATAGACATGGACTTGAATGATGTGAGAGAGATCAGACCGAGATGACTCATCATCAACTAAGATCCTGTAAGATATCATAAGTAGGTACCTAGGTATAGAGGAGAAAACAGGCAGACCGTTCTGGTCATGTGCTCTACTGTTTAGAATCCAGCGTGTAACGAGCTACCTTAAGTACCAGGCACCCACCTTGCCTTACTTCTACGGTGTCTATCCATCCGCTGATCGATAAGGTGCGTGTCGATAACCACGCCCTCCCTATCGCCACATCCACACCTCCACTTCATCATTCAATGCGCATCTCCACCCTTCATCTCGTCAACTTCAACAATCCATCCAAATATGACCGCCCCCCAGTCAGCCTCCACCCCCAAGTTCACCGTCTTCATCCGCCTTCCCTTCCCAAGAGGCGACTTTGTCGATCCTCCCCCAGTCCGTTCTCTTCCCGTCCCCGTATCAACCCCTAGCTTCCGACGCGACTGACTGACCGCAGGTCGACTGGAATGCCGCCAAGGATCAAGCTCTCTGGGACGTCCTGTCGCGGCCTTCCAAAGGGGATGATATCGACTGTACGTTCTTCAAATCCCATCATACCTCTTAATAGACTCATACTAACTACGTACTACTACAGGGAAAGCCCTGTATGCCATCTCATCCATCCTCCTCTCCATCTCACTCCACTAATCCTCGCTATCGCCAGCGCCGATCGCTTCGATGTGACCCTCCAGTTCCTCCTCCAGCAGGCTGCCTGGCTCTACGATCGTCAACTCTCCCAGGTTCGCGCCCAGATGCGCAAGGTTGGCACCACTCAGTCGCATTCGCCTTCTCCCGTCCCGGGCTCCATCTCCGGCAGTACTGCTTTGCCCCGACCCGTCTCCGGTTCCGGTATTCCCTCTTCGTCTTCATACGTATAGACCGAAGCTAATCCATCCAGCCCCCCGCGTCCCGTCCCGACTGGCCTCCCAGCAGAAGGATACTCCCCCGCCCCGCGGTGAGTATAACGGTCGGTCTCATCGAATAGCTCAGGCTAACTTCCCAGCCCCGGCCCCACGCCGCACCAGCTCCGGCAACACCGTCCCCCAGGTTCCCGCCTCCCGCGAACCCCTCCGGACCGAGACCCCGCCCACCAACCCTGAAGAGCCCAGATGGGACACTCAAGGCCGTCCCTCCACCGGTCGACGCGAACCTCCCGTCCCCGCCCCCCACTCGCCCGCTGCCGACAGCCTGTCCTCTAGTTCCTCCGAGTCCGAGTCCGAGTCCGAGTCCGAGTCCGAGTCCGAGTCCGACTCCGAGATGATCGCCAGTCGGAGGGGCATGGGAATCAAACGCTTCGGGAAGGCCTCGACTCATCGACCCGGACTGCGCGACGACGATGCCGACGACGACGAGCCCCCGCTGTTCCTGCCGCTGTCCCGCGACACCGACGGCCCGGATCCCGCTGACCGCGACCTCGGGGAAACCCTCCGGTTGAACGCCCGCCCCCAGACCCAACCCCCGCGGAGATCCGTCGCTACTGAGTCATCCGCCAGCTCCGCCAGCTCGAGCGTCCCTGCCGTCCTGCCCCATCGCCGCCGCTTGCACCAAAGCAGCCCGCGGAGTCCCCGACCGACGGCGGAGCTGGCCCGACTGAGTCCGCGACGGTCTGTCGCCTCCGGCCGGGAGACCAGCGACGGGACCCCTAGCATGGGGAGTAGCTTCAGCGATTTGGATGGTAGGTCTCTTCTTTCTAGCCGCGCTCGGGTGTACTAATTGGGTGCAGATGCGAGTGTGACGCAATCCGCCCTCGAAGAGGCCCTGCTGAGCAACATGCAACATGGCGGCATGGCCAGCCGGATGAGTACCATCAGCCAAGCCTTGCGCAGCCGCTACCTCTGATGACGGATACTATTGTGACCGATTCCATTTCCTGGTGGAGATGGTTGTACGTGAGCGATAAGATACCTCGGTCGGCCCGGATGACATAAGCGCACCCCGTGCCCCGCAGGCGGTGAGCGGGTGGAGTGACGTTCCTCCTCATCCCACTCTCCTCTTCCTCGCCATCTCTCATCAACCGAATGGTATCCGAGCATTGCGTCGATTAACTACCTCGAAGTGGCCTCTCCTCCGTTCTCTCACTGACCCATCGTGCCCATCCACAGACGGCCACCATGTCGTCTGCCCCCAGCAAGGACATGACCCCCGCCCAGGCGGAGTCAACCTACTTCAACAACTACCCCCCACCCAAAGCCCTCCCGAAACACGAGTCCCTCGCACGCGCCTTCGTTGACTACCACTGCGAGGCCAACCGACGGGTCGTTCTCGTCACCTCGGGTGGTACGACCGTCCCCCTCGAAAACCAGACCGTCCGGTTCATCGACAACTTCAGCGCGGGTACCCGCGGGGCCACCAGCGCCGAGTACTTCCTCGAGAACGGCTACGCGGTCATCTTCCTGCACCGGCAGTACAGCCTGCTCCCCTACTCCCGACACTACAGCCACTCGACCAACTGCTTCCTCGACTTCCTGGAGGAGGCCCCAGAGGAGGGGCCGATCGTCGTACGCGACGAGTACCAGGCCGAGATGCGCGACGTACTCCGACGGTACCGCCACGCGAAGAAGAACAACCGACTGCTGCTACTCCCATTCACCACCATCTCAGAGTACCTCTTCGAGCTGCGCACACTCGCCAAGATCATGCGGCCGCTCGGCTCCAACGCCCTCTTCTACCTCGCCGCAGCAGTCAGCGACTTCTTCATCCCGCGAGACCGCATGGCCGAGCACAAGATCCAGTCGTCGGAGGTGCCCCGAGACCCCGAGCACGCGGTGGCCGACTCAGACCGCTACACGGGGGGACTGGAGCCCGACGAGCAGGCGCCGCCGGCGTCCCAAAGCCGCAAGCTCGTCATCGACCTCGACCCGGTGCCTAAGTTCCTGCACCAGCTGGTGGACGGCTGGGCGCCGCCGGGGTCGATGGTCGTGTCGTTCAAGCTGGAAACGGATCCCAGCTTGTTAGTGCGCAAGGCGCGCACGGCCATCCAGCGCTACTCGCACCATTTAGTGATTGGTAATCTACTCTCGACACGCAAGTGGGAGGTGGTCTTCGTCACGCCAGACGCGCCGCACGAGCGCTGGATCCGGGTGCCCAAATCCAGGCGCAGCAAGAGTCTGTCAGGCGTCGAAGACCAAGTCGGACTGGCAGAGGCACGCCAACGTCTGCGCGACGATCCAACGGGAGAAAAGGGGGAGTCCGAGCGGCGGGCGGAACACGCGCGCCACGAAGAGGCCAGCGCGGATGGGGTGGAGATTGAGAGTTTGATTATCCCGGAGTTGGTGAAGTTGCATACGGGGATGATAGAGAAGAAGGCTTAATTTATTTCGTATTATATTTTGTTTCGTAGTCGGAGTGGAGATGTACATATTACATGTTGAATGGATGTATTGCATTTTATTGTCTTGAAGTACTACATTGTGTTTTATATGGTTGTGCATTTGAGGTATCATATCACCTATACTTGGGCCTTAGTAGTAGTGTAGGCAGTGATGCCGAGGTAGACAATTAACTAGATATATACAAGCAATGTCCTACTTCGTAATGACATGACAATGAAGAAATATATAAATGAAAAAGTAGATGAAGGGAGTGGTCTTATTATGTTCACTGCTAGTTATAAGCTTACTATATTCAATGAGAGTACTACTGCTATCTCAACTACTACTACGTAGTGTATCTTGACTAATGTTACTGCTACTACTGCTACTCCTGCTACCACCGCCTCCACTAGCTATACCCAGAAAAACACATATAATCATCAATCATTAACACACTCATTAGTAAACCACCTGTCTACCTAACCACTACCAATCTATGCAGACGAAAACATCTAAATAGATATGTCCCAGCTAATCAATCCACAGCGAGATCGACACTCATTAACAACACCATCGTCTCAACACGCCAGCGACGATAAAATAGAGTATCATTAATAACAGTCTCCTCAGTCAGATAATTAGATAGCGTCAAACGTAATAAGAAGTATCACCCCATCCAACTCCCATCCATCAACAAATCAGACATAGGCGTATCCTGCCAATAAAGCTGTCTCCACTCGTCCTCCAACTCAGGCAGACCCTCCATAGCGAGCGGCAGGACCGGCTGATCTACATCGCCGAACGAGAACAGCTGCCGCCAGTCGAGCGATTCACGCGGGTGGTCTATCGCGTCCACGGAGGAGAGATTGTGGGATGGGATCCAGGTGTCGAAGGGTTGGGGTGGGGCTGGGGCTGTTGATAGTTTGGGGGATTCGGGGGTGGGGACTTCGTAGGGTGCTGTTGTTGTCGTTGTCGTTGTCGTTGATTGTTGCGGGGGAGGGGCGGGTTGGAGGGGGATGGTAGTGGGGTGGTTGTTTATGGTGGTGGTGATAGCTTTGCCTGGGGGAGGCTCATTGGTACTGCTGAACCGACGGGGTCGGTCACTAGGCGCCAAATGGAGGTCTTCACGCAGCCGGCGCGAGTCCTTAAAGAGACGAAGAATAGTCCCAGCGTGAGACCAGTACCCGGCGAGCTCTCGCAGCGAGTACGACGCCGAGTCAAATCGGCGGAGGGCGTTGATGGCCAACACCGGGTTTGAGAAGCGCAGCTCGACACGCACTTGGATCATTGCTGTAAACAACGTATGCACACCAGCGTACCAGAGGTACTTCAGCCTGTCATTGAGCCGCAGCTCCTCGAAGATAGAGGCGATGACTCCCGCCGCAGCGCTGCAGATCTCCGCGTCGTGCGGCCCGTAATCATCAGAGTAGACGGACGCACGCGGATGCGGCCTATGCAGGAGGATCAGGAAGTTATTATATGTCAAATGGAGCATGGCCGACCAGGGGTCCATGTCAGACGCCCGGAGGCGTAGCGTATCAGGCAGTTTCAAAGACCAGTTGGCGAGTGCTTCGTCTGCTTCTTGCAATACAGCTGTGCGGCGCTCGGCGCTGACCCGCAGGCCGAACCGCTCGCGGACGATGTACGAGATCATGGTGCAGAGTTCTGAGAAGTTGATGGCGAATTCGGCCTGCACCCGCGGGCCGCACCCTTCAAAGTCGGCTAGTGTTAGGGGGGAGACGTCTGAGTCTTCGAGGTTGCTGCATACGTTTAGAATGGCACTCCACCAGAAGAAAGATTGGGAGACTTACATCGCCTGCGGTCGACCGTAGGATAGAGAGACCATCACGTCAAACTGGACTAGAATGTACCACATCCGTCGCCACATATGGCGGTCCCGGGACACGAAGCGACTAGACACCGGGTTACGGTGCATCCCCAAGCCCGTGGCGATGCGGGCCGCCACGCCAACCCAGTAGTGGGCATTGGCGGCGACGTCGTCGTCGGCGCTGTCGGAGTGCCAGGTCATGAGCAGCGCGGCCTGCACCATGATATCGCGGTTGCGCTCGATACGACTGTCGAAGAGCCACTTGGCGCGACGGAAGAAGATCTCCTTGAGGGCGTCGCGCTCAGCCTTGGGCCGTGCGACGTGCGCGCCAACTAGCAAGATCGCCTGAACCAGCAGGATGGGCGGGGGGTCGCTCGGATCTCGATTGCGGTACTGCGCCATGAAGAGATCCTCTTCGATGATGGGGTAGCCCGTGTTGACGCGGGCGAAGTACGCCTCGACCAGCTCGTCCGCCAGCGCGGGCTCCGGCAGCGTGAGCGCGTCGACCATGAGCTGATCATGGCCGGTGCGGATCTGCCGCCGCGGGATCTCGTTGCCAGCGAAGTGGTAGACGTCGTCGTCCTTGTCGCGCTGCTGGCGGATCAAAAACGACATGTTGGACAGCTCGTGGCCGACGTAGATTGCGCGGACGCCGCGCTGGATCTCGCGACGGCCCGAGTCTTCCTCGTCGATGAGCTTGACTAGCCGCTTCTCGAGGTCGGTGTGCGAGTCGGGATCAGCCACGCCTTCGGGTTCGGGTTCGGGGTGGACCACATCTGAAGGCCCGGTCGCGGCGGCATCGCTGCCGATCCGTGGGCGCGATGGATGCGCCGTCGTTCCTTCAGGCTGGACCCCACGGAAGGTAGTGGTGAACGCCGACGGCGCAGCAGACGGCGGGGTCAACGACTGGGGCACCTCTTCCGCCGCCGGGGTCGGACGACAGCGAATGGGCACGGGATCGAGGATAGATCGCACGGCCAGACGCTTCTTCTTCTCATGGATGCGACAGTCGGCTTTGTCGGCGGAGCGACAATTGGAGCAGGGGAGACCGACGACGCGGGCATCACATCGGACTTTGCGCCGATGGCAGTGGATGCAGGCGGCAGAGCCTGGACTATCTATCAGCTTGACGTATTTACGGACTGGATGGGAGACGTACCTGACTTGCGCTTGGTTACACCATTGCCAGTGGGCGGATGGGTGTTGTGCAGGGCGGAGGACATATCAGCATGGACAGTGAGCGAGACAGGTTAGGGGGCGAGGGTTCGTGGCTTCATGGTAGGCAGGAGGACAGAAGCAGATTGAGGAGTAGGACGAGAGATAAAGAGTTAGAATCAAGAGAAGAAGAGAAGAGAAGTTGGTTGAGACTGGAGAAAGATGGAGGACTTTGTGGGGCTGATACGCGGGGGGTCACGTGGCGTGCGGAGACAATCCGCCCTGTTTCAATTATCAATCGAAACCATGGGTGGAATCGGAGTGCATGTCGATTGTCAGTTGATGATCAGATGGTCTGTGAATGGTGGGAGATATCCACTGCTGAAGGATCGATCACCAGTCAACTGTCTAGGGCTATCGTGCTCCACTGTAGCTTATCAGGTCTCTCATGCGGTGTAGATGACTCCAACCAACACGGACCAGTATATCCAACACTATATACAACCACCACCTATATACACGATAATATAATCTAAAGTAGACCATCCCCCCTCCCCCAAACCCTCGAATGCACCCGATCATGCCAAAACCACATCACAGCGTTGATCGTCCTTACCAGGACACACAACCCCTCCGGCGCATGGCCCCCGGGATCCATATTCCCCGTCATTTCGAGCAACCACTGCAGGACTTTGTACAGAGGAAGCCAGAAAAGCAGAAAGAGCTGCGCTCCGAACCATTGCCAGGGGGAGTGATCCCTGATTGGAGGCTGATACGACGGGAGGGTAGAGAGATAGGTTTGATACGGGTGGGAGAGGTGTTGTTCTCCGGAGCCGGTTGTGATGAGGTCCTTTATACATATTATTAGTATGTTTTCAATTATATCTGTTATTCCAGGAGTATATATGTGTAAGAAATAATAAAGACAAACCATATACCGCCGACTCGGCACCCCAGCCGGCGTACGACCCTCACCCGTCACGAGTGTAACAACGGCCATTCCAGACGCATCCCCATCTAGCGAGTCTAGCGGACGCGCACGGAGCACCACCCGGCGATACGCATAGAGACCGCCCTCCGACGCCATGATCGAGCGCAATTGCGCAGGCGTCACGAGGTACGCGACGCCTTCGACCGTCGGAGCTGTCACCGGAGCATTCTTCTCAAGGTCCCCTTTCCCAATTGATGGACCCGAAACAGGCTGAATAGAGGCAAACGCAGGCTCGATGTATGGCAAACCGCCAATATCAAAGACGAGAGTCCAGCCGGGGATGGAGACGGATTTGGTGGCGAGGGGGATGATCTTGCGGGTGCCGGTGAAGATGGAGCGGGCGAGATTCGACCCGTAGGCGAAGTACCAGATGGGTTGGTCTGGGGGTTCCAGTGGTGGAGGGTCATGTTGGTGTATCTATTTGGTGACTTGGAGGAGTTGGAGATGGATAGTGAGGTGGATGGTTAGTCAGCTGTATTTCCTGACTATTTCCTACCTGGTATCTACTAAATCTCTCCGATTTACTTACAATGCATCTACCATGTATTGACTATGTATTTACTATGTATACTATATATCTACTAAGTATCTACAGGAGATTGGAGGTTAACTTGACAATGGAAGCTCTGACAGCAGGCGATTACAATGAGACGAAATCAATTATATTAGACCTACAGAAAGTACATCATGAAACCCCATTTCCCAATCCAACCCACCAGTTCCTGCTGAAAGAAAGAAAAGAAAAAGAAAAAGAGAAGAAAGAAAGAAAGAAAGAAAGAAAGAAAGAAAGAAAGAAAGAAAATACAGTTAGGTATCGCTTGTGGCGTCGTGGATCGTCGTCGTCGTGAGCGAATACTGGTCAATGGCGAGTCAATCGGCCACACTAGGCGTCCAGGTCCATCCCCGTCCCTAGAGATGCCGGCTGGGCGCACATGGTCTGGAGGAGAGGCGGCTCGGCCGGGTTGGCGCCGAGGAGATTCTGGTCGTGCGGCACGTCCACGAGAGGTCGGTCCGACGCGCCGAGGATCTGAGTGCCCTCAAAAGTGATCGGGCTCGCGCTCAGATGGCGCAGGGCCGCCTCCCAGCTGGAGCCCACCAGCTGGGCCTGCGTGAGGTCATCGTTGAAGAGGTAGAAAGCGGGAGTGGTGCCAAGACCCATCGGAGCGGCCGGTCGCGCACTGACCAGGTACGCGTTGAGGGCGCGATTCTTCATGAGGATCTCACACTCCCCGAGGTGGGTGGCGAATTGTCGGTCGATGTACTTCTTCCAGCCGCGCGCGGCCGCCGCCAGGTCGCAGTCGTCCACCTGGATCCGTTGCCAGCTGATCCCGAGGAGGTGCGTGGTGTCGTCGACGGTCGGTTCTTGGGGAGAGCGATTGCGCGCTTCGGGAGCGGCGGCGTGGGGGCCGTCTGCGAGAGGATGCGGCATGGATGCGAGGGTACTGTCCTGGAGACCCGGGGTCGTGGGACCCAAGCGCGTGGCCTTGCGGCCGCGGAGTTGGTCCGCGCTAGCGTCCGAGGACCAGGACGCGACGGGTGGGGTGGTGCTGACCGTTCCGCCGGTAGGAGGGAGGTTCGTTACGCCGGAGGAGCCAAAGAGAGGTGGTTCTTGTCGCTGAGGCTCCGGGGTGGGCATGAACACAGGAGGATTTGGGTGGAGGGCCTCTTCGAAGGCCGCCTCGTCGCGGGACCTCTTGCGGGAGGGTTTAGACGGGGGCGGATGTGCGGCCCCGAAGAGCATTGCGGGGGGAACGATGTCCCGCTTGGAGGCACGGGAGAAATTCAGAAAGGCATGATCCTGGGACGGGGAGAGGACCATGGCCGGGCCATCGGAGAAGTCGTTGGCGAGCATGGGACACATGGTGAGATGCGAGGAGGGAAATGCGACGGAGAGGAATCTAGGGAAGCGAACGGATCTGTCCTGCAGGGTGAGCTAGTAGTCAATCAACAAGGGCACGCGTGGATGAGGATCCACGGGGTGTCGAGGCCGTGGCGGTGCCTGGGAGAGTCGAATGGATAGTAGGAGGTCCGAAGGGATGGATGAGATAGAGGATAATGGAGTGGAAACAATGGGATGAAAGAAGGGCAGTTCAAAGATAGATGAGGTGAGATAAAAGGGAAGGAGATGGATAGACGATGGGAAGGATGAATGAGGCGATTGAGAGGAAGAGAAAGAGAAAAGAGAGGAGGAAGAGAAAGAAGAGAGAAGAGAGAGAGAGAGAGAGAGAGAGAGAGAAAAGAAAGCATTGACGGAAGGGCTGGATGGAAGGCGGATGCAGATGATGCGATGCGGTGGAGATGAGGAAATGCGGAGATTATTACTGTTATTACACTGTCGTTACGGACAACTGACCACTTTCGACCCATGATACAGTGTAAGGTAAGGTAATTTCACACCCCGTACAGTTCATCCAAGACCCACAGCAATCCGATCAACTGGCCAGTTGGCGCCCGTGATTGGCCAACGCCTGAGGCAGACCCGGGGATCGCCCGGATCAGGCAGGAAGATGATTGGCCTGAGGACCAACGCCTCATCCACGCGTCCAGGGAATTCTTCCGGCTGATTGGCGGAGAGGTCATTGATGATCCTGGCTGGAGAGGATCTCTTTCCTCCGTCTTGGTGGCTCTGACAGAAAGAATCCAAATGCCACTAGACACTAACGAGACTAGCTGGATGCGTGCCTCAGGCGGGGAGGCCTCCGGTGGCTGCCTCAGGCCGTACTGCGGACCGTCCTTGTTGGTCGACGGTGACCTCTGACCTCGCGACCAGTTCCTCTCTCCCTCTGAGTAATACGAGAGCGGCTGTCAGTCTGACTACTTCGTACTGTAGTCAGCACCATCCATCCTAAATACTGACCTAATCGGGCTCTCCAGTCTCTGCTTGGACAGGTAGTTATGCAGTAGTTGTGAACATAATGAGTCAGACACGTGCAGCTGACTCATCCCACCCGCCAATCAGCGCGTGCGCCCGTGACAGACCTCATCTTGGCCTGAGGTTCTCTCTCTCTCTCTCTCTCTCTCTCTCGTCTTGACTTTTCCATCTCGTCTTTTTCTTCACGATTCAAATACTCTTTCTCTTCCTCTCTCTCTCTCTCTCTTCCCCCATATCTCTCTCTTGGTGGATCCAATCCAGTGTCCATCCCTCCCCGGTGTTGTTCTGTCCCCCATCGGTTGCAATTCCCCTCAACCACCCACTTTTCTTCTTTGGTTCCCTTTTTCTTGGGCTTTTTTTTTCTGCCTCGCGACAACTACTCCACCACGCGCCGTACTCTCTCCCAAATCGATCTCCATCCCTCCAGGTTCACAAGGAAAACAGGGTTGGAAGGAGAAAAAGAACGACTCTCGCCGCGTTCGTAACTCGGTTTGATTTTTTTAGCGTCCGCCGGCCCTCGTCGCGCTCCCAGCATCAACCAATCCCCCGTCGCTCTCGCCTATCGCCGTATCACGCGCTTTCGAGGCTACTCCTGCTGCTCACAGCCCTTTTCTGGAGACATATAATCAACCGAAAAGAATCCTCGGCCTGGATATCGCGCCCGTTCGTCCTCCGGTGTCCCCGCGGTGCGGCCATCTTGGGCCCGGACAGTGGTTGCCCTGCGACGCTACACCCGCTGTCCAACTTTTCCCTCCCCATTTTTCTTTCCCATTTGAAGCCTTCGCGCCGGTCGCCGGATCGCCTCACGGGTTTTACCAGATCGACCGACCCTGGGTCCCGTCGTCGGCGATGAGTCCCCAAGGCGTCACCCGCAAGAGGCCCGCCCCGGGCACCTCTCCCCTCCCCCATCCCCCTCAACCGCATATGGGTCCCATTCCCAACTTCCCCCAGTCCGCCGGTCCGCAGCTGTCCAACGATCAGTTCCTGCAATGGGGGCAGAATCCGGCGCATGTCGCCAATCCACCGCCCTTCCCCGATCCTACCGCATACAACAACGCCGCCTACGCCGCCGCCCAGGACATCCCCGCCTCGTCCACCCAGTTGGCGCGTCGCCAGACCCCCGCCCCGGTGCCCACCCGCGCCCCCCGATATGAATCCCCCTCCACCACCTCGGAGAATGGCAGTCAGCCGGCCGACCCGGGCCCCTGGGGCGAGAGTCTGGAGCATCTCTACCAACGCGCCGTCGTCGCCAAGCGCGACGCCCAGGCCAAGCGGAAGCAGATTCCCCCGTTTGTCCAGAAACTGAGCAGGTACCTTGTCCTCATCCCCCACCCCCAGACGGAAGCCACTGACCCTCCCAGTTTCCTCGACGAGTCCAAGAATACCGAGCTGATCCGGTGGGCCGACGACGGGAATTCCTTCATCGTCCTGGACGAGGACGAGTTCGCGAAGACCCTCATCCCCGAGCTGTTCAAACACAACAACTACGCCTCCTTTGTCCGTCAGTTGAATATGTACGGCTTCCACAAGAAGGTCGGCCTGTCCGATAACTCGATGCGCGCCAGCGAGCGCAAGAACAAGAGCCCCAGCGAATACGCCAACCCCTACTTCCGCCGCGGCCACCCCGACCTGCTCTGGCTCATCTCCAAGCCCAAGAACTCCGGCGGCCAGGCCAACCGCCCCGCCAAGCCGCCCGTCCGCGTCAAGACCGAGGACGGCGACCCCGACGACGACGACACGGACGAGCCCGCGAGCCTCCACCATGATCGGGCCCGCGGCCGCCAGCTCTCCCTCATCACCAACAACGACGTCGCCAAGGACCAACTCTCCGGCGTCTACCGCGAGCTGCAGGCCATCCGCCAGCAGCAGCAGATCATCTCCACCACCATCACCAAGCTCCGCCGCGAGCACGAGCAGCTCTACGCCCAGGCCGCCAACTTCCAGGAGCAGCACAGTCGCCACGAGAACTCCATCAACGCCATCCTGACCTTCCTGGCCACCGTCTACAACCGCAGCCTGCAGGGCCAGGACGGCGGCCCGCAGAACCTGGCCAACTCCTTCGCCGGCGCCATCTCGCAGGATCCGGGCAACATCGTCGACGTCGGGGACGACTACTCCCTCAGCACCCTGGGCGCCTCCAACCTCCCCGGTCCCGCCGCCGCCGCCGCCGCCGCCCGCGCCGCCAAGAAGCAGCCCCTCCTCTTGAAGGCGCCCCCGGCCCCCGGCGCCAATCGCGCCACCACCCTGTCCCCCGCCGCCAGTGCCTACGAGCGCCCGCCGCCGCGCGCCCCCTCCCGGCACCAGCCCACGGCCCCGCCCACGGGTCAGGTCGAGGAGGTGTTCGACGCCAGCCCGCGGCCCAAGGCCCCCCTGCCCCCGAACCCGACGGCGCAGGGAGACGCGCCCCAGCGGGACATCATGTCCGTCATCGAGAACTCCAACGCCCGCAACGGCCTCCCGACCAGCCTTGCCGACTTCCCCAACGTCCTCTCGTCCCTGGAGACCTCGGGCGGGAACGTGCCGCTGACGCCGAACCAGCGCGCGGACATGCTGCGTCTGATGGCCCACGAGTCGCACCCGGGCGGCGACGACGTCCCCCTGTCCCATAACAACGCCCTGATGACCCCGACGCCCCCGCCGATGCCCCACAACTACTCGGGCCGCCTCGCCGACACGCGCGCCGAGATTGACAACCTCGTCAAGATGCAGGCTGAGCAGGACCGGTCCGTCCAGAACCTCACCAACTTGCTGCAGCCCCTCAGCCCTACCGGCGCCATCCCGGGCCTCGGCGCCGACGGCAGCGTGCCCCCGCCACCGCTCGACCTCGACCAGATCTTCAGCAATGACTACTTTACGGACCTGCACGACGCCGACCCGCACCACAAGTCGAATCTCGAGTACGGCGACCCCGCGTCGGGCCAGCACCCGCTCCCGGAGCCGCCGGTCCACCCGGGACCGGACGACAGCGGCCTCAAGGACGCGCACGATCTCTTCAACTTCGACCACGTCCCGGCGGACGACGATCCATTCGGCGCCAACCCGCCTCCGAACCCGTCCTACTACGGCGGATACGACGGCAGCAACGGCTACGGCGCACCGCCCGGTCTCGCTCCGAACCCGGGCCCCGTCCCAAACGACTCGGGCCGGATCATCGAGACCCTGACCGACAGCGAAGGGACGAGCCCGGCCAACACCGTCGAGGAGGTACCCGGGTACGGCGAGGACGGCCAGCCCCCAGGCAGTGAGAGCAAGCGACGGAGACGGGCGTGATTTCGTGATTTGGTGATCTCGTGATCCTTGGGTCATCACCTCCGCGGGGAAACCACGTACAGTTATCGGGTGCAACATATATATACCCGACCGATCTTTCCCCCTCTTCTCTACAAACGACTAGCCATATTCCACACAAACAAGGATAGAAAAAGAGTCGACACGGGTTGCCAGTCTACAGCATACTTACTTCTTCCTCCGCTTCCTTCTTCTTCCCATCATTTCCCTCCTTTCCTCCACTTCACCCAGGGTGATATCGCCTCATTGTTACTGTCAGATAATTCTAAAACAGGAGAAAGCCGCCGTGGGCGGAATAGCACGATTTAATGATAGCGAGATTTGTTTCTTATTTTTGATTTGTTCTTGGTAGGGCGTAGTTGGCTAGTGTTTTTCGTATGGTAGATTGTCTGTTGTAGTTTTGACTGTATGGTAGTCTGTCGGTATAGTAGTCTGTCTGTATGGCAGTCTGTCTATGTTGTAGTCTTGTCTATCGTAGTCGCGTCCGTGGGGCAATCTCTCGAGAGAAGCGCTGTCTGTTAGGCGTCTCACATCCCAAAGTTCACTTCAGCCCAGCCAAGGAATATACACTTACCCATATAGAGTGGGAAGACCAACAAGAACAGTCAGAACAACAACAATGATAATGATGACCACGACGAAGTGCCAATAGTGATTGTAGGAGGTTGCAAGAACATGAACAGTCAGAACGAGGGTTTATTATGTGAGAAGACAACGCTAATCAGCTGATGTTGGCTGATTGCATTTCTCATCATCTCACATGTATATTTAGTGTCTGGGGTTGTGTATAGTTATGAACGGTAGGCATCTGATCAGTACCAGACTAGAATACCGTCCACACACAGTACATATATATATACACAAAAGTATAACATCATAGTTGAAGAGTATTTAAATAAAGAATTATATATATCCTACACCAACCGCGTCCCCCCAACCCACCCCCCACACCACGCAACCCACTCCCACCAACATCCGAAAACACCCCGCCCCCACTAGCATCAGAGAAGCAGCGTCTCGCCTCGCGCGTCATCAGTCGACGAGGGGCCTTTCGCCCAGTGAGCAGTTCGAACTGCGCAATGGCCTGCTCGGAGACATTGTCGAGGCCGTCGACGAGAACCCACGGACGGCCGGTTTCGGTGCGCAGACGGCGCATTTGTTTCAGCAGAGGAGTTTCGAGGGGTTTGTATGCGAACTTTCATCCATTGTTAGTATGTGTTGAGGTGAATAGGATTGAAGGGGATGGGAGGGGTGGGGATACCTCTAATACAACACCCCCGGTGGTACTACCCAACCACTGGGGTGGCATTTCAAAATTAGCAGGCGGCTCAGTCCCGGCTGGGTCCGCAGGGACACAAGACGCAATGACACAAGGCGGATTGGCGTCGGCGGGCCACGGCTCGTCAGGCGATTGGAGGACATGCACAACCTGCGAGCCGGCCCACGAGTTGAAGTGGTGGGCCACGGTGTCAGCTCGCGAGCGTGTGCGGTTGAAAATGAAGATATTGCGGCAGCCGAGACGCAGCATAGCGTAGACGGCAGCGCGACCCATACCGCCGGCGCCGATGACGAGAGCAGTCGTCTTGAGCGGGCTGATGGTGTTGCGCGGCGAGAGGTTGCGGTTCACGCAGGTGACAATGCCGACCCAGTCGGTGTTTTCGCCATACCAGCCGAGGATAGGGCCGGCCTGGTTGCGGCGCGTGGCTTGCTCGTGCAGCGGGAACATGGTGCCGTCCGGCCGGGCGCGCAGCGGCATGATGGTGTTGACGGCGCCGATGGCCTCGGCGTGGCGGCTTTTGGAGGCGAGCTTCTGCGACACCTGGACACGCCAGGGCTGGACGACGCTCGTACCGCCGAAGTGAGGGTCGCGGCCGAAGCGATCGAGGGCTGAGAGCGTCGCCGACGCGGGGATACTGTACCGGTGGGCCATGCCGCAGTGTTTGAAGGCCGCGTTGTACATGGCGGGGGAGAGACTGTAGGCGACGCTGGCGCCGAGGATGTAGAACTGGAGGGGGTCGAGCACGTAACTCTGGAACAGGGCCTGGACGGCGTCGCGCGAGGTGATTTCCGGGTTGCGGCCGGTGTCGTTGGCGCGGTCGATGGCCGGGTGCGTGACCGACGTGAGAATCGAGTTGAAGACCTGCGACGTGCGGCCGAGACTGCCGACGTTGTAGGCGATGAGCGGGGGTGCGTGCCCGGGAGGGACTGGATCTTGTTGGTGAACTTGGCCAGTGCCGCGTTGTCTTCGCGCTCGGTGGCTACGCGCAGGATGCGCACGATCTGGCAGCCTAGTTTCTCGGCTTCGAGGTAGAGGGAGACGCACTGGTCATCATCCCAGGCTACCCTCTCCTCCGGCTCATAGGTATGGTGTCCGATGATCTTGGTCATTCCGCGGTTGCCCACAACCCATTGTAGATGATCTGGATCTTGGAGCAGGTCTATCGCGAGGTACTCGACGGCTAGTCGCAAGCCGTGCTCCGCTACTTCAAAGTATACCTCGCGCACCTCCGCCGGGGAGCGGTCCCTGCCGAGCCCCGACGCCGTGCTGTCGATCGAGAAGATGATGGGAAGACGCGCATTTCTCCGCAGCACAGAAACCTGCTTGCTCACGGTGCTTGCCATGCCGGGGCCCCACCGGTCTACGCGCAGTTCGATGGCATCGCCACCCGATTCCAGCTCGGGGAGGTTCACAGCGCCTTCGATTAGGTCCGAGGAGCGCACGAAGATAGCGTGGGTAAAGGATCGCTGCTCCGGTGGTGTCTCGAGTAGGACAAACGGCGAGTCATAGGCCGAGTCATCCACCTCCGTCCCCGTCACCAGACACACGAAGCGCGTAAAGTCCTCCTTGGCCGCTTTGAGCTTGAAAGAGTAGTCGACCGACCGGCGATCGGGCGCATCCTCGTCGGTCTGGTTCACCACACTCGACCGTTCCTCAATGTTGTAGAACTCGAAGTTGGAGCAGGTCCGATGCAACGGATCTCCCTCGCAGAGGCGCTTGACTGCTTGGTCCTCAAATCCTAGTAAGCTCTGAATGCGCTCGATGTCGCGCAGGAGATACACGACCGGGTTCGTGGCGGAGTACTGGCGGAGAAATTCTTGAACCGGGCGCGTGAGACTCCCAAGTCCACATTCAATCACGCAGCGTGTGCGATGGTTCTCCAGCATGAGCTTAAGGACTTCGATGTCGCGGTGTTGGAACTCATGGCTGCCATACTGCTGGAGATATTCGTGTCGTGAGATACCGGTAACCTCTTTGAAATAGTGTTCTTCGGTGATGAAGCGGCGTTTCAAGGCGGTTGCTGCCACAAAGCCCATAGAGCGCTTGCCACAGCCGCGGATGCCGACGAGGACGAGGGAAGCTTCGGGGTCGACGGTGCGACTGGGGCGGGTCACAGGGAAAGACGAGGGCACCATGGTGTGTAGGTTGGCAGAGGATTATCGGTAACTCAGGAGCTCAGAATCATGGTCTCATAGCCATGGCAATGGCGGGAGCTAAGATGTGGGATGGATGCACGGTGAGGTGTAGTGGGGTGGGGCTGAGGTCATAGAAGTTACGCATGCAGTAGCTGAAGTTTAGAAGGAGGGATCGAAATCGAAAAGAGTCATATGTATGATGGCTATGGTGACAATTGAACCAGACAGCAGACAATATACTTCTCACGAAAGATAGAACAAGAAGAAAGGAACGAGAAGTGAGGAAGAGAGGATGAAGGGAGGTCGATGAAGCTCAGGCAAATCATTTCCCCGGATAGCTCCTTCTGCCGCGTCATACCGCCTCCGCCCGCATGCGGGGAAAATCTCTTACCCGCAGTCACGTGCCTGTATAGATGGTGCCAAGAGAGGGTATCTTGCACTGGATCTCTACAGATACAGTCGTATATTGATTAGACTGGTTCATGTCAGTCATAAGAGAGGTGTGTATTGTTTTGGGAGGTGGATTCATGGATGGGCCGCTGGATACGAACCGATTGAGGTGTCGAAATAGCATCGGTAACGTCACTCCTTGGAAAAGCTCGTGACCTTGTGTCATCTATTACTACAGATAGAAAGAAAAAGACAAAGAGGGAGAAGGAAGGAGCTAGAGAGAAAGAGGGAGAGAGATATATATATATACCAGAACATCTATATAACAGCCAATGCAATCAATGGACATGTCACCACACTTCTATACTCCACATTACCACCAAATCTAACCCAGAAAATCAGTCAAATAACAACCTCAACTCCTCAATACGGTCCTGGCGTTTCTCATCATCCCCCCCATCCCCACCAACACGCAATCCCAGACTCCCCGCAATGTTCATCTTGCGGTCCTGCACCCGCAGCATTCTTTCCTCGATCGAGTCCCGCACGACAAACCGGGTCACCGACACGTCCCGCAGCTGGCCCATGCGATGCACCCGGTCAATGGCTTGTGCCTCGACGGCAAAGCTCCACCACGGGTCCATCATGAACACGTGGTTCGCGGCCGTCAGGTTCAAGCCGACGCCCCCTGCCCGCAGACTGATTAAGAGGACGCGCGGGGTGGAAGGCTTGGGACGACGAGGGGATAGTTTTTTCGAGGTTTCCCGGCCTGGCGTGTCTGCGTCGTCTTCCTCTTCGATCTCGTCGAGCTCGTCCCGCGTAAACGTCTCCGTCTTGGTGAACTCAGCTAGGACTGCCGCGCGCGCCTTTTGCGGCATCGTGCCGTCCAAGCGCACGTGCGGAATCCCGGCTCGGTCGAGCTGCGGCGAAATGAGGTCAAGGAAGCTGGTAAACTGGGAGAAGACGACGGACTTCTCGTCGGGCGGGACGCGGTGTAGATGGTTGATGAGCGAGTGGATCTTGGCTGAGGTGTGCGCCGACGGCGAAAGCGGGTTGATGCGTCGGAGGGAGATCCGCGGGGCGGCCAGGGAGCTGGTCGGTGGTGTGGAGGCGTAGATGTCGCTCTCGATGGGTGTCATCGAGCCCGGGGACTGGTGCCGCACGACTTCGAAAATATCCCGTGAACTAATTGGTCCCCGGCAGGAGAAGCAGCGCGGAGCTTCGCCCTTGTCTGTTTGGTGGCGGATGTAGTTCTCGAGGCATTTCTTGCAGGCGCTGTGCCAGCAGGCTGTTACGGCTGGGTCGATCATGGGTTCTTCTGAGCAGATGGGACATTCACCACTGGAGTCGTTCTGTATCTGTCTCAGCGCGTGGGTGGTAAACTTGATGGACGAGTCGGGCTGGGCTTCGGGATTAGCGGTCTGCGTTGTCGCAGTGAACCGGTTGATTAGCTCCTGGAGGTCCATGTCATCTGTTAATCCCTTGGGATCCTCGGCCGCCGCTGCGGCGTCCTCCTCATCGGCAACGATTGACTTGTTGCGTGTCAGAATGGGGTGACAGCACGTCTGGCGCAGGCGAAGGATTTGGGCGAAGATGGTCGAGTAAGACTTGAGCAAGGTACCGGCCTCCACGTTGGCATTGAATGTTTGTTTGGCCCGGGTGAAGATCAGATCGTATATTTCCCGTTCCTGCTCTGGCAGCTCAACATTTTCAATGGTGATCGTCCGCCGCGGGAGCGGCACCAAGGGCTCCCCGTCCGGCGTCTTCATCGTTTTAGTGCGGCGGAGTACCAACGGCTCGAGCACTGTCTGCACCACGTTGAGAGCACGCACGTAGTCCTTGGACTCAAACGGCACCGTGATGAACGTTTTCCAGAAAGAGAAGTTATTCCACGGCTCGACCTTGAGGAACCGCACTAGACTGAACAGATCCTCTAGACGGTTGACAATGGGTGTACCCGTCAGGGCCCATCGGTGTTGTGCTTGCAGTTCATAGCAAGCCCGCGCGGTCTTGGACCGGCGGTTTTTAATCCCGTGGGCCTCATCCAAGATGATTCGGAAAAAGTTTACTGAGAAGAGACCTTGGCTGGCTGGCGCTTGACGGTACTCGGAGAGAACCGTGCCATAGCTTGTAACAATCACATTGGGTGCAGCTGCGTTGCCAGCAGAGCAGAGTCCCTTCAGGTTTACACTCTTGTCAGTCCCGTAGTATACCAGTACCTTCATGGTCCCTGGCTGGGAAGCTTTGAGAGCCTCGCTCTCCCACTGTGAAAGGAGGGAGGTCGGCGCAATAACCAGCGTAGTGTATGGGGCACAAGCCACGCCGGATGGGCCAGGCAGCCTGGTTGGTATACCAGAGCTCGACACATTGGCAGCCTGGCCCGGTGGCACATTTCTATGGGCGTGTACAAGACTCATCATCTCAATGGTTTTGCCCAAACCCATCTCGTCGGCTAGGATACCGCCAAGGCATTGCTGATCTTGTGCCGGAAATTCGACGGAGAGATCGGCGGAATAAGGGTTCACGTAGAAATGCTCGAACCCAGGGTAGACCGGCAGGTCTTTGTCATCGACATCCTTTGTGGGGAAGGTATACTGCTCCCAGAGGGGATGCATGGATGTCGACCTTTCGGTCTTGGTATCCTGCTCCTTTGACAGCATCCAGTACAGTGCCTGCTTCTGGTATGTACGAAGACTCATATTAAAAGACGGTGGAGGCTCCGCCTCGGGCATGTTAAAGTCAAACGACTGCGCCTTTTTGTAGAGCGTATCAAGCTGGTCTTCCTCCAGCTCGGCAGGCTCCTCCTCTTCCGAGTCATCATGCCCTTTACCTTCTTTCTTGGCCCTATCATACTGCTCGGACATCTCCGCGGCGCGCAGCAAACCCTCCTTTTTGTGCTCTCTTGTCATGTCATTGGTGGAAGTCGGTGCCAGACCAATCTCATCAAACAATTTGACTAGAGCCACCTGACGCAGCCGCAAATTCTTCTCCTCCGTACTCTCCTGTTCTTCAAAAAGCGCAGTGGAGCGATTGTCGTCGGCCGTGTCATCAACCCCCCGCGACTGAATCTCCCCAACACGAAGATAGCAGCGCAGCTGCAAGTAAATAGTGTCATTAACACGAATCCGATCAGGCGCAAACACGCACACTCCGTCCAATTGGCAGATGCGTTGATCAAGCAGTGTGGAGACCCACTCCGCCGTCTCACGAGGCAGCCGCCCGATCTCCTGGCCGGCGCGGTTGGTGAACCGTGTCAAGACGTCCGCCTTTTGCGTCATGACGACCCTCCCCGCGCGACCCTTTCGGGCAATCGGCTGCGTCTTGGCCCGTTCAATGTTGACGTGTTCGCCATGCTGGACCAGCCCCGTACCGCTACGAGTCGCCCATGCGCCCACGCCAAACGCACCAATATACCTCGGGCCGGTCGGCATAGCATTGCGGGATGCTGTCGGGGTGATCGCGTGGTCTCTCGGTGTAGGGCTTCGGACAACGGGCGGAGACTGGGTGGAAAGAAACCGGTCGCGAGATGATGTCAGGGTCGTCTGGTTGACGGCACCGGTGCCGTTGACGGGGGTCTTCCACGACCCGTCGAAGTATATGTTGACCGCGCGCTCCAGGTCATCGGCGGCAGCATTGCGGATTTTGCGAATCGAGTGTGGGGGCAACTCTTCGCCCACTATGGCTGTGAAGGTCGCCGTGTCGAACCCGTCCTCCGGGGCTGGGTGTGGGGGTTCATCCGGGGTGTTTGAATTCGTCCCGTTTGGTGGCGGACTGGGGGCAGCGGCATCTGTTGTAGACTCCTGCAATAACTCGTCTCCTTCCTGCGGTGGCCTCCCTTCCTGTAGGCCCTCTGGTGGGGATATCACATCGACTCCAGCAGACGGATGGTCGGACGCGCCCGGCGCTGCAGGGTTTTCATCGACGAAAAAGCGTCTCTTTTTCAGCGGTCGGTCGCTGTGGTCACCAAAGTCCATATTCGAGTAATGTTTGGCAGGGATCCGCTGGGAATAGACAATCCCGGGCGTCTCTCGCAGCGTCCGGTCTTTAGAGCACTTCGATATCAATGCGGAAGACGCGCCGCGAGACGCGCTCCGAGCGACGTCATGTGTCAATCATTAAGTGCTGCATAGATGAGTAAGCAGCGATTATGTCTGCATTACCCATGGCCTCATCTATCAAGTAAGTTTCCAGATTGAAACCACGACAGCCTCGTTTGTTTCGTTTTTGTTGCCTATAATTCTCTATATTCAAGCTTTGCCCATGCGCTGGTCACATTTATAGTCCCAGCCGGGTTACGTGTGGAGAACAGCGTAGGTTGAGACTCTATCCCCGACTCCCCTCTACATCGTACGTTATAATAGAGCTATTCTACTTTCTATTATAAATATCATCTATGGGGCATATGCAACAGAAATCTAGCTCGCTGTCTGTCCATGCTTGCTCCGCATTATCTTCTCGTAAGCGGGCCATTGGCTCAGCACCGTCTCTCGCTCACTCGGGGATGCAGCTTCCCACTCCTCGTGGCCCTGCCGAATGCGCGATGCGACAATATAGCACTGTCGGTCGACACCATAGCTCTGCTCGATGCGGCGGTGGATGCCGTTCAACGGGTAGCCAAAAAGCCCCCATAGACCTGCCTCATGTCAAACCAGCTCCCTCGTGGAGAATATCGCCAGATACTGACCTGCTTGGGGCTTGAGCAGTAACCCACCGAGACCCTTCCCGACGCCTTTCGCCATTCCCATAATGCCGCCTTCTTTCCACCCATGCCGGGGTTGGGTCACCACCCCATATATCCCATCATACCAGCTGTAGCTGAATTCCTGGAGCGAGTGAGTTTCCGTCTCGTGCGTGCAGCATGACAATGCCAGATTGAAGAACGGCAGAGAGCGCGTAGGTAGACAAACCTTCTTTGCAGCGTCGATCCCCGACCAGAAGCCTCTCACCTGGGGCGTCTCTCGCACAGTGCGGTCGTGATACCACCGGGGTACCTCGTGAAATCCTTTTGATAAGCCAAGGGTTAGTCCCATGGGTAACTCCACGATCCAGTTGAGGACCCGGCGTCCTGTGTAGCTAGTGTTGGCGATCAACGTGCGCCCTTTACTCCGCTGCTTATTGCCCATGGCTGGTAAGACCTGACTCCCATTTCTCGTTGACGATTGGTCACTGGCCGAACCAGCCCTCTCTGACAGTATTGTTTGATCCTCTGATGTCGGAATTACCGTAGTCGATGTTGAGCCTGCGCCGGTACACGCAGTTGAGGCCACAGATGCGCGGGCGTCCCAGTTGGACAACCCATAATTGTCGGCAAAGCGAGCGGACAGGTCCCGGCTGAAGCTGTTGACGACATCCATTGGGAACTCGGCAAACCCTGACAGAAAAGTTGTCATAGACCCGGCCAAGCCCTCTATCGCCTGAACGATTGGCCCTCGGGGATCGTGATTTACATCGTAATGCGTGCTATGGTACCTGGTGCAGTCAGCCCCCACTCCTGTCGACAGGGGAAAAAATGAGAAAGACAGAAAGGAAGATAGCCATACAGCCTCACGTCACACGGATCTAGTTTATTCTCCTGAACGAGAACCGCTGCCGCAAACGTGCTAAGTAGGATTTTCGTTTTTCGCACACGCCACACAGCTGGTCTGTCCTGACACAAGTTGCACTGCAATTTGGGGAGATCCAGCTGACGATGGAAGCTGGCAACTCCATCTTCCGCACCCTGCTCGGACTGGATCTTGTCACTCAGTTGCTGTACACGCGCGATCATCGGTGGCTCGAGACAGAAATTGATAGCCTCTGCCAGCCTTTCCGCCGTCAGTTTAGTAAAAGTGATGGGCTGCGCTCCAGCCTTGTTCAGCGCCACCAGTGAGCCCCAAAACGGCTGATCCCCGAAGAACGGCACAATTATCGTCGGACGGCCTAGGGCGAGTCCAATAGCGGTTGTCCCCGCGCCGCCATGATGCACAACACAACTAACCCGCGGAAACAGCCAGTCGTGCGGGGTGTTCCCGATGAACATGACGTCCTGGTCATGCCCCTCCACCATGTGTGATCCGCCCAGCCCGCCCCAACCCTGCGATATCAGAGCACGCTGGCCGGTCATGCGTATTGCGTCGAGCACCGTGCGAGTCAACGCGTCCGGGTCGTCGACAACGATGGATCCGAATCCGACATATACGGGCGGAGGGCCGGTTTCGAGAAAGCGGGCGAGATCTTGCGGAGGCTTGAAGGTACTGTTTCCAGACAGGAAGTTGAACCCAGAGACATCGATATGGGACTCCCAGTCGCCCGGCTTGGGGAGCAGCGAGGGCGACCAGAAATATGTAAATGGGATGCGCAGCCGATGGAGGATGCTAGGCGCACGCAGAGCGTCCAGCTGCTCCAGGCCCAGCTCGTACCTGCGAAAGTCGTTCTGCAGGTCACCCACGCCCTGCCAGATGAGGATCTCGGTGATGGCGTACGATGCGAACTTTGCCACGGACGGCTTGATATCGGTGGTGCGCACATTCGCGAGTGGGTGCGGAAACGCTTGCGTCGGTGACCATGGCATCCTATATTCTCTCTATAAACTTGCCCACTTGCAAGCAAACGAGGGCATGGATACTAACGTGAACATCATATGCAATGGAATGCCCATCTTCTCCGCACAGTGGATGTGCGCAAAGCTGGGAGGGTTCGCGATGATGGCGTCCGCTACGAACGCGCGTTCCTTGTTAGGCGCATCGATAGTAGAGCCAGTACCCTCGCCGGCCTCCATACACGATCGCCAACAGCCCCCGATGATGGCCCGGATCTCTCTGCGCCGGCGGCCAATAGCCCCCTGCAACAGGGAATTCATCTTGGGGATTAACTTGGGGTTTTTGACCATGAACGACATGAGCTCTGCGGGATCACCGCCGATATTGAAGAATTCGAGGCCGTTCTCGCGGACGAAATCTCGAAAGACGAGGTGGGTGGCTAACCGCACACGGTGGCCGTGACGCATGAGGGCTTTCCCCAACACGATGAACGGCTGGACGTCGCCGCGCGACCCCACAACATGGATGACCAGGTTCATCTTCAACGGGAACGGCTTGTCCGGTTCTTGCTTGTGTGTTGCATCTGGTTCCGTGTCGTATGTCGACTTGCGGCGATTCAGCGCGGTCAGGAGATCTGCAACGCCGTTGTCGGCCTCGTTGACGTCCATCTCGACCCGGCCGCGCTCTGGGACCGTTAGACAGCTCTCGCCATCAGTATTCAACATACGCACCAGTGAGATGGAGGTCCCTGTCCAGCCCATCCGCTGCGATCTTCCCCTCGTTACAACATTCGCCCTTCCCCGGGCTACACGCCATCGGGAGATTCGGGGCGACGCTTTTGTCCATGGTGATAGTGAACTGAATCATGCATGGTCTACTGAGCCAGGGACCTTTTTGATAGATATTACCGTTGGGTTCCGAACAATTGATCCGTCAACGTGGCGAAAGCGTGGTTGATGCCGATGACGTCGAAGACTCGTAGCCATGTTGGGGGAGTTGGGTGAGCACTGGGCAGACTCAGGGAGCTGAATGGAATTGATATCCCGGTTTCAACCGGATAAACATTTTTATAAGCGACTGATCACTGTAGGTTATGGTCCTTTCTCAAGTCTTGTGGATGTTGGCTATAAAACATAGAAGGATGAGAGAATAGATGGTGTTCCGCGGGGAATATATAGTGTAATACATCACTGGATGTGCTTGTCATGAGAATGACCAAGTCAAGGCCACACTGCTATGAGTTGAAGATAAAATACTGCAAAAATTTATGACTATTATAGTAATTGTCATTGTTGAAGTAAGAAAAGGAAACACCGAATAACAATGAATGTCGCTGGGATTCCGCATTGCACTGGCGAGGGGCATAAGGTGGGGTGACGGTTGACCCGCGACAACTTCACAACGACAACAACCACCCCAGTTCAACTCAATATCTACAGAAACCATGTCGAACCCTCCCAGTGACACCCTCGAATTCCCCGACTCCGATCGCCAATTCCTCGAACCTCACCTCCCGCCGCAAGATGCCGCCGTTTCTACCAGCGCCCGACCTTTCGTCACCTTGACCTTCGCGACCTCGCTGGACTCGTCGCTGGCTCTCTCCCCAGGCACTCGAACAGTTCTCTCCGGACCTCAGTCAAAGGCCATGACGCACTACCTTCGCTCGCGCCACGATGCGATCCTCATCGGAGTAGGTACGGCGGTAGCAGACAACCCGGGACTGAACTGTCGCGTCCACGGCGTGGGGGGCTACGGCGGATCGGGACTCCAGGGTCAACCGCGACCGATCATAATCGACCCCACTGCGAGGTGGGAGTTGAAAGAGGACTCCAAGATTTTGCAGCTTGCGCGCCAAGGACGCGGACGCGCCCCCTACATCGTGACGGGGACGCGGTCGCCGCCGCCGGCGACAAAGGCCCTGCTAGAGAAACACGGGGGAAAATATATCTGGATGGACGTGGCTACGACGGAGAGCGGAGAGCATCGGATAGACTGGGAAGCCGTGCTGCAGCGGCTGCGCGAAGAGGATCTGCACAGCGTGATGATCGAGGGGGGTGGCTCGATTATCAACTCGCTGTTGGCGCCGGCGTGTCAGAACCTTGTGGACTCGGTGATTGTCACGATTGCGCCGACGTGGCTGGGCCAAGGAGGCGTTGTGGTGTCGCCGGAGCGGACGAGAGACCAACAGGGCGCTGTGGTGCCTGCTTCGCGGTTGACGGGGGTCAAGTGGTATCCGTTTGGGGAGGATGTGGTGCTGTGTGGGCGGTTCAAGGGGTGAGTCTCGTGCGATGCGATGAAAGACGGTCTATACAATTGCAATAAAACGACGAACCAGCGACAATGCATTAGGAACTATGGGGAACAAATGGTATCTATCTATTAATGACACGAAGAACATAATCTATGTGAAGGATGCAGAGAAAGAGGACGCGACTGGACTATTGCCTCTCTAACCGACTGGATTCGTCTGTCTCGCTTGAGCTCCGCGGCTCTTTGAGTTGATTCATCTCTTCTTCCGCGCGGTTGTAGCGCCGGAAGCAGAGGAAGAAGGCGATCGCCGTGACGAACATAACCGCGCTCAGGGAGATGAACTCTATCAACACTGTGGGGTCGACCGAGACTGGGGAGAGCGTGATGCCCAGGGCGGCTCCGATAGCGGACATGAGCAGGAACAAGGCGGAGACGATACTTCGCATCGACTGCGGCGCTTTGGTGTATGCGTATTCCATGCCGGACAAGACGGCAAAGAACTCAGATAGGCCGATCATGGAATACACCGGCACCTGCAGAAAGATGCTGATTTTCTCGCCGCGGCGGGTCTCCCCACAGCCCTCTATTTCGGGACTGCGTTGACAGGGGGATGCTTTATAAATGACTAGACCAGGAGTGGACTATTAGTGGGTTGAATTCTCAGGGAAGGTGATCATACGTACGCTCCTGGAGGATGGCTGCGTATGCGATGGCACAGGCCTTGATGAAGAACCCCGTCGTCATACGGCTGATGGGCTTGAATCGGATGTTGAACCGACGAAGCGTCGGAAAGATGACCGTTTCGCTGGGTCCAGTCAGGTTGGTCAGACTTCACAGCAGAGGAGAGAGGGGAACATACAAGAGTGGAACCGCGATGAGAATCGTGGCGGGATTGCAGAAACCCACTGCTTGGGTTAGCAAAGTTCGTGTCAGGGGTTGAGGAACATACTCATGTCGTTTGGGACGCCATGGGTGTTCATCGACATCGCTTGGCTGACTAGGTTGCTCGTGGCCTGACCGTTACAGAGCCAGAAGATGGGACTGACACGTTAGATAAGGTTTTTATACAAGCACGGGAGATGTATACATACAACATCAGGCTAGATGCCAATTAGCAGAGACAATATCAACGACGGAGATTCAACTTACAACACCCGGCACGCTACCAGAGCGCGTTTCAATTCGTCCACAAAGACATCGTCCCACGGGACAGGAGTTCCATTTTTCTCTAAGACATAAGGTCTAGCGGCATCGAGCTTTCCTCCGTTTCTTATGCTGATCCAGAGGACGCGGATGGCGGTCGTGATGGCTGATCCTTGGGGCGGGCGAACAACTGCCGATCACTGTCAGTACAAGCAATAAATAGAGTGGGGGGAGGTATGTACCATATCTCGTACGCCCAGCAATCAGAGCAACCATAGCCAAGACCCAGAAACAGAGAGGGAGCATAAAAGCCGCCCAGAAATCCACCTTGAGCTCAAGCCACTAGGATTGTTAGCCGATGTTCCGAGGAGCGGAGATATCAACATACCGATACTGGAATGACGGAGAGCCCACCAAGGTTGATCACCCTAAGTTCATAAGCTACTTTGCTTCCCAACATGGTCGGAGGTTCCTACCAGAAGTAACGGGCATAGATCGTCTGGACCGTGATACTTGGATCCACCACTACCCTTTCTCCACTAGGTAGCGTCTTGACACGCTCAGGCCGTGCACCATATTGCTCAGCAATGAGCGGCGCAACATTACTCTTGATCCCGCCAACACTGTCCCAAGTTAGTCTTTATGCTTGCCAAGTGGATACGGTACATACCCTAATCCAACCAGTATCAATGCAATCATCAAGCCGGGCATGCCAGCTCCACGATCGAGACTACCCGGCAGTGACGTGACGAACAGAGTCATTACCCCCGATGCGGCAAAACTGGTGTTGTTAGCCCAATCCTGGCCCGACCTGAACAACCATATGCTTACCCAGTGGCCAGTACGATGGTCTTGAATCTCCCGAGGAAGGTGTCTGCCACAACGGCACCCAGAATGGGTGCCATGTAGCACCAGCATACAAAGAAATAGTTGATCCCAGTGGCAGCTGTTTGGCCCTGCATTATATCTGTCAGACACCGTTGTTGATTTCCACTTTCCACTACAGGGCAGCCATACCATGCCTAGCGCCCCTGGACGGAAAGGATCTTCACGAGGGTTCTGGATATAGTTTTCTGATGTCATGGTCAGCGCGGCTCAGTTTCCCGACAACGCGTGCTTACGCATAGGGGCCGTTATGGAGCGGTAGGTGAACCGCTCTGCCAGTTCGGCCACGGCCACGAGGAAAACATCCACTGAGATATCGTCACAGACACGTCGTAGCTGGGCATACTCTTCTGGTGAGTCAGCGAATTCGCATTCCTCGCTCGATGGCTTCTCCTTGTCGAAAGTCATGTTGTATTGTGATGTGCGCCTGGGAATCTGAACACAGATGAGATCACATCTTGGGGACACGATCTTTATATATGACCCCTACAAGGTCCCACATCGGCACCGTCTCATCTGATCCAAGCAGGCTTGTGTTAGACATACGCCATCTCAAAGCCTGTACAACGAAATGGCAATCTCCCTATGGGGAGGCACGGAATTCCTCCAGTGGCTGGACTGCACAAACCCGCAGAAACATATGTAATCTCCAGACGATCTTTTCTCCGTTGGCGAGAAGCCACGCAAGCAGTACGACGCTTTTTCCCTTGTTTTCGACAAGATTTCTCGAAGCTGCTTGGCGATCGCTGGCCCGGCAATCTGTTTCAGCCCTGTGGTGACGATTACAAGCATTTGGCACGGAATGAGGGAGTGATCTACGTGCATGAGGAGGAGAACCTTGCAGAGATGACTCGCTTTGATCTGCCCGCTGATGTAATGGAGCCAAGAAGTATAGATTGGGACCGCCTCAAACACTTGACGCAAGATACCAGCCATGCAGGGGATAGCAAGACTTCTAGTCTTGGCGAGGTTCTCTTCCTATCCCTTTATTCCATCGGAGGCTGATGATCTTGCAGTAGTTGACCAAAATCACCGTATCTCCTTCCCGAACTGGGTTGGCACATTCCTCACTGATGTAATAGGTGGCCATACCTTGGCACATGTTATTGTCTTGGGATCGTGATGTATGACTCGCATTGATGAGCTTGAATAACTGACAGGCCGTTGTTATGACAATGGTGACGACTCTCATTCTGATCAAACCGCCACCAGATGCTAGAGTCGTCATTTTCAACCGATTGGAGACTTGAGAAGCTACACATGGGCATGTATATACGACGAACGCAAGTGGCATGGGCCAATGAGTATTGAACCTGAGATGCCCTTGACTTGCCTGACAGATGACCGACAAGACTGAAACCACTAGTTCCCATTGTACCGGTACACAATAGGACATTTTACACCAACGATGCAAAATCCACACCAACTGTGAATCAAATAAGCTCAAAAAAGGTGTTAACGCCTCCAAAACAGACACAATCTCGCAACCTCGCACATTCTTATACGGAAATAATGCCGAGCCAATATGTTTTAGCCAAGCAGTGAATAAGTATCAGTTCTGTCCAGCACAGCCAACGCCATGACGAGTAAAGTTCCAGAACCTGACGAAATCAAGGCTTGCTCCCGGGCCGTGCAGATTACCCTGCATGCCAGGAGTCCTCCGTGCGGCCCGGAATGCAGATCATTAATCTTTCTACGTATACCAACGCAAGGCAGTTGGATTTTCTTCAGTCATTGTGGCGGAAAATATCGGGTCGATCTTTTGTGTACCTGATTTTATTGTAGGAATATCATGACCTACCTACTGAGTAGGTACATGTGTAGTAGGTTGGCTTTGGGGATATACTCAAAAGTGGTCATGATGAACATAGCAATGGCGTCGTTGGGAAGTTTTATGCGCACTGGCTTGTAGACAATGTAGATCTACCACCCCGAAGATTTTACGAGATAGTCGGATCCTAGCTACAGTCTCCCACGCGAGGATTCGCTTCTGCCTATCCACTGGTATTCCCAGATCCTGTATTCACTGAGGATTTCACTGGGGCATCAAACAGCAGTGGAGATCACTGTTACTGTTTCGGCTATTTTCTGTGAGCTAGTTCAAGGATATCCAGATTAATCTAACTATAAGACAAAATTCATACATGACGTCAAATATAGATTGTTTTGGACTTGCGTACCGGCAAAACAACCAGGACGGGTACTGGTGCTGAACAGGTGCAAGAATTTACTCTGCATGATGGACGAATGCCAAACACACTATTACGACCAATATGATTACTTTACAGTAGCAAAAAGCCTTGAACTGATTCAAGATATTACGCTTAGAAAGATACAGAATTATCGTAGATTGTCCGGATAAACAGGGTAGTATAGTATAGCATTACTACACACCAGACTACTTCTTGAAAAACATAAGCCCATTGAAGAGATAGGAGAAAGACGAAATTATCGACCAGGATTCAAGCCATGTCATGGACGATAACAGTATGATAACACCCCTAGACTCTGGAAAAACAACCCCAAGATCTTGGCTGCACGCAAGATGCTTGCAAATGATAACACTGGTTACGCAGTGTTCCCACCATGGATTCAAATATATGCTCACGATGCTAGTAATCTACGCCCGAGATGTAACTCCCAGCGGGACCTCCCAACCCTCGGTGAAAGAAGGCCTGCGCTGCTGTATCAAGTGCAGAAAGGCCATGCGGCCATCCATCGAGTAATGAGCGAGCAGAGACGTGTACGGGTCCATAGACAGTAAGACATAGGCTTACAGCCACTGTGGGTGAAGTTCCAACGAGGCATTCAGAATTGAAGTAGTTACGAATATCGCCAGGCCATGAAACACGCTGACGAAACCTATATTAAAAACGAACACTAAAGTTACAGCACGAACGTGGGGTTGCGCAGAGTGGGTCTTCCGACGCGTCAGCGATGTCTTCATCGGAGGATGATATCGTAGGACAGAGTGATTGGGAAAGAAAAGCGAGAGCGCAGCATATGACGGGGCCAGGACCGTCCGCGTCGTCTGTTGGCGATGTGGGGAGTGTGGCAGTGGATCTTGCAGGTTGGTTGGCGTTGGCTCTATTAGGGTTTGTGGCGTTGTGTTTCTTTTAAGTTTTAGTTAGACTTGGATGGATTGTATACGTGAGCTATATTTATGTTGTTTTGTCAGTGCAAGGGGTACTTACTACTAGTTCGCATTATATCTCCGGCGTGCATAGATATCAAGACCCTACCTCGGTTTGAGGATCGGATAATGTGTACTAGGATAGTGAGTGGACCTGGTGCTTAGATTGAATAGGATTACAATCTGCGTGGGTTAGAATATGAGTTTTTTTTTAGAAGTTGAAATGAATCTGTGGTTATCTCAATTTACACCTCACTGTCCCGACTACGACGGATGAGGCTGGAGCCGTAGGGTGTGGATATTCGCATAAGTGATATGGCGGAAAAGCCGTAGAAAGCAGCCAGTACATGTACAATTGTTCTATCATACATTTTAAGGTCCATCCCACGACCTGTAATACGCTCAAGAAGCCGTGCCAGAAGCTGTCGACACATCAAACAAACCAAGGCACATATCCTAGACAGCATCATTGCCCTCCAAAACAGGCCTTGATCTCCTTCTCTCCAAACCGCTTGGTCTTAGTCTGCAGCATGGCAGCCCTCTCCTCCATTGTCATGGAGATCTGGTCGCCCATCGGCACAAGACACTTAGCAAGATGCATGTAGTCCTTGGTTAAGACCTTGTACGTGATCATGATGTAGTCAATGTTGCGAAAGACAAGGGCGTGCTCATTGGCATAGCGGTCCTTCTGCTTCAGGAACGAGACGGGGTGGTCACGCCAGTGGCGGCGAGGGTTGAGGTGGTGGGAGGTGTGGTAGCCGTCGTTGAAGCAGAAACGGTTACTCTGTGCTTGTTAGCGTTGCTTAAAAAATGAACAAGAAGACGGGAAGGCTGGATACTCACCGGAACGTCAATGAGGGTGATGCTGGAGCGAAAGTCCGAGTTTGGATCTGTCTCATCGACTAAGGCGTGCTGACCCCAGTTGCCGACCATAAGGCCGACGCGGAGGAGCGACACCGGGAGAATGAAGACGAAGACGGTGGCACGCGCGCTGGCATGGGTATACAGCGCGTAGATGGCGAGGTAGTTGCCTAGCTCCCAGAAGCCGGCCTTCAGGCCTTGAAGTAGGTGCCCCTTGCGGATGAAATACAGGGGGAGCTCGAACCAGACGAAGAAGAAGAAGCGGCCGACGTAGCAGAGGAAGTTAGAGAGGTCGTCGCGTTGGTAGCGCACGGTGGAGGAGAGGTCACCGGGCCCGTTGCCCTCGACGTGGTGGTGCTTGACGTGGTGGTAGTAGTACGAGTTCCACGTGTGGCCCATCAGAGGGTTCGTGATGTAGGGGAAGACCGAGTCGAAGAGCCAGAAGGGTTTGCTGAGGATACCGCCCATGTGGATGTGCTGGTGCATCATGAGGGTGTAGGTGCCGACGAAGTAAGACTGCATGATCCAGTGGAGGACGCCATGGAACCAGGTGAAATGGTAGTAGAGGTAGATGGCACTGGGAACAAGGGTCGTGAAGTAGATTATGAGGTGGTTCAGCATGACGACGTCAGTCTCGACGCGGACTACCTTGCGGGCGACATTGAGATAGGGCTGCAGCAGCCATTTGTTTGCCCATGGCGGCAACCTGCGTTGCAGGTCGGGAGTGTCCCAGGTGAGCGTGACGGTGGGCTCGAACCCAACGCGTCGCGGATCATTGAGAGTTTCCAATTGGTCTATGACCACTTTTTCTGGGGTTCTGTCAGCTAAAAGTGTTCGTTCCACATGCAAAGGAATGGGCGGTACCTTGACTAGTGCTATGATCACGGTCACCTGACTGCTGGGACTGATCTTGGATATCAGATAACAGGGTCTGCAACACCGCCGTGTCCGGTCGAGTCAGGTAGGGATCGACATATTTATCAGGTTCCATGCTCGCCGACTTACCAACGACTGCGATTGGGCGAACTTGTGGTGGTAGAGAAGGACAGAGAGAATCAGAAGGGGGAAGACAGAGGAAGAAATGACGGTGGAAAAGCTCTAAGGGGAAGTGGAGCGGGCATCCAGAGCTCCACCCGACATGGTTTCGGCCGGTCCTTAGTGCTGTTTTGTCTTCCACTAGATCGATTTCTATGAATAGACTGTCGCTGAAACCGTGGAACACCCGTGGGGATAGATCTGGGTAGGTTATGAGTTCGTCGCTGTACCTGACTGGGGTATAGGAGAGTGAAGTTGAGGATGAGTGGAATATTAAAGAGGGGGAAGTCCGTCAGGATGATCTCATTGGCCGGTGGGCGAAAAGCTAGTTGCCGAATCGGGTTAGTCTCGTCAGCATAACCTTCAGGGGCACACATGCTTATTCAGCGGGAACATGCATTGTATAAAGTTCCGTCGAGGATTTGATACGGCGCTTACAACCTCTGGACAAATAACACAAGTAGGTGACTATCTGACTGGATTGATTCACTCGAATTCTTAGTTACAATCTCACTTCTTAAAATTGAGTACTCTGCCCTCTCATAACGTGCAATGCTCTTGCTGTACTCCGAAAATGCCCATAGTGAAAAAATCAAGAAAGATTAAAGAAAGAAGAACAGGGACAAAGCGGGGAGATCTGTGGAGCCCTCCGGCATAAAAACCATGCTGATTGGAAGGATTATGTGTTTTCCAAGTGCAGCAAGTGCAGCGCCAACGGGAATACATCTCACGGGCAACAATCAAGCCATACGACTGATCATGCCATTCCATGGCAATGCGTCTTGGCTAGCACAGTCACCCTTCTCCATACAAATCTCATAGACAGGAACCTGGACAGAAGTCTAGACAGCAACTGCGGGAGGAAGACTGCCGTGTAGAGCTTCGCCAGACACATCATCCTCTCTGTTACAGCCATCCATGGCAGTATAGAGACTCCGGGTGGCTCCAGTACCAGTGGTTGCCTCTGGGACATGCACGTGGGCAGGCCAGATTTCGTGTCCAGCAGCCTCTTCCTTTTGGTGATGCGCTGTGACGACCTCGCGCACGGTCTTCTGGAAATGAAGAGGACCCTTCTCCATCTCAGGGTGGAGCTCGCCGTTGACGAAGACCCCCGCGTTGAGGTTCTTCTGGGTGTTGACACATAGGACTTTGTCCTCGGACATGATGCGCTTATACATGTCACTAATTAAAGTAAAGGCCTCATCCGTGGCCTCCTTGTGGCGATAGACCTCGTAGCGCATGACCGACTTGGTCGGACTGACTGGGGTGAACCGCTGCATGAAGAAGAAGTTGGGTCTGTTGGGTTAGCTTTACCTGAAGTCTGATTTGTTTGGAAAGAGGGAGGTACATACGAGATGTTGAAGGACGCGTTAGGCCAGAAATAGGTGGTGGCTATCCGGAACCCTTTTTCAACTTGTTCAGGTCGCTGGGCACCAAAGTGTTGAATGTGGCCATCCTTGGTGTTCACATAGTAGGAGTTGAGGTCGGCGATGGTTGGAATGTCAGGATGGGCGACCCGGCAGTGATAACACTCATTGTAATTGTCGGCAAGAATCTTCCAGTTGAAGTCGCCCTCCATGTCCCAAGTGTGGTCAAAGACATAGTCTTCAAAGTTGTAGTGATCGAAGCGAGGCTGTTCGTCGACCCCGTCAAAGTCATCCTTCCAGGCCACCTCGGGCACGTCTCCAGAATCCAAATTGACCCAGATAAAGCCGTTTCGGTCGAGATGGAGATGGATCGGGAGGTAGTTGTCTTTATGGAAAGCGCTGAGGCTACCCTGATGGTCTCTGTAAATCACGAATTGATAGCCAGCGACCTCGTACGGCACCCAGTCCCCGCCATTGGGAACACGATGCTTGTGAGTTGTGAGAAGCCATTTCCGAGAGAAGATCGATCGTCGTTCGAGCTCGTAAAAGGCGTGGGAGGTGTACCAGGAGGCCGGTAAAGCACGCACTGGCTGCTTATCGTCGACGTCCTTAGCAGAGGACGTACCAAAGAAGTTCCTCAAGAAGGACATTTCCAATGCAAAGTTACCCTGGTAGCTGGTTGCAGAGAGATAAAAGAGAACTGGGTTTGTTGAAGTTTGGGATTCTGGCAATTGGCTTATGGGAGTTCCTATAGCAGGGACTGCATTTCTCCTAAATAGCCATCATCGCAATGACCTCCTCACGGAATACGGAGATCAGCACTGCATACCCGATGGGCCCCATCGGTAGCAGATGATATCAGTCCGACATCAGTGGCATATCCAAATCAAGACCAGGATGAGATGGCTATCTCCTCCCGGAGCTGTACTTCAATGCCGATCACCTGATCGGAAAGGAGCCGGGTGGCGTGAAGTCATCAGACCTCACATGCCCTAACTCATGAACCCCCGCGCGTCGAACGGAAGCTCAAGTCCGTCCCTAGGTTGGCGGAGCCGAAATCCGTGTGTGCATGAGGTCAAACGACATGGTTTATCATTAGGATGGTCTAGATAATCACTGTGATAAGAATTCTGCTTGTGATAATGTGACCGCCAACCCTTTATGCGCCACCCTGGGTTGCATGACTGGGCAGGAGTGGGCTCTATACATCTAATGAGGCCCATGACACTTCGTATATGTAGAAACCGTTAGTGAACTCACGTTGTCAGCGTATGATTTTGAAATTCAATAATTCCCGAGAGCACCTATCTGAAGAAAACGAAAATAAGGCCAGGAACACCCAGACAACTATCATTCGAGGCAATAAATGAACAGCATGAAACACTTCCACCAACATAGACGATGACTCCCAACACCGTCATGGGACTGTGACATACTCATTTATCAACCCTGGAAACTCTAAAATTATAGATAAACAACAGAGCGATAGCGACCCCAAACAGAATAGTAACTATCCAAAAAGTAAAGATACCATCCCAAGCCATCGGTCCATGATGGACAAGGTGTGTCGCCAGATCCGCACCCATAGACACTGCAGACGCAGTACAAGCGATAGCAACCCAGCGGTGGAATGACGACGACGGTCGTGGATCAAAAGCAATTAGATACGAAATTGCACACTCCTGGGTCATAAAGGGAGGCACAGCCATGGAGAGATTCAACCAGGCGAGGTCACTAATCTCGCGGGTCCAGCGGGGGTCGCGTTCATCAATTCGGTAAATCAACCACGCGAAGAATACACCAATCGGCACCAGGGCAAAGCCGGCGATGCAGCCGGAGATTAACTGAAGTTGAAGGACTATGTAGGGTAGATCAGTCAGGTTAAGCCCTATACCAAGCGTTGGTCAACGTTTTGGTCTAGTGGTCTTGAGATACTATAGGGTCTGCTCCTGGGACCTCTCTCAGTTGCATATTCACCCCCGCCGTGTATAATGGCCAGATAACTCACCCCAAAAGTATGAGCAGGACGGCCACTTTTGTACCGATCTTCTGCTCCTTATAGTGATTGGCCGTCTCTTCAGCTGTGAGGGAGGGCGCCGGAGGCGGAAAGCAACGAGGCGCTGCCAGGAAAATGAAGATGAAAAGACCGCCGAATGGACCGAATGCAAGAGATAGACGTTCTTTCCCACTCTCAGTGGTGAGCGTCCAAGATTGCAGATTGTTTCCCTTCCCCACTCCATCTCCCTGTTACAATCTCCGGTGTTATTTTACTTGTGGCCTGATTAAACTCCTTTGTGCATATCGTCTAATTTATTGATGGGATTAGTTCTCTGAGGTCAAGAGCCTATTCGTGGACCGCATGCGACCCGGATATCAGCCCAACGAACAGACAAGAACCCTACTACAACTTCTCATTGACAACGCCATGAATGAGATCCGGTCCCTGGATTGTGAGGCAGGGAGCAACGCCAATGAAGAGATGATAAAACTTATGGTCCGGTTCTTTGAGCGACCACCCCCACCAAGAGACTTTCCCAATATGGGGGATTTCCTACTCTATCGGTGTGAAGATGCAGCAGTCCCGTTGGTCTTCTCAACCTCCCTTTTTATAGAAAGATATAATTACCCAACAGATATGTACTCGGCTGTACAAAATTTGCCGTAAATTCTTCCGTCGACCTCAACAGCCTACGGCTAGAGAAATACATTCGGTTGTTGAAGGACCACGTCTCCGTGGCAAATGATTTGGGCTCGTGGGCAAAGGAGAAAAGGGCCCACGACACAGGCAAAGTAATCTACATGATCAACGCCGTAGACGTTGTGAAAGCCTTATTTTGTCTTCCCACCGACGAGGCGGCCATGGCAATGACGCAGGCGTTCCAGCTGCAGATTGAGATAGGCATCGATGCTGAGATTCAACGGCTGCGAGCTGAAAAGAGCTTAACACCCGAGGAATGGCGGTTTATCGACGCTACTTTGCATGTTGCCAGTGGAAATGTCTTTGTTTCAACGGTGATGTCGCGGTATGGAGAGGAGAGGTTTCGTATTTATTGATTGGTTATATATGGCTATCTTGGCTCATTATGCCGGCTATTTATATTGCGCTTGGCTCGAAATTACTGCAAGCCTCTAGTACCCCTTTTCCCGGGTTATCTCTAGAGTTTACGAATGTAGTTTAACTTGTGTTAGTGTTCTATGGTGCCTGCTGTTGGAGATAACAATGCTCGTTCAAGACCGTATCACTTTTGACAATTCCCTAGACAGACTTGATATGTCTTGATTCTTCTATTTGGTGTGCTCTTTCATTTCCCCGATTTGCTCACCCGTTTTCCATTCCTTGTTCCACACAATAGAGATTCGTCTCACCCCATTCTGGGAGCAGTCATTTGCTGCTAGCCACACAGACGAATTATTTTGATCTGCAAATTCCTATTGGTCTTAAGATCGCAGCTCGGTTAGATTGCGTCCCAGAGCCACCGAGACCCTCCGCAGAGGAAAGAAACACTCGATATTACAAGCAAAGTCCTCTGTAATGTGTGGTTCCGAATCTGTGTCACAAGGTTTTTACATCTATGGGAAATCATGTCCTTTCTATGATCCTATATACTCGCAAACTAGCAAGCTTCTAAGGTTCAATTATAGGAAACTTTGCAAATACGCAAGATGACTATAGTCTTGGGCAACCCTCAATGCTGCTACTACTCAAGTCTGAACTTGTAAGCTCGTCTTTCAGACGATCTTTAAACAAGGATGAATTCCCCATAGGCACCTGGAAGGTACAGCTTTTTGTCCCCGAGCTTTGGCCATGAGTCTCCTGATCCACATGGCTCTTTTGCCCGGACCAGCTTTCGCAGCGTATTTCGAAACCCCGTACCGCTTCCTCCCTTTCCTTGCGCTGAGGTAGCAGTCTGGTAGTTGCCAAAAAAGTCACCCAACTGGCTGCCAGAGAACTTCTTTTCTGACCCGGACACATAGCCTACTCTCGCATAGAACCCTCTAGGCAATCCGGCTGGCCTCCGAAGCAGCAATGCATGCAGTTCTTTGTTCTTTGAATCCGAATCCGAGTCCGTCAATGTTGTAAGCACAGGGAGGACGACGATCCCCATTGTGTCCCGATTTGCCATGGGCTCGTCGACATATGTGTTGAATGGTTCTATCCCATCAACCTTAATACTGTAACTCGTCGAAGGGGCCTCATAATCTGCTTCTGGCATGTGATATACGCTTTTGAGTAGGGTTACTCGCTTGAGAAATCCTTTTATCCGGACCTGGCCGTCCAATATAGCGCCTGTGTGGTTGCTATTATCGCCTCCTTCCCTCCCGGAGACCGGCGTCACATTGACAGCTTTCAGATCAAGGTGGTAGACCTTGCTGCTATTCACAGAGGCTGTGTTAGTTATGATTTCTCCGGTGAGGGACGCCCATGACCAGCTAGGTGCACCGCCATCGAGCGGCCGGTAAGGCCTGAGCTCGTACTCGATCGAGCCATGTCCGAAGGTAAACCATAGCAGCTCGTCGATGAGCCTGGACCGCCATAATCCTGCGACATATTCGTCTCGCAGGATGGCCCGCATGCGACTGGCGAGCCCGCTGAAGGCGATAAGCCGATCCGAGTACCGAGTGAACCGCATGCTGCTGTACGTGTAGATCCAGCGACTCCAAAGCTTGTACGCAAAGTCTATCACCGTCTCTAGGCATTTCTCTTTGTCAACACTGTCCCTCTCTCTGGATTTCCAGCCGTGTTCGTAAAGTCGGTAGGCCACTGGATCGGTGATCTTGACTCCCGTGAGGATATTACGCAAGACTTTTGGCAGACCTGTTGGGTATTTCTCGCATGCGTCTAGCTCTCTGCATTCCCAGAGTAGCTGTTTCTGGCCATAGTGGAGGGCGCGCGGCGGTAAGATGCGTTCCTGGAGGACCCAGCCTCGCTGGTTTAGAGGCGCGTCCGTTATCTCCATCTGCCACATCTCGCCTTGCACTATACTGAATCGGTCATTCTCGGCGTCAGTCCATTCCGACTCGAAGATACAAAGTCCGAGATGTCTCGGGTCACGTGATCGGAAGAGCCCCTCGTGGCTGTTTCGAGAAGCGGTGGCCATGATATTGAGCCTGCTGTTGCCGTAGACGCCTTCCATCGACGCGGCTTCGGCGCGCCAATCGGCTACAGAGTCTTGGATGATGCAGAGCGAGTCAATCCATAGATAAGATATTGAAAACCGGCGGCAGACGGTAATTGCCTCTATAAAGGTTTTTGGCAGTAACTCGAGAGGGATGTTCTGATTGAACGAATCAAGTGTTGAAGACAGAAGAGTGAGAATGTTTGAATCGCCCCAAGTGTGGCTGAGTGTTGCGTAGCAATCTATTGCCTTTCTTTCGGTCTCCGTAGCAACCAGCTTTATGGTCCCTGCGTCGTTCTCAGATAGACTGAGAAGTCTTGAAGGCAGGTAATGGCTACTTGAGTTACACGCAGTATGCATGGAAAGACATTCTTTGTACCATTTGAGTGCTTGAGTAAATGCTGCCTCTGAAGCGGTACTATCACCCACAAGCAGGGAGTTATTTTCCGTTGGTCCATCATAGACTAAGAAAGCGTTATAAGTAGCTCTACCAAACCCAGAAGACGTTTTCTCGATCAACATACTTTGAAGTGGAAGGACTTCGAGGTCTAATCCCAAGCACTCTTCGATGAGCTTGTCGTAGTCCTCATCAAGATGAAGGCTAAGCTCATATCCACCACCTTCTCGATGGTTAAGTGTCCAATACGAGAACTCGTTCGACGTGGAAAAACCTAACAATATCTCCAAGCGGCTTTCTCCTATTGAAGACCGGAACTCATAACAGACGGGACAACCCGAGTCCGAGGCATTGACAAAGGACTGCAGAGAGGGGTGATGGGCCTGGGGGTTCCAATCGGTCGACTGGTCGTCCGATGTCGTCGAAAAGGTACTCAGGATCTGCTGCCCGCGAAAGATTTTCTGGCAGGCTTCACACAGCATACCACATCCTTTGCTGTCAATTGGCATGTCGGATTGGAGATGGCACAAGATCTAGACGGTGCGGTACGAAGCCGGGCAGTTACATAAACCAAAGCCACTAGAGAAAGATTGGCTAAGATAGACAGGACTCAACAGACCAGAATACCACACAGGACGCCAATATATAAAGTATATATTATCGAACCCTCAAATACCGGTCCAGGATGACGAAAATAAGTGGCGTGTACACGTGATTCGACTTAAGATGTTTGTTGAGGGGACCAGTGACTGAAAGCGTGCACCGTTTCTGGCACAGACAAACATTGTGAAATTTCAAGGCAGGCACCTACCCTTAATCCCACTGTAATCATATGATGGATAGAGGGTGGGGGATGCCAGAATTGGCGCTCTGCATTACGGCTGACATTACGGCTGAAGGCATGGCGAGTGAGCAGGGGAAGGTGTCCAAGAAGAGGACACGTGTTTCCAGCGAAGGTTCAGCAAAAGAAAGGGTTAGCATATCATGTGATTAGGGTCTGAAATAGTGTCTCACTGTCTCGGGACATGGAAGGCAATAATGGTTGGCACAGTATCCTAGGACTACGGAGTACAGAAGATGGAGTACAGACGACATCTGCTAAAGCGAATTTGTATATTGAATCGGTCAGTTGACACAACATTTATAGTTCTTGACCTATCCTCTACATTATCAGTAGAGAGATAGGTAGCTAAGCGGCCGTATTCCCGTTTCTTTAGTGAGCTGTGTTCAGCATGCATATGCACAGGAATAGGGTAGGTTACATGTCATCTCGGAAGGAAAATGTACATACAGCCTTGAAGATTCGACATGCTTATAGTGACTGGAGGGAGAAATAGCAATCACTCGAACATGTGACAGCCTTCTAAGTTTATAGTCTCCTTGTGACGTCTGTTATGTAGAAATGACTTTTCGTCATCTATATAATTCGCTGCCATTTTCGTTGCTTCATTAATATAATAAGATCAACATCCTGATTATTTTCACTAAGGACTATATAGCCTTGGTATCTGTCCTTTGACCAAGACATTGTTGTTACACTACCAACTTGCCATATGTTCGTGTCCCTATGCCGATTGCTCAAACACATGTACATGCACTTGTCCTGTCAAATTCGCCATACGACACATCATTTCCCAATTTATAGTAGAGGTATTACCCGATTGAAGCAAGAGCAATTCACAAAAAGAATGCCTTTATGAACGCTTTGATCTTCATGGGAAATGAAAAAGCGATGTGTCTAATCCACAGCTAAAGGAAAACTCGCTATCCACAATACATCTACATAGATCTAGATATCAGGACAATAGGACAGGGTGATAGCACCAGTCACGTCTACTATGCTATGAAACATAAGACACAAATATCTGTCATCAAATTCACAAGTATAAAACAGTCTGCGCAGACATCGAGTTAAGGAATGAAATAGTTGACCGTCCAGCAGCCAGCCCTACAGGCATACACCTCCAACCGCCACCGTTATCAGAGCCTGACCGGCCCAAACAATGGTACACATTTTGATCCCCAAGACAGAAAGAAGCCTCATAGACAAAATAACTTAGATGGGAACGACATCAACCCAGAAGCGGGTGTCGTCAGTCTGGAACTTTTCATCGCTCTCAATCTGCTCCTGAATCCAGGTGATACCAGCCATGTAGTCTGTATTGTTTGATCAGTATCTGGACTCACACCAAAGACCGCAAAGTGAACACCAGGAGAAGAAACATACTGTGGATATCGTCGGTGTCAGGGTTGCCGAGGCCAGTCTCGCCATTGCGGTGGCCACCACACCACTTGTCGAAGCCGTAGAACTCCTCGGAGTCGTGGCGGGCCTGGATATCCTTTCCGAGATCCTCGCTATCCAGATATTAGCACACTCTCACACACAGATCCACCACAGATAGGAGAGAATCATACTTGAGGACGGCTCCCTCGTCCACCTCCTCGGCAGACATGCCCTTGAACTCGGACGCTGACAGGCGCAGCATCATCCAGTTTTGCTTGAAGATACCAAAGTTTGTAGCGTCACCGCTCTTGCCATCGCCTATTCGTTGTTAGTATGTATGTGTAGATTATTGCTTTCTGATCCACTTACCATATTTGTAGTCGGTTCCCATGTTCTCGCTGGACACCAGTTGTTAGTGCGGTCAACAGACAGGACAGTCGGGGAGAGAGAGTTACGTCTCGAGCATGGCAATGGCCATGTCCATGGTGTTGGCGCCAGCCGCCAGCAGCTCCTGCTTGCGCGCACCCAGGCCGTCAACAGCATAGCTGCCTCTGTCGGCACGGGGAATGACGCTGCCCAGAGCGAGGGGGAGAATGGTGGCCAGGATGGAAAGCTTCATTTTGGCGATTGAAGATGTTGCGGATTGGTAATGACTGGAGTGTAGTGGGATATGTAAGGCTGTTGTGTCTGTTGCAAGATCCTATGGCTTTGAACGATCCGTTGCTGTATTTATGTCTTTTGCCTCTGTAGTATGATAGTATTGCCATCGCGATGCACGGACATAGTGGACGACACTCCGTGTTAGGCTCCGTGGACAACTAGGAAATGACGATCATTTCAGAGCCCATATGAAGCACCTGTTCGAGGTGAAACGAGACTGAAGTGCACCACGCACTGTAGATGGGTCCATGTCTCGGTCTGCAACGACGATCGGAATCTGCCGACACCACGGGGTAGCTTGGCGCCGATCACTGCCTACCTAATTCAGTGCGGAGGTTTCCCCAGACAGAACGTCGGAGCCTACTTTATCACGGAGCTGCAGTCCAGGTACGATCGACGAGTGAACTGCCCCTGAAGAGGCGGACAGCCATCAGCAGAATCGGCGCGACGGATACAACACGGATGATGCTTAACTGGGAGGTTGATATCGCTCCGCATGGTCTATACAGTCAAGTTTGCAACATGTTTTCATCTAGTTGCACCAACGTCACATCACAATGCCTACGGCGTCAGATCCTATCTACTGCAACCCATAGATGAAACCAAGCTGGTCAACCTCCTCTCCGTCCTGCCCAAAGAACCCTACAATCTGCCACCCTTCCGCAGCCTCGAAGCTCTGACAATCGTCCGTTTCCTCACCGGCACTCACGGTCCTGCCAGCCGTCGTGTCTGCTCGGAGGTAGAAGATTCTGTTGTGGTCGTTTTTCTTCCCCTGGCATAGTGTTGCCTGAGTCCAAAACTCGTCCTCCTCGAGCTGCAGCTCATCCAGTTTTCCGCCACTGCCGCCGTGGGTGAACCTCTCGCCAGAGGAAAGTGTGACACCGACGGAGTCGACGCGCTCTTCGCCGCGGAGAGAGATCCTTGCTGGCTTTGTCGCCTTGGTGGGAAGGGAAGCAAGGTCGTTGAACCACGAGCTTATACCTGTTAGTATCGCTGACCCCGCTTCATGGAAGAGAAGAGACCTACCCATGCGGACCCCCAAACAGATCACTCTGTCTCAGCGACTCAGACCTCTCCCAGGTGAAATTTGCCGCGATAGGATTATGATCCGACAATAGCTTCCCATCCTGCAGATACCGGTCATCCTCATAGCGCCACGACGTCGCGCTCAAGTTGATTGTTCGGCTTCCGCGATAGCTACACAGATCCAGTCAGGCTCGCTGCTCCCAGCCTACACATATCGCGACATCAAACAGGAAATGAGAGAAGGGAGACATACAAGATCTTATCGACGACCTCGCAAGTCTGGTTCTTCGTGGGACTGTCGCACTTCCTCGCCGGCGTGCCCTGCACGGGCTCTTCGCCGCCGAGCACAAGATCCACCCATGGATCTTTCATGCCCTGCTCCTGCGTAAACGCGCGCACGCTCTCCCCGGAGGAGGTATACCTGGCATTAGTGTCCCCGAAGACGATGACCGCATTTCCGACAGAGTCGGTCCCGATCGCATCTGCGACCTGTTGCAGGTTGGCGCTTCGCGCAGCGACGTCTTTCTCTTCGGACCTGTACTAGATTAACAAGCGCCCAAAACATACAAATATCAAGATAACGCAAAACGCAAACCCGGTAGGTCAATGAAGAAAGAAAGAAACAAAGAGACTCACCCCGCATCAGCATGCAAATTATAAAAATCAACATACACCCCCTCCTCAACCCTCATCCTCATCCGCGTATACCCCTTCGGCGTAAGACAATCCGCCCCACTAGCCTCGGAGCAAGTCTCCCACTTCACGCGTTCAAAGTCCACCCAGGGATACCGAGCAAGCGTATTCAAGCCGGAGCCGATCCCCGCGCCGCCGGAGGTAGCCGTGCGGTAGGGGTGAGCATCGCCGTCCGACTCATAGATGGCAGCGTGGTAGTTGAAGTCCTCCTGGACGTGGATGACGTCGTAGTTGTACTGGGCGAAGCGGCGGCCGAGTTCGTGCGAGTTGGCGGTTTTGTCGCCTTCGCCGTTGGGGTTGAGGAAGGCGGGGAGGCCGGCGACGTTTTGGGAGAGGACGTTGAGGGTGGGGGATGCGAGGAGGGGTGGTGCGAGGAGGGGGAGGAGGGCGGTGCGTCGCATGGTGCCTTGTTGTGCTTCTATGGTTTATGGTTTGGATAATTTACGAGACTGAAAAGGAACGTGTGAAGGGATCGTCACTTTATTTAATGCTGTCAATTTGGCACATGTCGATCGGCATGTCGTGACAAAAAGGGGGAGGCTAAAAAGGCTATGTGGGCTGGTGGAGACGCGATCTGATCAGATTGTATGGTGCCTAGATAGTAAATCCTAGCTAGTGATATTGATAGCTAGGCTAAAAGAAAGACATGCGCCGTTACAGCAGATGAGACTGGTGTAGATTCCTGCATATGCTAACTAGGTACAAGGGTTGACAGAAAATCCACCTATCAACAGCGTCATCCTGTGCATTTATGCTTGATCCTGCCGACTCGTAGCGTGTCGGCCAACTTCCGAAGGCCGAAGGTTTCCAGAACTCCATATAACACGAAACGGCTCAGGATCAAAATGGATCATGTAAGTAATGGTGTGGTATCGTCATCGTAGAAACATGTCATGTCGTAATCTGACTGCCACCTCCACCTCTTCAGCTACCAAAGGGCTTTTCATCCGCCGAGATATGGCTCGGACGACGGCTGCCAAACGCCTGGCTGGCCCGTCGCTCCGCATGTCGCTGTCGGTCTGCTTCCAGAGTCTGCGCAAACTTGCTGCGCGCGCGAATCTCAGGGCCCTTCCAGTAGAAGACATAGATCGGGATCATGACCAGCACGCCCGCGCAGCCCAGAAGGGTACTAGCCCACTGCAGGTGGAAGCGTCCGCCAATGTTCTGGTACATCGGGGTAGAATACATGGTCGCGATACCGGCCAGGAAGTCACGGGCAAATCCGTTACCACCCGTCGCAGAGGCAGAGTAAGGTCCGTAGGCGGCCACCATGTAGTCGATGGTAGCCATGTAGATGCCGTAATTCGCCATGGCGATTAAACAAGCGAAGATGAGGGGGGCGATCCACGGGGTGTACGCGGGGCCCATGGTGGTCCAGGCAAAGCCCAACAGGCCGATGGGCTCGAGGGGGCAGATGAAGAGGAGGAGAAGGAGACGGCGTTCAGGTAGTCGCGCTCCACCGCCCTTCGCGTGGCGAACCGTCATCTGTCGCCACACGTCCGGCAGGAAGATGGCGTAGGCGATGATGTACCCAAGGAGGATCGCGCCGAATGTCATACCGACGGCGAGGACGCTGAAGTCCCATTGTTGGAACACCAGGGGGAAGGAGGCGGTAAATACGAAGATCAGGGCGTCTGAGAAACCCGACAGAAGCGACAGAAACAGGACGATCGGCTCGCGGATGAACATCTCGAACGGCCGGCGCCAGATGCGGAGTACCTCCTTCGCGTCCAACCCAGGACTCACCTCAGAAGGGCCATAGACGTCGGCTTCCCCAGACTTACGCCGCCGCTTGGCCTCGCGATCGATCAGGATGGTCGCTCGTGTTTCGGGGACCATAAAAAAGTGCATAACTTGGGTGACCACACCAAAAATCAACTGGATCCAGAAGACCCAGTGCCAGTCAAGGTACTCGCCGATGAAGCCGCCAAAGAACGGGCCCACCGTCGAGCCACCAACTGAGGAGAGCACGACGAAGGCCACTGCAAAGCCTTGGTCTTCCGCCTCCCACATATCAGCGGTCATACCGAGAGTGACGGAGCCACCAGCCGAGCTGAGACCACCGAGGATACGGCACACCACGATGGTTGCGTAGTTAGGAGCAACGGCGCAGGGAATCTGCCATATATTTACCAGAAACAAACTGAGCTGCATAATGGGCCAACGCCCCAGCTCCTCACTCCAGGGAGCCCAGAGCTCGCAGCCAAATGCATAGGCCACAAGGAAAGCAGCCTGGCCCACGCGGGCAGCCTGTTCGCTAATGCCAAACTCCTCTGTAAGTCCCGGGATAGCGTTGGCGTAGACACCCGTGTTGAAGTTCATGGACATCTGGACCACGAAAATAACAGAGAGAATCATCCACTTCTTCCACCCGGGGAAGCAGAAACCGAGTTTGTCGTAGCACTCGTCGTCTGTGAGTTCACGCTTTCCACCGTAGTGGATCTCTTTGGTGGGTTCCCCCGAGCCGTCACTAACGCTCGAAGAAACATTTTCCGCCAGCGTCTGGGTGGGATGGTCATTAGACAACACTCGAGGGGGCGGGTCCTCGAGACCTTCTATCTTGTCCTTTTCTTTTGCGTGGTCCGACATGTGGATAGCAGATGGGCCGGGTGACAAGGAAGAATTGGATAGATGCGACGCGAAAAAGCCCTTGTTCTTGTCGATTGGGCTGTGGGGTTGGAGATAATAGATAGACGAACGATAGGGGGTGCACTTGGGTTTCCAAAGGAGAGGATGAGAGCATCATATCTATTTATTTGCATTATCAGTCCTACGTAGAGGCACCGGAGTGAGCCTGTTAACGGTGGGGACGTGGAGACGGAACCGGGCGACAGATGCTGTCATCGCTGACTCCATCCCCTGGTCCTATTCGATCATGACTGGGGAGTAGGCTACCCATAAGAGAACCCCGGGGAGCCGAATCACGATGAGGAAGGCAGTAGAACGCGATGGGGCCATGACGTGACTGATAGAGCCGGATGCGGAGTTTGAGGGGAGGTCGGATCGTCCACCCGTCTCCTCTTTGTCGATTTCCCCCGTATCTTTTGTAAGATAGCCGCTCCCCCACGTGTAGACAGAATCTCCCCGTGATATCGAGTTGATCCAATGATATCTCAGCGGATATACGCATGATAGCATGCCCAACCGCCCGATCGGTTCACAAGAATCTCACAATTCCGAAGCCGAGTCTCAGTGGCTGGTCGTGTCGGCCGACAGTCGGTTTTGGGCAAGCCGGACCGGCTCACATGGCTGATCCGACGATTCGGGGAAGTTTACTCAGGGCTGAATTTGGGCGTGAAAGACGGGCAATTCATGGGCCGGATGCAACATTCCCCAAGTCAGTCTATCATTACTCAGTCCGATCTCCCCGGCTTCCTTCGGAATTACCAAATCGGGAAGCGCATACCCCAGCGCTGATAGGCGGGAAAGCAGAAATGACATCATCATGAATGGGCCACTGCCGGCATGAGCTCAATGAAAGTCTAATATGATTGGTTCAATTCTGAGATCAATGCCGCATCGGATCCAGATTCGTCCGATCCGGCCGCCGTTCCCATCTTTTCGGTAAGTCACATGATACACGGATATGGGGTAGAAGCCGGGGTACAACGTCTCTGTGTATTACACCTTGATAACCCCGAATAGTCATCATCTGTAATGCATAGCACAGGATCCCATGGTCCCGGGATATTATGCATAATCGACCATTTGAGAATCCTCCAGAACTTACATAGTACGCCCGACCGAAACCAATTCAGGCATGAGTATTGCCGATTATTGAATTGTTTTTCTTCTGATTTACATGTACACCCAGTCTTGTAAACTAACAAACTGGTGATCTTAATCCAACTCAGCTGCTCATCACTACTTAGAGGAACAAGCCCAGGCCGGTTACATGGGTCCACTCAGCTATATTACAACCCGAAGTCGGCACACGAGTGCAACCCGACTACCCAGATCCCGTGGTGAAATCCGGTTTCTGTGAGTTTGGGTCCGTGGATAACACCGATTGCGACTTCTGGCAAGGCGTCCTAGGTACTATTGGGCCGCTGTTCTCACATCGTCACTATGTACACCGTCCTTAGCCTAGGAGGTATTTATAGTAGCGTTTGCCCAACGGCATGTGCTCAGTGGGCACCAGTAAGACAATCTTCGGGCCGATGGGCTTTGTGGATAATTGAGACATCTGGAGATGCCGGGATGGAGAACAATAGTTGGGATAATTTCAATTGCAACCAATACCGAAGTATCGTCTTTCCTTCTTTCACCCACCTCGTTCTCGAGGTCTCGATAGTCTGTCTCCCTCCATCTTGCTGGTCCATGTCCTCGTCCAATGTGGCCCGTGGGGTATGTAGACAGTGTCAGATACAGTAATGAGGCATTGAACCCACGATGACGCGTTAGAAGCAGATTTCATGATCAAAAAAGCTTACTAAATCCACACACTAGCATATCTATTCCTGATTCCCACCATTCTAGCCCAACGCCCCATTCACTCATCCGGTACAAGGATTAAACCAGCTCCCTCTGAAAAAACACCCTCTCATACCCTCCATCCAACCTCCTCTCCAACTCCGTAAAGCCCATCCGAGTATACATCCCCACATTCTCAAACATATGGACATTCGTAAACAGCTTCAATGCCGTACATCCCCTCTCCCGCGCCACGGCTTCGGCTTGCGCCATCAGCACGCGCCCGTAGCCTTTTCCCTGCGCAGCAGGGTCAACAACCAGGTTATTAATGCTCAAAGCGTTATGATCGGGTGCAGAGTTTAGAACAATGGACCCTAATATCGTATTTCCGAGTCGAAGGACCCAGACCTCTTGGGTCTCCAAAAGTTGGTGGTAGTCGGCTGTCATCGGCCCGGGCGGCTTCCCGATGCGCGGGATATATTTTGTGTATGCGGCGCATACCATGGCCTCGATGAATGGGATGTCATTGGGCTGAGCTAGGGCGAGGGTTGTTTCGGGGGGTGGTTGCATGGTGAAGAAGATAATTCAGATGTTCAATTATATCGTGGATGTGGGTGGCGTTTGATAGGTGATTTATATCGCTATATGATAGGTGAGTCATTCTAACTGTCACTAGTAAACATATAGTAAGTACTTGCGGGGCCAAGAGTGATGATCATGCTCGGTAGATTTGTCTCGTTTGTCTTTAACTTTTGGTTCAAACAATGTCCACTTCTTTATGCGATCTCTTGGTAAATATATATTCAGTCCTCCTACTGTTCTCTAGTATTTCGGGTGCCAACAGGTATGCATATTGATCCTCGCTATTTTGACTCAAAATGGGAAACACTACCAATATTCAAACACATGGAAAGGCCCAACAACCAATTCTCAAACCAAGTAGTAACAATGGTCTCTGGGTTTAACCCACCCAAACTTCTTCATATTGGGCCCGTATGAACCTGGTGATACCGTTGCTGGGCCTCGCTGACCATGAGGTGGATGTAGTCGAATAGGCTGTCAAACCCAGCCGGGACTTCGGAGACAGTCCCATCTGGTTCGCTCTTGACTAAAGAGAGCATCTCTTTCGCATAGCCCGCTGCAACCCCTGCAGCATATCTCCGCCAGGTATCGTCCTTGTGGGAGTCGGCATAGTCGCACACTCCCCGGATAGCAATGCCAGGGAAGCAGCTCATCAACGCCGCTCCTTCCATTTCTACGCAGAGCGCGTTGTATTTTTGCGCTAAGCGATTCCGCGCTTTGGGGTCCTTGATTACCTGGTTTCCGGATGCGATCAGACCGTAATGAACGACCGGGTTGTGATTTGGGCGAGGCGGTCGCTCCACGATTGTCGCTCCGTCATATAGATTATCGCTTCGCTCCGCCATCCAACCATACCCTGATTCTCTCATCCGTGGGTACTGCTGTATCATCTTCTCGATATGGTCATCCACTCTGCTCCAGTCCCCTTGGTTCCGCTGCCGTAATGTATCGACCGCTCGCAACAAAACATCAGGCGGCCCTGGCACACATCCCATAATCTGGATATCCTCTTCACCCTCTACCACCTTACCTAAATCATGACAGAAAATACCAGGATGTTGGCGAGATGGATAGCTAACCACCACATCCCCAAGACGAACATCATTCTCGCGACTAGGCACCCCGCCCCCAATGCCCACCATAAGGCCGAAGCGAATGCTTGTGAATGTGCGCAGCATGTTGGTCGCCACCTGCGATGCCGAAATAAGACCTGGTACCCCCGAGAGCAAGCCACAGAGCACAATATTAATGCTTCCCATGCGCCCTAGTACGTAGGTGTTGATATCGCCGGGGATGCGGTGTTTAGGGCGCTCGTGGAATTCGTCGAACATGAACCGAACCGCGGCCATTTCTTCTTTGAGAGCGCACACAATGGCGACTGTGTATTTCTCTGTGGGTAGTGTGGGCATTCGCCCTTGCTGTCGGTCGGGCTGATTGCACGCATTGTAGGTCGTAGCAGCAGAATTGGAATCGATTATTCTTGTCATTCCAGAATACAAGTATAAAGGTTGGATAGTGTAGTAGTAAAATTGATCGTCAGTCTTTGATAGAACGTAGATACACATGCCCGTTCAATCTGCCCTCTTATATAGAATTGAATGCCGCGTCTCTAATGTCAATCGATATTTTGGCGACCAACGCAAGTCGTCTGCATGGCGCAGGAACAAGGATGGCAGGACACCAAGCCAAGCGATGGGTTGGTCCTGTAAGCGCCAGGATCGATGGATCGACCAAAGCCTATCATTTAGTGTCTGCCATCGTAAAAGCTTCAGTGGTAGAGTATTTCCCTACCTATCAAAAAAGTACCAAGTATAAAAATAGGAGATGGCAGCAGAGCCCCCAATCATTGGGTCTGGAAAGGCGCTTAGAGCCGCGGTTGGATCTCCTTCGCACGAAGCATCGGCAGCAAACGATATATAGTACCGATGGAAGTGTTCAACTAAAACATATGCAGAACGACAAAAGGAGCAAGAAGCAAACTATCTATAGAAATGTAGTTTTATCTGTAGATAATAATAATGTTTCTGAATGTGTAGCGACAGTCATTGGTGGTTGTGGTACTGGCTCCTGGTTTCAAAAATGTTTCATCCTGAGCCGATGCAAATCCCAGCGGTAAATAACCGAGTCAATATCTATGGCAGTCATCTATCTATAAGATCTTGCTATGGTAGAGATAGTTAATATGTTTGTTTGTATCATAGATTTATATTTCTTAAACATTTCACCTGCCACGGGCCTTATGTTATCCTTCGGTTAATATATAGCATTATTCATTACACCCCCATAAACCATTCGTTGATGCACATTTTAACTCTTAAAGACCGAAACCGAAGAGTTGCTAATACCATGACACCCAACACATGCGAACCAATCAAAGCACCATTTTAGAGAACGGAATCAGTCATCTGTCCCCGATCAAGCAAGTCTGCTTCCTGGCGCAGCACATCCGCCCGGAACTTCCGAAACGCGGTCTCAATGCGCCTCCTCTGCTCCGGGTCTTTAGTGATACTACGGCTCCCACTGGCCGCTCCACCGAGGAATCCTGTCATCGTAATTAGCTTTACGCGCGTAGTGGCTCTTCCTCGCTGTGCACAGCAAACAAAACAACAACGAAGAAGGCCAATCGAAAAAGGAGGGGCAGAGTTGATCACATACCAAGTTCTCCACCCAAGAACAATCCACCAGCCGACGCGAAAAAGTACGTCGCAAAGTCACCAAGGGTTGTCGGTTTTAGCAAGGGCGTAAGATCGGGGATGGACTCTGCTTGCAAATATCAGTCACCCATGCGCAGAAGCATAACAAAAGTAAACAGGAATGAACAGGAAGAAAATGGTAGGAAGAAGGGGCTTAAGCAAGCGAGACGTACCCTGGCGACCGTCTGCAAAAAGTAGATGCGTGGGCTTCTCCTTGGCGCGGAACGCCTGGAAGAAGGCAGTTCGCGCGCTGCGGAGTCGAAAAGCGACGTATAGACCGAGACCAACGCCTGCGGCAGATCCGATGGCCGTCCAGAGTGAGACGGTTGAGGCAGCGGATTTGAGAGTTTCGCGATCTTCGGCCCGGAGGTCTTTCTGCATGTGTTCGTTTGCAAGCCGGGTGAGGTCGTCGGCGCGACGGCGACGCAGGAGGGCGATTGATTCGGACATTTTTGATTAATTGATTGATTTAGTATTATGTATGTCGATAAATTGTAATTGTTGAACTTAGAAAGCAGTAAAGATCGAAAAGTGGGAGATAGTTGAATTTTATAGTTCTAGCAAGAAAGTGGTAATGATGTCATTGCCTGAGTGGGTCGGTAGAACAAGGCTTGCTTAGCTATGGGGCCTAATGACGGAGTTTGATCGTCGAGGAATAGTATTTCATTACACATGAAGCTATTTCCATTTATATTAATGAAGGAAATCACTTCTCTGCTCTGATGTTCTATGCAAACTATATGCTAAGAGAAGGAATACTCCCAAGGAGAACAAAATGGGTGAAAGCAAATATATATATTATCTAAACAGCGCCTAGTCATGACTAGAACCTTATTTGTACTTGGATCATATTATTTATCGCTACAGATTACAGTGAGATCTAGGATACTGTGACTAACTTACCACTGATGCTATTCTCACAGCTGACACTCCAATGAAAGTTTTGAGAAAGCCAGTTGCACAATTCGGAGAATTTCGAATATTGAAAGAACCCAGAACAATTGAGTAGCCGTCTGCCTAGTAATCACACCCATTTATATATGATGGCTTCTTATTCTGTAACGGTGGCAGAACGAAACAAGAGAGTATATATCAAAAGCTGTGCTGATAGTTCCGTGGCCGAGAAGGGGTGCCGTACCCCTTTAGGGCCTCATTTGATTGATGGGAAATAACAAGGTCTGTCCCGTTCCAGGTTGCTGCAACTCGGCGTGGCTCCTAAAAAGCTTTATATAGGTAGGCCAGACAGTCATACTCACATATAGCTGAAGATAGGCTTAGTGTGAGCTGTGACCATTTACTTTGATATACACTAGTTCGCTATATTAGATACAAGCTGTTAGCTCTTGCTCTCTCGATATCTTACTATAACTCACCCACTTAGATTCAAATGAAAACACATGCAGGATTTCTAAACAACACCGGCGAAAAGCTATCTCAGTAAAGATAGTCATAGTTAATACCGTAAGTCATCTTCTCATCCACGAGTATTTTCCCGGGCCGTATCTGACTTCGGCCGAACTTTCCCCGGAATAAGCCAAGCTGTAAGCTCGCAGTTGTGTGTTCTAACCCCTTTTAAAAAGGTAAATTTAATAGGACCTACCCCCAACCAACTTCATTGGGGCAGCTGTCACGAAGAGCTTGAATATCTGATCAGATCAATGGGTGACCCTACCAGATACTAAACAATCCTGCACCGACTTATACTTACAATTGATGTCCTTTTATGTACACGTAATCAGCCCACACTACCGAGAACAGAGTATCAAAGATAATGGGAACAATAGAAAATAAGCCATTGTTTTGGTTCTTCGTACCTGAAACCCGGGGCCAAGCCTCGAGCGGGGAAAGCGACGCTCTTCCCCTCTCGTTGAGATAGGAGGAGATAGAGTAGCCTGTCGCGTGGCCTGCATAAATTGATCAGAAAATAAATCACTAGAGAAAATAGAAAAGAAAAGATTCGGTGCCGGAAGCGGTAGATATAATAAACCTAACGTGGATGAAGAAATCGGGTTGTCGATCCCCGACGGGCGTAGCCCCGCATGGTTTTATCCTCGAGGGTTGTGATGCAGGAACTGTCCCGGCTGATAGTCCAGCACCCCCTACCCTCCGGAAAGCCGGTGGCTTGATATTGATCTGTGGTTAGTGATACGTTACATTGGCCAATCTCAAGAGCGCACTGTCCCTTGTGTTTGCTCCCAAGACAGCACCGTCATCTTGATGTTGTCTCGCTCGTATAGTATAGCCCCAATGAGACGGGGAGGGTGGGGCTCCGCGCAGCAAAGATAAGGCTTTATTGTCATAGTAAATACGGGGTAGGATAAGCTGCGTCTGCCGGAGGTGCGGTCGATTCTATACGATCTTCAAAAAGAAAGTGCCAGGTCCACTCCCCTGCAGAAACGACACGCTGCATTGGATACAGCTGGCTAGCCACTAAATTCAGGCGATGTCACCGAGGAGCGGGGGGCTCTTGGCCGCCTGGTGGTCATTTGCAACAATACAACAGCAATTGCGCAAGCCGGAATCATGGAAGGTATAAAGTCAGGTCGATCGCGCCGGACGGTGTATACGGGAGAGGTGGACTGCTCAACTCAAGTTCGAAGCAACGAGTAAAAATGGTGTTCTTTTCTAGGGTTTCGCTGTTCGGCCTTCTGGCGGCTGGGGCTTGGGCTGCTCCCAGCAAAATCGCCCGTCGGGGTAAGTTGTTCTATCCTAGTCGTTTCTGCAGATGCTCACATCACCAGCTATCGACGAGGCGACATTCGCTAAGCTCGAGCTCTTTGGCCAGTACAGCTCTGCGTCGTACTGCAGCAACAACTTCAACTCCACGGGCGATAAGATTACCTGCGATGGTGGGAATTGCCCGTTGGTGGAGGCTGCTGGTGCAACCTCAGTTCATGAGTTCGAGAAGTGAGTGTGCCTTTGCGCATCGACCATAGGACATTGACTGACTGATCCAAATCAGCTCCGAAGCATATGGCGGCGTCACAGGATACATCGCGGTGGACGCAATCAACAAAGCCATCGTCTTGACCTTCCGGGGTAGTTCGAATCTCAAGAACTGGCTAGCGAACCTCAACTTCCCCTTGACCGATTTCACCGACATCTGCGAGGGATGCCAAGTCCACCGCGGCTTCTTGGAAGCGTGGAACGCGGTAGCGGAGGACGTCACTGCGAAGTTGAAGGAAGCCCAGGAAAGCAACCCTGACTTCTCTCTCGTCTTCACGGGACACAGCCACGGCGCTGCACTGGCTGCTGTCGGGGCGACTATCTTCCGCAAGGCCGGCGATGCCGTCGAGCTGGTGAGTTTTCCCATTGTCCACTCCTTTGACTATATACTGACGGTTATTGCAAGGTCAATTACGGCCAGCCTCGGATCGGGAATATGGAGTTGATGGAGTACATCACCAAGGAAGCGGCCGATTCCACCTATCGTGTCACCCACACCAACGACATTGTTTGCAAGGTCCCACCCAAGGCATTGGGATTCCACCATTTCGCCCCTGAGTACTTTATCACTAGCGGGGACAACACCACCGTGACCACAGCGGATGTTGAAGCGATTACCGAGATCGACTCCGATAAGGGCAACGCTGGGGCTGACGGGACGACCACCGAGGCGCATCGTTGGTATTTCGTTACCATGAGTGGATGTGAATAAGTTTGGATTACGCTCAGTGAGCGTGTATATTTTACTTTTTCTTTCTTCTCCTTCACTGGCCAGGATGCTGGTGGTAAGACAATCTTGTGAACTCTTATCGGAGTGGGTTCTGTAAATGAACTTTTTGTACATAGTATAGCTCATTATATCTGAGAATTTGTGCTTCTCTCTATAGGCATTCAGTACTTTACGGGGGCATATGCACAAATTTACATTGGAAGGATACGTAATCTTCGTCTCTTTTATTGGGCCCTCGTCCCCAATCACCGCACACTCCGTACTTCACTCATCTCGTGGGTAGATTTCTTGGCTGTAGGGGTACCGTGGGTATTCTGTGAGTCTTCTTGGACTGTTGTGGCTTCCCTGGACCCCCTTATTAAGCTTCATAACTCGTTAGCCCAAGGTCTATTCTATATACAGAGCCATGATAAACATTATATATACATTAAAATATGAGAAAGACATTCATCCATAAACAAAACAGGCCTCACACCCCCAGCGCAATAGCCAACAACCCAGCAGCACCCACCAACCCTACCGCGACAGGCCCAGTCGGCGCCGCTGCACCACCGGTGCTCGTTTTGTTCGAATTATTGGAGCCACCGACACCATTATTGTTACGCTTCGAGCCGTGTCCAGGGGCACGCTTAACCGGGTTATTGCCGACAGATGTGGGAATTGGGGAAGCAAAAGCGGCGGAAGCCCATTCTTGGACACTGGAGGGCAACGCATGGAACCAGGTGGGGTTAGAGAGGGCCAGCTCGTGGATGGCGGATTCTGCGGTCTCCGGGCTGTTGCAGATGGCGCTGAAGTCGGCTGGGGGGATGGATGACTCCAGGATGGACATCACGGTGGATGGTACTGTGAGGGTGCCGTCTGTGGGTTGCGGTAGGGATTGTGGTGCTGCTAGGGTGGTGGAGGTGAGCAGGAGGAGCGCGAGGCATGTATATTGCATGGTGGATTGATTTAATTGATCGAGGAGGGTTCGTAAACAATGTACGTTTCGTGTTTGTGTCGATATTGCTTGAAGCTGAGATTGCAGGATGGATAGACTGGGATAAATCCCACCGAGATGGGCGGCGCGATAGGACTCCGCACAAGGTCCTTTTGAGTATCCGCAGTAATCCAAGGCTGGCAAATAAACTTGCATAGCCGCAAAATGGTCCGGGTTAGACTACGGCTGTGATCGAAAGCTCTTGTAGTCAGGCCAATCACTGCCCCAATAAACCCCCTATTCCTCCCGGTCCGAGTTGCGCTTAGGCTGTTTAGGGCTTAGAGGACCCCATAGTTTGGCCCCCAACAAGGGCCCGCTAGGCTGTGTCCACTATTGACTACACCGTGCTCTAGCTTCACGATGCTTTCATTGGGCTAACACTAGGTATTATAGTTTAATAATTTAATTCTAACTATAATCTTGTATCTTTCTATTTTACTAAAATAAAATATAGTATAGATATAAGAATAATTTCCATGGTTGTAGTGTGATAGTCCGTCAGTGCCGTGATCGCCTGACTCGTAAACACATTGATAATGACTCGGCCACACAGTTGCTCATGCACATAGTGACATCTGGCCCTATGCTCATCTGTGATACGGGAGGTCCTGCCAAAATAGATTCCATAGTCCTTTTCGACGACGGTCTAGAAGACGAATGGAAACAGACTACCACCGGTAATGATTTATATCCGTTTGGATTGCTACATTTAGTTTAAATCTACCTTTATCCGCCCTCAGATACTACTCTGTTGGAACTTCCAAGACATACAGGCACACAAGCTAGGGAATCCGTAGCCTATTCAAATACATATGATTGTAGAATAGACAGCTTTGATAATATCTATGAACAACATTAGAGGTGTAAAAATATATCACAACCAGCTTTTCTATCCGCAGAGAACACAATAGTAATAGGTAACTCCTGATCTTCAGTCAGGTGGTGTGCCAAATATCCGACTTGTTGCCTTAAACTTTATATGGTCTTATAACTTAGAGTATCGATCTATTATAATGATATGCTGGACTAACAGCTAATCAAGGAGCTTAGATATGTATAATGTGATACTTAGATTCGGTCACTCAGAACAGGATAACCAATCTTTCGAAGGCAGGTGTATGCTTGGGCTAGATATGGGAATTGCATCTTAGTGGTCAGTAATTACACTTTTGTTCCGATAGAAGTGCAAGTTCAAATACATACATACCTAGTAACTAGCAGACCATTCACTACTTACGGCTTGCGACACGCCACATCATCAGAGCAGTGGGAATGGGGCCTGAAGAAAATGTGGGAGTACCAAAAGAAGTAATAATGTGTATTCTCCTTTCACTTTATTTGATCATTCTCTAATGTCACATTTTATAGAAAACACTAGCGGCCCTGTTGATTTATCTTCTCTTTTTGTATGTCATATTTTCACCACTGAAAAGGGTCATCCTATTAATAGCGATCCTTTGCAACACAGCGGCCAGAAGCCAATAGTCACCCCCTTTTCAATGGAGACACCGGTCTGTTCTTGTAATATAGTATTCAATACCAGGGGTACCAAAACACCACATCCCTATTAATAATCATTGTCACTGAGTATTTGTAAAAGATCCTCCGTACTTCTAGGCAACCTCATAACAACCAAGAAGAAGCCCCCCCGGCCTGTCTCAGCCCTATGAGAGCGGGGCCGGGGCCCACTCGCCAAGTCAACACTAGTAGTAATGCAACGAACCAGACACCCATACAACACATCATATACACACGTCCCAGGACAGCGCCCCGGATCGGTGCGGACAAATTTGAAATCTGACGTAGGCCTAGTCTACAACGCCTTTTGTACCCCCACCCACCACTGAATGACTCCAACCAGGAACCGCTCTCCCCACAGCCGGAACGGCATGGGCAACACCCTTTGGAACCCTGTCCATCCCAGCCCCTCCCGGATCTGCATCTCTACGAGACGGCGCCAGTCGACTGCGTGGGCGAAGTGAAAGGGGAAGTGGTGCTGGCTGACGGTGCGGATGGTGCAATCCATTCGGGGCTGTTCGTGCAAGTCGACCTGCGGAGGATGCAGGGCGGGCTCGGGGCCCGAGAAGTCGACTTCGAGGCGGAGGACGCCGGTCGTGGTGAAGGTGCGAACCTTGACGGAGAGGTCGTGTTCTTTCTTCTTTTTTGTGGAAGGGTCTCGCTTGTGGGTTATTGTTAGGTCGAGGAGGGGTTCGTCGTCTGCGGTGGTGGTGTTGTCGGGGGCTGTGAGCTCGAGGAGAGTGAGGTAGTGGTTGTAGAGGAAGCTGTGCTCAGGGGGGAGGAGAGACACGACGAAGTCCCCTTCGAGGATGATGTTGGGTGAGCCTGGTTTGGACTTCGTGATGACTTTTGTGAGGCGGAGGGGCTGGGCGATGGACCGCCATGACTCCAGGATCACGGCCTCCGCGGGAGAGTCATTCCCTTGGCGGGCGAGATTGCTGTTTATATAGCGAAGGATACGCTGGCAAATGGGGCGTTCGTATTGATGCCATACTCGACCGAGGAGGACATTCAGCCAGAGGACAGACTCGCCGCGTTCGCGTGCGTTTTTCTGTGCATGATGCCGTCTCAGCTCGTCGTGGATCGCATGCTGTATTCTCCGGAGGGTAACTCTTTGTTGCGTGCGGCAGAAGGCTAGGAGGACGATGATCCAGACAAATCCGAGGTTCAATCGACGAATAGCCCATGCGGTGAGACAGACGATTACGATTATCTTGGACTCGCAAAAAGTTTGTTCAACGGTTTCCAAGACATGGCGCAGGTCTGGATATTGGGTAGGGGGGTATGGTTTCCCCATGGTGGACAATATTCATACAGGTCGATGGTGTTACTGTGCATGGGTAAAACTCGTAGCCATGGCACAGCCATGTTGAGTTGCAACTCAGCAGTGAAGCAGCGGTAGTAAGGCGGACAACCTTGCCTTATAAGTTGGAGAACCATTGAAGATGCTGCAGCTGCCTGCAGAATTAATGCATCTCGACACTAGTGGCAATGGAAGGGATGTTTTCCCTCCGAGTATTGTAATGCATTACATAGATACTGGGTGTTCTAAATACAGTTGTATTAAAGTAGAACGGAGTTGCCTAGAAGTGACGTTGGCCGAATCGGCAGGTCTATAACAACCCCTTGCCAAGTCCGAATCTATAGCTATCATCCGAGAAGAGCCGGCCATCGCCATTCTCAGCGAACATGACTATAGATCCTTGGTACCACAAGTCCATGATGTTTTTTCGAGAATTCGGTTTGATACGTCTTGTCTCACATTGTCGAAATGAAGCTTTATTAGGTTACACCTCAATATAGGAGACGTTAACATACGAATGCTAACATGGGACGGTGAATGCTTAGCATTACAGCTATCATCAGGTGTCTCAATATATTGAGGTTTTCAATGAATTGGTAGAGTATCGGTAGTATTATTTCATTGCTCAAATTGGTGATCAGTTGATTACATATGATAGAGTGACACGTTACATGGGTTATTATCAGATACACCATCAGGAAAGATAAGCACTCAAGAAGTATACAAGTCTAGCCTCAGGAAAATACCTTGGGAAGCAATCACATATGTCAAGTACTTATTCAACCAGCTTGATACCGCTGTTTAAATCATAAATCTCAAATTTCGATTCTGTTTAAGTCTTGCTGAAGTAAAGTCTGTCATAGAATTTAAATCTGTTCAAGTCCGCGTCAGCTGCTTATATATTAGGTGTGTGTCATTTGGAGAGTGTGAGAATAGCATAACGTACGCTTTTTACTCGATATCTTTAGTCGAACAACGCCCGAGCCGTATATAAACTTGTTGGCACTTGGACATCATCTCATTCTCAGACAATTATGTTCAAAGCAGTGTACGTTAGACTACTTTCTATATTGTAGCAGCGGCCGAGGGCCTTCTTTTAAGCCTTGCTTTTTACTGTGGACATATGCGATGAGAAGAGGTCAGGAACGATGTATTTTCGATGATATACAGACTATGAAAAGGATTGTCAAAATACGAAATGGTCAAATGTGTGGGAAAAGGACTCTGCAGGTCAGCTGTTCGTTTAGCTAATTGTAGTCACTGTTCTTCCACAGGCCAATATTCTATGATAGCCTAATCAGTAAAGTAGTTGATTCACTACGAAACTAAAGCCAGCACAAGACACCAGACCCCACCAAAAACCGCAGTATGTGGTCCTAGATGTTTATAGATTTAATCTGCGTAGCCGAAGAACATATTCTTAAAAAACGCATCTCTAAATACTTTATAGCATGAGCAATCAAGGACGAGTTACATATCTTCAAAGTTATCTTCCGTGGCGTAATCGGGGATCTAGGTATTATAATCAAAGGAAGAAGTCAGGGGCTGTGACACACGACTTGACTTGATCCTCAAAAGTCGCATGGGCCACTGAGCGACAGCATGTTGGGGATATCAGTCAGGTTAAGCCCTATACCAAACATTGGTCAACGTTTTGGCGTATCAATTGAGACAACCTCCGGCGGCAGTGGCAGCTCTAGTCCTTCAGGAACCCTAACCGAATAATAACTTAGCCGCTTTGAGGCTTGACAAACTTATGATACCCTTATTTAGCGCCCCACCTGGTTCTAAAACATCATGTGTGTCCCTGGATGCGGCAAGTGTCCATCTCTAACCAAATCCCTCGTTCCCACCACAAGATATCTGTTAACGTAGAATGCTTGATGGCCATAGAGACCCCGAGCAGATTGTGAAACCCTATGACATTGTCATTATCACATTATGTCTAATTTTCAGGAGTACGGAGACGGAAGACTAGCGCTTGGTTTATGTTCTTTTTTCTGATCAGCTTTAATCTTACTAGGTAGGATTGGGGTTGCTCTATGAACAAGGCATTAGACACGGTTTACGCGGACAGCGCTTAGGGTGACATCAACTATAATAGTAACGCGGAGGGGCCTAGAGAATAAAGATAGCTTGAAAACCAGCCCCTCTTATATCATCAATATCGGAGGAAGCGCCGACATACCTAGTTGGGGAGGACCTAACCTGGAAGAGTGGCACGGAGAGGAAAGAACTGGGAGGGGGGGGGCGGGGCGGTGCTAATTTCGGTGCATTTAGGTATTCCTAGGAGGCTACTATAATAGGTGTTTTATTAGAATGCCGACCTAGGCCGATTCAAAACAATAGGCAATGTGACGATGCACGCAACAAATGGTATCACACTATTCCCTGGTCAAGTACGTCAGTTGCGTGATTGAGGGACAGAGAAATCCAATAACAACCAGTTATTTTCGCCCTGTGGCTGTCACCCGAACGGGGAGTGGGCCGGCCAAGCAACGGGTATGGCCTGCCGTGCATTAGAGCCAGCACTTAGGTAGTAAATTCTCTCTAGTTCGTGCCAAATAGGCTTTGATTATTGGTGGATGAGTCCACATGTTCCCATGTTTGTTTTTAGTCCGCCTTATTAACTTCAATCATTTCCTCAGTGAAGCCTGGTCCGCGGTTAACTGACCATTGACAGTATTGTTAAAAGAGCCTGTTGTAACATGGATAGAATATCCAGTGTTGCTCCTCTTCCTATTCGAAGAAATTGGGAAACGACCCACCTGATCATGTATGTGACATTTCGTCTAGATGAGATGGTGTGCAGGTACTTGAGAACCTCGATCCCTGGTATAGCAACCCCCCTTCCTGCCTCCCCCAGAGGAAATCCAGAGCAATATTTCGATGTTTTCTGGCATTCGGGTGCAAAATCAATACAGAATATAGTAGAAGAAATATATAATCAATGTATGATATGGTACAAGAGTCCCCAACCATGTAGCACTTTCATGTCTCACCACCGTGGGTATTTTTCCAAGAGCCAGCATAATGATGTGTCACCAATGCTGGGCCAGTGTCATTGGTATGGTAAGTATTCACTGATCGTGCAAATGAATATCCAGGTAGGATCAGAACGTCGCCAACCAATACTGGCTCCAGTATATTCGAAATGCTCTTCATGTCGACGCTTTCTTGGAGAGTTGATTCCAAACTCCGAAACACCCCACGGGTGAACCGTCTTGGGCCGGTAAAGTCCACCACATCTGGAAGGATAGCTGTAGTCAAGTCGGGAATGGCAACATTGTGCTCTTCCGTAAATCTGTAAATTGCGTCAAGTATGTCGTCGATCACCACCAACATATGCCGTGATCTCGGCTTCGCCATGATAGTCCAAGTCGCAAATTGGCGAACAATGCCTTCACCCCAACCGGCGTCAAATTCCCATCCGACAACAACATTGGCCTTGTCCTCGAGATCTTTGGGAACCCAGTCCTTTATGGGTGTATCTTCACAGGATACGTCGAGGTCGTTCCATATCCCACCTTCTGAGTACAGAAGGAGATAGCGGAGGAAATCGGCCTTGAGAATTGGTATAGGAAGAGCAAGATAAGTTTCGACTATTTCAGGACGAAATGCGAAATTTTCCTTGACATATAAGTCGCCTAATGTATCTGTCAAGATCTCGGATCGATGTGTAGGATTCTTCTGCAGGCAGTCGTCTATCATTTTTTTCGAATCTTGATTGACGCCCTTTAGACCAATCTTATACCAGATTCTCTCTGGTATCGTTCTTGATATTGGGAGCTCATGGTGTGTTAGATCTGCGCCTGTAATGTTGAGGGACGACCCAAGGTCTGTGGAGCGGAAATATAAAAAAATGAATGTGCTGAGGACAAATAATGAGCCTGCAATCAATAGTCTAGAGAAGGAGAGCGACCGATATAAGATTAGCATGATTTTGATTGCAATTCATAAACTGTGAGTGAATTTTGAGTATTTGGGGAGTGCAAGAATTTGGGTAGGAATAGATTCTCATATAATTGGAAGTGGTCGCTGTTTGCTAAGAAAGACTACTATCTTAGGCTCCTGCGCCCCATGAATCGTAGCGTTGGCGTCATTTCCTTGGTCTTTTGTTCCGCGCCTCTGAACTTTTGTTCAGTTCATTTAGTTATGTCGCTATTCCTCGTCATATGTCTTTTTCTTTATCAATTCTGACTTTTTGAAGCCACACATCTTATGCGTAACAGAACACGACGGTTTGATGCTGGTGAGCCTTGCCTTTAGCTGTTTCAGTTCCCATATGGAGAATCTAGTTTGCCTACTATAGTCCCCTATTTACGAAGAGATCGTGGGAGCGGGTGGCTTAGCGCAAGTCGGCCGGCAGGCTCTAATGATTAGCGTTGGGGCCCTGGTCAATTACAGGTTTGGATCCTGCTTCCCTCCTGGAATCAGCTACGCTGAAGGAATAGTTAGCTCACATAATGTAATCTGAAACAACTATCCATGACCATAGAATCGGATAGGTAAGTGAAGTCCTAAAACTTAATGGTATTGGATTTCCATCCTAGTCAATTGTTAAACTTCTCCGCAAGGCACACCCACTATGGCTTGGCCACATAGGGTATACTATATGATGATTTGTCCTCACATGATATATTTTGGCTACAAGAGACCCTATGGTCTACTTGGAGGACGGATAGCCATCATATCGGCTCTGGGTCGAATGATCTTGCAGTGGTATGCAAGCATCTACCTTTTGGTTATAAGCGCCATCGAGAAAAGCCCAATATATAGTTGGCCACCTCTCTTCTACGGCTATTAGCTCTTCTATCTTCGTGGCGACAGTAAACGACCAACGGCAATACTAACAACATGCCCTGTTCTCTCTTACTCTCGACATATATGAAAACACCTTCAATTTCATCCTCTGTGCGGACTACACCTATCTTATAACTCGCATGCTCCAGTGTTAATTTACAATACTTGTCACCTAGTCAGAGCCATATCTCTTGGCTGCTAATTCCAGTCTCATACCGACGGGTCTCAAGGTCGTTTGTCGATAATACTCATCATACCCCAGGATCAATATTCTCGACATATCATTGGCATCTATGCTCAAGAAAATTCGTTAGGGTGACACTGTTGGGTCACGCGGCAACCCACCACTCAAATTTCTGACAAGTGTTCAACCACGCTGGCTTAGGGCTAAGTATGGGAGCTTTCATGCCAAATTTGTTTGTGGATACCAAACTTTCCAAAAGTCCGTCAAGATAACGGGAGAAACACAGATCCATATCTTTCCGTCATGAAATTGTATAACCTTCATCAATACACCTGGTTGACGCAGGGTAGGTAAGTCGGTGAGCGATGACCCTTGCATGGGTCATGAAGTCTACCATCAGCCCCTGTGCGTAAGGTGTTCTACTACATCTAAGGGAAGGATTTTTCTATGAATTGGCACGATGAGCCTGTTGTTCTACATTTTGATGCCTGGGTCACTACATTTGAGGCCTTTCATTCTCGAGGTCAAAACATTAGGCCTTGAGTAGGTCTGGTTCATTTCTACCCGCATCCTATCATATACCAATCCCGCCAGCAGTTATCCCCCATCACCTGCCTGCGGTGCCATGTTGCCCTAACACTAATAGGATATATGCGATCGTAATCACTATAGTTATGAACAAGTCAATCTACAGTGTCGGTGCAACAGCGATGAGTCATCAACCCCGCAAATGCGGAGGATCATCCGATGGACAAGAAACCATCACAACACCACAACCCTGTTGCCATCACGGCAATACCACCTGTGTCAAGGAGCATGCCTTGCCCTAGTTTGCACTATTTTCATAATACACAATGTATTACGCACACAGTAGCAATGCCATCCTCGCTACCCTCCTAACCCTCGCGACCCCCCTCTCCTCACATCCATCCCCAACCCCAAAACAGGCCTCGTACCATGCTCCTAGCATCCTAGACCACGTCAACCCTCGAATTGGAACGTATGGGGTTACCCCCAACGGCAACGGGGGTATGATCCCCTCTGTGGCGCCCCCGTTCGCCATGACGCGATGGACGCCGCAGACACGCGAGAACTTTATCTCGCAGGTGCCGTACGGGGATTCAGATCGTCTGATGCACGGGTTCCAAGCTACTCACCAACCGGCTATTTGGATGGGGGAGGCAGGACAGGTTGTGCTGATGCCTGGTCTTGGGGATGTGCGCCCGCTGTTTGAGGATCGTGGTCTGATATTCAAAAAAGACGATGAGGTGTCTACACCTTATGTCTATGAGGTTGAGTTGGATGCTACGCCAAGGCTAGGGAGAGACTGGAATGCAACTGCGGAGGCGGTAGGCGATGGGCCTGACCCAGGCGGTGTTGGAAAAGTCCCGGAGGAAGTGAAGGACGGGGCTAATGGGCGGGTAAGGAGACAGCATCAGGCTGCTATGCAAGGAGATAATGCAGATGACGACACTGAAGATTCCAGCAATGGGGATACAATCCAGGTGAGTACTTTACCTGATCACGAAGTCCGCCTCTGACAAGATACTAGGCGGCCATGTCCGCCGACGCACATACGGGCTATCTTCGCTTCACCTTCAACACCCGTGACCATGCCCAGCCCTACATCTTCATCCAAGCCAACCGCCGCAACTGGACCGGCGAGGTACACATCGATCCCGACGCGCGCGAGATCTCAGGCTACAATCCCGAGCGTCAAGACTACGGACTCGGCCCAGATAAAGCTGCGTCTTTTCGAGGCTACTTCGTCGCCCGTTTCTCGCAGCCGTTTGCATCCTACGGCACAAGCGCGGGAAACATTACACATGACGGCGCGAATCACCACAAAGGCAATTTCAGCGGCGCATACGCTCGGTTCGCGCCATCTACAAAAACCGTAGAAGTCCGGATCGGCGTCTCCTACGTAAGCATTGACCAAGCGCGCACGAATCTCGACCTCGAGATTCCAGACTCCCAGTCCTTTGAGCGGACTGTCGAACGCGTCAAAGCCGCATGGCTCGACAAACTCGGTCGCATACGTATATCAGGAGTCAACCGCACAGACGCGGACCACGACCCGCGCACAATCTTCTACACAGCCCTCTTCCACACCCTACAATACCCGAGTGACTTCTCCGAGCCTCTCCCACCACCATCCAAAAACCGCACCTACTACTCAGGATACACCGACAGTATCCACATAGCCCCAGACTCCTACTACCAATCATGGTCAATATGGGACACCTACCGCGCAGAACACGCACTGCTCACACTGCTCGCCCCAGAACGCGTAAACAGCATGATGCGTTCCCTGCTCCAGATCTTCACATGGAGCGGCCGACTCCCGATATGGGCCAACATCGTCGAAACCAATATCATGATAGCGACACATGTAGACGCTGTCTTGGCTAATGCCCTCACCCGAGGTTTTCGCGGCTTCAATACCACTCTGGCATGGCAAGCCGTTCGAAAAGACGCGTTTGTTCCCCCTCAAGACGACACATCCTTGCTTTACTACGACCGCCAGCCCAATACGTCCTACGAGGCCCGCGCGGGCCTTACTTCTTACGCGAAGAAAGGCTGGGTGTCGAACGACAGGTGGGCGGAGTCTGCTAGTCGCACGCTGGATTATGCGTTTGACGACTACGCGTGTGTTATCGTCGGTGAGCATGGCTCCGGCGCTGACGAAGGCGAGCTCGAAGAGTTACGCGCGCGGAGCAAAAACTACGTCCATATCTGGAACAATGAAACGCAGTTTATGCGCGCGCGGAACGATAACGGATCCTGGGCTCGCCACGCGGACTGGGGCTGGACGGAGGGCGACTCCTGGGTGTACACCTTCGATGTGATGCACGATGTACCGGGTTTGGTTCGGCTCTTCGGCGACAGGGAGGCGCTGCTGGGGAAGCTGGACGAGCATTTCGAGGACGGACATAACGACCACACTAACGAGCCCAGTCACCATGTGCCGTACCTTTATTCTGGGCTTGGGGCGCCAAATCGGGCGGCGGACAAGATTCGGGCGATCGCGTGGGAGAACTACAATGCGACCAGTGGGGGGCTGAGTGGGAACGAAGATCTGGGCCAGATGAGCGCGTGGTATGTCTTCTCGGCACTGGGGTTCTACCCTGTTGACCCCGCTGGGGATGAATATGTGGTTGGGTCGCCCTTCTTCGAAAGCATCAAGATCATGTGGCCGGATGGGGTTGCGACAGGGGGTGATATTGCCGGCGGAGACACGGATAGAGTTTTGCATATTACTGCGCCTGGGGCTCCGTCGATGCCGTATGTGAAGCGTTTAAGGCTGGATGGGAAGGAGGTCGCCGTGCCTATCCTGAATCACAGGGATATTGTGCGGGCGGAGCGCATTGAGTTTGAGATGAGTGATACACCGAATTCATGGGGGACGAACCACGTGTGGTGATGTCTTCGCACTGCAAATTATCCCTTCCATGATATATCTCGGGTCCGATCCATGTCCAGTCGGTCACTCCGTGTCTGAGAGCACGGATGTGGATATTCCCCCAGCGTCGGTCTGGACTGTGGCTTGTGGAAAGGATCTTGGCTATCCGATAATTTCCCTCCTGTCAGAGGTATTAATAGCGGACATGAGCCAAAGGCAGCCTTAATGCAGGATATCATAATACCTATCCTGAATCGTCTGGTGGAGCTGCTGGGCGAATTATGGGCTCCCGCTTGCATCGGCTTGTCGATCATTACCTGATGCTTTCCGCTCCCTAGCCCAAGTCTGAGACACCGGCACAACGGACGTCTCTGGCTCGAATAACAAGGATCGACAAGGTCCTTGTCTCATGTCTCAGTATGACCTTCCATCAATCAAAAGCACTCTCGATATTGTACCCAAGAGGGAGCTAAACTCATGATCGACAAGGATAAACTACGCAGTAGGCAAAACATGGCTGAATAAAACGTGCCAAGCCGCACCACACCGTTTCACCATACGATTGTCCCCATCACCCTGCGACAACCTCCGATGGGGAGGGCATTGCACATAGTCGACTCTCGGGGCACTTATGCAAATTAGCCATTTATTTTGGGACCGACGACCCATGGAGTATATAATTACCAGGGCTTTCTGCGCTCGCCGCAGTTGCAGACAAGGCATTTGTTTCTCAATCTTGTCCACTCCGTTCTTTCATTTGCATACTTTCCATTCTTTTTTTCAAAGACTGCTGGTTCAGTCAAAATTGGTCAGCGTCACAAGTCTGCCGATCGTTCCGTTCTTTTTCAATCTTTCTTACCCCTAGTGCCTTGAAGACCGTGTGTCATTATGGCGTTCTTGCTGGCTCTCGTCGCTGGAACTTCATTGTTCGGCGCCTCAGTGCAGGCTGCTCAAGGAGTCAGTGGTACGCCTTTCGGCTTTGCCAACCAAGCCACCGGCGGTGGCGATGCTGTGCCCGCGGCACCGAGCGACATCGCCGAGTTGAAGGAGTGGCTGTCCGATAGCACTCCGCGTGTGATCCTTATCGACAAGGAGTTCGATTTTATTGACAGCGAAGATACCTGCACAGACTGCGAATGCTGCATTCCCGAGTCCAACACTTGCGGCGATAAGGGTCAGAATGCCATCAAGACCGAGGGATCCGACTGGTGCGGTAGCTATCCGAGCATCAAGTGCACATATGATAACGCCGGTTTGGCAGGCATGGAGGTTGCCTCGGACAAGTCGATTGTGGGTGTGGGCAGCGAGGGTGTGCTGAAGGGCAAGGGTCTGCGTCTGGTCAATGGCGCCGAAAACGTCATCATCCAGAACATCCACATCACGAACCTGAACCCTCAGTATATCTGGGGCGGCGACGCCATCTCGCTGGATGGCACTGACAACATCTGGATTGATCACGTCAAGGTGTCCCTGGTTGGTCGCCAGATGTTCGTGTCTGGTTTCGAGTCCAGTATGTATTGCCCATGCTTACAAGCCTTATAGTTTTGAAGAGTGCTAATCCGGTGAACCCACAGGCGGCAGCGTGACTATCTCTAACAGCGAATTCGACGGCCAAACCGAGTGGTCATCTTCGTGCGACGGCAACCATTACTGGACAGTGTAAGCTTCTATACCTCTGGCTTATCTTGGTTATCATGGCTTACATTCGCAACAGGCTTGGTCTTGGAAAGGGAGACAAGGTCACCTTTGCCAACAACTTCATCCACCACACCTCCGGCCGCTCCCCCAAGCTCGAGTACGACAGCCACTGGCATGCTTACAACAACTACTGGTCCAGCAACACCGGCCACGCCTTCGACGTCGGCGAGGGTGCCAACGTTCTCATTGAGGGCAACGTCTTCGAAGAGGTCAACACTCCCTTCCAGGATGAGAGCAAGCCGGGCGCCAGCTTTGCTGTCGGTTCGAGCGAACAGTTATCTGCCTGCGAGTCTGCTCTGGGTCGGGCTTGTGTTGCCAACATCCTCACTCAGTCAGGCGAGCTGTCTGCCAGTGATGACTCTGTTCTCTCCAACTGGCCATCCGGCGAGGGTGAGATCACCGTTGCCGATGTCAGCGAGGTGAAGTCGCTGGTCATGGCCAATGCTGGCGTTGGAAAGCTGGCATCGTCGGCCAATCTTGGCAAGCGCGTTCTCCCCCCGGGCGGTCCGAACTTTCTTCCTCCCTCGGAGGGTGGCCTGGGAGCTGACGGATTCCCCGTTCCGCCAACCCCAACCTGGACTACCATCACCAGGACCCCCACTCCCACGCCTACCAGAACTCCTACTCCCACCCGCACCCCGACCCCTACCAGCATGCCCACCCCCTCTGGCAAGCCCACCTCAGGAGCGCTGCCCGGTTTCAGCTGGGTTGGTTGGTAAAGGAAGTTGGAATATTGTGATCAGTTCTCTCTTTTCCACTGCACATTCTTCCTATTGATGACTTGTCCATGGTCGGGAATCATATCTGATGTATACATGTTCAATTTTTCCCGTGGCACATTTCTAGCCTGTTAATACTTCCATTTGATAAGTATCGCTTCCTGAGCAAGATTTTGAGTTGTCAGAAACTCACTATATATAATAATCTACTCCGGGTGAATATTGAGTGATGTGAAGTCGAGCCTCTAAATCAGGGGTTATTCTGTCGTAGTCCTTAAAGAATATATATCAGTGCAACCGAACGATCTCGGACGTACTAGATAACAAAGCATGCCGAATTGATAGAGCTGCCATGTACGCGCGATGCTGTTGTTTAATAGAGAGAATAATAGGAACAAAAGAGAAAAAGAGAGGCAAGTTGTAGACTGAAATGGGAGATGATAGCCTGTCCAGGAGATCCCAGGCAGGTGACCACCCCGTGATCACAGATCAACCTACTTCGACCTCCATCTTTCTTCCACTCACTTCAATAACCCGTTATAAACTTACAACTCGGACCTTGCCCTTCCCGTCGTTATTTCCTTGTCTTCATTTCGTTCTTTTTTGTCCACCATGTACATCCGCCAATCTTCCAAGGGGACCGACGCATAGAGCGTTAGGCAATGAGTAACCCATACTAACGTTGAACTACGCGATCCTTTTCCCAAAGCCCCCCCCCCCCCCCATACCACTCAGTCTCTCAGCCATATGTTTTCTTCTGTAAGCCTCGTGGAATGGGGGATCTCCTTCCGGGCGGACCATTGGGCGATCCGCCAATTCAAGGTGCAGCAGCCACATTTTGACAAACGGCGCATAACCCAATCACAGCCCTGGGGTCGATCGGGCTCAGCTCGAACTAACATTGAAGCGGCTGTATTTAGACACCGTTACATCCCGTTGGACTATTGTGGGGCATTTAATGCACTGGACCGAGGAACTTGCTGGTGCTGACGGAAGACTGGATGGCATGTGGTTCTTCTTGTACGCGTCCATTATTGGGATAAACACGCTCACGCTGGCCACGCGGCTCTCTATAAGGAGAGAGCTTTTTGGTTGCCCTACACTGACGAAAGTCAGGGTCTCTCCTATCTCTCAGGCGTGGTTACTAGTGGAGCTGATCACCTTCTACCGAGTTGCAAGGGTAGGACTCTCATACCGCCATTTGCGACGATCTCACGCCCGACCTGGCAAAGGGGTTCGTAGATCCCTGCAAGCTCCCAACCAGGCGAGGCGAGGGGACAACAGTCTTACGATGCCCTTCGAAAACACACCTTTTTGATCCTTCAATCTCAGCTGGCAGCAGAAAAGCGTGATCGAATGACAGGAGTTTATGGGTCTTTATTCCGGCATGTGGATTTTCACCCTTGTGCAAGACCATCCAGTGGTTGGTCCGCGGACGAGACAGATGACGCTTTGACAGGCACCGGCCTCGACCTTGGCGAGACAGAGAGTGGGCTCGTTTGACCTATCACAAGTGGGTCCCACATTCCCCACGACCTAGCGATCTGCCGGAGGACTCTGTGCGGCTGGCCCCTGTCATGCGCTTTGAGAATTCATAGAACGGGCAGCGGTCAGACCAGCGGGACAGGTGGTAGGGCTCATCTAGAATTCAGCCAATCTTTGGAGATCGAAATCTTCAAGCAGACAAGGGAGGGAAATTGCCGTTTTCATGGCCGCTGGATAGTCCAATCCTTTGGAGCCTTGGTGCAATCCCAACGACCATCTGTGGGTACTAGACAGTCACCAGCCGCCATGCATAACGGACTCGCAACTAGTGCGACCGGGGCCAAAAATTCTTTGTTTTTTCTTTGGTGCAACAGGCACCCGCTTCTGTCAGCTACATAGGCTCTGACTGGACACCCACAATAAACTTTGTGTGGCCACCGGTCGTGCTGCAGCTGGCTGTCAGCTTTAGGATTATTATTATCCTTCTTTCCTAACATTTGGCACTAGTCTCAAAACCCCCCTCACCCAAGTAACCTCTCCTTCACGTCCTTAACCCCCTCCAAAGTTATCAGCGAACAACACCGAGAATGAGCGATCACCAAGATGCGGACCCTCCACACAAAGATCCGCCAGGTATCACTGCAGCTAAGCCTGGTACACGAAAGAAAATTCGACCCACATATTCATGTTTAAATTGTCACAAACGCAAAGTCAAGGTACTTTACCCACTACCCGCGCGGGTGCCATCACGACCGTCCGCTTGGGCGCATTCCTGGATCGAACTACGCATTGACGCTGCGATTCTTTATAGTGCGACCGAGTCAAGCCATGCGGAGCATGTTGTCTACGGGGAACACCCTCCGAATGCGAATATGGCACCAGCAAGCGGGACCGCCATTATATCCAGCAATCCACACTGATCGAAAACCTAGTGGAAACTTGCGAGTCCTTGAAAGAGCAGCTCGCGGAGGCCCGAAAGCTTGCCAACCTCCCGCCAATTAAATATGAGGATGTCGCGTCGGGGGAACGCTCGATCTATCAGATTAAGCGGATCGATGAGGAGAAGGCTCTGGAAGGTGACGACGACCTTGCAGACAACCATACGAGCCGCCAGGAACAAAGTTCTTCGGATACAACACCCGATGTTGAGACTTCCGTCGAGCTATCAAGACAAAGTAGGTGGTGTCCTCATCATCAACGTGCCTCCTTCGGTTCCAACATGTCATCTTATCTTGTCATGCGTCCTCTCCTGGCAGAATGATTTTCAGCTGACACGTTGTAGCCAAGGAGTCTTCCCCACCGATGTTGAAAGAAAAGAAACATTTGGTTGACCCAACGCTGGCCGGCTCGGTGATGGAATTATTTGTCGAGCGTCTGATAACTACCTTCAGTCCGGCAGATCACACCAAATATGGCGGAACCATCGCCCTGCGCGAAGCCTCAGAGATGCGAGTCTTTTCTCCCTTTCTATGTAATGCTTTTGAGGCAGCCTCCCTCACAGTCGCCGGCCGACGGAGTCAAAACCGAAGCATCGAGGTTGCGGGACATTCACGCTACGTCCGAACTCTGCGGCAGCTGCAAAAAGCCCTGTATGATCCGAAGGATAGCAAATCCACCGAAGTCCTCGTTGTAGTGTTGCTGGCAACCATTGTTGAGGTATGTGTCTCTATCGCTTTTCTCGCGTCCCTGCTAATACGGCCTAGGCATTCAAGCAAACGGCGAAAGACTCAATCTTTCGACATCAGGTGGGCGGTTTGGCACTACTTCGCAGTCGCACGCCATTCCGACATCGTTATGGACTCGAGCGATCGTTATTTGTGGACCTTCGTTTGTACTGGGTATGGATTCTTTGGCTGGGCTTTGTCTTCAAAAACCATGCAACTGACTGACCAAAAACACAGGTCACAGCTGCACTCGTCCAACGGCAGCCGACGTTTATGGCCTCGAAAGAATGGTTGACAGTTCCTTGGGCCGGGATTGCGCCCGCAAAGGACATCTTACATCGACTCTTAGACGTCGCAGTTGACATTCCAGAGTATCTATCTCGGGTCGATGAATTCTCAGCACGGTTACTGGCGGATGACATCCCGCCCGCAGACCTCGCAGTCAGTCAAAGCCAACTTTGGGAGCAAGCCTCGGAACTGCAAAACCGACTGCACGCCTGGAAGACTGTATACGCCGATACCTACCCACCGGGAACGCCGCTCGAGGATTTCGACAGTCCCTCCCCCGACGAATTCCCGGTTTTCCGCTGGCGCAACTCGCTTACGCTGCAGACCCTACCAGCAAAGATTCTCATCTTCCCTGACATCCTAATGGCCACCTCCCTCTGCTTCTACTGGGCCTTGAGCCTGGTTATCTCCGGCACCGATGGCGGGCTTATCAGCGTTCTTAGCCTGCAAGAGCGCTACCAGTTCGGGTGTAACATCTGCCGCAGCATGAAGTACTACATCCAAAACATCCCGGGGTGTCTCGTCTCGCGCATCATGTTCGTTCTGCGCGCCGCATTTGACAGCTTCGCCGACGGCATGGTTGAGAAGGAGTTCATGAGAGACTTATTCCAGCATATTGGGAAGCGGTTCAACTTTCCAGTGTTCACGAACGAGTGTACTTCTTCGTCGGTGCGAGCGGTGCCCGACTGACATCAGCCTTTCTTCTTCTATTTTTTTTTCTCTTTTCCAATTGGCTTTTTGCTTTTTTTAATTTCCTTCTATTCCCGTTCGAAGCGATCCACTTGCGGGCCCGGTCTGTGCTGTCCTTGGCGAATGCGGAGTTTTTTATCATTGGTGTATAAACCTTGATCTACCGTCCGAGGCGATCATCCCATTAATGTCCATTTTATTACCTACGTCACTAATCAGTGTTGTCACAATCGGTCTCTTGGTAGACTTTTGTGTATTATCTACTTGTACATAATTATATTTTCGGGTTATTATGCCATTATTCAAGTGATACCACGCGTTGATAATATATAGGTAGTGTTCCACTCGCCAGGAGAATAGACTATGTACAAGGAAAGCTATGATCTCAATTTCCGTTCCTCCAATTCTTCCTTTTATTTATCGATCGGTACCCGATCGTTTAGAACTTCCATGCCAAGCTGTCACCAGGACTAACTTGGCAATCAAACCAGCATGATAAGTCTCCAAACCCACACGCTCAATCTTAGTCGTCGATCACGAGTGTCCTGGCGCCGTGAAGATTGAGTGTACCGACTGTCTCGGACGCAGCGACCAGGGACTCGACCAGTCTACCGCGGTGTGTATGCCCAAGCATGCGGTAGAAGTCTAGCGGCGACCCGTAGGTCATCAACCAGGGAAGCAGGCGGAAACTTCCCGCGATGAGTGAGGCTTGACAGTCTACCACTCTTGGACGATGAACCTCAGTTTGTCTGTTGGGTTGGAAGTCTGCACAGCGTAGTAGACGACAAGCTGTCATCGATTTCCATATTCCTCGGGGAACAGTAGTCTCGACCGAGATAATTGCATCGGCGTAAATCGGTAATACCCGAGGGTAGTGATGAACCAAATCAAGCACCAGATGTACGGGCATATCGCGGAACGTCGATCGTGAACCCCACCTCTGGATCAACAGGAAGCCAATTCGCAGTTAAACGGGTGCTTCCGTCCGGCATTTCGAGCAGATTATCATTGTTGTTGTTGGCATTACCATGAGACGGCAATAGCGGATGACCCAGAGACTGGGAATTAGAAAGCGAAGCAACAGCCACATCCGACATGGGAAACGGCTCCCCGGGGACACCGTAATAAATGTCGTCGTAGCCAGGGTACGAGAAATGGCTGGTATCGGGGGAGCTGCAGGGGTCGAGATCGTCAAAGGCGAGAAGAGGAGGCGGGGAGTGGTGTAGCGTTGTCTGTGAGTGCCCTTGTGCTGCGGCTGTGGGGCTACCCGCGCTGTTGTTGCTGCCGTCGATGTTGGGATTGGCGCCGGTGCTCATGAACAACGCACGCTCGGCAGCTAGCGGGGAGGCTGATTGAAGGAGGTCGTTTAAGCCCTGCTCGGTTGGGAAGGTGGGGAGGTCTGTGAATCTGTGGAATTGTTAGTGGGGGGTTCTTGGTGGCTTTTTCGTGGCCTGGCTGGCGGTTACGTACAGTGGCGGTGGTTGTTGATGATGGTATTTACCCGAGTCGGCACCCGCGACTCCCACCATCTCCTGTGTGGGAAATATCTTGCCCTCGTTTGATGGCAATTTCCCCATTCCGTTGTCCTGCGAGTTCAACAGTTGTAGCACGTCTAGGTCCAGCCCTGTCATCATGCCGTCGTAGAGAAATTGTTCTTCGCTCGGGAAGCCGGCTTCCAGATGGAGCGGGTTGTCGTTCATCGGGTCGGGGAAGTATCCGCTGGGGACAGCGTACGGTAGATGTGTGTAGTTCATGGTGTTGTTGGAGGTCTTAGGTCGCGAGAGTATTGCTTCCTGTATCAGGACAATATCATGGTAGCGCTGCTGGGAAGCGTCGATTTCCGCAATGCGACTCATGTAGTAGATTGCGCGAGAATGTGTATTGAGTCTACACAGAAAGAATGAATGAATGCAGCTCGACCAAATATGAATATGAAGGGAGACGGGTCTTAAATATAACATCTACCGAACAGACAACTCTCACCAGGAATTTTTCTGCACTCCGTCCAACCGAAGGGTAATATAATGACGATCCGAGCTGCAGCTCCAAATTAAGCCAACCCATCGCCCAAAGCATCACATACTCCGAGTGGAGAGTTCAGATGGGTCGGCAAATGTCCTAGTGAGACATCTACCGATCAGATGATACTGGTGTTTTACCTTGTCGGGCGGTTATTTCCGCAACGAACTTTTAAGCCTGGCCTATACGAGCATCCTTCGCGCCATGTGGAGAAGCTCGCTAATTTAACCGAACCCCGGATTTTGCCAACACCCTCGTCTGCTCTCTAGGCCTGAGGCCCGTGGGCGATCAGAAATTAACCGACACCAGCGACTCGGCCCGATCGACATTGTCGGCCACAAGCATCTTGTCCACATTAATCTCCAGCTTGATCAAGTGGTGGCAAAGCCGCATCTGGTCATTGTGATAGACATCAGCTAATTAATAAGGGATTATTGTGCACGGGGATGAATACTGAACGTGGTGATCGCCTATATAGGTCAAACCAAGCTAGTCGACTGACACGTTGCCATCGCATGCCCGGCATGGTTGGGACAGGTACTGGTCTCTCAGGTACACCAGTACACGTTGATGAACCCCATTACAGCCTAGTAGTGTCGGCAATTTTTTGATCAGCTCTACCGGCATGGGATCCGGGGTCATCGGGATCGAACTCCGTGGGGAAGCTGCTTGACTAGGACTAAGCGCGGTGGAGTGGGATATACCGTTCAACTTTATTCTGATCAATGGATATATACAAGGTACCTGGATGCGTTTCAACCGGGTAGGTTTGTCAAGGTTATGTCATGACACCGCTGATTTGGAGCGTTGATTTTATCCTCTATGAGCCTTTTGCAATTTCCACTTCCCAAGGTACACTTTCTTGTCACCCGGCTGGGTTCCACTACTGATTTACCCTCCGGTGGGTCTATACAAGGCCTCCCAGCCCTGTGTTGAGACTTCGACCTTCGCTACTGTCTATCCACTCGCTATGGCTTAGCCAGTTGCTCTGATATCTACTTCTCGAAAGGCCCTAGTAATCATGGATCAGTGAGACATGATCAACCAACACGTCAGCACAGAGTTTTCTCCGCAAATTGTATTTGACTCTTGCAGCTATATGCAGTTTTCATAATATCAAGGATGATCAAGATCATCAATATTCTGACCGTTGCCACCATAGCCCCCACAGTAACTCCACTCTTCTGGCCCGTCGACAGGACCTAGGAGATTGCGATCGGGAGATTTGCCACGCTCGATGTCTAGTGTAACTTCACGTCTTCCCAGGATGAAGCATGATCGACGGAGTGGCAACGGAACCACAAGCCCCGGTGTAGTCTTTTTCAGAGATCCTTCTCTGATTAAGTGCTCCGATGCCTGGAAACTGTCCATTATATTCCACTACGTGCTGCTTTGACAGCTAAGTACAGCTTTATATGTGTCGTAGGAGGCAGGGGCCACTCCATAAACTACAATGCTTTGGTTGGTGTAGGTAGTTGTGATATTCGCTTTTTGCATAAGAATGTCAGCTGAATCAGGTCAGCGATTCAAGGTCGTCTTTCCGCAGAACTAGCTTAATGACCATGATCCAGCTTGTCGCCATTACATAGGGCACATCACAGCGCTTGCATGGTCTTGTTTCCCATGATGCCGACGACAATAGCTGCTCCTGCGACCCACCAACCGGCTATTGCAAACGCTCCCTCGACATCACCCTTGAAGACCGCCCAGAATATTGCAAACAACAAACTTGGAAGAAAGACCCCGAAACCGACGATACACCATATTTTGGACTCATCCCAGCCTTCCGTCATGTAGATTCCCCATGCTTCCCTCGGCGGGCCACCCCTCGGCTTGAGTTCTCCGTGGGCCCTTTTGACCAACTTCCAATCTGTCGGGGCGACGAAACATACATCACCAGAAGCTTTGATCCAAGAGGCGGCGATAGCTCGGCCGGTACTGGGCAGTATTCATGTTCTGGGCTTGGGTTGGCAAGGTCAACTGGCGGTATGCAATTGCAAGGTTTCCCAGTTTCACAATTTGTTCGTGATCTCATACATCTATATGGTCATTCTCCAGATAGATAAACTTCTAAGCAAAGTATCAAATCAGTCCTGCACCATAATACCCACTCTTGGATATCTGGTGTGACATACCTCAGCTCCGCCATCCATTACGCAAGAAATCTCAGTTTGAACTGAGGCTGGATCCTGGTCGCTGTCGAAAAGACTCGATATGTGAGAGAGTATAGAGCCGTGCTGCCCTCGAAGGACTGTTTACTTTTCCTGTCATATGTTGATGCATCCAGGCGCTCTTTCAAGACTTATAGGACATGAGCCAAGAATATATGAACTGCCAATAAGCATTCTGTAGGAGAGTGCCCTCCAGAATAGCTGACATGTTGGCTGATTACATGTCTCACTCTTCCATATATGTAGAGGAGAGGAGAGGAGAGAAGAGAGAAGAAAGGAAGTTCAGACTGCTTAAATCATACTGAAGATAACAAAGTCACAGTAAGTATCTAATAGGGTTAGAGGGTATTGTATACAGTGACTAAATGATCAGTATATATTCAAAATCAGGTTATAGTCTAGCTAGTGAGTGATAAGTATAAGAAAGCAATGTTTTCACAACCAACTAATGGAAAAGCTAGATAGCAAGACAACATGTGACTGTATCAGATCTGGTAAAGGGTTGTAAGCTGAGTAAAATAACTCTTATATAGCTAGTATGGCTTACAATTATCTGTAATTATATCATGCCTAGTAGTAATAGCTGGGACTACCGGCAATTACTATACACTCGCAGACAATCTCTTGCAACCTTTGACAGTGGCCCACTATGTAGAAATATGAAAGAAAATAAATAAGACACCCAGTATAAACAATAACCTGTTTTCTTGCTAACTAAATAAAGCTGAATCTATGCTATAGGATGCAGGCTACCCCAAAAGGCTTAGTGATTTAGCTATCGTAGGTAGTTGCATCGCTCGCCTTTGCATGATAGTGTCAACTGAATCAGGCCAGCCTCTGAATCTCATCTTTCCCTGCGAAGGCTGATGCCAATACAACCATGCTCAAGCTTACCTAAATAACAATGATCATAATCTAGATTGACATCATCAGATAGGGTGAATGATCTTAGCCAATGCACCAAGAAACCAAACAGCAGTTTGGCAGGGCTTGACCTGACTGATATCCTCAAAGAATCATCTGGCTTGCAAATCCCTTGTTTCCATGATACCCACGATAATCGCGGTTCCTGTCACCCACCAGCTCGCGATTGCGAACGCGCCAGGGAAAGTATCCTCGAAAACTGACCATAATATTGCAAACGACAAACTGGGAAGGAAGAACCCTAGACCGACAATGTACCATATCTTCGTGTTGTCCCAGCCTGCCCCGGAGTGTATTCCCCATGCTTTTGGCGATGGGCTACACCCCGGCTTCAGTTTCCCAAAAGCTCGTTCTGGAATTTGCTGGAGACTTGATGTAGTATCGGAAATCGTGACCTCGAAGCGGCCCCTGACATTGCCGCCGCTGGTATCGTGAAACTCGCTGACAGTATCACTGGGATTGGAAGGTATGAGATGAGGCTGAATCATGCTCACGGTTGAAGATACCGGAGATGTCAAAGACAACATTATCGCTGATCCCCTAAGGGTCATCTTTCTCGTTATAAATTAATGTATTCAGGCGTTCTTGCAAGGCTTGTAAGGCACCCAGCACCTTCTCAAAATAGTCGTCATAGAGCCACTTTCCGCTTGCCTTTGTCAAGCAAATTGATTAGTATTCAAGTTTTGCATAAGGGGATCATTAGGAAAATACCCACATTCTTCGACCAGATAACCTCATAGCCTGGTGGTTTGGCTTCTTTTTTGACACCCAGACCAATGATGATTGTCTCTGCTATCCGAGAAATCCTCTTTGGTACACTCAGATAGGCCCTAGTCGCGGGGCGAGAAAGGCCTTCGGCGTTGTTCTGGCTTGCAGTCTCCATGTCGATCTGGTGATTTTGTTTTGGTGAATAAGTATATATCGAAGGTCTTCAAACAGATTATATAGGCGTTGGTCTCCTGGAGGGATTTCCTTTCATTGTTTAGAAGTGCAGAACGGTGGGTTTCATCTTCTGCTCCGACTCTTTTTCATGATGGTCGACAAGTCCGTTTTTCTTTGTATTGTCTGCTCCATCCGAGTCTTCATCGCTAGGTTCAAAATAAACCTTTGATTTTATATCCCCTTCTTTGTCTGAGGACGAGGTCAATGACTCTTTGATCGAACTAGATGGTATGGTGCCGAGAGTTCAAGCACTGGTTTGAGTCTGAGTTGTACTTTGTCGCGATATAAGATAGTATATCAAAGGGTACCCACAGAGCTCAGAAGTGTCTCGATATCTTTTGTAGCCGAGTGGTAGTCTTTTCCACATACTTTACAAAACCACAAAGCCCGCTTTCCCAGAAACAGAGCTGGCCAGTGCAAGATGGGATGCCTCTGCAGGTCAATCCAATAGTATACTCACTGTGATCAAGAATTGGATTCGCCGGCTGGTTCTTTATTATCACAGTATAACGGATGTTTTATGGTCTAGATAGAAACAATAACGCTGTTGCAAAGATTCCGTTTCATGATAGTCTCACCGAGACCCCGCATGATCACTGTTTTGAAAGCTGTGATTGCAACCAGTGTAAGTCACTAAGTATGGTTCCTTTTCTCTATAGATTCCCTAGATCTTCACCGTATGTATGCTTATTGCTCAAATAACACCGGTAGATGAATCATACCGATCCCAAGCAAAATGCCGAACCATATCTATTTAACCGAGCGTTAAGACCCTTACGATACTGCATAAATTGAAACATCCACTTTATACTAAAACACACTGTCCCACTAATGAACCAACACGAACACAAGCCTAGACACGTCCTGGGGTATATTACCCCTCCTCATCTGAAGATACCTGGCAAGATATAACAGTTCGCCCCGATCAGCGAAAGCGGGGGAGCCCTACAAGGGTTGATCTTGGCAGGCAACAGGCGAGGTGTTTCAGTTCAGTAAAGTCACGAGCCACAAGGCTGTCAAACAGGCTTACATTTTATAAGCGAAGTTGGACAAGCAAAGGCTGATCTGAGGTTTAGTGGGGTAAAGGTAGATCGGATATCATCATCTGCCGATGTGCGGTTTAGTTTTGGTTTATGCAGGGTGATAGGAGGAGCATTTATGCCGCTAGCTCGTAGACAAATCGATCGGTGTGTCAGGTTCGGCGATCTGGACTATTTGGTCAATACACTATTTCTTGTTTTGGTCGTGCTGTGCTCGCTTGGGGTGTTAGTGCCTATCGTTTGGTGAATATACTACTTCTTGTTTTGGTCATGCTGTGCTCGCTTGGGTTGTTAGTGTCTATTATTTTCTCTGCCATGCATGAATAATCTCGGATTATGTTGATTATAATACACTATTATACAGGTTATACCGAGGCGGTATATGCAGTCCAGCAGAGGAACGTCAAAGCGCCAGCCCCGTCCCCTTTCGCGTCCAGCGATACAAAGCAAGAACAGCCTTGCGGCGATGGCGAATCTCGCTGTGGTTGACAGGCCGACCGCGCGCCTGGGCGACGGCACTGCGCATGACTTGACGGAAATTGCGCTGGTACTCTGTGTTGAGCGTGACGACGCATGATTCAGTAGCGCGGATCATGACCTCGCATGCGTTGAGGATGCCCTCGCCTGCTTCCTTTTGGAGACGCTCGACGATTAAAAGGAGGAGGAAGCTGCCTTGGAGGAGCTGGATGCCGAAGAAGTAAGGCATGAAGCTGATGTCTGGATCGTAGCGGAGGATTTGGTTGACGGAGTCGGCTGCGTCGAGCGCGTGCGAGATTGTAGAGGCGAAGGCTGGGGAGGAGGTCCAGAAGTCTTTGTCTTCGATTAGGGAGACGGGGTCCCATTTGCCGACGAGGAGGATGTGGAGGACGTGGACTAGGTATGAGGCGTAGGAGATGACGGTTTGCGTGTGCCAGGAGTAGGCCTGCGCCAGGGCCGGGTCGACCGCTGGGGCGTCTGGCTTGGATGTGGGGTATGTGGCGGGGAGTAAGGTTGAGGTATCGACTGTGGTGGCGGCGAAAGTGGTCAGGCTCGCTTTGTAGATCTCGAGCTGTCCCAGGACTTCGTTGAGATGCACGTCCCAGGCGTCTTTGCCGTGTAGGCGGACGCCGAGCATTGGGTGGTTGCGCGCTTGGTTGAGGTCGATCAGTTCTCCGGTGATTGTCATGAGGGGCAGGAAGAAGCCGAAGATCGAATGGTCGTGGCAGATGAAGTTGGGAAACACGCGACGTCTGTTTTTGACGCCCGAGAGGGCACACTGCGGTCCGTCTGGCTTGGGACTGTTGCTGTGGATGTTCCCCGCCTGCCATGAGCCTTCGTCCAGCGGCAGGAGGAGGTCCTCGCTCTCGGCGTCTAGCAGAGCCAGCGGTCGGTTATAACACAAAGCTAGATGGCGGTCCATTATGTATAGAAGCCACCACGCCCGACGGCGCTCCTCGCGGGATTCCTCCGTGATGGTCGCGCCGGAGGCAGTGGTGCGGTCGCACACGCAGTTGAGGCACGATCGGGCTGGGTTGGCATGATCGAAAAAGGGGCCGGTATCAACCCCGTCCCATCCTGACAGCGAGTAATCGACCGACGGGCTGGAATCCTCGGGGTGGTTGTCAACACTCGGCATGACATCAATCTCCTGGTTGAGCTTGAGTTCCCGAGCTAACGTGAAGGCCGCATGCCACCTAATCCCGTTAGTCTAATCGTCAAGAAGAAACGTTTGGTCGTACTCACCAGCGCATGCTGGCTGCCTTTTGTTCGCTCGAGGAGATGATCGATGCCACGTGAACGTAGGTAATTACATCGTCTAGCGACCCGGCGGGTCCAACCAAGCCCCAATCATCACCACGACCTTCGAACGAGTGATGCACGGTGGGAGGCGGGCCTTCCGGCGCCACTCCCGCAGCAGCACCCGGAGTACTCGTGCTATTCCCGGCCTGGTCTTTGAAGGAAACGTGAATCAACGGTCGGAGCAAATGGATCGTCAGCGCGCAGAGAAACTGGCATATTTTCTTGCGCTGGGGCGGGGAGATCGGTAGCGCAAAGGCCCGGTCGTCAAGCGCGGCCACCCAGAGCATACTCGCCAGGAGCGCTGGACTGCTCGCGCGATAATTGTCGCGAGTCAAAAAGGACGCCTTTCGTAGTACATAACAGTGTATATGGTGGCACACGGGGTGCATATAGGTCGAGAACGCGCTGGTAAAATACAGCTCGAGCAGGTCGAACACTAACCGCCGGGGCAGGTTCGCCTCCACGTAGGGCATGAGTGGCTGTAGCACAGGGTACTTGAGGGAGGTAGACTGCCCTCCCGCCGACTGACTCGTCTTTGATCGGTTCGAAGTGGGAGCGCCGCCGGCGGCCAGATCGACCCCATTCCACATCTCCAGCACCCGCTGCGGCACGTCGTCCAGAAGTCCCGAGGCCCTCAAATCCTCATACGCTCCAGGAGATACATGGGCCCCGGACAGCCATTCCTCCGTCACATTGCCACGCACCCTGGGCCGAGTAGAAGGCAGGGACGTGCTTGCCTGGGAACGTCGCTCATCGACGCTCTGAACAGACATGGTCACATCGTTCGTGACCGGCGAGCGATGATGGAAGCTAAGCTCCGGAGAGTTTACATTCGCTGCCGGTGTAGCCACCGCTTCGGCACCGACAACTGCCGGTACCCTGTCTTTTCTCATCGGGGCCGCGGAAGGCTCTGGAGGCGGCGCCTTTTCCAGTCTCGCGTCTGTCTCTGCTAGCTTCGGCCGTGCAATGCGTCCCCGCTTGCGACGTTCACGTGTAAACTGGCAGTGAACATCGCTTCGAAGGCAGCGAGAACACGGAAAAGCGCGATCGCATCTCACCCGTCGCGAGTGGCAGGAATCACAGGCAATTCGATTGCGCCTCCATCGTCGCTTGCCGACCGCGCTCGGAGAGTCGTCCGTGGGGCTTTCGGCAATAGCGCCGGCGGGTTCGTCCCCGGGCTGGGTTGGCTCCATTTCAGGTCGGCATTGGCAGGTCGCGGTGAAAAGAAAGGAGCAATAGGTAAGTATAATAGAAGAAGCGATACCAGCGAATGAGCGAGGCTAAGGAGCAGTATAGACGATATACGACGACCGATCAATGCGCCAGATCAACTGCGGGCCTAGAACCGTAGCAATTCGAGCCGTAGTCCGTGTCGCACGAGGGATGGCTGTGTTCGGCAGAGTCGTTTATCCGATGATGGACCAGGGTAGATGTCAGAAAATAGACCACAAGGCCGGACGTAAGGAAGGTAAGCACAGCGACAGCCAGGAGGGAATGACGAAAGATATATACGAGTTGTCCGATGGAGAAAGATTCAGGAATGGTGGGGAACCGCCGGACGGACCCAATGCGGATTAGCGGGGATGCCTGAGCACATCCGCTGGAGATAAAATTCTCCGCCAGTCCGTCTCCTGGAGGGAAATAACTACGACGTCGATTCTTCTCCTGGAACACAATGGCTGATATGGATATCCAATGAATAGACCCCATGCTATGGGGTTTGTATTGATCATTCTAACACATGTCCTGTCTATATACAGGACAGGGCTTCCTTCAGGTTCATTCTCGCCATACATTGGTGACTTCAGGATCCAGCATTCCGACTGTCCAGACGGTCATCCTCTCACAGCTCGTGGTCATACTGCCACTCATCAGAGTCCTCAACCGATGTCGATTTATCCAGGGGGTTCTTGTCCAGACAGGACACTTCCTCGACCTTGAACGGAATACACTGGCGAGGGTTGTTGTTGTCACCCAGAGCATGGCCACCCGGGCAGACACGACCGATGCCCTTGGGATCCGCTGCAAGGCAGATGCCACAGCCGTCCGAGGTACACCATTTCTTTGCGGTGAAGGATTTGGCCAGTTTTGCGTCCTTGCACGGTAGGTAATGGCCACCGTTGCAAACGAACCATGGACCCGGGTCCTGGATGTTGACCGGTCCGATCACGTCCTGGAGGGCGAATTTCCCGTCAGCCTTGACGGTTCCGCCCGGGGTGCAGTCGGTGGGGCTGTGGCACACGCGGAACTGCCACAGAGGGGACTGCGCTGACTCGGCGATGCGGTAGTCCCCGTTCAGCGCCAGCGGGAAGCCCGTGACGGGGCTGATCAGCCGGTAGCATTTGCCGTACTCGATGCCCATGTCATGCTCGTCCGGGGGGCAGATCTGATGTCCGCATCGTTTGGGATCCGGCTTCGGCTTTGGCTTGGGGTCTGGGTTGGGATCTGGGTTGGGGCCTGGGCCGGGGTCCGGCAAGTGACACACTCCATCCCAGAAGCCAATGGCCGTGGCCTCACAGCAGGAGGATTCGCCGGATTCGGGGTCGACGAACAGAGCGTGTTTGGGCTGCCCTTTCGGGCAGCAGCCGACGGCGCCGAAGGTGGCATTCACGCTGAGGAACTTGTTGTCGTCGCAGCACATGCCCTTCTTCGCTTTCTCATTGAATTCGAAATGGGTGTCGGCCGGGCAGCAGTCCAAGGTGCCCGTGATCGGGTCCCGGTACGGGGTCTCCTTTCGCGTCATGCATTTGAAGTCCACACAGCCCCTGCACGCCTTGGCCTTGGCGTCGTATTGCTTGCAAAGGTAGCCTGCTCCCCACTCGTCCTGGCACAGCTTGTTGCACTTCTCTTCGGTTCCGCATTTGCTGGACGCTTGCGAAGCCGCCTGCGCCGCAAAGAAGGCCGCGCCCCAGATTACCGCACGCATTTTGAAGGGATGGTATCAACGTGAAGGGAGAGTATAGAGTGTTGGTCGTGGTCGTATTCGTCTTTAACACAGAAGATTGCTGATGATTGAGTGAGGTGAAGGTGGTGCTAGATGGGGTATTTATACCTTCGTCGCCAATCTATCTCGCCAGATCCGACGAGTTCGATGGATGGAATGATAGGGTATTGATGATCGTGGTCTCTGCACCCCCATCCACTGTCACAGCTGGCGAGACGCTCGGATGAGGAGCATCGTTGCCTCGCGCGAGATTCGGGACGCCAGCCACCACGCCTGTTGACGGTCAATCCCTTGGCAGGGTGTATAATTTTCGCAATGCCACGAATGGCAGCTCTCAGGGACCCAGCAACATGGATGAAGAGGAGTCTCAACCGTGGAATGACGTAGTAGTTGGAGACCGCTCCGCTCTTCCGAGGACATCCTACATCAAACTCAGTCAATTGTGGATCCAGCTGGGCTAGAGAACCATGTAGCTGTTATTAATGGAGAATACTAGCCTGTCACGAACTTGCCCAGGGACACGCTGCATCACAGCTGGGCTAATTGGAGATCCGGCTGCGCCGGTGGGCGCTTGCAGCTGTTACAAGAACTCGGCAGAGGATATGAGATCTATCGTGAACACTTCGTACATGACGGACATGCCGCCACGGCACTTGACCAGCCAGCCACGTTGCCATTAGCTTGTGTAAATCTACTGGTATGTCAGTAACGGTATACTGTGCCGTGGAATAGAATTTCTTTTCTCGGGAAGTCCGAGACACAGGAAGGCAAACCTCTCAGCTCACGTAAAAATATGTAAAAATATGAGGGAGAGAATAGAGGCCATGAAGAGACATCCAATAACATACTCAAGACACGAAAGATCGACAGTCGTCATCCTGAGCCAAACCCGCAACCCTTGAAGCATCCTTTCCTACCTCGTCTGCCAGCGAATCAACACTCGGTCACTACTCGATTTGTCCCTACCTGCATCCAAACGTCAAACATCTCCCGCCGAACACGAACGCCGACAATCCTGATAGAGCCTTTCAAAATTTCTCTCTAAACGGTGGCCTCATTCGTATTATGGAGGAAACCCATAAAGACCAGCCCAAGTACTAGGTTACATGTCGGTCCACGTGACCATTGAAGCGAGTAGACTGTATAGCTAGTTGATGAGAATGTTTGGCACAAGACTCAGTCAAAAGCATACCTCCCCGCACGTTCTCTGAATCTGCATCAAACCTACAAAGTACATCCACACCCACACGCAGCTATGCACTATGGATAGAATGATCGGCAACCAGATCTCCTCGTTTCCATTCCCGGGCGGCAGGCCCCACTCCCGGCCAGGTCCGCTTCCAACCAGATGAGCGGAGTCCCTTCGCTCGGACCGTAAAGTGGATCACTCATTCTCCAGTGGAGATCTGGAACAGGGCATTGTTTGCTTCACTGCATAGTACGGAGTACATACATGGTTCATACAGGTTTGGCTGCACTTCGGATGTGCTATTCTACTAGTTCATGCAGTGGGCTTTTTCAGCTATGCGGGTAGATCATGGCTAGTTATCCACTAATGTATGTTTCTTCACTGTGCACACTGATCTGTATACATCGCGCAGCTAGCCACCACACATGAATCAAACACCCAGCTGTGACTCTGCAGTCTGCGGTGATGACGATTACTACATCTGGTATAGTGACCTTAACTAGAAAATGCGCGTCACTGCTGCTTGGTATCATGGTGTGGGGTCTTTATACATGGCCTAAATAAATCAATTCTGCTACAGCCCTACACACAGCCAGAGCGTCCTCGAAACAAGTGTAGACCGGATCGATTAGACTAACAACTCAAATAGATACAAACCTCAAATTTGGAATAAGCAATAGACTATCAGAGAGCGTCTGGCCTGACTTCCGTCTCGGAAAACATACATGGCCGTGTTTTACTTTTGTTTCTCACCAACCTCCTTGTCAACAGACGGTTCACATCCTGCGAAAATTGATGTCGACGCCCAGGAAGCAGGCCAGGCGAATGACTGTGTAATGTCTTTTATATCATCATCCGAGAGTAGGAGATCTATAACAGCAATAAAGGTATATGCCCCTATTCCAGTACAGATATGCCACCTATTCCAACAAGTTAGTGCGTCAGGGAAGGGAAACGTGTCACGTAAGAGTTCTGGAGAATACCATCCGTGCAACTCCAATAAAAAAGCCCAGGGGAGGCCTATTGCTTCTCTCGCTCTGGTTAAAAAGCTGCAGGCCCACTGATCAGCCAGCCAAAGCCAATATCCAAAGTTGAAAATTGCTATCCACACCAGTCAGTTGTACAAAATGCTATCGTACAATCAGATTGCCAACCTATTCCAAACCAAGCCATTCCCCACGTCTGTCGCCAGGCAGGTGAGTCCGGCAGCGTCCGGCTATTGATAAGTCGAATAGTATAAACTCCAATGAAAGTCACCGTGCCGACAAATAGCACGGAGTGAAGGACCAGCTCATCGGTAATTATATGGAATAATATCAGAAGCAGCAAAGTAGAAACAAGCACTAAAGTAGTAATGATAAAGTCCCGACGATTGGAATTAGTTGTCAGGACACGATGTAGGACGGGGGTTGTCGCGAAATGCATCGAGACGTCGTCCACTGATGGAGGGGATAATCAGCCGCACGGTAGCTCATGTTGGACAGACACGACACATACTCATTTGGGTGTGGTACTTGAGGCTAGCATGGAATGCAAACGAGCACAGGCCGACCGCTATGAGCCCCCAGTAGGGAAGGGCACGTAAAGGATCAACATACTTGTTCGCGTTTTGTCGCAGTTGGCGTAACCCGTAGATGCCGTAGATTACTAGTGACAAAAATTAGATCATAATTCCATATCTCTCCGGTGACTTACTGTAGATGACGTTTGTCAGGCTGTTGACAAACTCGGCGATATATCTGCTTATGGCGTAGTCCGCCTCGCAGAAGCTTTATCAAGATCAGCAAGGGAAGAAACGCACAAGAAGTATACTAACTTGACCTTCGACGTTGGAGCGCCCCAGAAACAATCTACAAGGTTGATAGCGTTCATTCTGATGGTGGAAGGATGGAGATAGCAAGGCCAGATCCGCGTTGATGCACAGATGGGTGTTTTACTGAGCCTCCAGACCAGTTTGTCTGACGGCACGCCCGGGAGCGGTCAGAAAGCCACAATTTCCATGACGAGTTCCATGGGTTGCACTGAGGCTGAACGCCGCTCTCTGATACGCCTCCTTTGATTTTATTTTCCAGTTCCCTATATTGGAACTAGCGGGGGTTGCCATTATGTCGAGGAAACAGAACATGGGGTCGCAGAGTACCACTATCACACTGCCAATTTCGACATCAACCCAGATCAGGTCCAAAACATATATGTATAGTCCCAGATGAACTCCAAAACAAACCCATATAGTCTGTGTATAACTAAAATAGTACGACTGCCCCACCCGTCGGTGGAGTAGTGCTCGCCGTAGGGCTTAGTTAATCAGTGGGTCCTTGGCTAGGAAGACAAGGCAGTCATGAGGTGAGGTGTGCGATCAATATCTATGATCATGAATTCGGTTTGTCTGTAGTTCAAGCGAGGATAACGATTCGATGTGTTCTCACGTGAGGTTTGTGGGCTCGGTTTTGAAGGATTTGTCTACGTTGTAAGGAGGATTAGTACATTGTTTGTGGTGTGGGTAGAGAGACATGAGGTACATGAGAGGCTACTTCCATGTTGATTTTATCCACGTGTATTTTCTATTAACTATTCTCAAATGGTGGGACTAGATTATGGCAAGTGAGGTAGAAACACCATGGTCAATAGACTATATGAGTGATGTCCCCAGATTCTCCAATACATATCCAATCCTGATACTCGGTCAAATACCATCAAACGAAAGAAAACCACAAATCAAACATTGATACTCCACGTCGAATTGCCCGTCGAAACAGTCAACGCCCCATTACGCGAGTTATTCCTATCCCTTCCCCACCCTCCCCTCCCCCCAGTAGTAGTACGACCACCAGGCACACCCATCAACCCCCGAGCAACGCCCATCACAGCCTGCGTGCGCTCCACCCACTCATTCCCCCCAGTCTGCGCCCGCGCCCTCCTCTCCTCGTCCCTCGCCTTCAGCCCCGAAATCTCATCCTTCACCAACGCACACCCACCCAGCTTCTTCTCCCATGCCGCCTGGCGCACAACAGGCGCCCACATCTCCGCCACACCCATCTCATCTTTCCCAGCAGCATACTCCGTGTGACGGATCACCCTCACGCTGTGCTCGCTGATCCGCTCGCCGGTGTGCTCGAAAGTCGTGCGAGAGAAGAGCCACTGCGTCCGGACGACCTCGTACCGCTTCTCGAGTAGCCAGATAACAGGCCACGTCAGGATCCACAGCTGCAGGATGATACACGCCCAGAAGGCGAAGGCGTTGTTGCGCAGCTTGTTGATCCAGTGGGGGGAGTACACCGTCACGCGGGACCCGAGCAACACGGGCTCGATCGTTATCGTGCCTTCGTAGTTCAGACTGCGCAGGTGCCCGGTTAGCTCGCGGCGCAGGACTTCATAGTCGAAATTATTGAGGCTGCGGGTGAAAGTGAAGGATTTGACACTCGCGGGGTCGTTGCAGAACCGCGCGCTCCACATCTTGATCTCCGCCTCGCTTGTTGTCTCTGATGTTGTGTTGTTGTTGCCGGACTCGAGGTCCGTGTCGGCGGGGAGCTCGGTATCGTCTGTTGGGAGGGCGATGCGGCCGCTGGGAGCGGACGGGCCGGACGAGCGCCAGCGCCCGCCGCGGTAGGCCTTTTGGCCGTCGTTGTCGGAGACGCAGGAGGTGTAGGCCCAGCGGGAGGCGGAGTCGCCGTGGCGGATGAGGGAGCGGGTGAGGTCGATTTGGAAGTCGAAGTCGACGACTTTGGATTTGTTGTTCTTGGAGCCGCCGCTGTCGGAGTGTTCGCCGCGGATGGAGAGGTGGGGCTGTGGAGGCAGCTCTGTGTGTTCCGTGATGAAATCCGCTAGAACGGAGGCATCTTGCGAATATTCGGGCCATAAGGTCACGGTGGACGTGGCACGGGTGGCGCTGGAGAGACTGTGGTAGGGTCTGCCGCCGAGAATGGAGTCGTAGCTCTCTGTGGGGCGGAGGAGATCGTCGTCATTTTGAGACTGAGATTGATCCTGGGTGGGAACGGAGGGTGGGGAGTAGGCTGGAGGTAGATCATCCTCGGGGGAGGGGATTTGTTTGCCCATGGTGATGGTGATGGTGGATGTTGAAAGAAAAAACAAAGAGGCTGAGTCGCATGTTATATATGGGAGGCGAGACAGCGTTTAGTCGATAAGGCTTGTCTGGATTCGGCTAGACATGAAGCTATCCAGGATATTTATAGGCTGGAGCCTGGTGGTGCCTAGTTTAGCGCCTCGATCAACCAGGAAGGCGAGGGGTCAAGGAACACATTCTTGAGACAGGCGGTGCTTATGGTCTTGGCAGATATGAGACATAACAACATCAGCAAACCTTAGCACCCCATTCCTCCTCTTATCACAATCTTTACAAGACTTGCAATGGTCACCTCCATGCTTGGAATGTTGATAACATGTTCAATTGAATATTGATATAATGTCAACATCATTGAAACAATATCCAAGATAATATCCATCGCGCCATCATTGTTGTATATGATTCTTCATCTCCCTGCAAGCACGCGACAAATTGACAAGAAATCCAAAACAATCCCCAAGGTCCAACCTCTATCAATCCCGCCTTTTTCCTTCAAAAGGGCTTCATGCCTTGCCAGGGCAAACCATATCAATAGCCATCGGATGAAAACTCCCACAGAGTGCCCCGTCTCCTGCGCCGCTCTGCACAGTGCACTAAACCCAGTCAGTACTCAAAATCTGATCTAGGAATTGATATGCAAAGATCGTCAATCTTACACTTCCACCTTCACATTTTCTTCAGACTATATTAGTGCTTGTCCATAAACTCGATGGTCAAACCATGTGGGCTAAGCTTACCGGTTTGAGCCTGCCACCTTGCAAGAAGTACCATTACACACCTATTCATTATCAGATATATTCTCTTCCAGTTCGCGGATCTGGTTCTGAACATTCGTCCGGGTGATATATAATGCATGATGAGGATGACTTACACCGCACTGTTTCCATCCATTGGGACAACCCCGAGGTTGGAGGCCGTCATTGGCTCCAGGGGCCGGTGCCGCCACGACCGCTGCGCTGGCCATCAATGCGAGAAGAATGTTGGAGATCTGCATTTTCCTCGGCTGAAGCTTATGAGATCTTCGCTGAAGATTTTGATGGAATGAAAGGCTGGGTATGGAGTTTCAATGCTGAGATAAAAGGAAGTGTCTGGATTTCAATCTGAATGGAAGAGAGAAAAGGGTCTTTTATAGACGCCAGCGTGCGATACACAGAATGGCTCTGCAAGGCTTTCTCTGTCCATACTGCTAACTTCGTCTACAGGATCATGATCCAAGTCTCTTGGCAGTAAATATGGGCTTACAGATGAGCCAGTATGGCCAGGAATTAAGCTAGTATGGGTAGGACCTGGACACATGTTGAGCCGGTATCGAGTCTCATACCCGCTCAGCTTATTTTTTCAACACATTCTCTCCATGTATAACTATCGAGAGCTCTATCAAGTGTCCTACCCAGCGACCGTGAAAAATCAAAAAAGCGATCGTGTGGGGTCTATAGAGTGACTATACCTTGGTTATATGGATCTCAACTACCTTTTCCTGTTCCATACCGGCTGTGCTCTTGTCCTAGCAAAGATTTGAATGGCTCCGCGGTGTCCCTAGTAAAAATAGGCATATAGTATGGTAATCTTCACATTAGTGTCATAATATAGTTCGTTCCCTATATATCATGATGCGTGTATCTGATTGGTGAAATAGCGAGTGGCAGTGTCACGTCCTTGTCCAGGAAGTCAATCCTGGTGGAATATAAAATCATCGCTAACCACAGTGGATCTAACAACCCTGCATATATCTGGGGCCAGATTAGCAATGATATTACTCTCTCACTCACCCAAGGGCCAAATTGGATTGGATCCACATAATTTCTGCCGCTAGACAGCAAGAAGTATTGATTATGCCTTGTATGGCCTCGTACTTTGATGGTGCAGGCACCCTCCGAAGTTATCCCGAATGTGCAAGCTGCATGCTGATATATCCTGAGTTGTTGTCATACCAGGCTTATCCGTAGACACGTCGTGGGCTTACGAGCCTATTTGAATTTGAATGCGTATGTGATGGTCACATCATTGGTATATACAGAAACATTCGGGCTCTACTCCATGTGATCGGATGATGAGCAAGCACCCGGAAGTATAGCTACTATCTGTAGTTAAGGGATGCTAACAGTATTTTCAATCTCAGCTTACCTGACCAATATTGTGCCAAGACCTGCCACTTGCCAAGTGGTGTGTCTAGCTGAACAGTCAAGATAAAAGATTTGCTGATATCAACTGCTGACCTCCAAACTAGCAGCATTGCCACTCGTATGATGATACTCAGGTTTTCACGCAACTTCCACATTGTAGTCAATAGGAATTTGCGCGGTTTGCTTCGTAGACTTCATATATGCTCCATGCGACACTTCAATCTATATGCCTGTCTTGAGAAAGAGTGTACAAAAGTACATGAACAAAATACTAATGAATATGAAATACATATATTCTATTGTGTCTTCCGTCTTCCAATCTACATGCCGTTCATAATCATCCAGGGGAAGGATGTCAGCTAGTATGTATGATCCAGAGGTCTTTGGGCTGTAACATTACTCCTGGTAGTAAAGACACTGTTTCTAGTTTCGAATTTGGAAGACATGTGATGTTGAATCGAAATACCTTAGCACTGGCCGCAGTCAAATCGACAGATAACAAGCTAATAGGGCTATATAATTTACCGTATACAATATCTGGGTAATGGAATCAATAAGATATAAATGATCCACAAAGATGGGGTCTTCCCGCCACATCTAATTCATATTCATCAAACTTGAGATAACCCACCTCAATCAACTGCTTATCAGTGGCTGAGCTATCAAAGGCAGCCTCAAGCAATGACCTTAGCGAAGGTCCTTGTGAAAGTCGCCTTCGCTATCGCATCCCTCAACCATCGGACTCCGACCCCAGCTCCACCATGGCTTTTTGACCGTCTCTCGTGGCGGACAGATATCTTCGAGATCAAAGCTTAGCTGAAGATTGAATCTATCCTTAACCTTGCGCAATGTCTTCAGCGCTTTACAGCAGTCGGGTGCGGTGGATGATGTAGAGGAGAGGACATGTCTGGTGCCCACTGCTGATGGTCCCCGCTCCTCATCGCGGTAGAATGTACTCAGAGTACCTACCTCTGAGAGCGCGAGGTTTGCATCACCGAAGACGTAGTCCGTCTCGAACTTCAGGGTATTGTTGGCGGCCCAGTAATTGACGACATGCGCCTTGCAGCCCATCTCGGTGCACTCGATTTTCTCCGAGTATTCATACCAGACGTAGTCGGGTGAATCGGGACGACAATGAGAGTAGTCGGTCTCTGGCGAGGCATCTAGCCACCTTTTGGTTGTCAATAATCCAATCCGTTGAGTGTGACTTCATTGTACAGAGATGGATGCCGCAGGGGATCAGAGTCCATACCAGCCGAAGCTCAAATAGCCTTTTTCGGTAGCATAGCAGAAGAAGTTCTCGCCTTCCATGGTGGCATCTCGGGGCTGCTGCGTGTTCCAGTTGGGATGGTTGAACACCGCGACTCCATTGAAAACAAAGGGGAATAAATTAGGATTGTCCTGGGCCGCGACACTTGCATTGGCGACATTGGCAAGACAACCAATGCCAAGAATAGACGAGATGAATAGCTTCATGTTGTTGGGTGGATGGCTTTCTTGACGGTTGCTAACAACGGCAGGACCACCTTGCATCTGTGCAGTCGCACGGGAATTTATTCTCTACGTCCATCGAGCACGGCTTCCTTCGTAGCATTACCGGTATGAAGGGGTTCTACTTCTCCCTTCTGAACGAGTTAGCCTCTGCATCTAGCTAGGTACCCCTTGTGTTGCGCTCCATATTCTTTTTTGTCATCGGTGGGCCAATTTCCATGGTGTCCCAGTCAATCCCCGCATAGATCTCGCTGCTACATCGGTAACCCAAATCCGTAGTCAATTGGATGAACGGGTCGGTAATATTAGGCGCAATGCGACTGACATTCTGGGTGATGATGATATTGATTGAGACCAACATTCTTGAGCACCCCCGGACATGTCAACGCCACAGTCTACATTAGCTCACATTCATCGGGATCCATTACTTCACATTTCATATGCATGTCGTGACTATGGGGTTGCGTAGGTATCAACAAGCAGGTCAAGCCTAATGGCCGGCTGGTATCCTGGCCTCCTTCCTCAATACTATTGACCCACCAAGCCCGTCTCCAGGGATATGTTTGTTAATATTCTCTAACACCTTGGGACCCTCGGGGCCGGGTTTTAGAAAACTCTGCTCACCATACACAAGTCAGTAAGCATGGCTAGGCACTAAATACGGAGCAATATTCCCAGTCAAACTGATGCAGTAGAGCCCCTGTATGGCATTGCACTCGAAGGGAAATTCGGCCTTTGACTTGTTGGCCACAAATCCTACTTTGGCAGGTACTACAATATGTGCAGTCTAATGGCTATTCCATGATGAATCTACCAGATATCTTAAGGGAACCAATGTGCCAGGGCAGAGTGTAGATAGAATAAGGGGTCAGATCTAGGCACGCCCCTAGACTACAAATCAGAGAACTCTTCCCATCGTTCTCGTCGGCAACACAACACTGGCATCCTTGGGTGGCGCCGCACGTTTCCTACTCCTAAAGCACAAGCCTTGACTGTCCATAGTGAAAGGCAATCCACTATCCCACATCCTCGCAATCAGAAGAAGCTCCTAAATTGAAAGCATTGAGCCCTACAGCACCAAGTCAAATGGTTGCTCCCAAAGGAACTCGTCGTTAGTAAAATGTCCGTTCTTGGCAGTCTGGTAGTAGATCGGATTGATCAAGTTGAGGTCTTTCGCAATAGCTGCCGGCCTGAGATCAAAATTGTTGCAGATAATTTTCTTCAACTGGTCTGAGGTAAATTGACTGGTGTGGAAAGTATCGACAAATATACTCAAGGGCTCCGCGATACCGATGGAGTAAGACAGCTGGATGAGGCACCGGTGCGCGAGTCCGTGGTGGACAAGTGATTTGGCAATCCACCGCGCCACATAGGCCGCGGACCGATCAATCTGCAGTTTCCCCAACCCGATTAGAATGGGAGATTGATTACGCGGGCCAGGACTCGACGGAATGTAAAGGGAGCGCACCTGGCGAAAGTCTTTTCCTGAAAAGGCACCGCCCCCATGGGCACCCCACCCCCCATAGGTGTCAACAACGATCTTGCGGCCGGTCACACCCGCGAACTTGCCCGACGGGCTGACTCCTATATCTCCTGTTGGTTGGATCTAGTGTCGGGTGATTTTGATGAGTTTCAGGGGTGCCGCATGGATCTTGGACGCGAGGACATACATGATAGGCGGTCCGGCCATCCAGATACTTCGCTGGAATTGACTTGCGTACTACCTTGTCGAGTATCTCCTGCCGCAAGCTTTCGATCGACACTCCCGGTTCATGCTGCGCAGTGATAACCACGTTATGAACCCGAGTGGGAACCATCCTGCCTTTGTCCTCAACATATTCCACGGTAACCTGTGCCTTGGTGTCCGGTCGAAGCCATGGGAGGATATGCTTGGAGTGGGCAGCCTTCAGGTTACGGGTGATCCTGTGCGCTAGATCGAGGGTCAAGGGCCTGGAATTTTCTTGTTAGCGCTATCAATGTGGCGGCCTCTATCCCGGTTGGATGAACTTGCAGTAACTGTGGGGTCTCATCGGTTGCGTATCCGAAAGCCATCCCCTAGAATGGGCAGACCGAAAGGTCAGTTGCCAATATTTGTCCGCAGAATGGACAGAGCGCTTTACCTGGTCGCCTGCGGGTTCATTGTCGAGCGCTTCCAGGCCAGAGGATATGCCGCTGAGCAGCGATGGGTGTAACTCCACGCAGTCCATGACGTCGCACGTCTGATAGTCCAACTCCTGGTCTGAGCTGCTGTACCCAATGTCTTTCAACACGAAGCGAACAATGGCGTCGATGTTCAATTGGGGGATGAAATGGACAACGCCAAAGACAATCACCTGCCCGGGTCGTACTGCCACCTCAATGGCGACCTTGCTCAGGGGATTCTGCTTGAGACATTCGTCGAGGACGGCATCGGCCACCTGGTCACATATTTTGTCCGGGTGGCCTTCGCCTACAGACTCGGACGTGAAAAGAAACGTTGATTGCGACTTCATGGTTACAAAGTATGCGTCTGAACTGCGAGTCTAGGAAACAAGCTTTTCGGGGGTGGAATGGTCCCTTATATCGTTCAACAAGAAAGACCATTGTAGAAAAAAGATCGCAACATTCCATGGCGCACAGCCGTTGCTTGCCTATGTCAAACTTGGACCCAGCAGGGGGGTTTGGAATCCAAATCGCCTTTCTACGTGGACCTAATGTGTACTCCAGATGGGACTCATTGGAGAGTCACCCTGCCCAACGATGACTTGACTCGTATCCAGATAGTCACAGCCAGCCATTAAATACCGTTCGACGCCAATACATTCCTCATTCGCTCAATCATTAAGGATCTGCGCCTCGGTCCTTGATTGACTTGGCGGGAAGGGTGACGTCCGCTGCATTCTGGCATGTAAGCACTTTAAGACATGCTGCTGGTTCACCCCAAAGTGTGTAGTCCTGTGAAAACATTATGACATTCTTGTAGCTGTTCATTCCACCTTTCCCCCAAAGGACAAAATTCTGTTTCATTTGTGCAATCGTGCATACGTTTCCTGACCATTGAACTGCACACTGTCTTATCGAAAGAAGAACAGCTAAAACTCATATCAACATAGATCGCAAAAACAAAATGCGTTGGACGGACTTGTTTGTTGTTCTCGTCCAATGTTTACTCTTCTCGCGGGCGAGATCAGCTAGGATTCCAAAATCGCCAGCCTTCACGGTGCTGTTGGATAATACTCTAGTAAATGCTGCTCGGTATTAAATTGTATATCAGCTTTACTGATCGTCTCATTCTGCAGGAACCGGACGCTGTGCAGTCTAGGCCTTCCTATCTGTTGCTGCGCGAAACACACACGCAAGAGCGAGCCGCTGCGGCCTGTAGCACACTGGGGGAGGCTCTGGCAACTGTCAAAGAAGTCCCCTTCTTCCAGCCATTGCTCTTGTTGTACCCCAGCGCTGAGCATGAGAAGCTATCTTCTCCCATGTGGCTGGCAGAAAATGGCGGGGCCTGCACAGCATACAGTCTACAAGAGAATCATACTTCGAGCGTCGAATGCACCAGTCGCCTTCGCGCTCTTTGCACCAATACTGCAGAATATCAGGCTGGCGTCAGTCCCCCGTCTACTGATCGCCATGTATTCGTTGATACATCTCAAGGCCTTATTAAAGGGTTCAGAGACCGCTTGACGGCACGATTCCAGGGAATCCCCTATGCGAAACCTCCGGTAGGCGAGCGTCGGCTGAAGAACCCAGAAAGACTACACAGCTTTCCCGGACAAGATAAGGAAGTGGCATATGATGCTACGAGGTTCAGAGCACTCTGTCCAGTACGCTGCCCGATCTATAGTCCAACAAGCGCACGTAGTACCGTGGGGCTGACGCTTGAAACAGCAAGACATGACCCCGAACGCTACACCGGACCTCCAAAACCCACATTACCGCATATCCGAAGATTGCCTGTATCTCAATGTTTACACCCCAATGATCCCTGAAAGCCGGACTCCGGACTTGCTACCTGTGGTGTTTTGGATTCATGGGGGCTCGAATTATTACGGCGGCTCATCCCTACCTTTTTATCTTGGGATGAACCTTGCATCTCGCGGACCAGTGGTGGTAGTCTCCCTAAACTACCGCCTTGGTGCTCTGGGATTTCTCTCTGATCCATCCAAGTCGCCAGATATTGGAAGTAACCAAGCTATGCGTGACCAACTGATGGCTCTGGACTGGGTTCGGGAGCACATCAAATCATTTGGTGGCGATCCCGAGCGAGTAACGATTTTTGGGGAATCCTCGGGAGGCAGTGCGGTGATGTCTCTCCTCCAGACAGCCTCTGCAGAAGGCCTGTTTGCCCGGGCCATTGTTCAGTCTGGAAGTACGTGGTCTGGCTGGCAACGGCCCCACGTGCAGGCCGGTCTCACGCGAATGTTCCTGGATCTGGCCGGTTGCGACGACCTGACTTGCGTGAAAAACAACCGGACGATGGGAGAGATCCTAGAATACCAGAACCTGCTGTTCTCCAAGGCTCAAGGCACGTTTCCTCGCGGGGAGGTCAACTTTATCGAGCCATTTCGGCCATTCATTGACCATGATCTGATCACGGAGGATTGGGTCACTGCACTGGAGAACGGTCGTTATCAGAAGGTGCCAACACTTGTCACGTACACCCGAGATGAGTTCGGATTGATTGTACAGGCCAATGAGACATTGAAGAATGAACGGACAAGTTACTCCACAGCAGTTGAGTTTCTGGCCACATTCCTTTTGGGTGAGGAGCGCACCAGGCAAGTGTTGGATACCCCAGAGTTAGGGTTCAACCGGTCATTGGTTAATGCGCCTGATGTTACCGACCCGTTCATCCAATTGACTACGGATTTGGGTTACCGATGTAGCAGCGAGATCTATGCGGGGCTTCTGGAGAGGCATAACCGCGACGTATGGGAAGTATCGTGGGATATCGGTCTGCCGCAATTTCTCGGGGGATTGATCTGTGGCACTGGCACAAAGCGTGCTTGTCATGCCGCTGAGCTCCCCATCCTTTTTGGCTCAGCCAATTACGCCAATATCAGCAGCAGTGCGCTCGCCTCCGTCAATTACTTCCAGCAAGCTCGGAACACGATTGATCTCTACAGCAACTTCGCGCATGATGGCGAGTTGAGCATCAATGCGACCTACTATTCACGGCGTGATGGCAACACAGTCCGCAATGTTCTTCATTGGAACGATACGCCCGCGTCAACACGTGGGGGTGTCCACTGGGATATCTGTCAGAAGATGGAGGAGATGAACCTGTATGATCGGTTGTATTACCCGTATCTCCCTGTTGTGGATCACACGATTACAAGGGAAGGTCCCGGTTCTTTGCAGTATCCCATGGTAGCTAGAGACTTTGATTGAGATTCTTTTCCCCCTCGCATAGTAAGTACCAAACATCAATTTGGCTCACTGCACCTAACTAATATGAGTGAGCAATGACGGTGAATAGCGATAAGCACCAACATAGACAGTCTGCACAAACATAAGCAATCATAGATGACAGAAATTGGGATAAGCCCATATGTGCGTGCATACATACTTGAGATTCATTACCCCCCCTTGTGTCACTAGAACTCGCTCTGTCACAGAATGTTGGTGACATTCTGGATAATTGAAGAATGAGGTATGCTTGACGCGTCACATCCTTGCAGTGATAATTAAATCAATCAGGATGGCCGGCTTGACCAGGAACTCCCTTCCCATTATTTACTTATATATTCCAAATTGAACTACTACTTCAGTTTTAAGATGACGTAACTGCTGAAACAACTCATCGGTGTATGAGTAGCAACCTTTGTTTGCGGCTTTCAGAATATATCACAGGCTTCTTTGCCAACTTGAAATTAGGCATCTGTCAACCAGAATACTGAAATTTCTATACGCTACAACGTCAATAGCAGAACTAAAAACGAAAAGCAATGAGCTTTTCACCCTTGCTAGACAATGAGAGACGCAACAATCCATGGAAGGGTCAGTTGCGATCCTCTAAAGGTTTTACCTTAGCGACAATGTCCATGGCGCTCTTTACAGGTACGTGATTGTTATATTTGCTGTAACCTTTTATGGCTGCCATGACTAACAGAACTGCTGCTGCAGACGAGCTTCTGTTCTCTTTCATGGTACCCTTGCTTCCTTACATCTTTGAACAGCGCCTCGGGGTTCAAGCATCTCGCGTCCAAGCATACACATCACTCTTCTTGACTGAAGGCGCTTTAGTCGCCATCATAACCAGCCCATTGATCGGGCATGTGGCCGACCGTGCCAAGTCCAAGAAAGTCTTGCTACTTGGTTTGCTGATGTTGACACTTGTCAGTGTTGGTGGCCTTGCGGTCACAAAGTCGTGTACGTCACCTTACATCGGCCGTTCATGTCTCTCATGCTTACAGGCCAGATGATAGTGGCCGGGCTCTTCATCGGTCGATTCTTCCAATGTTTTACCAGCAATGGCCTCTGGATCGTGGGCGTCGCAACGATGGTGGAGAGTGTTGGGAGCGAGCATATGGGCAAAATCGCAGGGCTAACCTCAACCTTGACTGCAGCGGGGACATGTACGGGTCCACTGCTAGCCGGGTTTCTCTTCGGGCTTGGGGGGTATTGGCCTGCTTGGGTGGGTCCGGCTGTCTTCCTGGCCGTGGATATCTTAATGCGTATTCTGTTGATTGACCGTCCAAAAGCACCACGAGAGAGTAAGTGTAGCGGATACACAGACGGAAGACAGAAACAGAAAATCCACTAACCACGCTATGGCATGCCAGCACAAGGATCTGGAGATGAATCCGAACTTGTCGCGGAGGCTTCCCCTTTGCTAGATGCACAGCCAGTCCCCGTTGAAGAAGAAACAGGGTGGCGATTCTACGCCCGTCTGTTTCGCCAACCGCGCTTTGCAACAGGTATCATTTGCTACTCTGTATATGCCCTATATATTGCCAGCTTCCAGGCTACGATCCCCTTGCACTCGTGGGACGCCTTCAGATGGGAGGTCTTCCCGGTTGGTCTTCTTCTTGCCGCTGTTCAGGGTCCGGGAATGGCCCTGGCACCCCTAATTGGATACTGGAAAGACCGCTGGGGATCGCGAATCCCAACAACGATTGCTTTCTTCTCCATGGCACCCTTTTTCCTGCTCTCAGGAGCAGCGGGTGACGAGCGCTTCCCGTGGTTTGCTGGTGGAAATAAAGGCAAGGTCACATATATTTGCTCCTTGGCCACGGCTGGGTGTCTTATGTCTTTGCTGAGTGGGGTAGGGGCAATGGAGGCGACTGGTGAGTTACCTGCGTCCTCCTTGAGCTCCGAAACTATAGTGTTAATTGAAGCTTGTGCTACTCCGTAGAGGCGGTTGATAAGCTAGAAGAAAGTCACCCCGGCATCTTTGGAAAGTATGGAGGCTACTCTCGGGCTGTCGCCATCACTAGCATGAGTTGGACAATGGGCCTGATGGTTGGGCCCGTCTTAGGAGGGTTCATGGTGGAGAGATTTGGTTACTTTGAATTACAGTGTGTTCAGGGTATGCCTTCTCCTCGAGGTCACTCTCATCCCTAGATATACCGCTAATGCCAGATAGCGACTTTGTCTATCGCCTGTGGCATAGGGGCCGCCGCTTACCTCAGTCCCGCTCCTCCCTTGGAGGTTACCGAGGGAAATGAGGCGAATAGCGACAGCGCCCCCTAGGATCCGCCCCAATCCGCCCCGAAGACAACACTACTTCCTACTACTAGAAAGATATCATTTTACTTTTTGTTTGTACTGATATCACTTTCTTATTAATGACTATCATATTATATTATATTAAGTGTATATTTCTGTTCTCTTTTATAAATTTATACAAAATTTTCTATAGAAAGTATATGTGTAATAAGATGCCGGTAATATCAATCAGGTTAAGCCCTATACCAAACGTTGGTCGCGTAGTGGTCATTATAAGATATTATTATTATTATAATAAAAAAGAATACTAAGCAGTTGATGCATATACTTGTTTACCAAGAATCAAAAGTTGTATTATTGATTACAGACTAGTTCTCATAGGTCTTGAAAGAGTATATATAATCAACGGCTACACTATATGTTTCAACACAAGAAAGAGAAAGAAGACTCAATTCTTAATACTCTATTCAACTGAGATACATATATACTTCCCATACAAGAAAGATGCGAGAGTCTCGACAGATCCCGACTACCTTTTCTTTGAAGTGCCCATTGTAGGGTCTCATGCTCAATTGTATAAATAAACTTTCAAACATCAACGTATGTTGCAACACTGTCTGATGCCTAGCTACTATGCCATACTCAGTGAAGATAAAAACACTGCATCAAGAACGCAATCAAAGTATATATTCAAGAAAACCAATAAGTACAAAACAGAAAATACACATATTCAGTCACAATAAGTCGTCCTTCCCGTTACATCATCCAATCGGTCATTGACGTCTCTTTGGTAACTCACTCTCCCCACTAGTCAACCTAACCAGACTTGCCAGGGCAGGTCATCGCTCCGGCAAAAGGATCAGAATTGCCGCAAATGGCTCCGTCTCCGGCACCGCTTTGCGAGGTACACTGGAAGGGTTGTCAGGTAAGTAACATGTGGTTTACTTAGGTGTTACCAGGGTCAACTTACACTTCCCTCCTCACAGACCCTATAAAACAATGTCAGTTTATAAGTCTTCGGTTAAGGGGGGGGAGGGTTTCACGGCGAACTTACCGGTCGGTGCCTGCCACCTTGCAGGAGGTGCCATTGCACTCCTGATCATGGTTGTTAGACGGGCAGTCTTTCAGGTGCATTTAGAAGGGGACTTACACCGCACACAGACCAGCCATTGGGGCAGTCGACCCGACGCGCGAGGGTATTCTCGCCGGCGGCAGGGGCGGCCACAGCGGCGGTGGTGGCCATGAGAGCAAGGATGATGTTGGTGAACTGCATTGTGATAGAAGTTTTTAGAAATGAAGACTTGCAGGAGGCAGAGGTTTCTGGTAGATGGAGTGTTTGGAGAATTCCTTGTATAGAGAAGAGATGAGGAGGTTGCTTGGATTTCAACAGGAAGAGGAGGAAAGGAGACCCTTTTTATATGTTTCTTCGCCGTGATATCTGTCGCTTTCTATCCAAGTCTTGCGGCTAAAAAGTAGACCTGGACGATTCTCTTACCATCAGTATCATGGTCTTGATTCTCCACCGCGCTCGATGTCATCGTTGTCTCTGTGTTGCTATTTTCTCTCATGCAAGGCCGCCAACGTTTTTACAGATGAGCCACTGATTTCTTTTTCTTGTCCGGCATCAGATTATAGCGCTGGTCAGCGCGGCCGCGTATGCTCATTAGTCTGAAGGACTCTCATCCTGGATAGATGACAGTGACTAGGCAGGTCTATGCGTGTTATGGGGTTTGGAACAACTGGACTCTGCAGTTGGAATAAGTATAATCAGCCACCCGAAGCCACCCGTCTCACTACATAATTCAGATGAGCCATGCTGGATTGATAGCCTCCAAGGTTCCGTTCTAGACGATATTACAACAACAATATATAATTCGTATCAATTCGCGACTGTCATTTTTAACAGTACGCTTGAGAAGCTAGTACATCAAGACAGTCTATGATAGTCTATCCACTTCGATCCAAATACCTTCATCCAAAGCCCTAACACTCACTATTCCTTGTAGCCTAATGGGGGAACTAGTGCAAGTGGACATAAGCCCGTCCATGTAGACAATGAATAGAGCCTTAGTCTACGCATGGGCAGCTCATACCACAGGCCCCGCATCCTCCAGGGGGCCTGATCGACAACGAACCTCTGCGCAATCGCGATGGTTTCCGCAGAATCGAATCAACTCCAGGGACAATGTGGTCCTCTGCAGTCAGGCAGCTACGTGTACCCGCTATGTTGCCCCGATCGGTTCAGCTGCCAGCCTCGAACTCTATGTACACTCAGAAGCTAGTTCCATACGGTTGGCTGCCGTTTTAGAAGGCGTGGTGATCCTTCCGATAAAGTCATAGTTTGCTTTCTGTGGCTGCTAAGCCTCATAATTACGAGGATTGAAATGTCAAATATATCCGCGGTACCTCCCTATGTTCACATCGCCTAGGTCTTTCTAGCACTAGTTATGGTTGAGCTAACAGGAACAGAATTGCTGGTATGTGGTATCCTCCGTCAGGTTGGCGCGAGATCCTATAGATTCAGGCTGTCGAGGAAATTTTGCACTCGATCAAACAGACAACCAATTGGAAGATGATTAGGTCTGAAGGTTATTTTCAGCCCCAAGTATACCATCTAACCTTTTTTTTTTTTTTTTTTCGCAAGCCCGAGACTGACTGAGGTGGCCAAATATCAAGTAGGCTCATGCAATGGAATCCTTCCGAAATCCGGCTAGCCTTGCAGTAGAAGGATTGCCGAATCTCACCATGCTCCACCGCACAATTGTGAATGCGACTCGACATTGAGTTATCACACAGTCAGACGCTGGCTTCCAATCTAGTTCTAGATCGTCACCACACGTTGCTTTCTATGTTGACCAGTTCTGACCACCATCAGCAGACTTCCAACAGATGAGCTATAGGACCGGGTAGACTCCGTCGGCTGCTCATAGGCCAATCCCTAGGTCCTAAGATTAGCCAGACCTAGCCGCGGACTTGAGCGTTCAATCTTCGAGCAGCTGACGTACTATCCGGTTTGCTATGCTAGGTTAGGCTTGGTAAGTGAAAAGTCTCCAGGACCTACTATGTTTCTAACCAGAATCAGCCCCCGTACCCTGGCGGCATGTCCCACCGTGCATGAACGCGCGCGATCGTCCTAATCCAACAAATCCAGATCCGAGAACTAAGACAAATACCACTAGTCTAGCCTCTTGAACCATCAATCGTCGGCGGCAAATAGATCCCGACTTCCTTGACTTGGGTTGACCTTTGTGTACGTCATGTGGTATCAGAATGGCAGGCTGTGTTGCTTCGCCCGAAGACGCGTTGATGGACCGGACTTCCATCATTGAACTCCGCAGTAGTATCAAGGTCAGCACATAATAGCACAAATCCCCTCTGGTAAACGGCTTTCGGAATGGTCCTACATCCCTTCTGATTGAGAACTTTTTGGAATTGATAGTGGCGGTGACTCCGTTAGATACGTACACCGAATTTACACATCAACGCTTCTCGACGGTAATGACGTCCCTATCGACTCTGTAGGAGGATATACGATGCCGTACAATGGCTGTTTGAAGGTCTGCAGTCTTAGGCCGACTTATCGATCGTTCATGTGAAATCACAATAATCAACAATGTTGAGTTAACCCTGGAGATGGATTGTAGAATAGGATGTTGCTGATTGAGTAGCTGACAGTGCTTTTCGGCCGAGCTGTCGAGTGTCTCCAACGTAATCGAAGTCTGCATCATTCCAGGCTGTATTTAGTCAGACTAGAAATCGACCAAGGTCTTAATAACGTCTATTACTATTATAAATCCTTCCTTCCACTGCACTAATGCTTATAGCGTCTCGGTCTGGGAGCATATGCGAGATGTATCACACTTAGGGTTGGTCAGTACCTGTGACCTAACTATAGTGTCCTGAGGCGACACCCCGCATTCTGCCTTATGACGCTTACAACTCGCAACCCCGCAACAATATCCTCTCTATCTCCTCCACCATCCAGCCACTTCACTCAATTCATCAAGCCACTTCACTCAATCAATCAGGAACCTTGCACAATACACCACAACAAGACGGAATGTCCTTCCCCCCACCCCCCACCCCGACCATAGACTGGTCCAATGTCGGCTTCAAAGTCCGCGACGGTATACAACCTCACATACACACCATCAACTGAACCAACAACATCGCTAACAAGACCTCCAACAGTAAACGGCCACATTGAATCCCACTTCTCCCCAAGTACAAACCAATGGAGTGCCCCCAAGTTCATCCGCTCCCCCTACCTCCGCCTCCACGGCATGTCCCCCGCCCTCAACTACGGCCAACAAGCCTACGAGGGCCTGAAAGCCTTCCGACACTCCACTGCCCCCTCCCCCAATGACCCCACCTCCACCGAAGAAAAACCCAGCAAAATCACCTTATTCCGCCCGGACCTCAACGCAGCCCGCCTCGCCCACTCCGCGCAATACGTCTCCATCCCGCCCGTCCCAGCCCCCATCTTCACCCAAGCCGTCCAACTCGCCGTCTCCACCAACGCAGAGTTTGTGCCCCCCGCAGGGACACTCAACTCCGCGCTGTACATCCGCCCGCTCATCTTCGGCAGCTCCGCCCAGCTGGGCCTCTCCCCGCCGGAAGAGTACACCTTCGCCGTGTTCGTCACCCCCACGGGTGTTTACCATGGCGCGAAGGCCGTAGATGCCCTCATCGTGGAGGACTTCGACCGGGCTGCGCCGCGCGGGACAGGGAGCGCCAAGGTGGGGGGCAACTATGCGCCTGTGCTGAGACATAGTGGGCGGGCGGGCGCGGAGGGGTTCGGCATCACGCTGCATTTGGATAGTGCGACTCGAGGCGACGTGGAGGAGTTTTCGACGAGTGCGTTTGTGGGCGTGCTGAAAGATGGTGATGGGAAGGTGACGCTTGTGCGGCCCGATAGTACTAGTGTTATCGAGTCCGTGACGGCGGCGAGTGTGTGTGAGATTGGGGAGAAATTGTTCGGGTACCGGGTTGAGAAGAGGCGCGTGCCGTATGAAGAGATTGCGCTGTTTAAGGAGGTGTTTGCTGCAGGCACGGCTGCGGCGTTGGTTCCTGTGAGGAGTATTACGGCGAGGGAGAGAGGGGATAAGTGGGAGTTTGAGTGTGGGGGGGAGGGTGAGGGGGGTGAGGTTTGTGTGAAGTTGTTGAATGCGTTGAAGGGTATTCAGGCGGGGACGGTGGAGGATCCGTTTGGGTGGAATGTGGAGGTCGGGGCGCCGCCTGAGGGGTGTATGGATGGGGGAGAAGATCACTGAATGAATGTGTATAGATAGATGGATGGTGTGGAATGGTAGACCATGTTTTGATTCTAGTTATAGGTACGTAAGGATAGAACATCAATACAGACATCCAATCACCATATCAAGATCCCATCATTCATGCAGTATCCAGACCTTCATTCATGCAAACAGCCCAAATCAATTCCTCTTGCGCGCCTGCCGCAGCTTGGATACATGCCCGCTCGACATAATATCTCCTCCGTCGTTGGAGCTGTCGCTGTCGCTGTCGCTGTCGCTCTCACTCTCGCTCTCGCTTTCGTCCTCGCTCTCGCTGTCCGACGGACCCGAGAAGATATTCTTCCGCTCCGTCCGCTGCGCCGCTTGCGACTGCGTCCGCGCTTGCTGCTCGTTCTTCTGGTCGCGGATCAGACTCTTCAGGGAGAGTCGGTTGGGCTGTGACTGTCTTGCTGTCTGCGACCCCGCGGGCTGCGACGAGGGGGGCTGCGAGGGCGCGCTCGCCCGGCGGGGCGGGTCGGGTTTGCTCGGAGGGGGTGCTGCTACTTCTTCTTCTTCTTCTTCTTCTTCTTCGGACTCGCTGTCGGCTTCAGATTCGGATTCCGACTCGGTTTCCGACGCTGAGTCGGTCGATTCCTCGTCGTGTTGCGTTTCTTGGTTCTGTTTTTGGTTCTGGCTCTGGGTTTGGCTTTGATTCTTGGCCGGGGTGGGAGTCGGGTTTTCTTCAGGTTCTTGCGCCGGTTGACCCTCCTCCTGGTGCTCGTCGTCGGAGAAAAGGTTCAGCAGATCGCGTGAAGACTTCTGTCCCCGTCCCTGGGACTGACTACCATTCGGCCGGGGCGCTCCCGGGCGGTGGGGTG